AACGGGTGGAAGGGAGTCACGACGAAGAGCATATATACGACGTTTAAGCATAACAATCTCTTCTTCATCCATGAGTATCTTAGAATCTGGAATCTCGCCCCTAACCGTCAATAATTGGTTTTGGTAAAAGTTGGTGAAAACAAGTACTTTACAGCTACAATTGAAAATTAAACTTACTTTGCTGCAGATTCAAAGATACGATGTCCAACAGAATTTTGAATCTCATTGACAGTTTCACGCAGCTGTTTCATGACAGCTTGTCCTTTAAGTGCATCGACAGTAAAGCTATGAGTTGCTGCAGGCATGATGATAAAGGCTACAACAGTAATATCCGACTCAAGTTCCTTTAAACGAGCATTTAGCCCTAGTCCGTTCAAGTTGGTTAGCGAGATTTTTAATCAAGCCATTACCAAATCATAAAATCTACTTACGAGCAAGCGACTCGATAAACATATCCACACCCTTATTGCGGAACTCATAACGTCCGGCAGTAAAGAAATAGAGAGTATTGTCGAGATTGAAGTTGTAGTGGCCGTAAAAGTGGCCCCGAACAAATTCGTGGATCTTTTCCTTTGCGATTGCATGTCGATTCTGAAACTCGTGAATGGCGCTGAATTTGATGACATTAAGACCATTAGGCAAAACACCATCTAGATGTATCCAGTAAAAATCAAACAGCAGCTGTTAGTGTATCATATATATGAGGCAACCATTGCGATTGATCAGTTTCATACCGGGTTTTCGTTTGAGAAGCCACTCTGCCTCGTAGGCAGTGATGTGACTAACAGTGGTAAAAACGTCTGCACAATGAGCAGCAGCACGCTCAATGCAATATCGATGATAAATGCCACGCTTTCCAGCCTCGGCATCTACATCAAAGAATTTCAAGTTGTTGTAAAAATCGACATCACCGGCACAAAGATAGCGTCCAAGTAGAGTAGCATGTGTTGTGAAGACCGTTGCGAGGTTGAGATAGCGTTTTCGGATCAGAATCAAGGCAACACCTGCTTGCCACTCGTGAAAGTGAGCAATCACCACTGGTCGTTTCTGCGAAGCGTCATCACCAATCAAGTCAGATGATGGGCGAGACTGAAGTCCACGATCTTGGGCAGCGACAAACTATTAAAAGAAATAGGATCCAAAAGTTGAACAAGACAATCAGTACCAATCAAGAAAAGTAAAGGATGGCCATAATTTGAGCCAGTTGAACTCGAAAATAGGAATGCCAAAACAATGGAGTCGAGTGACATTGCTTAACCAACACTCAATAAGTGATAATTTTAAAAGCATCGAGACTAAAACACCACAGCATGACAGAATCCGCCAGTTTAGATCAACACGATAAATGATTGCCGTTATTGGCAAGACTAAAACACATTACCTCTCCCAAAAACCAAGTTACAAGATAACCAAACATGATGGCCTGGTTAGTTTCCTGGTCGTCAGATGGAGACGGAACAGCTGCAATATTCCATAGGTCAGCCTTCCATTCACCCATGCGCGAGGAAGCCGATCCAACATCCAAAAGCAACACGTAGGGCGATCCCTCAATCAGCCAGCGACCAAACAGAGTTTTGATGCCAGCAGATTGCAGACTATCGATAGCCGAGCGCATGGCTGCAGAAGAGGGTTTAGTTTCCTCGACTTCCAAAGGAGCAGTCTTGTATGACAGTGGACCAATCAGACAGTATCGGTCATCGTATTCGTTGCAAGTGACGGGAGCCTTGGATTTGATGACAGTGTAGATTCCGCCCACTGGAAACAACCGTTGTTATGGCAGGTTGGCATACATATGCATTCAGCAAGGAAATACATAATTCATTGATGAGATCGTAAAAGCAGTGAGTGATAAATGAAATAACAGCATAGATGCTTCTAGTGAGCAAGATATAAACTTGATTATACATATGCAGCGAATCAGATCAAAAGCTCAGTGATTGCATAGTGATGGAAATGATTGACACATTCATAAACATGGTTTGCCAGACAAGAATCTAGTGATCAATACCTTTGTTGGCAACCTCCCAGGCGATCTCAAAGAGAAGCGGGCGAGTTACATCAGCATCCAGACTCATTGAGAAATTACAGTTGTTATTCACGTAAAATGAAACTTGAATTTATCTTGCTGCGATTGCTTCTATTTTGCTTCAAAATAAATATCGGTTAAATATTTGCTGCGCTTTCCTACTGGAAATTGGCATTCTCCATTTTATCTGAATTGTACGTCATACAAACTCATTTATATCAAGTAGTTTCTGCAGTATTAAAGTATGGAGTTGTATAATGACGCTTCATCTCGCGACACTGCTGTTTGTTGAACGATTGACATGATTAATCAAGTAAATGTGTAGCTTTGTGAAATGGCATGTCCAAAATCAAATAGGCATTGGCAAATATCTTTCAATGCTATTATCCAGACAATCCTGAAATGTCAAAGCATTTAGAGCTCCCTTAACTTGATTTTGTATGCATCATATGATGATCGTTGTGCTTGCAGGTTAATTATGTTTTGAGCCTGCCTTTTCTTCATTGTTACATAGTCATGCGTTTTACGATCACCAAATTTGAAACCGGGCTCATTTATTGCAGTCCAGACATTGGGTTCAATTGTTTTGATATTCCGAGTTAAACTGCACCTTGTTGCATCTTAATCTCGAATACAATCGCGCTCTAGTTCAAGAAAGCAATTGCTGCATGTTCAGGAATGCAACAACTGTTTTTATTCTAGCTACTCAATATCCACTTGTAACTTTGGTTTGGATGAAAGGAAAGCTGATTTGAATGACATGAACATTTATTGCTCGTGTCTCGTGTATCACTGTAACAATCTGACTTGTATCCACACGACCAGTTTACTGATTCTCTCGATTAAATTCAAGACACCATTCATTTGGTCTAGTTGTGGTTGCTTGCTGAGCTTGATTTGTTCTGGCACGATCTTCAGAGTAGTTTTCTATATAACCAAAAAATGGATTTTTCCTCGTCTTCTCATCTCGATTGTTGCTAGTTGTAATTTCACCCAACATCAAAATGTCTGGTTTGCGAGTTCTTGTTGGAGTTAAGCGAGTGGTCGACTATGCTGTCAAGATCCGAGTCGTTGGTGGAAAGGTCGAGACCGCTAATGTCAAGGTACTTGTATACACTTTAAACCCCACTCTAGTCGCCGAGTTACTGTCAAATATGTGCAGGCGTTGCTGAGTAGATCGTTGCATGTCGAGTGCCGATCTATCAGCTATTGACACTAGCCTATTCAGCTATATCCCAACAAGTCTTTCAATTGCCCAGCATTCCATACTAGACCACCTCATCGGTTTTTAGCTATCAAACCTATCTATAGCTGCTTAATAGATTCCATTCTGAACTATATATTTGTGTTGATCATATCTAATAGCACTCCATGAATCCCTTTGACGAGATTGCCATTGAAGAAGCTGTCAGGCTCAAGGAAAAAAAGGTTGCTTCAGAAGTCATTGCACTCACTGTCGGTCCAGCAAAGTCCCAGGAAACGCTTCGCACTGCTCTTGCCATGGGTGCAGACAAGGCTATTCATATCGAGACTGCTGAGGGTCAGGATGTGCAACCACTTCAGGTATATATTGATCTTACATCACATTCTTAATACCATGCTAATGTTTGACCCTAATGGTCTGTCCATTTTTTACTAACCCGGATTTTAATAGGTCGCCAAGCTGTTCAAAGCTATTATTCAAAAGGAATCTCCAGGTCTCGTTATTCTTGGAAAACAGGCAATTGATGATGATGCGGGCCAAACAGGTCAACTTCTTGCTGGTCTTTTGAACTGGCCACAGGTATGTTACTTGCCCATTTTGGTTTACATACAACAATACAGACAATCTGTAACTCGACTGGATGCATTCATTGACATGATTGGTATCAACTCAATTCATTGTTTTAAAATATAAATAGGGTACATTTGCATCCAAAATTGAGTTTACCGATGCTGCCAAAAAGATTCTCGTCACTCGAGAGATTGACGGTGGTCTTGAAACCCTCAAGGCACCACTTCCTGCCATTGTCACTGCCGATCTAAGGTGGATGTGGTTTTATTTAACTTTTGTTTATGATCTGTAGTTCTATTTGAATTCAACTGACTTTTTAAATGTAATGATTTAGACTTAATGAGCCACGATATGCCACACTTCCCAACATCATGAAGGCTAAAAAGAAGCCTCTTGAAAAGCTTACGCCCAGTGACCTTGGCGTCGATCTGGCACCTTCAATTGAGACCCTCAGCATTGCTGAACCAGCCAAGCGTGCCGGTGGAAAGAAGGTCGAGAGTGTTGACGAGGTAAATATGGCATTGCTTTCGTGGCTGGTCTCTTGTTGCCTGCCATGCTTATTCGACATTAACTCCTGGTCATATTAAATGTGTAATCTCATTCTACTAGCTCATCTCCAAACTCAAGAACGAGGCTGGTGTCATTTAAATTCTTATTGCTCCTGTCACAAGACTAAACTTTCGTAACTCTTTGTTTTGATATGAACGGATTTGTATTGCTGTATTCAACCAAGGGAAATTAATCAAGGTTTGGGATAAGTTGACTGAGTGCTGTTTAAATGGCTAGACCAAACACGTTGACAATGACGTACATGGTCTTTGAATCGTATTTAAACGTTGTGCTTCCTGTATAATAAGCAAGTTGGTTTCAAGAGATTGTTAAAAACAATCAAATATATATTGAAATCATGGGATGGCTTACCATCACTTGAATTATCCCAGTAGCAAGATGACGCTGTGTGTAGACCGGCTCCATTTTTTTGCATAATAGTACAAGTCACTAAATCCTCGACAAAATGTTAGCACTGTATTGCAACACATTTCGGCATTGGATACAATGAAATCTTGAAATGGCAATATCCAGATAAAACGCGAATATACACTAATGCAGCCATACCGATATACTTGAATGGTTTGTTGAGACCCGTCAAGCGCTTTAGAGTTTGCTCAATAATATTCGAGTTCCATTGTCCGACCTTGTTGTGATGGTAGGCAGCATTCTGGATAGTGTTTTCAATAGACTATGCATGGGGTTGTGTCAGTAAGTCAATTTAAAACCACTAGTGTTTCTGGGTTTACCACGGCGATGTATGGGATTTAAAAGGTTGAATGATTAGAATTTCCATAGTTGAATACCTCTTTAATGACATTGTTGACTTCATCCACCACAAACGCCTTTTCTTCTACTCCTTGAAAGTCGTCCATTTGAAGTCGTTGTTTCAGTCGCTAATGTATAAGGATATAGAAGGTGGATAAAGATGGAATGTAAACTGTTCAGGCTAACGCAACAACATGAGCGGAGTTTCACGCAAAATTTTAGGTTGGTTAAAGTGCATCTCGATGATAACAAAAGCACTTGAATGTCTATTTGGATTTCCATGATCAAGACGATACAACATCCACTAGTTAAATTTTGAATTTATTGTCTTGCAAGTAAAGCACAAGCATTGCATCTATTCAACCTTAACCTTTAAATATAATAAACTTAATCCAATTCATCGGCAACTTTGACAGATGGTCTTGCCGCGAATGCAGTGTCAGGCAGCTTGGGCACAATCTTGATATAAGGTATAATATTAAACCAAAATCTCAAAACAGCACGTCCAGCACCATATTTTGAATCCACACGAGCAGCAAGTGTCAAGAGTGCCAAGTGATACAGTCCTATTGAGACGAATATATGCCACCAAGCATGAAGTTGTGGGTTAAAAGGAAGAATCGCACCCTTATAATGAGGATTCACGAGCTCACAGAAAAGCATATCAGTCAACCAACAAAAAGTGGCCACGCCGTATGACAAGATGCCACGCTGGAAAGTTAAAGCAACTGGGTCATTTGCACATGCTCGCTGATTGTCATAGACTGAATGGTCAGATATAGAGTCGGCACAGTCGTGATGAGTATTGAGAAGCTGTTTGGTTTCAGACAGGATTGCATTTTCCAAACTGATTTTACGATCATGAGTATGTTTTCGATGTTTGCTGGATTCGGTTATTTCGCTGCGTTGGATAATTCCGGACTTGAACTGATGAGGAATTTCACGGTCGCGATAGATGCAGATGACCTGAACAATGGCAAACAACTGAGCAGTTCCAAAGCTTACATGAAAAAGAAAGAATTGCCAAAAGCCTTCAGACATAGTGACCAACAAAGTGGTAAATATGGCGTGAAACGTGAGTCCGATTGCAAGAAAACGACGGACCCTTGCTGATGGACTGTATCGTTCACAGATACCAATATACGTGAATGCAAGAGCAGAGTATAGCATGGGAACTTCATCCAAAGCCTGTGAAAACTTTCCAAGAGTACAATGAAATGCTACTGAGCCTAAGCCTACAGCAACAGTGGTTTGGAATGCCATATGGAAACGCATCTCTGCCCACGGATGGAGAACTACGCCCAGCATACCTACCACTGCCATAGCAAAAGAGGATATAGTATTGAAGTATTCAGCGATAAAAGTTGTAACCTACAAAGTCGCATTAGTAAGTTGATAAGTATTCATGGCTTTACATGATCGTACCAAAGCACAATTTCTGCACAACAAAGTCAAAATCAGTTATAGCCTCATCGCAATAAAATGGAACGGTAAATAGGGATGTCAAAGTATAGCAAACGGCCAATTTCATGAAATGATTCGCGCCGGATTTACTGAACAGCATTGCCATACATTTTTGTATGAAAAACTGAATGGAACGTTCAAATCCTGTTTCAATAAATTTCGTATTCTTGAAACCTGTTTAATCTCCGACTCTCCATTTCTACACATCAAACATTATGATGTTTGATGATTGACACGGAAACAGTCGTATTTCCGGAATATGCGATTGCTGTTTTTTAACTAGAACGCAAATATATCCGATTTTAGAATACAGCAAGGATGTTTGTAGTTTGATTGACGGCATCAAAATAGCCAAACAAAATGCTTAGATTAGATGGATAAATACGGTTTCAAACTTGAAGATCGTACAATGCATGGCTATGCTAAAAGTAAAGAAGGGAGATTTGAAAGGAACCCTTGTATCAAAACCATAGGTTGGTTGTGAACATCATATGATGGACTTGTTCAGAAGAGTTTGGTGTATTGAACAAGTAGTTAATTTGTGATAGGAAAATGACGAATATTTGACCATTATTATCTCGAAGCAAAATGGAGAAAACCCTGCAAGATAAATACATAAAAGTGTTTCATTTTGCGTGAATACAACTATAATCAGTACTAACCTCGTAATTCATCTCGCACCAATCAACGGAGGAACTAGGAGCACCCCAATATTGCTTATTGACATTTGAAGTCAAACTACGCTGAAGATTAAACGACATTATTCGCCTTTTTTGAAATGCTAAAGCAAAGTAACAAGCTAGGGAGAATAAATAGGTTGATAATTTACGATGCTCACCTTATTTAAGCAATAACGTGATTACCATATTATCCACGATCAGAAGCATTTTAAAGTTCACAACTAGCTATCTAGGCGCATGGAAAGGTCGCGTGATACATCCAAATGAGTTTAAAAGTGTTGAAGTGAATGGTCCATCATACTAACTGAACGAGGCGCACCTGCTCTGTGTCTTGAAAATATGGAAGCGCAGTTGAATATACATGGAGTCGAGTGTGAGTTTATTGAAAAAAATTCAAGAGTATGTCAATTGAAAAAAGGGACGATATTTCAATTGAACAAAGAAATGAGAATGGAAAGATAAAACAACTGTATTTCAACCACCCGAATCCATCATGTTTTAAAACCATTCTGACAGCATCAAACAAGCTGCAAGTGGTAATGCAGATCGTTCAGCAAACTGATCGTGTCAACCTGTCGAATTGTCAAACTGTCGTCGTGGTCTAGAAACCAAAAACAATGGATGATCATGCCATTCAAACCAACATCTGCAAGCCAACAATACCATCAAGAGTGGTGGTTGCTGCTGATCTCTCACTGTATCTTGTTTTCATGTCCTTTATCGCTTGCCAACTCAAATCAAACCGAGTCGAATATTGGTCGCACAAGTTGGCGTTTTTTCACTCAACCACCAGGTATTTGCAGTTACACATTCCAAGTTCCTGAGGAGCAGCAACAGTACCATGGGCAAACGAAAGGCCACAGGCGAACCCACTGTCATTGTTGATGACGCTGTTCTCAAAAAGGCTCAAAGTGTTGCAAAAAAGGCTATCAAGGCTGCAAAAAAGGCCCATGACCTGCAACGACAACAAGAACTGCAGGACCAGCAAGAACTGCAAGGACAGCTAGAACTGCAAAAACAACTAAAACTGCAGCAGCAGGATGTGAATGATTCTATGGACTTGTTTGGCTTGCCTGAGGCTGCTTCAACCGAGACTACTGCCAGCACTGCTGGTAAAAAGAAGAAGAAAACCAAAACTGCCAAGACTGTAGTGGAACAGCTGGATGAGGGTCTCGCACTGCTCGGACAGCATGAGCAACAGCAGGTGGATCATAGCACTAATTTGCTTGAAGAACTTATTCTTCAGCAGCAGCTAGAACAGCATCAACTACAAATGGAGCAGCAACTTCAGCTGCAGCAGCAGCTACTTCCTCGTGTCTCTGGTTCCAAGAAGAGTAAACGAAAGGAATCCAAACAAGACTTGGACAATCGCAAAAAAACTCAAGAAGTCATCAATGCTGCTGTTGTTGCTGCTGCTGCTGTTGCTTCTGCTGCCACTCAGCATGCTGCCAACTCTTCAGCTACCAATCTGCTATCTGGATCTGCATTCCAAAACTCGGACCAATGGCAGCAGCTGATGTCTGAAAACGACCATGAAATCCTGCAGAATGTATTTGCTGCTGCTGCCCAGCAAGCTGTTCAACAAGTCAATACTGCCGCGGCAAATGACACCAACTCAGCATCTGCTACTGCCGCCGCATCTCTGTTTTTGCCTCTAGATACTGGCACAATGCTGGCTCGTGCTGCCGCTGCTGCCGCTACTTCTGAATCTGAGACGATTCCATCTCGCCAAAAATCCCTCCTCTTGCATCGTCCTTCCAGTGCCGTTATTCCACAATCAGCAGTCATGGTTCCATCTGCAGACCCCATCAATGATACTCGTATTCTTTCCCAAAAATACATCAAGACACTTCATGTAACGGGCAAAGAGGCAGATGCTCTTAGAGCTTCTTACAACCAAGGACCGTTTTCCAATCTAGAAAGACATCGTGTTGACGAAGTAGTGGAGGCATTTATGCTTGAACATAACATTCCACGAAAGGATCTACATTACTTGATCAATCGACGCACAGATTTTTCCTCAAAATCTGGTTTAGATCCCAAAACCTCGGCCATGTACAATGACAAAAAATTTTCTGGGTTTATTGCCAATGTACGAGAGGCAGCAGCATTAAACAGAACTGTTGACCAACTGTATTGGTACATGTCTCGCGCCTACTCTAATAAACGCTCAGGTGGTAGCAGATGGACCGAGGAGGAAGACGATATGTTGCGACATTTGATTTCTATTAAAGGAGAGCGATATGCCGAGATTGAGCGTGAAATGGGACGCAGCGATATTAAAAAGCGATGGAAAAAACTTTTGGCTGCTAGCAACGAAACCATTAAATCGGGTCGATGGTCTGAAGAAGAGATTCAAAAACTTGGAGAAGCTGTAAATCATGTTCTTGTTAGAGACAAGTTGCCAGCTTCATCCAATCTTATACGCTGGCGAGACGTTGCCAATATGGTTGTCACCCGTACTGATATTCAATGCCGAACAAAATGGTGTGAAGCATTTAGACTGCTTTTATAGCATGAGAATAATGACTTGTGACCGCATTTACAATTGCTAACAATGTATTGGTTGTATTTTATTTTATTAGGAATCTGTCGTTTCAATCTGGCAAAAAAGCCGTTTCGGTAGTACGTTCATTTGAATACGAGGATTATGCTTCTTTGTTAACCCGAATGTCGGCACTTTGCTCTGCTGCAAATGACGAAACTGAGATTGTATGGGAGATGCTGGTTGGTGAGAACGAGCCTTGGAATGCACAATATCTCAAAACCCGTTGGTCATATCTAAAAGGCGTGGTGCCTGTCCATGAACTCACCATGCGTACCTTTTCTCGTAAGCTTTTTGTTGCTGTATCTGCTTCGTCATGTCTATAATCTAATTTTTGAAATGCTCTGCATTATTTAGAAATCATTGACTACTGTTTCGACAACCTTGTGGAGTTGATTGATCGTCGTTCTCGCCTAATATCTACCAGTGAATTCTTGGTTAATACCGAAGATATGGAGGAATAATCAAGCTATGCCATGTCCACTATCTATTTGTCATTACCGTTTCAAATACGACTATTATGTAGCGACTGAGAAGTGCTGAATCTGTGCCCATAATATATAGCGCTTTTATTTTATTTTCTAAAACCATCATGTATTATTTGGTGAGGGATTAAACAGTTCATACTGTGCTGAAAATTTAAACCAGGATCCTGGTCAGAATGCCGCATTGTATTCAGAATTATGCGAGCACCAAAAGTATTTTGACAATAGATTTGACATGACGTATGGTATATTATGGCCGTATTCGCATAAAGTGGAGCACTTTGTAGATTCTACAGCCTGTCTCTATTCCGCTTCAGAATATAGCGGTTAGATATTTGTTGTCTTTCCTATTACATTGACTGCTACTTTAATAGACATTTTAGTTTTTGTTCCAGATGCAGCTACCTGCAATCACCAAGTTTGAAACCAGATCATCCATTGCAATCCGTATAGTGGTTGACAGTTTCAATCGAGTCCATATTTACTGCATCCTAAAGATTCGGATGCGTTCTAGCTTGACAATCTCAGGAATGCATAATCTGTGCTGGTCAAATATTTTGAAGCGGTGCTGCTTGATAAATATTGAGATAATGAAGCCTGAATGCGATTCAATTAGGTAACGGTGAACCATTTTAAGCAAGGTTCAAGGCTTAGATGCATTTACTTGTCAAATGTTTGACAGCTTTTAACGGTAACGAGCTCACTATTGCAATGCTGTTCAACAAATCAAGTGGTATATTTTAGGAGCATTGCAGTGATATGCATCAACCTGACATGCCAGGTCCAGGTTAGTTTGTCCGTAAAGGGATATCAAGTAGCGGCACATTTTATAAATAAACTAAAAATTATTATGACTCAGCCTAATAGTTCATTTTACCCAATCATAGTCGTGTTCATGTGAAATGGAGCATTAAACAAGGGAGTCGAAATGCATATATCATTTCATGGAATTGTCTGTTTATCATTGTGTTTTGAATTCATTAAAAAATACACTGGTTTTGTCCTAATGATTGGAATAAAGACACTTGCATTCCAGATGTGTACATTGTTTTCTGAGCGAGCGCAAATACGAGTTTTTAGGATGCAACATGGGTTGATTGGTAGCATCAAAACTATCAAGCCAACATATGGGCTGCAATGGATCAATTTGGTGATTGTATAGTGTATCTTAATAATTTCAGTTAAATTAGTTTAATTTTGTGCGCATCATATGATGAGCGTTATGTTTGAAACAAAAACTCGGAATGTCTATTAGAACACCAACCAATATCTAGTAGGAAAGCGCAACGAATATTCAGCCATTGTTTATTCCAAAGCAGAGCAGTGAGTCAATAACAAGTGCTCCATTTACGTGAATACGGCGATAAAACAACGCCAAGCACTACAAGAAGCAATAACACAAATCACGTGGTTACATTTATCCTTTGGATTGGATTACGTTTGAAGCCGTTTCAATCAAGCTTCGAGTGCGGCCTATTAGAGGTTGCACTTTATCCTTTAACGCCTTACTTCAACATATCTGGCTCCAACTCTAAAAGTACTCACTGACCGAGTTTGCATCAACTGCCAATATTTTCATTCCTTTATTAAGCCACTCTGAATAGACTTGTTTTCAAAGAGCTGCTTTCACCCCACAAGCCAGCATTCACACTATTTATTCTATTTTTATTGCAAGGTATGTGTCGTAACTTGCAGTCTATATTCAATCGTTTGCTTTAATAGGATTTAGTCTTGACTAGTATCAATTGGAATGCAGTTGTCTATATCCTTTCATTTACTGTTTCAACCGCACTCCCCTTCACTTGCTGTATTTTAGCTGTTCTTTTGGCAGCCAATTCATCTTCTATAGCACCAATTCAACCCATTGAATGCTTCAGCTCGCATATACAGCTGACTTGCTGGATTGGGTCTTGCAGTTTACTAATTTTTATTTTGTACTTGCTATAGATTATCATCTTGCTAGTTACAGCCAGTTTCGTTTTACTGCTACTTGGCTGCTCCTCCAAACCAGTTTACCATTCAAGCCCATTTCATTGCGCAACTTAATATTAGCGCTGCAAGTCAATTACTTGCATAAAACATCTTTATAGCTGTGTCTGAATTTGCCTACATCGTACTACTATTCTGTCCGAGGTTCAATACAGTTGATACTCTGCAATAGTCTAAACTTCGCGAGTGCTTTGCTGTAAATATTGTCATTTCTGCTGATACTGCTGCAAAGTGCCTTTTAGTACACAGGTGTCATTGCGATCATTTTTGCCAATTACACCTTATTGCTTTCCGGCTTTGCCATCACGTAGCTGAGTACTTTGTTATAATCCGCGCATTCGTCATGTTTGCATCTGTTCCACAGTTGGCTAAACGGCGACTAAGGCCAGATATTTCTTTAAGCATCAACACTTTGGTCAACACTGCAAACTCGACCCTTTCTCCAGATCAAGCTACCAGTGCGTCTCGTAAATTTAAGCTTGCTGGTATTACCACAAACATGAATCCAACTAGACTCGTTACTATTGAAGAGCCAAATTCTGAATTTTCAGTTTCAAACCCATACCAGCATGGACCTGCACCGATCTTGAAAGGACCTGCAGGTCTTTATCTAGGATCTGCTATTGCTGCTACCAATTTTCAGTATATGAATTCACTGGCTATTCAATGTGTCGTTAATGTTGCCAAGGAGATAGATGTTGGGACGACTGTAGCTCCAATTGAAGGCTGCATAGGTACGCCAAATGTATCCGAATTTCCTACATTTCAAGATATATCATCTAGCTGCCATCATATTGGCACAAATCGCAACTTTTTTTCACCACATGCATCGCCCAACGCGTCTACTGTCATGTCTCCCACAATTACCATGACCGAGTCTCGACACTGTTTTGATCGAATGCCTGTCTTTCATTCTCCTTGTCCCATGTCTGCATCAGCTGCGTTGTCGTCCTGCACGTCACTATCTCCTTTTGCATCTACCTGTATGCCGTCACCCAATGTATATGGTGGACATCATAGTTGGTCTGCAAATGCAATCAGCATGTCTGCCACAGAAACATTGTGTATACGGGAATCAGCTTCTTCTGCCAGCACAACTCAATCTGTGAGAAATTTAGTCATTGCTGGACAATCTCAGTCTACCAATGATAATGATCAGCATCGTCCTCATACACTTCCTAACCACTCCAACTTTTTGCAGGGAAAGTCTCTTTATGGTTGCACTCCCGCTCAAACGGATGGACCATCCAAGAGCCGCAGACAGTCGTTGAATCAACCGGCTGCCGCACAGCAGCTTCAATCTGGTTTGGTGAGACATTACAAATTCGCGTGGGCGCATAATCAAGATCTATCAACCTCCCTTGATGCCGCCATACAAGTTATTCAACAAGCTCGCGACAGTGGCCAATCAGTTCTTGTGCATTGTCAGCAGGGCGTATCTCGTTCAGCGGCACTTGTTATTGCATATGTTATGAAATCGCAGCATATGCAGTTTCAAGATGCATATGCACTAGTCAAAGAGTGTGCGCCGCATATATCTCCTAATGTCAATCTGGTTGCTCAACTAGTAGAATTTGAGCAACTATGGAATATCTCATCCAAACTTCATCAACAATTGAACCAGCCGCATAACCATCCTCGTTCATGCGAGCACTATACTGCGTTGAGGTCCCCCTCAAATATATCTGCAGCTTAGTAAATAAACGATTGTTTGATTAAGGAGTGAGGTCTATTACTAGCCTTCTCCTTGTATATGCTTTTAAAAACTAAATATCTCGTTTACAAGTTGGGTTGGCTACTATTTTTGTGAGCTTGATGGTTTTGATTGACAAATGCCAACAAATACGAGTTTAAAACGTCCTAATGTCTAGGTAATGCCAAGCATATTCAACTATCAAATACAGGTCAAGCAGTGTTGACATCAGCCTAGTAGAATGTGTTCAAAAGCCATGGAATCCAATAGCAAGTAGGTTCAGCAACTGCTGGTACAAATGCAATCTACAGATTTCAAACTAGAGCAAGTCCGTCAACTGTCTACACTAGGGTTGCTTGATAAAATCATTTCAATTTACAGCCATATTCATGTGAAATGGAGCACTAAACAAGGGAGCCAGTTTCATGGAATGATTGGTATTAATTTGGTCGACAATATTATGTCCTGAACTGTTTAGTTGACTAGTCTCCTGGTGATTAGTATGTATAGTTGCATTAAGACATGCGATTCTTGTTTTGAACCAGAGTGTGAACAGATAAGTTTGATTGGCAATATCACAACAGTTGAGTCTAATATCCGGATTGTAATCGATGAATCTGGTGATCGTACAACGCATGTCAAACGAGGATGATTTCAGTTTAAATTAGTTTAATTTTGTACATCATATGGTAAACACTGTTTGAAACAAAAACTCGGAATATTAAATCGTAGTAGGAAAGTGCGATGGATATCTAACATTGTTCATTCCTGAGTAACGGCTGCAAGATAAATACAAGTGTTTCATTTTCGTGAATATGGCTGCAAAAACAGCAAGCTCTAGTGCTTCCTCCAATTCGACTCATTGCAGCACTAAACCATTTCAAATAGCAGCCATGTCGGCCAACATTCCATCTAAAGATGATGCCATGATCCTTACATCAGCTGAAACTACAAAACCTTCACCATCAGCTGTCATGAACAACAGCGGCTTAGCATGGCCATCAGTTGGTACTGAAATCCGTCGAACTGAATCCGAATCTGCCCAGCAAAGCCGTCTTGAATCCATGGCTGAATCCGTTCAATCCATTCTCAACTGTGTAGGTGAGGATGCTGACCGTGAGGGCTTAGTAAAGACTCCCATGCGCTATGCCAAAGCTCTGATGTTTTTCACCAAAGGATATGAAGAAAACCTGGCCACCGTTGTTAATGATGCGGTATTTGAAGAGGATCATGATGAAATGGTGATCGTCAAGGATATCGATGTCTTTTCGCTTTGCGAGCATCATATGGTACCTTTTACTGGAAAGGTATGTAGATACATGCATTATAGGCATGGATTGCAACTGAACGAATAGATGATATTTTTTGGGTTGAAGCCGGATTCATTATTTAAAACGGATGGCAAGTCAGATCCCCGGAATAACGGATTAGGATGCATTACACTATAGCTTAACCAACTTTTTAAGCTGAATACATGTCTAAACTATCTCTTACTAACTGCGGATTTTGATGTCTACAACTCGGCATATCTCTTGTCTAAACTCATAGATTCACATTGGATATCTTCCTGATAAAAGAGTCATGGGGCTCAGCAAGTTTGCTAGAATTGCTGAAATGTTTAGCAGACGCTTGCAAGTGCAGGAGCGACTAACCAAACAGGTTGCGGTTGCAATCGACGAGATTCTCAAGCCTCGTGGTGTTGCTGTCATCATGGAAGCAACGTACGTATAATGGTTTACAGCTTATATTTTATAATCTAGCATTGAATCCAACATGATTTTGATGCTGATGGCTATATTCAATTTTGTTTCTACTTGATCTTTTAGACACATGTGCATGGTTATGCGTGGTGTTCAAAAACCTGGATCTACCACCATCACCAGCTGCATGCTTGGCGAATTCCGTAACGACCCAAAAACCAGAGAGGAGTTTCTCAGTTTGACTCAGCGTCGCTAGATGTGATGCTTCAAATAAAGTTAGTAATGAACCAGTTTAAAAAAGATACAGATTGTAGTGTTTGATGCCAATAGAATACAGACAAATGCGTCAATCTAGAAAGTATAAGTTGCAAGTCAAATAGAACCTGAGGATAGCAGATACAATGCATTGTGCACAACTCTTGGAATATCTCACTCTCTTGTCTGAACACCCGCCACTAATATCACCATGCCCAACCAGTCTGGAAATAAAGCAGATAAAATGCCTACCACTACAAAGCGCACTGTTAGCAACACTTCTTTATTATCCCCCTCGTCACTTCGCAAAATCACAGCCACAACCAATGCTACCGGCAACCTCGCAACAGCGCCACAGTCTAGTGGTAAGAACAGCCCTGGCATGACCCCAAGTAAGAGCAGCAGCTCATTGGCCAGCAGTAGTCCATCCACCAGATCTAATGCCATAATATTCTCTGAAAAAAAAAGCTTTTCCCACGTCAAGTCCAAGGTGGGCTCTCTCGAGGTATGTCATAAATGACAATTTTGCATACTTTTTAATCTCGCTTGAAACAGCGTGGGTTCAAAGAACAAATAGTCTAGATATGCAGCTTTTAATAAGTTGGTGATGAAAATGTCATTTTTTAAATCTACTATTACTTTATACTCATGCATCTCAAAGTGTCATTGATCATGCCAAGGTTTATCTCAAAATCCTTACTTATTTCCCCTAAATCTGTTTATTGCCTTTTAAGAACACAACCTATAGTCCATCTGGAGGTGATAAGAAGATCTTTACTCAAAAAGTCACTCCAAATGCACAACCCAAGATTGGATCACTTGATAATATCAACCATAGTCCATCTGGAGGCGACAAGAAGATTTTTACTCAAAAAGTCACTCCAAATGCCCATTCCAAGATCGGATCTCTTGAAAACATCAAGCACGTCCCATCTGGAGGTGATAAGAAGATCTTTACTCAAAAAGTCACTCCAAATGCACAACCCAAGATTGGATCACTTGATAATATCAACCATAGTCCATCTGGAGGCGACAAGAAGATTTTTACTCAAAAAGTCACTCCAAATGCCCATTCCAAGATCGGATCTCTTGAAAACATTAAGCACGTCCCATCTGGAGGTGATAAGAAGATCTTTACTCAAAAAGTCACTCCAAATGCACAACCCAAGATTGGATCACTTGATAATATCAACCATAGTCCATCTGGAGGCGACAAGAAGATTTTTACTCAAAAAGTCACTCCAAATGCTCATTCCAAGATCGGATCTCTTGAAAACATCAAGCACGTCCCATCTGGAGGCGACAAGAAGATTTTTAACCAAAAAGTCACTCCAAATGCCCATTCCAAGATCGGATCTCACTAATTTTTGATATTTATCAGCTAAAAGCATTACCAAAGTCTTTTCTACCTAAGAAATAGTATGATTTTTAATACAAGAGTCTCCTCTTTTGGATCTTGCATTCTCGTATAGCCTTAAAGTTTCTAGTATAAACCGTACGTGTGTACCAGATTCATTGGTCTAGATTTTCAATTTTAAAATTTCCAATAGCATAGCATATATTTTACTGACTGGCCACCTTAACGATTGTTTTCGTCTTTTTGCCCATTGAGCGTATTCACAGTCGTATTCATGTAAAACAAAACACTTTTTTGTATCTTGCGGCCACTATTTTGCTTTGGAATAAATAATGGTTGAATATTCGCTGAATTTTCCTATTAGATATTCTCGATATTTATCCCAGATACATCAGCCAACATATGATGTGCGTACAATCAAACTATAGTTTTGAGCCTGCTTTTTTTCTACTTTAAAAACTCACATATACGCTTGTGCTCTAATCCAAGAGAACAAGCCTATGAATGCAGCTGTCGTTTCGATGCCAATCACAAGGAAAAAGATCAGTCAATCAAACAGTTTAGAGAATACAATGCTGTTCAGTAAATTTAGTGGAAATTATCATTTGATGGGATTGGCGGGTTATTGCACATTTGGTACCCTTATTTAGCATTCGATTTTACATGAATATAACTGTATTCGATATTAGCCGCTTCCACAACGTTCAAATCACATCACAAGGCATGTAATCGCGACTCTTATATTTCATCTCCGCTCACTTGGCTCGAGAGCTCTGCTGATCCACCAAAACACTATCGACTCCAAACCCGCTTGCCTCGAGTCATTATCTCGAGTGTTTTGAATTCACAACTACGCTAGAACTACGCTATAACTATGCTAGAACTGACCCGGCTATAACTGGATTTAGTAGACTCTGATTGCAGCACATCACCTTGCTCACCACTTTTTGAATCTAGCTGTGCACATATCGCCTGACCACATTACTATAGCTGCCTGTCAAGTTGAACCCGTACCCCGCATCCAATAACTGCTTTGCATATTTGCTTTGTCTTTTTACGTGAGTCTTGTTTTCAATTGCTCATTCCGATGTTTGCCCCTGCAGTCAGCGAATCACGTGTACACATATACGTGATTGGTTTGATGGCTGAAAACAGCAGATCTGTTTGGGCATATTTGGCCATAAACATTGGTCTTACTGCAGTCTCGGCCAAAAGCAGCCATTTTCTAACTTGAAATTGGAATACCCAGCGTTTCGGGGTTGAATCTACAGCCAAATAATACCACATTCACCGCTCACCGAAAACTCCTTTTTCAACTTCAACTTGGACATTGCCAGCTCCCATCATTGACATTATCACCGCTTGAAACCACGCAGTTTGATCCCGCTTAACGCCGCGCCAGCACTCCTTTATCTACTATTACCATTATTGTTTCAATGACTGCTCCTGCCACTCCGACTGCAAGCGTTGCTACCATATCCACATCTGCACCATCATTGCACCCACCAAATTGCTCCCCTCCACAAAATCCACCTATATCTACGCCTCTGTCAACTGGCACTGAGACTATTCGAGCAGTTTCCGCCCCAACTCCGCTGCAAGCGCCGTTATTCAAGCTGTCAAAACGCAACCAGGTTAAGAAAGCCTGTGGTAAGTATATGCTTAATGATGTATACGAACACTTTATATATCTTAAACTGTCGGCAACATTGACATGGCGCCATGCATGCTGTTGGGTTTATGATTCTATCGACCATCTATGCGGAACCTATTCTACATTTTACTCATGCAGCATGAATCCCGCTCCCTAATGCGAACGCATGCTTTTCCATTTTTCACTCCCCATTAGCACCCTATCCAAACAGATTTGCATCTAGACCCCAGCGGCCGTTGGTGGGTAATGATTATTGAGGTTGCAATCTGCAACTAATGTGATAATGCATATCTATTTACAGCCCTCGATATATGCCATGCATCCACCATATCTGTGCAACAAACTGTTTGGATGCCGATGTATTATAATTATCGATTGTCCAACTATATACCCAAGATCATGCCCTATCCAATTTACCGCCTGCTACTCACTGCTAATGTCTATATTAACGCATCATGAAATAGAAAGCAATGCAATGTGATGAGATTCCCCCAATCCTCTATTTGTTTATGCCATAGGCTTGATGGATAGTGTATTGTGAAATGCACTTGTTGAAACTGCGTGCTGGTGAACAAGAGTTGAAGGCAATCGTGTCATTGATCAACCCTGTCTACCCGTGAATGTTTGCATTGGCGGTTGTGTATTCTGATTTACTCCGTTTCTCCATCATTGCTAATCTATAGACTTGAAACTGATTTTACCTCTGCTTTGCCATCCCATCACACTGGATGTTACTATAGACATTTGTTGACACCAGATGCTAACCCGGTCTATATCTGAATGCTGTTGCTATTTTATATTTGATAGTAAATTGCCAAAAGGCTTGTAAGAAATGCGATGATTGCCGACCTTGCTATAGATGCCACAGATTGGGCATCCAGGCAACATGTGTTGATTCTGCCCGTAAAGAACGTACAAAAAGTGCAGGTAAGGGTTTTGGTCATTAAATCAGAGTGCATTCATTTGTCGTGTTTGATGCATATTGAGAGCGAAGGAGTTAATTGGTCAACTCGATAAGCCATAACGCCGACTTGAAATTCCATACTTTTACAATTGCTTATACGGATACTAATCTAAGCTTGCAATATCACTAAACATATTTCATGTTATTCATATAACATTATTGTCAAGCAGGTCGGCCTAAACGTGGTCCTTGGACATATATCTCACCTGCAACAGGAGATCGCACTCCAAACGCTGATTCACAACTCACTGATACAACCAATGGAGTAACTGCCGAGGTTGATTGCAGTGCTGGTGCTAGATCTGCTTCTTCTCCAGTAAAGCCATCTACTTTTAGTAGCCATGCAATAGATACAAATATGGATATCAGCTATCAAAAACCGCAACAAATCGGTCAACAGCTGTCACCACCCTTTCATCGGGCTCGCACTTTTCAGCAAGAGTCGAGTCCTTTTTCTCAACTACATGCCAACAATGGCTTTGATCAACGATATCCGACTCGTTGTACGCAAGAGCCAGATGAGATGCGACAGTCGCATCATCAAGCGGCTCATTTATCCCCGCAATCTTTATTTCCGCTACCACAGTCAATTGACAGAGAATCTTCTCTTGGTAGTCTGCATAGACATGTGGATCACAATCAGACTGCACATCATTTACCATTTTTGCAGCCCCAAGCTTACGGCCAAAGATCATTTCCAAGCGCATTTAATCATGTTTCCTCTGGCCATTACCTTGTTGCACATCAAGAGTTTGGTCGGTTTCGCACAACAAGCGTCGTAAGTACGCTCAGCAGTATTGGAGACACTGATGATCGCAATGCTAGTTTTAAGCAAGAAGCGGATGATGTAGATTGGTACAATGATGCCCAACGAGGCGACAAACAGCACACTACCTTAAAAAGTACAACTTTTGATAGAGTAGACAACACAGAGAACGAGTCTAGTCTGAGCAGTGACCTCATGGGCAGTATCGGCAGTGTGAGTGGCGAATCTCGCTCATATGAGACAGAGTCCAATGGGTTTACTCTGTCTAAACTAGATGTGCTTTCTCGACTATGTGACGTTGTTCTTACAGACTCGCGATCGGCCGACTTGCCATTGCTGGTACCACTCATACCCCATTCATCGCAAGGATCCCATACTGCTCATCAATCCGAATCCAAGTCTTGTGTTTTAAATACTTGCAGTTCTCTGTCTACTTTTCCTTCTTATACAGAGCCTGCTCACCCTTCTTGGATACCTAGCGTTCAATCATCGGCCGGTCTTTATACTCCTCAAAGACCGCTATCCACTGTACACTCGATCAGCACATCCAAATTTTTGGACTATCTTGTGCCGCCGTGTTCTACCACTCCTCCTGCAACCCCTATTACAACAGATACATCAAATGGAACGTTTCCATCCATGCTGTCTGCTAATAGTGTCGACTCTAATGATATCACGTACTCGCAACCAAGTTTGACTTGGGACAATAAACCTTTTGGTCGCCAATATTCCAATGCCACACGAACAACCGTGTAGCATGTTAGTACGACTCAGTATGTAAATCATACAAACAACTCCAAGTAATTCTCTCCAACCTTCCTTACCCGCTATCCTACTTTTACATCTTTCCTGAAGGATCTCGACTCGGCACGCAGTTTCTATGATTTTTAATCGCTTGATGTGGGCAGGTCCCTATGTTAGTGATTGGTTTTTCTTTTATTCGCCGGTATTATGTGGAGGCTCGTTATTGTGGCTAGGCATTGTTTGGATGCCAATGTACCAAATCCTGAATATAACTTTGATAAAAAGTTGATGTTTTTGTTCAAGTATTTGTATCAAATACCAGCACCTCAAATTTCTATATTAAACTGCACATTCAATTGTTATTTGGGTACGTTGAGTTTATCATTGACTAGAGTACATTTTCAAGTATTTTGAAATTTGAGCATAGATTTACTTTTTACTACCATTATTTTGACAATTGACATTCAAAATATACTGCAGCAGTGTTCACTGAAATGGAGCACTTGTATCTATCTTGCAGTAATTTCTTTGGAATAAACAACAATTGAATATTCATTGCGCTTTCCCACAAATTTGCTTGTTCAATATAAATCCAAAACTATAGCTTTGAACTGAAATCATTGCTTTTTTTGGCAAACTCTGCATTACTGCTATACGCTAAAATTTCAGATGTGTTCTAGTTGAAGAAAGCAATCTTGGGAATACAGCTGTTGTTTTCATGCCAGTTTCTAAAAGACCAGTCAACTAAAGAGTCAAACACTATTGACTAGTAAATCTAATGAAAATAACTTGATAGGGCTGACTGTTTATTAATACTTTTATTTAGCGCTTCATTTTACGTGAATATAGCTGTAATAAAAAGGTATCCAGTATACGAATTGACTGTTGACAAAAAATGAGTTGCGATGCCATTGATCATTATAGAGTTGGTCTTAGTTTGTTGGCGATGGAAACTAGTCCATCTTGGGCTTCACTGCCCATCTCTGCAACCATGCGAGCAAACCACGCACCCGGTTCAGATACATCCTTGTCCAGTAATGCATATGGTGTACCATACTCGACTACTTTTCCCTCATCCAACACTAAAATTTTGTCATAATCAATCACAGTATTCAACCGATGTGCAATCGTCAGTACAGTGGCATTAGAAAACAGTCCTCCCTCAGATCGAATGGTGCGCTGGATGAGTTGATCAGTACGCATATCCACCGCCGATGTGGCTTCATCCATGACGATAAGTCTAGTGTCACGTAAAATAGCTCGAGCAAGACAAATAAGCTGGCGTTCACCTACAGACCAGTTACTACCATTTTCAGACACTGGTGCATCAAGCTTTTCACCAATCGATACCACCACAGGTTTGAGTTCAACTGCGTCTAGTACACTCCACAAATGGTCATCCGTATATCGACCAAACGGATCTAGATTGAATCGCAATGTGCCTTTGAAACAAAACGGTTCTTGTGGAATAATTGAAATTCGAGAGCGTAGATCCATAAGTCCCAACTCGGACGTTTTGATACCGTCAATCACGATTGCTCCTGCTGGAGAAGGTTCAACAATGCGAAACAGGGCTTGCAAAAAAGATGACTTGCCTGCACCGGTACGGCCAACAATTCCAACCTTGACACCTGGTTCAAAATGAATGCTAATATCACTAAGCACACGAGTAGGTGGTTCATTCGAAGCATCCATGGCTGGGTATGTCATACTCATATTACTGATCTTGATATCTCCATGCTCGGGCCAGTGTTCACTTGGAACAACACTGGTTTTTTCTGGAGCTTCAGGTGGTAACGCAGCATATTCAAACACTCGCTCAGGAGAAACCATCAAATTCTCAACTTCTGCTGATTGACGTACAGCCCATTGTAGCAAACCAGTTAGCTGGAGAATATTAGTTAACATGAGACCCACAAGACCCGATCGCAATCCAAGTGGTCCTCGTAAAAGCACAGCAGCAAATGCAACAATAGTTAGAAAGACTAATGCCAGCATATCCAAGCGAAATCCTAGCCAACGACTTGATGAGAGAAAAGCAAAAAATATGCGAGTGTTTTCGTTTTGAATAGCAAAAAACTGATTTTGTGTGCGAGTTTGAGCACCAAATGCACGGATTGTTGAAAGACCTTCTAATGTAGAAGGGATATTGGAATACACGGGAGATCGTGTAAGCGCCTCGATGCGCTTAATTTGGCGCGAAGTAGCCAAAAAATACTTGCGAAGAAAAATAAAAATGACGGCAAGAAATGGCATCAAAATAAGAGTGTATGGAATAATGATGATTGAAAGTACAAGAGCTCCAATAATGGAGAAAAAACACTGCAGAAAATCAAAAAAGGTCCATGGAAGCATTTCATCCATCAATGCAATATCCTTGGAAAATCGATTCATCAAACGGCCATGAGGATTCGATTGGAAAAACTGCATTGGACTACGGAAAACTGCGTGAAGCATATCTGTAAAAGAAACCTTTCCAGCTTTAAGGCAGATAAGGAAAAACCACACGGCTCTACCAAGTGCTATGAAAAGAGAAAATACAGCCAAAAAAGCAAAAATAATTGGAAACACCTGCTCTCTCTGCTCTGTTTCCGAATGTGAAGACCAGTTGGAAAGCCACCAATCAGCCAATTGAATCGTAACTTGACCAAGAACCATAGCAATAATCATTAAAACCATAGTAAACATGTTGGATCCAGATTTAAAATACTTGAAATAAACCTCACTAGAAACAGTTCCCTTTGCCACTTCCTCCTTGGCAAGCTCCTGAGTAACAGGTGAATCTTCAAGCAGGGCATCATGAAGAGCCTTGTTTTTTCGAAGTCGGATTGATTCATTTTGAGAGGCATCCTGAATTAAACTAGATGTGTCTTCAACATCATCAGGAGCTTCGCTAAAATTATCAGATGCCGCATGTTCACGCATCGTCATTGCAAAATTGGTATTGGTAGCCACGACATCGTTATATGATCCAGTACGTACCACTTTACCGTCTTCCAGCAATACAACAGTGTCGCATACTTGAATATGTTGAAGCTGGTGCGTCACTAGTAGCACTGCCTTGTCCTTCATAAGTCCACGCAGTGCTTCATCAAACAAATGGCGTCCAACTGCAGTGTCTACGGCTGATAATGGATCATCCAAAATATATATATCTGCATCATAGTACAATGTCCTTGCAAGTGAGAGTCGAGCTCGTTGTCCACCACTAAGCGTGACACCTCGCTCGCCAATCACCGTTTGTTCGCGATCAGGAAGTCGATCAAGATCGCGTGCTAATGCTGATGCTTGCAGGACTTTGGCAAAATGAACGGCGTTATATGGCTGACCAAACAGAATATTATCCTTGATGGTTCCTGTTACGATCCATGGTGTCTGAGTTGCATAGCCAATTTTACGAGATCGTAGTCCAACCTTTCCACCAGTGCAATTCATCTCTCCAAGAATGGCATTGATTAGGGACGACTTTCCTGATCCGACTGGACCACAAACTCCAACCAACTCCCCTTTACGAACACGGAGTGTTATATCCGACAGAATCTCGCGATTAGGTTTGGATGACACATTAGAGTCCAACCCATTTGCATCACCCCAGTTGAACGAAGCATTTTGGATTGCAATCATAATCCTTGGGTCATTTAGCGATTCTAAAAACGCTTCAGTCTCGGTACTGTCACTGTCTTGATTAATCTCTGAAAGCGATAGAAAATCCTTAATCCGTTTGAGTGAAATGAGCGATTCTGATGTAAACTGAATAGCTTTTGGGAAAAAATTGGTCATGGTCAGTCGTACAGACTGCAGATACGTAATCACTGTGAAAACTCGCGATGATGTAAATACACCATTGATCAGGAAAAATGTTATAAAGGCAAACAGTTCCAATATGGTGATTGAAACAAAAAAGATTCCTTCGTTGAGTGACTTGAGTATAGATGCCTTTCTGATCTGCTTAAGCTCAGCATCACGAATGCTATTGATTTTTGCAACAAAAGGGGTTTCCCACGCATACAGTTTGACAATCATGATACCAGACAGCATATCCGAAATATTTTTAATACGTTCATCACGAAGTTCAACTGTGATACGACGCAACTTTGCAAACTGTCGTGCAAACTGGCTTTGCAATGGAATCATTAGCAGTAAGGCACCAATGGCAGCAATGGCAGCCAGTCCAATTTCAAGGTATACGACATAAAACACAACCATTGTTTGAATGGGCCCAACCCATACAAAGTGAGCGAATACGGATGCATCTTCAAATCGCTGCACATCATTGGATACCAAGTTGATAATCAGTCCAGTAGACGATGTGTTACTGATGGATAGGGCAAGGCATTTGCGATAAATTGCTGCAATCAGTGAAACTCGTACTTGCATACCAGTTCGCATTGCATAAAAAAAATCAACGTGATGCAAAACACCTTGGCCAAACACGCATATTGCCAAGCCCATGGCGAATAGACAGCCCTAGTGTATATACCAACCATTTTAGTTTTAATTACGCACAAATTGGTCAAACATGCATCAACTCACAAACCTGCTTAGTATCCGAGGTTGGATCTTGAAACCATTGAAGCAAATGACCAAGAACAACGCCCTGAGCAATTTGAATCATTGATTCAATTAAATATGTCATGCCAGCAATGCTAAATGGCAGCCAAAACACTTTCCAGAGTGCTTTTCCAAGACTGGCATTTTTACCATGAAGGCGTTGTTGTTCAGCCCATGCTTCTAGTACAGCACTCGACAATCGCTGCGATTCATCATCATCCTCAACGCAAGGAAAATCACTTGGTTCTATTGTTCGTTTCGCACCTCGTCTGATAAGTTCATCCATATAGGTATATGTCCATTTTGAAAGGAAGTTGACGTCTTGGCGAGCATGCGATGGCTTAATCGAATTAGCCTGGGCAGCTATATTTTTTGATTTAGGCGGTAATGCATCACCGGTAGTAGTTATAGTTGTAGATACAGCGTTCTTGCCATCGCTGTCTTGAGAAATAATCAACACATTGACGTCTTGTTCTGGCATGAATTTAAAGTATATGCAGTGACTGGTTTAAACGTAATCCCACTTGAATAGGTGTATTTTAAAGCAATGTAGACCTTATACAATGTGAAAGCAGTCTAATAAAATACTGCAGCACGCCCTATATACAAATATTTGTATTTTTGAGAAGGACGGATAGATACGGGTATGAAGCTCGTGTAATACTAGCCTTATACTTCCGATAAAAAGCATCCAGAGCTGAAGCCGATTGCGGAAAAATCAAACAGGCTAATCCCGAATTTCAGCGAGTTTGATTGGCTTGATCATGCATTTAAAAGGAGCTGACAAAGGTTTAAAATGATACCTATCTTGAAACAATGGTTATATGGTTTTGAAAAGTTGCATGTCAACTCTTGCTTCCAATGCTTGGTTGCAAACGTTTGGCTTATATTTTGGTTCGGGTTGTTTCATCAAATGCATTATTCCCATATGCTTAGTGTACCAATCATCCAACTCATCCTGGTCAGTAGATCCACTGACTACTACCAAACCTGGATCACAGCCATATCCGTGTAACATTTGTATTTATCTCTCATCATTGCTTCCACTCTGCTTCAAAATAGATCATGGCTAAATATTCGCTGCGCTTTCTACTACATATTGACTGCTTTTTCAATCCATTCCGAGTTCTTCATTGTCTGGAATCCACGTCATAAAAATCCATTTCTATTAAAGCAATTGACAGCAGGATTTAAATATACGATATGCGGCTGTGTACTGCAGCTCTAGAACTTGTGGCATTGCTCAACGATTGGCAGACTGTTTAATCTGTGAATTCGTAGCTTTGTCAAAAAGTTCAAAACAATCTTCAATAGATCTGGTGTAAATTATCATTTCATGACCGACTATTTACTTTGATTCTTGCTTAGTGTCCGTTTTACATGAATACAGTAGTAATCAGTCAAGCTTTCAAAGTTGCTTTGGATACATCAATTATTAGACTCGAGAATTTTCAACGAGTGAGAACCACTCACGATTGAAGCTAATACAGACCATGTGATTGTATTCTCATTATAATTAAGCTTTCTGCCATTCAACCAGATGTATAAATATATATTCTAAACAATGATGATACTCTAAATACGATTGTTTTAAAACAGGGGTTGACACACTACCAAAGATCTGAATGATGATGTGCTTTTTGATTATTTATCTATTACATTTAGCCATCAATGTAGGCGTTGAATTGCTTTGAATAGTTTAACCAATAGAGTATTACACCATCTTGTTGTATTCAAATGAATGTAACCTTTAAACTTATGCAACGATGATACTTTGAGATGTAGGCACAATCGCCATCAGATCCAACCTCTATTCCTGGAGCACCACCAGATATGTGCAGCTGCTATTGCTGTCCATCTCGGTCAAATCCATATGGATCGCAGGATAATTGCAAAGATGATAGTCCAGAATATGTCGGAGGATTTGCGATTGGAAACCCTGCATCTTGCTCTTCAGCTGCATGCAATGTTAATTTTCCTGTATCATGTCCAGTTCCACCTGTTCGTCCACCCAAGGGACTGACTGGTGGCGGAGCCATGCGATGGGGATGTAAAAGTGGATGCCGATTTGGTCCCGATGGCAAGACATTAGTAAACGAAAGTGCTCGAGCACCTGGAATTGATGGACTAGATAATGCCATGTATTCGAATGCAATCGCATTGATATCCCCTGAATATCTTGCATGGAGCTTTTCAGTTGTGCTTGTTTCATTAATTATGCTAATCAGATTGGACGACTAGCTTGAATTGGATTTGTTTGATTATGATATACGACTGTATCCACGTAAAATGGAACACTAAATATAAATGTCAAAATACATAATAAACATCCAGTACCATACAATCATTGGTGTCAAACTCACTGGATAGTATTGCTTTCTAAACCTTTTAGTCTACTGTTCTTTCTCTTGACGATTGGCATGGAAACAGCTGTTGCATTGCTGAGAATGTCATCTTGATTCTATTGAACTAGGATGCGAATGTATCTGATATTAAAACACAATATGGATTGTATTGACCGCATCAAAACAATCCAACTCAATATCTAGATTACAATACATGAACCTGGTTTCAATCTTGTCGATTGTACAATATATGGCTATACAAAAAGTGATCATCTCCATTCAACCACCACCAATCTGACTATGTTGTATGATGAACGTTGTGTTTATTGAAAAATTCAAATGGTCTATTGAAGTAGCAGTCAATGTCTAGTATGAAAGCGCAACGAATATTTAGCCATTGTATATTCTGAAGCAGAATGGACACGGACTGCAGGATAAATTACAAGTTTCCAGTTTACGTGAATACCGCCGTAAGTTGAATAATGAAAATGAAGGTTGACGGAATGGAAACACCGAGCTAATGAAATGGGTAATAGAATCTGAAAGTGGTACTAAGTAATTAGACTACCGACAGACAACAAGTTCTTTGGTGAATGCACAGGGGATATGTCACTGTCATAGAAGGAAGTCCGACGAGAATGTGTTGGGTATTGCTGTTGATTTATAGTGGGTTCTTGATGCTGTTGAGCATGGTTAGTGTGCTGGTGTGGATTCTGATAGTTTGACCTGTATTCCCACGATCCATCTGTGGTGACAAGTGCAGTGTTGGCAGAATACACATTGGCAACATTTGGCTTTAGAGTGGGTGCCAACAAACGACCATGAGTGTTGTTGGGTGTGTGCATTGGACCTTTAAGATTCAGCTGTTCCGACTTTACCCTTGTATGTGATGCATGTGAATGCTGAGCCTGTTGTGCAATGCTAGATTCGGGTGAGGACGTGCAGTGTGAATGCCGTGGTCGTTGATAGGGATGATGAAGGTGCGGATGCGGATGATCGTTGGCACTGGTTGGACTATATGCATAATCAACAGCCGAAGCCGCATCAGTCTGAGGGTATCTATCCACTAACTGAGTCTCACTAAACGGCGGCGATCTTTCTTCAGACACATTACTAGTGCCTTCATATTGACTCAATCTTGATTCCAAATCTCCAATGAGCATCTCAAGACTCTTGATATAAGTAACTGCACTTTCCAACAACACAATCTTTTGGGTGGAAGCCATACTGGCACAAGATGGAATAACCGCCTTGAGTTCATCCAACTTGACTTTGATTCTCTCTCGACGCTCTCGTTCTACTGCACAATGCACCACTCGCCGCAATGCTTCCTTGTCATCTACTGTACTACTTGTTTTTGCTGCTGCAATGGCTGCTGTCGAAACAGAGTTTAGATGTGACGAGGATCGCGCTTTAGCCCTGAGAGCTGCCAAAGAACGAGGACGGAGTGGTGATGTCAATAGAGTCGATTGCTGTTGGTATTGATTGTGAGGTGGCATCTGTGACCTATGTTGGGTTGGTTGGTGAAAGGTTGGTCTAGATGAATGCATTGGCTGTGAAGTGGACAAAATGGAAGATCCCTGTGAATGCAAGGTGGATGTTGCTTGCATAGGATGGTGTGAGGTCATGTTAACACTAGATCGCTGTGACTGGTTTTGTGGCAAGAAAAAGGTCTGTTGTGCTGACCCTCCTTCAAGTAAAGCAGCGTCGTTGTAGCTTGTTGGGTCAACTCGGGTGTTGCTGAGTATTCGCCCTTGTGGCTGTTCATCACTAGAGCGACTGTATAGTGCAGGAGCTGCCATTGCATGCGATTGGATTTGCTGAGTTTGAGAAAAGTGAGCTGGGCGGTGCTGCTGATTGTTGCGTTGCCTTGCAATCGTTCCTGGATTAGCTTCGTTAGATACTGACCAGGATGAAGCCATGTCAGATAAAGTCGAGTATGGAGGTGAGGGAAGCTTGTTGATTACAGATTCGGTATTATGACTGAATGGCTTGTTGGCTGTTGTGAATTGCGATGGGTTCCAGAATTGGTCCATGTAGTCTGGCAGTTGTATCGGCTTGATTTAGGGTGTAGCGAGTCAGATAGTAAGACGAATGCCTGTCGATACTTTGATCAGCAAGAGCAGTATGGATTGTGCAATATCAATTTTTTGGTGAAAATCAGGTTTCTTGAAAACGAACAGGTTTAAGCGAATATCTTGAATCTAAGCGATTATATAGCTGGACAACACAGATATCGGGACAAAGTAGAGATGGTAATGTTCCGATAGTAGTAGGGCTCGAAAACAGTCAGGGCTAGCTGCAGAAAAATAGTTAATACACAATGCAATAAAGACCGTTTTAAAATCTGCACGTTTCGACAGCAGGGGTGGTTTATAAAGAGCAGCAGTCGAGGGTCTAGGAGTAGCGAGAAACGTGCTCGGTAGGGATATCCGTAAAGTGCACATGGAACTTGAAGAAATCGCGTGTACATGTTATAGCCGATTATAATCCTAACAACACAAATACAAGGTAACACAGCATATGGATTGATGAGGGAGGCTTTAGACGCAAGACTCGAGGCATCTGTTTGACAGATTCACCATCCAACGCATTGCTAAAATGCTAGTATTGGATGAAACAGTGTTTCACTGCAAACTACCCAATTGCTCACGCCATGATACTATTTGGCGTTTCAATGTGGAATGGAATCATTACTGATTTTGAATTCAAGCAAAATTGCTTTGGAGTAAACAATCTGCCTGTTAAATTTTTGCAAACCAATCAATCCATGGCTGACTGTTCTAGTAAATAACCAAGACCTGGCCAGCAATGCTTTGTCAATGAGGACCGGCATCACACACTGACCCTTTTCAATATCATGCAGTACTTACACATGTTACGTGCTCATTTACTCAAGTAATGCCATTTCAGCCAACGGATACACACTGCAGGGGTCTATCCAAACCTCTTGAATTCATCTTGACGTGAATCAGCCAGCCCACATCATTGATTATTACCCTTAATTTAGCCATTCAATGCAGCACATGTTATCCACCTGATTCTTCACCAACACATTTGTACAATTGTCAGTGAGCTGTTCACGTGCATGTCGACTGGATTGACTGTCCAACCATAAACAGTATATTTACTTGTGATGTCATGCGGCTAAACTTCCCGAACCAGTGCATTAGGCGGCTGGCTTGATCATTTTAACGGATTTTATATAAATCCCATTCAATTGATTCAACGAGATCATATAAACAATAGGTTCAAGTGGATGCAACCAATTGTATATACTCAGTGTATTGAATATTGCCATGCTATTCGATTGATACGCTCAAACAATATTGTTTATTTCAACGTGATGGTAGTAATGGTGGAGCAGTAGTATTGATAGTATTGGATGTATTGATAGTATTCTAACAAATTGATTGCAGACCTAGTGAGGCCAACACAGATAGTCCAGCCACAAGGCTTGCAGTAGTTGGAGACTGACCAAGTATACCAGCAGACTTGGAATTGGGGCCAGTATTTCGGTTGGTAGGAAGTGCAATCTGTGATCCAGTCTTGCGACCAGTGTTTGGACCCACTGCAGGAATAGGAACAGATACTACTGAGGTGTAGGGATTGGTGCCAAGACAGGTAGAAGCAGGCTGGATTTGGAATTTAGCATCGTATAGTTTCAAACCTCGCACTGTTTGTTGAATGGTTGGTAAACCATGTCTAATTAGTGGTTGTTTTGTGGAATGGAATGTTGTCTAGAATAAAGTGACCATTTGGGAATGTTGCATGTCTTAATATTACAACGTTCACTGCTCTCTTGATTAGTCTTTAAAGTAAGAAATCTAGCAGTGAACCAGATCATACAATTTTCAACTTTCACTTTCATATAAATCTGATAAATAGCAGGCATGATATTACAAATTCATTGGTCTCTACTCATTTTTGTATAAAACACCAAACGAATATTCACACAATAGTTCCAATAAATCTCACATTGTTGATGCTTGTTTAATCTCCGACTTTTGTTTTGCTCAAACATTGGATGATTGGAATGGAAACAGCAGTCAAATTCTTAAGCGTACAATTGTTGTTGTTTTAAACTAGAATGCAAATGTATCTGTAATATTTGGAATATAATATAGTTTAAAAGCATTAGAACAGTCCAACACTATTTGAATTGTAATATATCAATTTGGGTTTAAATTTGATGATCGAATTCCATTGTTTAAATAGGAATTCCATTAAATTCTATCAAAATGCACAAGACTCTTGATGCAACTTTAACCAAAGCAAGCGATTGCTACAAAGTTTAAAAGACTGGCGATACATTAGTTCATGGTTTTGAATGGACCAAAACAACATGTGACACGTGATCTAAGTTCACTTTATTTTGCTCGTTACGGACGAGTTGCTGATCTCATTCACTGCCAACACCAATCTCTCTTGCAAGTACGGTAGACCTCTTGACTGTTCTATTCGGATTCATTCTATCGTATATATTGCATACTCTTTGTTTGGAAATGGCAGATTGCAAAGATATTTCCACTAGTCCACCATTCGTTGAATCTGGTGCTCTCACCACTGTCGAGCCTACAAATACTATCCATAGTACTACTGCATCGACTTCCTCCAACATTGCTGCAGAAGTAGCAGACACTCTCAACCCAAGAAAAAGACCTTTATCTCCTGCGCTAGATTTAATTTCTTCTGTTGAAAATGTCAATCCATTAATGACCACAACACCTAGCCAACCTCACGCACCTAAAGCTGCTCCAGATGCTCGTCATTCTGACTCGCCCCAACAGCAACAAAACGACGTATCTCACATTGCTTCTACAAATAAGCCTTCTGTTTCACCATCCGATTCAAATGCAGCTCACGATGTTCCAGATGCAAAACGACCACGATTAAATTACCAGCAATCTGACACTCCTCAAAGTAAGCTCTTTCAGACTATCATGTTTGCTGATATTATTTTGGTTTATATTATTTACTTTTTATCCCATTACAATCCACTATGCCAAATTCTGATTCTAACGTCAATGAAATACTTGAACAAACATCATATTACTCAGTTGGTGAAAACACTACAGGAGTTACACCACAGATATCAGCCACTAATGCACATACAGATCCAAAAATTACAGAGCAGAAATCTTTAAATGCTCCATCCACAGCAGATCAACCAGAAACCCCAAATCAGCCAGACAAACCAGATCACCCAGAGCAATCGGACAAACCAACCAACACCACTTCAATCATAGACAACTCTAAGCTTTCTTCTGCAGAAAATCAATTGGTAGACTCTCAGACTGGTTCGGAAGATGTAAAAAAGAAGCTAACTTATGTGGATGTCACTTTGGACAAGATGCAATTTCTCCAAGGTCAGCGCGCTGTTGTTAATCAGCTGATTGAGGAGGCCAAAAAGAATAAAATGCCTGGTGAGATGATTGTTGTGAATGACTCTAGACTTACAACAGTTCCTAAAGGATTCGAGTCTGTGTTTCTTGGTATGTACAACTTGAAATTGATCATGTTTTTGCTAGTGTACGACACTGTCGAATCGATATACTAAATAAACTAATGTTCACCTTTAACTATATTTAGGTCACGTTGTTTATACTGGAGCGCGAAGTCGCAACCCTCATTCAAACAGGGCTGCAGATTTGCAATTATTTTTACTTCCACAATTTACTTACAAACACCACTATGCTACGATCCAGGTTCGCATTCCGTCAGAGTTCTTGACATATCGTGGCAATATTGCTGTTCGCAAATCAGCCTTGTGGGGAACTGACATTTACACGGATGATTCAGACGTGGTTGCCATGATCATTCACTCGGGTCATTACTGTCCAGTAGATGCTCCAGATCCAAAACCCGAAACAGCATTACAAACAGCCGCCTCTAAAGCCAGCCGTGTTGGTACTAATGGCACTGCTGCAAAAACATCGACTGTATCTACTCTTAAACAATCACATGGAGTCAATAGTCCTATATCGGTTCATGTTGATCCACTTATTGCCACTCCTGACGTAACCCAGTCATCTACCAATGCCTTGTTTCCTGACCATGACTTGCATGTTACTCTACGTGTTTTGCCTAAACTGGTCAAGTATTCTGGATGTACGCGTTATGACCTAGATTCCCGTGGGTGGGGTGCATCCCACGATGGCGAGAGTGTAATGGTGGAAAGGGTTGAGCGTGTAGAACGTGGATCAGTTGGACGTAAAGGACGCAAAATGTTTTCAAAGAAATGGGGCGAGCTGGCAAAGGCCGTGACCAAGGAAGAGGAAGCTGTGTTTTTTGATGGCGGGACGATTGAGCGACATATGGACACAGAGTTTGACGAGGATTTTGGAGATTTGACTGTTGTGTTTTCTGAACACAATGGCAAAGCATGGTACATTGACATTTTTTGCTTATTGTATCGATGCTTTATACATCATGTTTTGGATCTAAAAGTTGATGCGTTTATGCACTAACCGTATCTCATACTTATGGCATTGATTTTGTTTGATTTCTTTTAGTATCAAGTACACGCCAAAAATGATGATGGAGTGGCCATCCCACATGCTGAATATGCTTTCGGAAATTAAACCTCAACTCAGACGCAAATCTATTGCAACAACTGCTGTATCTGCTGTCGGATCTGGTCTTGCTACTGGGGTTTCTGGAATTGTAAAGTTTAGTCGAAGTGAATTGAAAGATATGGAAGCCTGGCCATACTGGCGAGTCAAACTGTGCAAATTCACGTGTGTGTTAGAAACAATAGATGGACTTAGGTCAGTCTAATGCACATTGAGAGTTTGCTATACATCTAGTATTAGTTTTGTATGATTTATGTTTTGCTAACCAATTGTATGTGCTGATACAGACATGAGTTGAAACAAGAGGGCTTGTCAAGCCAGACATACCGATTGGAGCAGCTGACCAATGTATATGGTGCATCAGCTTGTCGACGTGGTAGCTATGATTCTGAAATAACCACTAAGCCAGATCAAACCCAGCCCGTTCATCTCCACTCCAAGTCAGCACCCAACAGTACTACTGTATCTACACTTCCATCTATTTCAGCGTTGCCAGGTGGAGAAGATGCTGTCAAAGGGATTGTTGTCGCTGAGAAAATTGCTCCAAATGCACTGGCGTGGACAGAAGCGGGACTGTGTATTCATGCTCAAAATACCAAACCATTGATGGTATTCCCTGTTCATAAAGTATATTGGCGTAAACCCGCATAAGTGGAAATGAAGTTATATTTTTGAGATCTTATGGATGTAGTCAGTTTTGTTTAAAGTGGAATTTTGGCGATTGATTAAAGTTGCGAGCATTTGTTCAACTTTATTATTGCAGCTTTCCGTTTATAATGACAATACAAATCTAAAATAAAAGGCATTACACCAAGCCAGTAAATCGACTCTATTTGCAAACTCTTTCAAATCTAATCGTATCCTTATAAGACTCTTTATATTTACAGCCGTATTCACATAAGATTGAGATGAACTCTTCCTGTGCCTAGAATTGCACGTCATACCAATCCATTTACGTGAATACAATGTAAATCGAAACCAAACCATTAGAGTGGAATGATGACTCGAAGAGTAAGATTTGGTTTGACCGAGTAGTTTCAGCAGTAATATGGATTGCTTGTCTGGTTATATTGTATTGCTCAAGATACAATCTAATCAGACGATAGCATTCATAGTACTTGCAATCCTGAGGACGTCAAGGTTTCATCATATTCAGATCTTGCTTCTGTTGAATCTGCATATTCTATTGACTGCATTCATGACACCTGGACCCTCCACCAATGGCTCTGTTGCTGCAAGACCGATTGGCAACATTCCATTCTCTCCAGACCGGTTGAATAACTCGAACAAACCTGCTGCACCGTCTGATCCTATTGCAACGACTGGTGGTCAGTGGAAGCAATTGTCCTTTTTTGACAAGGATGAGATTCTCCAGTCATCCAGCATCACTGCCCAAGTAGCTACTGCTCTCGAGACCTGGTTGCAAGTAAGCAAACTGTATCTGCAATGAGCTCACTCGCTTGGCAGTGTGAATTTCTACAAGATTGAAGCTAACTTGTCGAATCTAAACTTTAGACTGTTCAAATTACCAGTAGTGCGAGTGGTCGAGGGTTTCTTGTTTTTGGAGATATCCTTTTTATTGCATTTGTTTCCATCTAGTTATTCAATTGAGATGTATTCTGCTCCTTGACCCGATCTGCTTTTGTTTCATGTATTTACATAGTCAAGGATTTATCCACATTTTAAATCAATCTTTGGCCATCGTTTCTTCCTTCAAGGCATATAACAATAGAGTGACCTATATCAAACAGATGCGTCGCAAGGCTATTTTATTCACGATTGGAGTACGTTTGTTTAATTTTTACAAACAGATTGGCAATATTGTGACATTGCAATGTGTGCTTCCTAATCTTAGAATCTATACAAATGATACACTCTAGGAGGAGGATTCCGCAACACCAACACTAAAAGTCTGGAATGTTGAAAAGAGTGTTGTTGAGGTTGACAAGCCACCTGTACTGATCCAAACTAAAAAAATTAGCTATAAAGCAAAAGTGTTTCCTGTAGGTGTTTTGTAGTCTTTATACCAATTCGCTCTTATTTGCAAAATGGATGTGAAAGTCACTTACAGTATAACATAATCAAGGTGACTGCGTTTGCTGCGCTTGAAAGCATGGCTCAGATTGCGATTGGGCTTGAAAACGGCGTCGTGATTGTATATAGAGGAGATTTATCTCGTGCAAGACAAGTCAAGACAGTTGTTGTTCATGAGGGTAGTGAAACCGTTACTGGTCTTGGATTCCATGAAGATGGTTCAGAGATTACACTATACATAATAACGCTTGCCAAAATCATTGCCTGTGTGACTACCAATAAGGATACAAAGGTTAGTTAAGCTTGTTTTTGGTTTGCATTGTCAAACATTCATTTTTTAAATTTTACTCGGCATATAGAATGTTCTCGAGGAACAAGGAACAGAGATTGGGTTATCTGCTGCCACTCCAAATGATCAAACGCAAGAAATGGCAATGGCTTGCGACGAGGTAGGTTAAAATTAAACCTCTTGGTAGAACTAACCGCTATCGTGCTATTTTACATCTGCTAACTCGATTTGTGGTATGCTATTCGGATCATAGGCGGTATATTTTTATGGTCCTGATGGAAGGGGTCCATGTTTTTTAATCGATGGCAAGTCAAACAGTTTTAATTTGTTTAAAGTTTTCAACTTACATTGTTGCTGCATTTTAGGAGAAAAAACACTTTTAACCTGGTTTCGTGGATATCTTGTACTTGTATCAAAAGAATGTCCACTTCGCACAAATGTGTTGACAGAATTTGGAAATGCCAGCGAATCTTCTGTAATTTCTGAGCATAAATCTTCGGCAGACCATATGTGGTCAACTGGCGCACCCACGCCAGGCCATGTACTGACAATCTATGATTTGAAAAGCAAGTTTATTGCATTTAAAGGATCGTTTGGAACGCGTCGGTTTGATGCAAGTGTTGGTACTGCTGTAGGCGAACCAATTCATCATGTTTTAGTAGAGTGGGGTGATTTGTATATTATCACTAAAGAGAACAAGGTAAATGAGCCTTTTTTATGCAACTAGCATCTGTTAATGTTTTAACTCCTTTATACCAGATTTTTCGACTTCATGAAACAGATTTGGATTCTAAGCTTAGTTTATTGTACGCAAAACACATGTACAATTTGGCCATTAGTATCATGACATATCCCCCCACCATGATTCATACGATTGGCGTCAAAACAGATTTTGGAACAAGAACAGCTATTTCTGGTACAACTGATGCCAGCACCAACAAACCAGACGAGGCTGCCGATTCTGTAATTATGGATATCCATAAACGGTACGGAGACTACCTTTATGATCGTGGCGAGTTTGATTTATCTGTTAGGCAGTATATAAAAACTATTGGACATTTAGAGCCATCCTACGTAATTCGCAAGTTTCTTGACGCGCAACGTATTTACAATCTTACTGCCTATCTTCAAGCTCTACACGATCATCAGCTGGCAAACCCAAGCCACACAACTCTTCTTTTGAATTGCTACACCAAGCTTAAGGACGTGAATCGTTTGGATGCTTTTATTACAAATCCCAAGTTGCTTTTTGATGTGGAGACAGCTATCCGGGTGTGTAGACAAGCAGGCTATTTTACCCATGCTTTGAAACTAGCTGCAAGATTTGAGCAGTATGAGTGGCATCTTCGAGTTTTGATTGAAGATTTACAGCAATATGACGAGGCTCTGGTCTACTTGGCAAAGCTTCCACGACACCAGCAGATTAAAAGAGCGTTGCCCATGTATGGATTTGTGTTGGTCAAGCATCGTCCACGACGAGCTACTGAAGCGTTGGTACGGGCATGTACTGTATCAGTTCCATCGAAACAAGGCACCACTAATGATGCTTTAGCTCAAACTAGCACTCTTGTTGCAAGTGGAGGTTTAGTAAATGGTGCTACTGGACCAACTCTATCCGTGACTACCGAATCTGTAAATTCCGAGGAATTGGCACAACCGCAAGATTTTATGCCTTTTTTTGTGGATCAGCCGGTCTGGTGTATCACGTTTATTGAAAGCGTACTTTTCAAGCGATGGAATGTTGCCAAGGACATACTTGGAACTGAGTCTTTAAACATAACATCTGCGGATCAAACAGCATCAGCAGGTTTTTTGGATGATTCAGACTCGAACAATCGACAGATATTGTGGGATACACTACTTGAGCTATTACTCAGTCAACTTTCGGAAGATTTGAAAAAGGAACCGTCACCTACTCAGCTACAAGCCAAACCTAGTTGGTCCAAACGCATTATGGCTTTATTGAAAAATACGCAGGCAAGTATTTAGCTTTACACATGAGTAACAATTTGAAATGATTGCGGTTGAATATCAGTTTTGATAATTTTTGATATGATTTAGGCCAATTACGATGTTGATCAAGCGCTTGTTCTTTGCAAAACACACAACTTCAACGATGGCATTCTTTTTTTGCTTCAACGGCTCGGTTTGTACGTATTTTGGATAAGGTGGATGAAATATAGTGTCAATAAGCACTAAGATGAAAACGGATTAATATGTATAGGTATCATGATTACCTTGACTTTCATATACATCGAGGAGAGGATGCGCTTGTGTTACAAACATGTCAATCGTTTGGGTATGCTATAATAATTGATGGAGGCATTTTAAATGATGTATAGATTAAAGCAATGCTAACGGATTAAGCATGTATATGTTTGGTGTGCAAGTGATGTTGAACCATCACTTTGGACAAAAGCATTGACGTTTTTTATTGAAAAAGGGGTATATTCTTCTAAAAGAGACGAGCAGGATGGATCAGTAGAAAAGAGTGCACAGTGTAATCTTCTTCAAGTGCTTGACCAGATCCAAAAGCGCAAGTTGCTATCTCAGCTACAAATTGTACAACTTCTTTCCAAGAATTCGAATGTGACTCTTGGAATGGTGCGCGAATTTCTTATTAAAAGCATTGAAATAGACACTGCATCCATCAACGAGGTATACTTTTAATAGTTTGTGAACTTGTTTTTTTTGATCTAGTACAAACGGTTTACTTGTGTTGTATCACCTGGATCTTATTGAATACAATATAGTCACAGCAGCTTATTTCTAGTTATCAAGAAGATACTGCCAAGATGCGGCTTGCAATTGCCGAACTTGAGTCTGGGTATGTTTATCTTGTTTAAAGAAAAAGAAAAGCATGCTAATGGGTATTTTTTGAAAAATGCTTTAGATCGGTGACATTTCAATCGACACGGTGTGATTTGTGTCGACAGCAACTGGAGCTTCCGACGGTGCATTTTTACTGTAAACATGCGTACCATCATCGGTATGTGATAAAGTATTTTAGTTGACAAGTTCAAGTCCGAGTCTGACATTACAGTTGATAGATGTTTAGGCGATGCAGATCAAGAGTGTCCAAAATGCGCACCTGAACACCGGATGGTTCAAGAATTAGTTCGAGCACAACGGTTGAATTCCAAACGCCATGAGCATTTTGTCCAAAAGGTAATTGTATTGATTCAAGAGATGAAAGCATATTGAACTCTGCTAATACTCGAATGGGATAGCTTGGGGAAGGATCTGAATACGAAGACAAGTTTTCATTGATTGCAGAGTACTTTTCCAAAAACATATTTGCAGAATAAAAGAATAGTTTTTTCAGATCCAATGCTATCAGAGCAGTCAGAGCAAGATATGGATGTAGTACATGGAATGGTTGCAAACAAAAAACAATAAGCTTTCCAAAGTGAGGATCAGCCAGCAACGAGTAACAGACATGACAAGAACAAGAACAAGAACAAGAACGAGTAGTGAGAGTTGGCTCAATGAGCATCTATTGATCGAGCGAATGGATCAATTCGAGTGGTGCGACTTGAAACCTCGTCGTGCCCCTTCGCAACAGACTTGAAATCTTCCCTCGTCTTCCTTCAATATCAATTCTGGAGGCCAGCCGTCATCAAGGATTTAGTTGCCATTCACACCGATACAAGAGTCTGTTTTAATCTATACATTGTATATACATTACTTGGATTGGAAACCAGTGTCTGGCAGACCCACCGATCAGTAGAATAGGTTTCTACTTGTTGCTCTTTTGCTTGGTGAATGACCGCCATTACCAGGAATCCTACATCGACTCCTGCTACTGAATATATAGCATCGATACCTTTTAATCCTACAACAGTTACTTCCACTACGACTAATATGGCTTCAACTCATATCCCTACTACTAATAATCCCACTTCTAGTGCTGCTTTGATTCCAACTCCCATCGACCCTGTTCCTAGTGCAACTTCACCTGCTACAGACCGTAGAACATCCACGAGTCTTGGCACTGCTGGCTTGTCGCTTTCTCCTCCAATAAGGAGATCAAGGGCTGAGACCTTCTCAACCTTCTCGATCCAGTCTGCTGGAACTGATTCTCCCTTTGTCCCTCCCGTTTCTGATGTCGCTCGGTCGCCTAGTCTAGGGCTTGCCTTGGGGCTTCCTGCCAAGAGTAACCCTGACAACCTGCAGCCTGAATTGGAGTTGCTACAGCAGCATTTGCTTTTTCCCACCAGTCCTCCACACCAGCAACAACGGATGCTACCTCAACATAGAGGTCGGCATCGTACTGGATCTCTGTCTATCCCTCTGCATGGCATCTCGGATGCCTTTAGTACCGCCCTTTTTTCATCCAACTGGCAGCCTGCTGTCGCTGTTCCTGCTCCTATCACAGAAGCCTTGTCTGGTCGTAATGCTGATATTCTCGATGATTTTGAGGGATCTACTGCATTGGTCCGCACCCTCGATTATTTAGGTTTGGACGATGTTCCTGATTCTGAACTGCAGGATACCGTCGATACCAAAATATCTCCTGCTCAAGGACAATCGTCTTTCAAGTTGGCATCGCACCAGCAACCTTCGCGATCCTCTATTTCGCACTCGCCAATCTTGAAATCTTCTCAACAAATGGATCGACTGTTTTGGGATTCAACTACTTTTGCTGGACCATCCGCACTACAATCCCTCTCTGCATCGTCCACCATTCAACCAAGAGCTAGATCAGTGAGTTTCATGTCGACGCGCCATCAGTCCCGATTTCCAGTGACCGACCCAGGTGCATTGCTTGCTGATTCAACCCCATATACAAAACCATTTTCACTCTCCTCCACTCCATCTCGACCACGATCTTCGACTATTGCATACGCAGAACCCATTCGCGAAACTCAGTCACCTTACTCATTTGGTATGCAAACTCTGGGTTCGTTTAGCACTCCATCCTTGTTAAGTATGGAGCATATGCTCGATCCAAGCTCTGCATGGGATATGGTAAAGCAATCCTTTTCATGTATTGTGTTATGCATTTGGTATCATATTTCTAACTGCATCTCTTGTTACCCTAACCCTGTCATCACATTGGATCCATATGACAGCCTCGCTCCCCATTCCAATCTAGGCATGCAGATCCTATTGGTGCTTCTCTTGGTGAGTATGGTGAGCGACTGAGCAATGTTGCAAGTGTGACCGAGGAGCCACATTCACTACTCTTTGGAGATGCTGCTTCAGGGCAGGACGGCAACTCGGAAGACTTTTCTTATCAAGAGATGCATGTTCCCTCTCGCTCGCTTTGGGTAGGCAACATCGATGCTCTCATGTCATCGGCTGATCTACATGTCATCTTTTCTCCCTTTGGACTCATCGAGTCGATCCGCATGCTTCCTGAAAAAGAGTGTGCATTCATCAACTTTATGAACATTGAAGACGCTGTGGTTGCACGCCAGCAGATGCACGGCGGACGTATTCGCAACAATATTGTTCGTGCCGGGTTTGGCAAATCAGACCCTGGCACTACCGAAGTTCATGGAACTCAGCCAACTAAATCTATCTGTAAGTAGATATGTTTGATGCATTAGATCCTGGCTTGCAGTGAATCATACACATGCTTTTTTCTATTCGTGGCTCATGCTTAATTTTAGGGATTGGAAACATTTCTCCAACCACAAATCCGGCAGCTCTGGAAGGAATCTTTTCGTGTTTTGGTCAGGTCGAGTCTGCGCGCGTCTTGGTATGTAAAGGATTCTTGTAAACGGGTAGTCAATCATAGTCCATCAGCTAATCTAGCAATGGTATTCCTTTATTTTTCTATTCAATCTAGACGCATAAAAATTGCGGGTTTGTCAATTTTGTCCATGTTCAGGATGCTATACGTGCCCGCAATGAAATGAACAATCAGGATATCGGCGGCTTTGTTGTCAAGATCGGATTTGCAAAAGTTCCTTCAAAAACCGATGCTATTGCTGGTATTGGTATCACAAGCAATGGTGTGTCCAGTACAAATATCCCAGCCACTAGTCTTTCTTCTAGTGTGACTGGAGCGATCCAAGCACCTAGTAGTTCTCCAAAGACACTTTTGAATACAGCATCCCCTCAGCCAGGACTCTCTGTGGCTTTATCAGTCGGTACTCCAATGCTGAATAAGAATCGATCACCACTGCTGTCATCTGATAGCGACTCTAATTTACAGGAAGAACCAAGTCTTTTGGATCAGCTACCATGTGTTGTACCTGATATTGTGTATGCGACATCTATTCCTCGTCTTCCAGAGGCTAATCCTCAACATGCCATTGAACCTGGTCGCTTACGAGATATTCGTAAGCGGCTTGATGGCATGATGACGCCACGGGACATTGGGGCAATCTACCAAGAAACGATTGGAGATGCAGCACAACTGTGCTCTGATTACATTGGTAATATTGTGATCCAGAAAGTGGTAGAAAAGTGTCCAGAACCACAACGACAATTCTTGGTTGAATCGGTTGCGCCTCATCTCCCAGCACTGGGAGTACACAAGAATGGTACGTGGGCGGTACAGAAAATTATTGAACGAGCCAAGACACATGCAGAGATTGTTGCGATCGTGGATGCAATTCGTCCCTTTACGCCTCCACTACTGATGGATCAGTTTGGCAATTATGTAGTACAGTGTTGCTTAAGGCTTGGGCCCCAGTACAATCAATTCATTTTTGATTCGCTGTATTCAGTATGCCTTGATCTAGGACAAGGACGATATGGTGCACGAGGCATGCGAGCTTGTTTGGAAAGCTCATATACCACCAAAGATCAACAAAAGTTGCTTCAGATTGCCATCACCCAACATGCTGCACCATTGTCGATGAATTCAAACGGAGCCATTTTGCTCACTTGGCTGATGGATGTATGCCCTTTTTCTGGACGGTACCGTGCTTTGGTGAATAGTATTGCACCTTGTATCGTTGCTTTGGCCACTCATAAATTGGCATCTGTTTGTGTATTGAAGTTGGTGATTCAACAAGCAGAACTGGATGCTCGTGAAAAAACACTCTATGAGCTATTTGAACGAGAGGCCAACTTGGATGCGATTCTATCAGACCATGCACACGGCGTTGTGTTGCTACAGAAGATTTTGTCGTCTGCATACAACACAAATGAAGAGCGTTTGCGTTTGGCGGAACTAACACGCCAAGGACTGGAAAGATGCAGTAGCAATACCAATCTCGATGGACATCTTACATATAGAAGATTACTGGATGAATTGGCAGCGATTGGACTAACACCTGATTTGCACCATACCAGTGGTGCATCTGCTGTATCACACTCTCCCTTGCATCTATCCACGTTTACTCCCTCACTGACGGACAATCAGATACATGCAGCAACAACTGCTCAACTGGCCACCACTCCAACTTTCCAACGCGCACCAGGAGTGTTTGGAGTAGCTGGGGATGAGTCGATGTCCTACACTCCTAGTAGAAATATGACCGAGGATGCAGGATGTGTTGATGGAAGTGGACTGTATCTACACAACAATAGCAGTAGCATCAGCACGAACAGCTACCATCATTCTACCCATGTCACCACCCATGATAATACTACTAGCGGAGGACTATTTTCTCAAGCAGATGAGGCTCTTCCCAGTCCGCGATTGACTCCGCTTATGCCGTTTTCGAGCCAATCTCCAGTTATGGCTCAACCGCAACATTTACAGTCTTCTGCTTATAGGTCTGTGTATGATCAACCATATGATTCTATGCAACAGCACATGTATGTGTATCCTCCCATGTACGGGTATCCGTCTCAGTATTCTCAGTATCAACAGCCCCAGCAGTTTCAACAAAATAGAAATTCACCGCTTCAACCTCCATTGCAAGAGTCACAGGATCAGCAGATCAACCAACCATCCACCTTGAATCATCTCTATGGACATGCATTATAGAGCTATCTTTCATTACTATGTTTTGCTTACTCTTCAGCCTTATTTTCTTTTCAAAAAACTTTGAGCGATTGCCATATTCTTCAAGTCTCGACCTTTTCACTATAGATACAGCTGTATTCACGTAAAATGAAACACTTGTATCTATCTTGCGGTCAGACTCTTTATTTTGTTCGAGAATAAATAATAGTTAAATATTGATTGCACCTTTCTACATAAACTGATGGCTTGCTCAATTGACATTCTTTTTAGAGTTGCTTGACAAGCGAGACTATTAAAGAATGGGCAGTACAGATCTACCTCGCGATATTGCTGTTTACCCGCTGAACACTATAGTTGATGAATCTGTCGAAACATGATCCAGTAAATTACCATTTCATGAGATGGGTTATTTATTATTGACACTTGTTGAGCGATCCGTTTTGTGAATACGACGGTAAAGTTGGACTGCTTTGCTTGAAACCTTTTGCATGCGTTGATGACTACATACAGTGACTACAATTGGGTCGACTGAGTAGCTGCAGCCCTCTTTTCTACAGTGGATGAGATTTTGTAGACGACATCTTCTAGCGTGCGAAGTTTCTTTTGTAAAGTCATCATACGCTTTCGGATAGCAATGAGCCGTTCTGCTGCAAGATCTGTTTCAGGCGGTGGTTTCAGTCCAGAAGACACCAATTGGAGTTCTGAAAAAGAATGAGTCGAGACATGTGTGTTTAGCTGGATCGTACTAGACATTCTGATGGTTGGCATTTGACTAGTTTAATGGAATTACCTGCAGCCAATCGTTCCATTTCAGCATGGAGTTCACCTTGAGACTGGACAGCAGAAATGACACCCATGTCTAGTGCCTGCAGGACAGGAACCAGATTGTCCACCAGTCCTGCAGTGATATTGGTGGCCGTCGCTGTGGTGGTGTGATTGGCACTCATTGCCTTGCCAACTCTCGACTGGCAAGAATCTGCCAACCCAATACTCGTCCTCAGGACACCTTGGGCTCAAGTTTCCATTTCAACCGCTTATCCACTAGCTGGCATTGACCAACTGTAGATTCCAGCCATGAAGCAACGATTCTCTGCTCTTGATGTGTCTGCATCGGTTGTGGAATTAAAGACTCGTCTGGTTGGTCTTCGTCTTCAAAATGGTAACGCTTCTACCATTGATTCGTCACATTGACCAATAACTGCCTTGTATTCTCTAGTCTGGAGTGTCCTTGAACAGTAGTCATCAAATGTATTGACACTTCAAAAACAATATATGGAACTAACCTTGTTTTGAATTCACAAGTGTATGATATCAATTCCAAAACATATCTGTTCAAGTTCTCTCGCAATGAAACCAAGGAACTCCTTTTGATTGAATCCGGTATTCGCATGCATACAACCCAATTCTCTCGAGACAAGTCTCAGATGCCATCTGGATTCTGCATGAAACTACGTAAACATCTTCGCACTCGTCGTCTAGTCAATTTACGCCAACTTGGTGCTGATCGTATTATGGATATGCAGTTTAGTGAAGGGGAATACGCATTTCATATAATTGTCGAGTTTTACTCTTCAGGAAATATCATCTTGACTGATCATGAATATCGTATCTTGTCTGTTTTGAGAACTGTTGAATACGAGGTATCTACTCCTGCAGTCAACGATGCCAATATTGCTGATGTACAGGATAGCACGTCTTTGGATCTATATCGGATTGTGGTTGGACACATTTATCCTATTCATATCGCTAGCACTTTGAGTCCAATCACGCCTGAAAAACTATTGCATGCGCTAAAATGTGTCGAAATTCAGCCTGATATAGACCTTCATACTGATATGGCTAGTCTCGATTTAGCCACAATGGCAATTGACGATACTTCTTCAAAGAAAAAGTCGGGTGGTAAAAAAAAGAAGCAACAAAAATCTACTTCCAAATCTACAAAAAAACAAGCAACACTCAAGACTGTATTGCGTGGTAAATTGAGCTCAGAATATGGAAATGCAGTGTTGGATCACTGCATTATATTATCTGGTCTCGACCCCAACTTGTCTCTCCCAGATGCTGGTTTTGAGTCGACTGATTCGTCATCATTTCTAGCACTCCTGAACGCTCTCAAACAAGGTGACGACATATTGTCCTCCTCCATTGACACGCCTCAACAAGGATATATTGTTACCTCGGATAGCATGGTTTCCCAACAGTTGGCGTCATCAGATACCGCTCAGTCTTCACCCACAACCACATTCACTACCTATCAAGAATTCCATCCTTATAGATTTGAACAATTCAACCAGGACCGCTCAACTTCACTCTCTGCTGAATTGCCAAAGCAAACTCGATTTATGGAATTTGTTTCGTTTGACAAGGCTGTCGATGAATACTTTTCAAAAATGGAATCTCAACGCCTTGAAATACGTGCCCATCAAGCTGAGCTGGCAGCAGTCAAGAAACTCGAAAATGTCAAAAAATCGCACCAGGCTCAAATTCAAAACTTTCAATCCAATGTCGAATCCAATGAGCAATATGCCCAAGCCATCGAGTCCCGTTTAGAGGACATTGATAGCGTGCTTCGTACCGTTCAAAGTTTCTTAGCAAGTGGAATGGATTGGAAAGATTTGGAAGATTTGGTCAAGGAGGAAACAAACAATGGCAATGCTTTGGCAAAAATGATTATCGGGTTTAAACTAAACATGGGTATGATCACTGTTGGAATGTACAACAACGAAGGCGAATCTAGCAGCGATGATGACGAAAGTGACCACGATCGAGACAACTCGGATCATGATAACCACTCATCTAACTCGGACACGGAGCCAAAAAAAACATCTGCTCAACGCTCCAAACCAGAATTTTTCAAGATTGATTTAGACATCTACTCTACTGCTTACGCTAATGCCAGAAGATACTACGGTGCTAAAAAGGTTGCAATAACAAAACAGTCCAAAACAATGGAGCAGTCGGCCAAAGTAGTCAAGATGGCAGAAATGAAGATTTTTCAGCATCTTGCCTCGGTCCAAAAAACCGCGGTCAGCATTACCAAAATTCGCAAACCTTATTGGTTTGAAAAGTTTCTGTGGTTTGTATCATCGGAAAACTTTTTAGTTGTAGGTGGCAAAGACGCTACCCAAAGCAACATGCTTGTAACTCGGTACTTGAAGAAAGGCGATGCTTATGTTCATTCAGATCTTCCTGGTGCTGCTTCGGTGATTGTCAAATGTATGCAATCATGTGTTGGTACAGATGGTAATGTTGAATCAAATCCTACTTTGATGATGGCTGCTATTCCGCCTACAACATTGTTACAAGCCGGAACAATGTCTGTGTGCCAGTCGCGAGCATGGGATGCCAAAATTATCACGTCTGCTTATTGGGCTGAAGCACATCAAGTATCAAAAACAACTTCGACAGGCGATACACTTCCGCTTGGTACATTCATGATCCGTGGGAAAAAAAATTGGTTGCCTCCTGTTCAACTCATATATGGTATGGCGATGTTGTTTCAAACCGATCATTCTTGTATCAAGCGACATTATTGGGAACGTCGTCCTTGGGGTCGTGATGGTATTCCTACGCCTGCTATGGACCATTCGTCGAGTGTAATATCGATGACTAGTAATGTGGAAGATGCAGAGGACAGCTTTGATCAAGATAATGGCCAAGTGGCTGAATGCGCTACTGTTGACGATGAAGAATTAAAAACGGCTGAATTGGTGATTCAAGATAACGCCAAAATTGAGACTCAATCTCTCGAAAAGACTGCTGATGAAATTGAATTCGACCTTGATGCTGACAAACCTCATCGGTTGGATTTACAAGAGCAGCAAGAGACTCTTGCGTCCAAATATGATTTTGAAGATGCCAACAATGATGATTTTGCGGATTCTCAACACAATGCAGATACAGATCAGCTAGGACATACCAATTCACCTCTTGGAAAAAGCAAAAGGCATATATCTTCCAAAGAGCGTCGACTGATGAAAAAAAGTGGTATGAGTAAACTTGGCCCAAGTACTGATTTAGGAAACAATACTGGCGATTCAATTTCGACCAAGGCTGAATCTGGATCAGACCATGACTCGTTAGTATCTAAATCTCAACAGAAACGTGAATCGCTTGCCTCTTTTGGATCGGTATCAAGTTCTACGCCAGCCACCTTGCCTTCATCGACTGCATCTCCCATGCCAGCCGTTAGAGGGAAAATGGGCAAAATTAAAAAATTGAAAAGCAAATACGCCAACCAAGACGAAGAAGATCGTGAGTTGATTCTAGATCTATTAGGATCTGCCAAAGGACCACAGCCAAAGGGCAAGAAAGCCAAGGCGCAGCAAGCTAAAAAATTGGAGGATGAAAAACGTAAAGAACGGCATGATCGTGAGGGTCGATCTGACAAAAAACAAAACGATGGTGTTAAACTTTGTATGACTCCCGTTGATACCACTACCATTAACGATCAACCTGCATCTAATCCGGCCTATGCCACAAAAAATCAGCTAGCAAATGATGCATTGTCTTCAGTAGATAAAGCACCCTATCGCAACCAACTAGAACAGCCTGCTATGGAAGATGACGAGCAGGCAATAGATATGAGTTTCCTTGATTTGTTAACTGGCCAACCACACGAAACAGACAATCTTCTCTATGCCATTCCAGTCTGTGCCCCATGGACAGCTCTTCAAAAATACAAGTACAAAGTAAAACTTCTTCCTGGTGCGTTGAAGCGCGGCAAGGCTGCTAAATCTATTACAGCGTCATTTTTGTCCATGGCAGCTGCAAACGAATCCGTTGCAGAAAAAGAACTAATCAAAGCGGTTCCAGATGCGGATTGGATTTCTACTGTGCTTGGTAAAGTGAAGGTGGTTGTTTCTGCTGCAGACCAAGTTCAGATAAAGAAACATGGCAATGGATCTAAACGGGGGAATAAATAAACGAAAAGGTTTCTTGTTTGTGTAATTAAAGTTGTCTTTTGAAATCTATTTATTGCTTGACTTGTTTCTATTTTGTAACAATATTGCTTTTCAATTATAACTATTGTGATTTAGACATTACAGCCGTATTCATGTAAAATGCAACACTCGTATTTATCCTGCAGCGATTGACTCGATTCAAAAGAACAAATATTGTTTTCATGACGACTACCAATAAATTGGAAAGTTTAAAAGATACTGTCCAGTAAATTTGAAACACCGACCATTTCATGAAATTGACCGTTTATTACTACCTGACACTCATATCTAGTGTTATTTTAATCATGATGCTAATCTAGTTGTATCCAATACTACACAAACAATTTTTTTTGCGATTCTGAATATGCAAGTGGGTTGTGCTACAAGGTTGTAGTTGGGTTAGTGAAAGCTTCTGCATACAATGACAGTTGATTTCCTGCAAGACTGGGTGAATGACTACGACTAAACAAAACACTACTTTTCGCACCATCCAATGTATGTGACTTGGCCTTGTGAGCAAACGAAGACAAGATGGCATCTGCTGATGAGCCTGTTCCTAGATCGCGATTTTTTTTGTTCATGTATGGATTCACGTCATAATAAATGTCGACTGCTGTAGGAAGTTGTATGCCCATCATATTCTTGTACCCAATTTCAGTCTTTTGTAGACCGGGTTGAGAGTAATGATGTTCATCTTGTTCATGGGTCATAATGTGATATGGGTTTGCTTTGGATCCACCAGAATTGTCATGTGTTGCTACTGGGTCAACTCTTTTTCCGGTCCATGAACTATCTTCAAGATTGTATCCATCCGGCTTATATCGGATAGGTTTACCTTGCATTTTTTCTGTCGTTTCTTGTCTAGTCGTGTTTTTAGATGGTTGCAAATCGTGACAAAACACAACACTAAAGTGTCCATATATTGGTTCAGGTGAGACTTGTTGAAAAGAATGATAGGGTTTTGAAGCGGCTAGATGAGCACTTGTTGGTCGACTGTGAGAGCCCTTGCTGGCTTGCTTATTTTTCGAGTTTGCCGATCGTATGCGAGGCTGCTTTTCTGTTGATGACGACTCGGGCTTTAAAGAATTTATACTAGACACTGGCTCGGTATCTTTTGACCCAATACCGTAAGTTTGGGACACCTCAGGAGCTGATGATTCCAGTTTCTGCTGATGGGACAAGTATCTTGTTGCATAGGGTGGAAGACGAAACTCGACAATTTCTGGAAAGCACCCGCTCAATGTTGCAAACATATCGCTGCATAGATTGGATGTCGTGTTCAACTTGGGTTTCGTTAGCACATTTGAAGCCTCTTTTGAATCAGATACTGGCTCTTGATGCCGTTCTTTAAGTGATATGGAACTGGCAGTATTCACGAGTTGTGGGCTTGCATTATCACTTGACGCTTGTGCTTTCTCGGCCATATCAGTTCCAGGATGTGATCGATAAATCATAATATCCTCTGGATTTATGGCGGACAAATGTTGCACCTTGGCAATCTCATGCTGTAGCCGATAAATTGTAGTGTTTTTTGGCAGGGTAATAAAAAAATCGTGAAACTCCCAATCGACTTGACGGATACGAAGACAAACGTAAAGGTCAAACTGTTTATGCTGAATGGCTTCGCGGGCTTGGATAGCTATGTTGGAAAAAAGGTCAACTGAAGACATTTTTCCTGGCCATGTCAAAGGAATGGGCTCAAACTTTTGTTGTATAGATTCATGGGTGTCTTTTTTAGACTTTTTAGATGCTGCTTTAGCCATTTGTAAAGACTTGGCTGGAGCAAGTTGGGTTAGATTTGAAAAATTGCCGACATATCTGGGTATTACACTCAATGTAGTCTAGCCAAGTCATATAGGTTGCCACATGCTCATATGGGCCATCAAGGACAGTGTTTACATATGGGGTGGATTGTATAGATGCGCCACGTCATGCAATTGGCCTTTAATTTGACTTCAAAGAATACAAATCCCACTTCATCTCAATACGAATTACAAGTGGATACGGCTGTAAAACTGAATCCACATTCTTTTTCAATTGCTCTCCACATCTAAATTCCAAAAACTCAGTTTTGTTGTTTTGAACCGCTTATTCCAACCATAGCCAATTTGTTGAAATCTATTTTCTTTCCTGTCGCTCACTAGCACTACACATCGCTCCATACCATGACAGACGTTGCGCAACCTATTGCAGTAGGTTCTCCCACTCCACGCCCTGCTGGAAAATCGCCGGTTGATAAATACATTATCGAAAAGAAGATTGGCCAAGGACAATTTTCATGCGTTTACAGAGCCAAGTCCGTTGATAGTGGACAGATTGTTGCACTCAAGCGCGTACCGGTAGGGCAGCTGTTTTAATCTAGTTGATATTGTTCTTTAGTTTGGTTTAGTATACACTATGGATAAACAAACCTTTTTAAGCCTAGCATTTCTCCACCACATGAAAAAGTGGATGTATCTAGAGGAAAAGGATTAGATATGTTTTGAAGTGTAGTGGACTAAAGCCACTCTAGCCTCTTTGAGGATGCTATGGCTCGGATGTTTTTACCATGGCTATACTAATAAAATGCCAACCTTTTCCAATATACTGCGGACGTCTGATATCTCTGCTTTATTAGATTTTCGAAATGATGGATCCCAAGGCACGTAACGACTGTATCAAGGAGATTGATTTACTCAAAGTACGTCGAGTATATTGAAATTCTATTGGTTTGTATTTTCACTATTATATAACCCAACATATCATTTGCTAAACTACTACACACTTGAAAAAAGTCGCTTGATCATGTGAATGTAGTGTGCTGTCTTGAATCATTTATTGATGGAAAGGATTTGGTGATTGTACTCGAACTTGCTGATGCTGGCGATCTGGGAAAAATGATCAAGCACTTCAAGACCCAAGGAAAGCATATTTCCGAGAAAACCATTTGGTAAATGTTAATGAAGGGTGAATGATAGGTTCAACATCATGCAACTCACTATGATTGTAATACAACACAGGAAATACTTTTCTCAAATTAGTGGAGCATTAGCACACCTTCACAATCGCCGAGTGATGCATCGTGATATCAAGCCAGCCAATGTATTTATCACTGGACAAGGCATAGCTAAGCTTGGCGATCTTGGTCTTGGTCGATTTGTCTCTCAGACAACAATTGAAGCACATTCACTTGTTGGTACTCCCTACTACATGTCGCCCGAGCGTATTCATGAAGCTGGATACTCGTTCCAAAGCGATATTTGGTCTCTCGGATGCTTGCTATACGAGATGGCTGCTTTGCACTCTCCCTTTTATGGTGATAAAATGACTCTTGCTGGTCTATGTCGTAAAATCGAAGCATGCGATTACCCACCACTTCCATCGGAACTCTACTCGGAAGAATTTCGTGGTTTAGTTGCTGCAATGATTCAAACAGATATGGCCAAGCGTCCTACAGCTGAACAGGTGTTTGAGACTTCAAAAAGAAAGTATGAAGCCATGCAAGCAAAAGATAAAGCTGCTGCTGCTGCCACTCAATGACGGACATATTATGAATCTGTCATCAACAGAATAAACGAATTTAAATGCTGGATTAAAGTGACATGTCGAGTAGTTTTTAATGGGTTTCAAAAAGCATAATTTGAAGCCAGTGCGACTAGAATTGGCTTTTGGAATAGAAAATATTACAAATTGAACTTGGAATGTTGTGAATCCAACTCTTATTATTTGGCTTCATTCCACTTGCCATTTGAGGATTAAATTCAATTGCTTTCACTCGACCATTCACACCCAATGCCAAAACTATCGATAGTTAATAGTGGGTCTGCAGTAGTTCCTTGCAAGTGGGCTACATGCACTGCTCGGTTTGAATCCAACGACCAGCTGCTACCACACATATCATCACTTCATTTAACCGCTAATCACATTGGTAAACCATTGCTGGGATTGGCACCATCCACTGGCCACATCACTACAAACGAGCCCAACTGCTCTTTTAAGAATGGCTATGACACTCCTGACTCTGCCAAATTCCCTTCTATGCTCTCTGTTTTGTATTCAGACTCGGCTGCGTCGAGCAAAACCTCAATGCCCACACTGGCTAATATCCTATGTTCAGACTCTGCATCCGAAGACTCATACATGTCACACAAAGACACAGTCAAGGACGAGCAGCATGGAGCGTCACTCCATTCAACTACTGAAACAACTTACCAGGCTGGTACAACAACGCTTTTATGCAAGTGGAGTCTATGCGATCTTCAAAACTTTGCCAGTTTTGAAGACCTGATTCATCATGTTACGTTTGATCATATTCCACTATCGCCAGAAAAACAGATGAACCCTCACAGTTGCCAATGGGCTGAATGCTGTAGGTTATCATATTACTTTCATTTAAAATCCATGGTTTGAGTATATCATACAAGCCTTCTAACAGCCACTTGCTATAATTCCTCATTCATATGCATTTAGCGGAGCGATTTGGTGCGTTTGAGTATTTGACTGAGCATATATCCATGGCCCATATAGGCAATGGTAAGCGATTGTATTCATGTCAATGGATGGGATGCGATCGGAACAATCGACCATTTACGCAACGACAAAAGATTATGCGTCATATACAGAAACGTAAGTCATGTCCTTTTTAGCCACAACCCTCTAGATGAATGCACTAATTAAATATAACATATTCGTAATACATGTAGATACGGGAGATAAGCCATATGAATGCACCACCTGTATGCAGCGATTTTCGGAGCATGCAGTCATGATTCAGCATCAACGAATCCATACTGGTAGGAATGCTGTTGGTTTATTGAATTGTGGGTAGATTCTGAATCTTATTTTGACTTTTGTTGGGATCGTTTATCTAGGAGAGAAGCCATACGTCTGTCCAGAAGCAACATGCCAAAAGCCATTTACATTACCAGGAGCACTAACAGTGCATCTACGCAAACATACAGGAGAGAAACCATTTGAATGCAAGTCGAGTGGATGCAACAAACGGTTTTCAGATAGCAGCAATTTAACCAAACACAACCGAGTACACACGGGCGAAAGGCCGTTCAAATGTCCTGTCAGTATGTGTCATAAGAAGTTTGCAAGGCCAGACCAGGTATCACGTCATTCAAAAATACATCGGGCACCAGAGCTATCTAGTGCATCAACAGATACTGCATGTATCAATTATACCTCACCTGGATCTGCCTCTACAACCAATGATAACGCTTCTTCGCATGATTGAACACATTAGTGATGTTTTGAAGACATGTCATTGTTGGATTCAAATAATCTGTTTCTTTATTTTGCATTATGAAGTTTGTTTTTTTGAAAATAAACTGTTTATATTATTATAAGTTGAAGTTGCGTTTCTTCAATAACCGAATCTATTCAGTCCAGTACACGTGATAGTATTTCTGCTTTTTCAGACTTTGCCAAGTTTCTCCAAAAACAACTGGGTTTTGATCACATCCTGTTGTCCCGACTTTTTGCAGTTTATACTGCACCTAGAAGTTTATCTAAAAGCATGTCCACCATTAATTTATTCAAGCCACTTGTATGGATTGATCTTGAAATGACTGGACTGGATCTTGAACGAGGTATGTAGCACGACTTGATATACAGTCGATAGTAATGTGCTAAACGTCACTACACTGTGATTGTCCCTGTAGATGTAATTATAGAGATTGCTTGCATTATCACTGATGGAAATCTAAACGCTGTACAAGAAAGATACGATCTTGTTTTACATCAGGTTAGCCATGCATCTGCTTTTGATGGTGTCCAATGGGTTTAAAATTGGCTACAGTCACGTTGATCTCCATTTACAGCTGTATTCACATAAAATAGACACTGGTTAAATACTTGTGATGTGAATACGGCTGTACACAGCAATAGTATAAAGTCCTTGGCTAATATTTTTGACATGGTTTAGCCAAAAAGCGTTATGGATCAGATGAACGACTGGTGTATTCAAACCCATGGCGAATCTGGTTTAACAAAACAAGTCATTGAATCTACACTTACACTCAAAGATGCCGAGGCAACCATTCTTGATTTTGTTAAACGTCATATTCCTAAACAGCGTGAAGGTGTGTTGGCTGGCAATAGCGTTCATGTGGATCGTCAGTTTCTGCATAAGCACATGCCTTTGCTCATCGATCATTTGCATTATCGAATTGTGGATGTGAGTTCTATCAAGGAGATTGGAATGAGATGGTACCCTGATTTTTATAAAAAAGCACCGAAAAAGAAACTGGCTCATCGGGCCATGGGTGATATCCTTGAAAGTATTGAAGAGCTCAAGGCATATCGACTATTGATGTTCAAGCAGAATTTGCCATAGTCATTTAGCTTGTGTTTTCGAGTCAAATCAACTGTATTCTAGATAAAGACTGATTATTTATCTTGTGAAGACTATAAATGAACCTATCGTTTTAAACCAAAGCCTAGGTTGATACTATTGTGCTTTACAAGTTTTAAACGATTATACAATCACTGAGATAATTGAAAATGCAAGACTAGATTGAGATGAACATTTTAGCGTGTTAGATTTAGGTATTTATTGATTGGACGAATATAGCAAGTGCAGTAGAATGGCTGCAGAATTGGTATGCATTGAACGGCTTCCAGCATCAATGATTTTCAGACAAATTATACATGTCTTCATTGGCTATAGCTGGGATGACCTCTTGAATGCATAGCGTATACTATATGTACATTTTGTGCGTATTGATAATTTAGAAGTGGCTTGAAGAAAGCAGCCTACTTTGAGTATACATATGGCCAGATTCGCTCTTTGAAGAGGTTGGAGAGTCATCTTGATGAACAACAACTTTTTCCAGCCGCAAATAGGTTTTGGGAGCTGATTGGTATGTGTTTAGCGTAGAGTCATTGTCACGTTGAGAGTTGGATAGGAAAGGTGCAACAAACGGGTTTCTTTTGATTTGGGATAAAAATGTCAGTGGAGCAGCATCTTGGTGTGTAAAGTATGGCTGGCAAAAGCTGAACGTGATGAGCGAGCAAAGACCTCCTACGACTATATCAATTATATAATGGTGGCGAAAGTATATCGTAGCTGCCCACATCCAGCTAATATATGCAACAGCAAAATACTTGTATCGTTTGTCAATGTGGATGACAAACAACATGATTAGACAAGCGAATCCAGAGTGCAGAGATGGTATGGCACCAAATACCAATGGAGAGCTATTGAATGCAGTTGTGTAGATATGTGTGCCAAAGAGTTTATCCAAGTTGACCAGACCTGCAGGATCACCAGGCATGCTGTAATCTGCAGGAGCATATCCGTTTTTATCATTATACCAAGGTGCAGCACACGGGAAAATCAGTTGAATCACGACACCCACTACATTTTGCCATCCAAAGGCCTTTGCAAACAGCGAGATGCTTCCAGTAGGTCCGTAAAAATAAAGCCATACTATAAACACAAAAGGCGAGAGGTAGTGTAGCAGACCATAGGGCAGAATCAATAGTAGGTCAAACGCTGTATTTGGAGATATGCTCGCAATCTGGTACAATGTTGCGATGGCTAGTGGAACCAGTGCGTAGTATCCAGCAGTGGTGGTGTTGAGCGTCCATATATATCCCAAAGAAATAGAGAAAATAGCAGACAAGAGCAGTCCGAATCCACTCTGGAAAAAGAAGTGATCAAGACTGGGCAGTATATCGACATGGATTTGCGGCCGCCATTCTGATGGAATATATTTACAAGTGGAAAATAAAAGCAGCCAAAGGGCGATGGGAAAAGCTGCAGATAGTATCCCCGTAGCTGAGCTTGAGTTGAATGGTAGCATAATTCTAGAGCAGCAGCTTTGTAGACAAAGTTTGAGTCGCAAGCAAAACGTGTTGAAAGGATAGCATACTTCTCGATGCGAAGCAACACGAGGAGCTGGCTGTATTCGAGGAGAGTAGCCAACTGTTGGAGACGATGGAATTAATGTAGCGGCGGGTGAACTAGCTGACAAATCATCGGTGATATAAACACCGCTCTGGTCGCTACCAGTGGACTCTGTCGCCAGCATTTGGTTTGTAGAAATTTACAAGAGTATATATGGTCAAGTAATTTAGAAATATTTTAACAGTCAAACACCTGATAATCACTAATATGCGATTTGGTAAGCGGGAATGCTGATGTACTTTGGGGCTGTTGTGCGTGTGTCTTTGAAAATTTACGCAAGACGATTTGTATTTACGAAACAGTCGGAATGAACAGAGATTCGAAATAAAGTTTGTTGCAGATGACTTTTTAGAAATGTACTTTGGAAAATAACAGTAAAGTAACAAGGCTATAGTACATAAACTCGGGTCCAAGATACAAGCAGTAAGTTGAATCTCACTAGCAACCTATTATCACGTGTTTGGTACGGTGGTAGTGCAAGAAAAGCTCAGACTTGATAGATGGTTCACGATCGTTACGGTGACCCAGCAAAGTTGATGTAGAGCAGTTGCAAGTTATAGAACCTTTCAAAGCCAGTTGGTTGTTGGCTAAAAAGATGCGAGTTGGATTTGCTTGAGAAGGAATGTGGGGCTTGATTGCTTATTATAAGGGTGGGATGAAGCCGAGACAAAGACTGACTCCACCTCTTAAGTAGTAATTGAGTAAACACAGCATGTATACGGCCGCGTGAGCAATAGAAGCAATGCATTGTCATGAACTGGAAAAGTTGTACGAGCCCACTTGGCTGGAACATGATGTTGGAATATATGCAGCTTAGACCAGTGTATTCATTGTGCCATCATGGCTGACCCTAGTATTTAGTTTGATCCGCATCGGCCGCGTAAGTTACCGGAATGGCAGTCAGGGTAGAGTTCAGCTTACATCCAGACTCAATACAATGTATATACTGATGGTCCGAACAATGAATGATTTACTATCCAAGGCCAATCAAAAGTATTGTTGGCATCAGCGTGTTTGTGTAACTAGTGTTCATTTCTCGAGCCAATCCAACAATTTAATGTGAATTGATTTTTTAAACCAAAACTGGTGCTCATACTATATACTAGAGTGGTGAACACTGACAATCTCTCTACCAATCTATACTCTACCCGTTTGTCAAGAGATATTAATTTAAACCAAGTGCCGTTACCCTAGTGTGATGACTACAGTAAGCAGTGCTGTATAAGCACCTAATTGACACTGCTGACATCCAAATGCGGATATTAGCTATCAATTGTTCTGGTTGATTGTCCAGTGGCTAAAATATTATTTTGCGGTTGCTTGGATAACGGATTTCCGTTTTTGGAAAGTGTCGCACAGCAGCTTATACTGGATTGATAGTTGTAGAAGCCGAATAGATCAGAATTGATTCTACGATTATGGTGGAGATGCTAATGAGTGAGGATACCAAGTTGCATATGGATGTTGATGAGCCTATATTTAGTTTGATTCACAACAGCACTGCTCCAGTGTGTGCCATTCCAGACTTTGAACAGCTACTGCAACTCACAGTTCAATCAGGAAGACTGCCTGCTAAACTTTTGATAGCTACCAATGATGCTATAGATATGGACTTGAATGGTTCAACACTTCCTGTAGCCAGTATATTACAATCAGGAGATGCTGCAACCAGCGTTCTTAAACTCATTTGGACATGGCAGTCACCATCTGTTCTTAGTGCCATAAGAATAGGCATGTTTGGCAATCAATCTGATGTTCCTACAGTTGTTGTTACTGATACTGCGGGAAAACTCACTTTTCTTAAACACAGGCCCGAAGTAAGTGCTACATTGGCTCAGCAGCATGAACTGCTGCATAAGTGATTTTGCTTCAATCTACTGCTAGGGCCTATAAACTTATAACATTGCAACTCTTGTTGAATGCATTCGTGTAAATCTAGGTTGAAGGGGATGGCCAAGTCACAGCAACTGAGCTTGATACAAAAAGCAGCTGTATATCTAGCATGGCTTTGGGAAATCTGGCACATCAAACACAATTGGACATTGCTATCGGAGATGCGTCAGGTGCAGTCGCACTTGTATTGGGTGGAAAGCAAATATTCATCCGCAAGGATATTGGATCTTCAGTTACCTGTTTAGCAATCCAGTCTCGGCCAAGTATGATTGTTCAACTTTTAAACTATTTTTTTTCAAGTTCAACTGGTGCTTTCAATCCATATTTAAAATAACGAGTTTGTGTTGTTATAGCTCAGCGTCCATGTGTTGTTGCGGGCGATTCATTTGGTGCCATTACAACGTTTGATTTCCACGACTCTGTTTCAACAAAAATCCGATTGAGAGATGCAGTCTTGCCTGTCTTGAATACAGATGTACCCGCATGCCATATGATCCGATGCATTCATCCGGTAACGTTGCTGGATAGCGAGGGTGTATTGTCGCATTATATATTGGCATGCGATGGAACTCCATTTTTATATTATCTAGTAGCAGGCCATTGTGTTGCATGCGTAAAGCTTCCATCGCAGATTAGTTGCGTAAGTCGTTCATAGGCTTTTATTCTTACGTCATGATTTGATGATATAAAATAGTCGACTGTGATTATTAGCTCATCCAGTTGTTTTGACAGATTACATCTGGCCAGCTTTTAAAAGTGCCCCAATCAACAAACACTGTAAGCCAAGCTGACACTACTAAAAGCCAAATAGCGGTTGGCGGGACCAATGGATACATTTATCTGGTTGATAATTTGGTGGTAGGTCTGGCTTGTGTTGTGGATCTGATTTCAAAGCAATAGAACCAGTGGAAACAGCTATTAAAACTACGTTATGCAATGGAAACACTACATTTTAGGTGTCCATGTATGCCAATATTGATTTTCCCGTTACATGCATTATACCACATCGATCACCATCGTTTACACCCACTGAAGCCGATCTTTTGCTATGCGCCGGTCACTGTGCCAATCTATTTATATTCCAAGATAAGCAGCTTTTGCATCGGTTCAAAACAAGTGCATGGGTGTGGGACATGTGCTCATTGGATGCCAAATCTCAATTTGCTATATGCACTCTTGATAATTTGGTTCAGGTCATTCGATTTAAGGCGGATGATGATGAAGAAGGAGAACTAGTAGATGAATAAAGGGTGAGATGCATTTAATGATATGTAAATTATACCAAAATTGTTCTCTTGTAGAATAGCCATACATTGTACGATTGGCAAGTTTAGGACAAGATACGTCGCGTTTTAATTCAAAAACAGATTGCAGTCTTGGAAATGTAATGGTTGTTTTCATGCCAATCATTAGGAGACAGTCAACTAGGATTGAAAGGACACAATGTTATCAGTGAATTTGGTGGAACATGTCTGTTTATTAGACACTTTTATTTAGTGTTCCATTTTGCACGAATACGACTGTTAGAAACAAAACCACGATGTACTCATAGCACATTCACCCGAAATCCATGCGTATCCCGGTATCCACATTCTTCTGCCAATAATATACATCATTGTCAGTGTAAATACAAGTAATCCAACACCAAGCAATGCTCGATCCATCCAGTCGCGACTGTTGAGCGATGATATGATGGATTTAGACACGCCAAGCCTATCTCCAATCATGCTATACTCTTGCTGGGTACGGTTCAGTGTGTTTGTAGATTGCTCTTTATAGCTCATGTTAGTATGGACTGACTGTATCGTATATGACGGTATTTGGTTCAATCCACTGGATCCATTTATAAGCTAGTTGTACATTACCTAGAGTGTTTACTGTTTCTATACTTCGCTCGACTTCTGCAGATATCATTTGCACTGCCTGTTTCAATCCATAAGTGATGTCGTTACTTGCTTGTATGGCTGCTGCATTTGATCTGCAATATTAGAATGGTTTAGAGTGGGGTTTACAACAGCACCATCATTGATACTCGTATCCATCAAGATATTGAAACTGAGCAATAGCCAACCTATCTGTTTTGCTTGCTGAACCAAGTGCTAAAAGTGATTCTCTATCGTTTTGGGCCTTGGTTTTTATTGCTTTACGAGCAGTCACAAGAGCAGTTTGAAACCGTTGCTGCAAACTATGTATCCATCAGTCTGGCAATCTTAATATATAGTAAAAATGATTGAACGTACAGTTTAACTGCTTGTTTTTGTTGAGCAATGGATTGTGCGAGTGCAGCTTTCTGGCTTGGTCGTTTTATATCGAGTAAAGCATCTTCAGATTCCTGAACATGCATGTCCGAAACTCACATGTCAGTAAATATCAGAGGATTCATGACAAGTATACAGCGAATGGCTCCACGAGAATCCACTCGATGATAGCACAGTAGGAATGTTGACCAACCTCGATAAGAGTTTTTAGAGATAAAAATAGTTTGGGTATGGTGGTTGCTAATCCAGTGACAGTTAGTTTTGATGATTCATTTTCTAATGATGCTATGTTTTGTTCTGTATTGGATATTAGCCCATCCAATCTAGCACGTAGCAACTCAGTCATTGGGACGAGAGCAAGTTTGACTCGACAGTTCATCCATGCATATAACCACGTGATATTCTGACAAGATCTGCAGCTCAATAAGAATGGAGATTGTCAGTAGTCTACTCATGTTTAATAGACATTCAGGCAGTATCGAGCAGGCTGTTGTTGCAGCATTTCAACAATGTGAATTATTCATTTGTAAACTCGTACGATTGATTTAGATTAATCTACAGACTATGAATGGAATGGTAGAGATCGTGTCGAGAGACCAAATGAGTGATGTATTATATTGAATCAAGAAGAGCAATAGATTATCGCTGATACACAACACACGAGCAATAGTTGTTTCTGCTATTCACATCACCAAGAGTATGATTGCAAACGATTTCTTTTTTTTCTGCGTGTTCATGCTCTTTATCACCAGCCATAAAAGTCGGTTTACAATCAAAAACACTTGAATCTAAAGTCTGCAAGCATCACCAAGATGGCAGGACGTAGAGCATCAGTGATTCTTTTTGCCAGAGAGCATTGTGGCTTGTGTGAGCATATGAAGGAAACTATTCTGGCAGTACAAAGCAAGGTAGCATGCATATTACTAAGCTCATGACAATTTAAACAAGCATATGTATTTATTCCAAGTATTCTTATCAAATGGATCTGATTACCATGGCTGAAAACTTGACAGGTGCCATTTGATTTTTGCGAGATCGATATTGATAAGCGAGAAAACAAAAACTGGCTGCGCAAGTACATGTTTGATGTTCCAGTTGTTCATGTCAATGGACAGGAGGCATTCAAGCACAGATTAGAGGATCGGGATGTATTGGCACTGGAGAGGCTTGTCAAGGAAACACTCAAGGCTTAGTCCTCTCACCGCCGTATTCACGCAAAATGAACCACTTGCATCTGTCACTACTTTGGAGTGCTCATTGTACCAGACATTTTCAACCCCTCATACACCAATACTCTCAAATGCTTCATTCACATGAATATGACTGTAAATAAAAATTTATTTAGCCATACGTTAAAGTTGGATTCCTACTAAACAAAATAAGACCAGGCCCTTTACACCGATGAAATGTATTGTAGATATGAAGGTATTGACAAAATGATATTTACGAGCAAGACCCAAAAAATAATTTATCAATGCCAGTCAGTTTGAGATTTTAAGGCGCTCATTGTCCGCCTTTAAAGATTGTACCATTGCCTCAAGCTCGGCAATACGTGCCTGTTGAACCAAAGTAAGAGACTCGAGCTCTTCAAGACGAGTAGCCTTGCGCTCACGAGAGCGACGAGCCGACTCGGTATTACGACGACGCTTATCTTCAATTTCGGCAACCAGCTCATCACGATCCATAGTACGCTCCTTGCGCTTACGTGGATTAGCTGAAATTGAAGAAGAAACTTTGGGAGTTATAGGGGGCTGATCAGATCGAAGAGCGGCCTGAAGAGCGAGTAATGGCTCAGCAGGAGCGAGTTTGGCAAACAAACGTGGCTTGGATGTAGCGGCAGCAATAACAGCGGCGGTTCCAAAAGAGCCAGGCTCACCACCAAATGGCTTTGACAAAGCAGCAGCTCCAGAGGAATAAGCATCGTTGGATGGATATGCAAAAGAAAAGGCTCGCAGAGCATCAGGAAACCCAACTTGGGGAGTGCTAGGAGAAGACTTGATTAGAGCTGGATGCGAAAAAAGAGATGATCCATCACGAGACATGGAGACGGGAGACATCCAATCCAAAGCAGTTCCCGAAACCAAAGGATTGGAGGTGTCAATTACAGACAGCGGGTTATGAACGGAAAACAGAGAAGCGGTACTAGCAGAATCTAGATACGGAGATTGCTGTATCATGGCAGACTCATAGTCCGCATTGGAGGGAGTAAATGCGGATAAAGACTCGGCCGCACGGGGTGCAAGATTTGATTGTAATCCAAATGCTGATTGGGCATTCAAAAACAGTAGGGGTGATGCAGAGTGCGGGTGCAGGGTCAAAGCAGGGGAAGGGAGAACAGAATTTGAAGAAAGAGCAAAGTGATTCAGCGACGGCTGTTGAAGACTAGCAGAGACAGAAGACTGCCATGCATCATCAAGATTCGGGTTGGCAGGAGAAAGTTGCATGAGAAGTGTGGACGACGACAGATTGTCAACAGATAGATCCGTACAATCGGCAGAAACCATCCCATGAGACGACGATTCACAAGCGGAAGAAAACCCTGTAGATATCGGCAATGGCGGAGCAGAGCCAGACAGACAGGGCAACTGGGAAGCAGGGTTGAGGCCTATAGGGCCAGTGTTGAGAGAGTTCAAGTAGATATCAGAGGAAAGCGACGAGGTATGCGAGCTAAAGAGCTGCGCCAGTAAATCAGCATTGGGCTGAGTGTGAACTGTGCCCGTCAAGGGCAAGCCCGTTGAAGCAGCGTCTTTCTTGCTGGTTACTACTAGCCCAGCGGAGGTAAACGGCGGCGGAAGGTTTTTTGGAGGCGATGATGCAGAACATAGAGACTGGATTGGTAATGTAGTTGGAATGGTGGAGGAAGAAGAAATGATGGACGGCCTCGACAACAAACAGGTCAAAGCAGAGGAGATGCGCAAAGGGTTGGAGTGCGCAGAAGGCTGGAGTAAGTAAGAGTTGGAAAGATAAAGGTCAGACACTAAAGGATGGCTGAGAGAACTAGTTATACTAGAAGAGATGAGAGCAAGTAGTAACGACTAAACGAGTGTTGATAGCAAGTGCTGGCAGTGGTTGATAATTGGCAAGATTCTTGTCTGTTGAATTTATTGTTTGTAGCAAAAAAAAATGATTGGCTGTTCTAAACCGCACGCTATTGGCTAGATTTCAATTCATCATCCACGTCATTTTCAAGCCTATCAATAAGCCAATAGATTGCATTCCAAGCATCCTAAACTTGGAAGCTGAATCCAATCACCCATACAGCTGGTGATCAAAGGCATAGGAGTGCAAAGAGAAGTGGGGTAGATGTGTCTATTGAACTGGTCGGCTTCCAGTAGAAAGACACCGAGTATGTAACCATTGCTTTAAATCAAAATAGAAAGCTATTGCAAGCGCTTTGTTTTGCATGCGGCTGTATAGTGTGCCTACAATGTCAATCATGTAGCTTAAACCATCGACAGCTTGGTCCAATATTTCAATAGCTGTGTTGGTCCATATGAAATAAGCTACTGCCACCATCTGCTGTTGGCTAGCTAAACAATGGATTTTACTAGTGTTTACCATACCCAGTTATGATTACCCACTCATAGTGTGACTGTATTTACATAAAATGAACCACTAAGCAAGTACAAATATAACAAATCGCCAGTCTTGACAGAGTGTCAGTTTATTGAACAATACTATTTTTAGCCCAGTTGGGATATCGACAGAGGATGAGAGATGATTGTCAGCAACCATTCATGTATCGTGTATTTGAAAGTACCCACGTAAACTTGATCACACTTTCGGGGTTTAGTTGCTTTTTGGGACGTTCTTTTGTAAATATCGGTAGACTGTTTATCTACTGATTTGAATAGCATAAGCATTTATCGCTCATACATCCTGTATCGCGACGACAATCTGACTTGAACGACTTGAATTACCATTGTTTCTCTCGATCACACCTAGGGCGGCATTCCTTATCTGGTTTAGCGGCGACTGCTCCCTAAACTTCTGACCTTGATTGTGCTCTAACAAATTTTGGCGTTCTACCTTAGTCTGCACATTAACCTGAAACAATTGTGCAATTTTACAAGAATCCACATTGGTCGAATTGGGAAGACTGCTCAATCCCATCAGTATTTCTGAAACATGAAATTAGGCTGCAATGCAAATAAACACTTTACATTTCCATCCCTTTAGCTGTGATGCGATGCTCTGGTTGGCGGAGTCGTGGATTGGCTTTTAGGGTGATTTTCGACAAGAACCCTGAACATGCCCTGGCTGAATGCTGTAATTGCTTTTGGTGAGCTTGCAAATTAAATATTGTAAATTATTTTTTTGTCAAGTCTAAACCATTTCCAACATATTACCATTGCGCCTAATTAGATGATCTCAACTCACAAACACTCTTACAACATGGATCCCGAGGTGGACATGGATCTGTATGCTTCAGTATTTGATGCATACCACACAGAAACCTTGAACGAAAGCAACCCATCCACTCCTACACACACTACTGCGTCCATTGCTGCCTCGTACCTGCTGGATGGCGGAAAAAGTAATACCAGCATTTCAGAAAACCTCGACTCTCCAGTTCATGGAGTGTATAATGGCAGTCCTCTTGCACCGAAAGGCATGACTAAGTTTGCCGTGAGAAGCAATGGCCAGCAGAGTATTGTTGATTCGTTTAGTCAAGATTTGGAGAGCAGCTTTGACCAGTTCTCTATCGGCAGTTACCCCATAACACCACAGATACCGACACAGAGCCCAAGAGCCACTGTAAAGTACGAAGTGGACATGAACAATGACGAAGTTTTTGTAGAAGATGAAGAAGAGTATTCAGATAGCGATGGCTATAGTTCAAGCAGAGTTAGCAACAACTTTCTTTTAACAGGAATGCATGCCAGCACCAGCAGCTTCACTTCAGACTATGATGCTCATCCGGATGAGTCGGTAGACATGCAATCCACTACTCCAAATATGAATCATCTCTCTCGCTTCAAGTTGCATTCCAGAACCGACTCATTGCAGGCAGACCCGTTGCTGGCAACGACAGATTCAAATTCGCGTCCATTCAACGCCTCATCTGCCGCAACCAAGAATGCGAGCTTGAATCCAGTCGGCAATGCAGCTCAGTCTAATGTAAGTGTATCGGATAGGTTTAGTGTGCCAGATGACTGTGCTGCCAATTCTATATTGGCACTGGCTGCCACCCTCAGCCATTTAAACAATACTTTTGCTCATCGGGCTTTTGATGACAATCATGCGGTCAGTGGCTTCAATGCCACATCTAGAGCCGCTGATTCTAACAAAAATATTGTGGGTGGTGGCAGCTGTAATGATGTCGTTGAATATAATTATGGTCATCAATTGTCTATTAACCCTGATACTGTATACTCTACACATTCCAACCATCAGCATTTGCTCCGAAACTACATGAACACTATACACTCTCCATACCCATCACCACTGGTTCCAGATGCCCATGCAGAGCTTGTGTATGTAGATGCAGCCAATCAGCCGTATAACACTCCATCGAATGTAAATTCACCCATTGACAGGCAAGCGATTCTATCCAACGAACATGCTTTACCTCGTGGATCGTCTTCAATCACTTCTCGGGGGGTCGTTTTACCACCTACTCATGGCTTGCCATCGGTTCCCAAACCTCATTCTCCACCCCCGCCTATGCCTACTCTCACTTCATCCCAATGGAATATCAAAAGTGGCAGTGGTTCTGGACAACAAGCAGCATTCCTGAGCAGCAAAAACTCTTGTATACCTTCATCTTCAATCGAAAAACTGCCTGTACTGCCACCCAAGGATTTGGTTGTATCAAACGATGGCATGTTCACTCCCTGTCGCGATCTGGCCCAGAGTGCTACTCTGTCATCTACCGACAATGACCATTCGCGTGCATCATTGTTTACTACTGAAGAATCATCACTACTCGATAGAATTGAAATGTCGTCTGGCGGCGCTCTTTCTGCTATACCTTTCACGACTCTGCCCCATCTGGAATCTCCCCCTGTTTCTCCCTACGCTTCTCAGAGTTTATCCGTCACTTCTGAGCAAAAAAGCGACTTTACTCCAAGCCCTCATGTCTATCAGCAGTTCAAGGCTCAAAGCCGGCCCAATAGTTTGAAAAGTAGAGAAGATTCTAGTTTAGACGAAGATGGTGTTTCTACTGCGTCATCAGCAACCGCAGCCACTCGTTCTAATTTTACTGTGCGAAAATATCATCTACCTACTAAATCAGAGTACTTTGGATCAATGCTTTTGGAACTGGATCCTACTACAAAAAAAGCATTAGCTGAAGCACCAGATGATGATGGTAATAAACAATACGAATATCCTGATGCATTAGCTAATCCGAAAGAAAAGGATTCAATCACTGCGTCATTCTTGGACACGCCAATACAATCGGCATCTGAATCACTTTTGTCGGATCCTTTGCCAATTATCGGGGAAGACAGACAGTCTTCATCTGAAGCATCTAGCCACTATCAGCAATCGCCAGTATTGGTGAATCCTTTTTGTCCACCTATACTGGGTGACGATGGATTTTTGGAAGCTGGCAATTTTTCCCGAGATGCATACAGGGATATCATCCAAGCCAAGATTCGCGAACAGGAACTATCAAAAAATGCTGAGCATTCTTCTGTTGATGGGGATCGTAATGCCGCTTCTCACTTGAGCCATTTTCCTATTCCATCTGCTGCAAATACTCCTCGTATCATGATGGGTGAACCTCCTATTCTGAGTGCGCGAGTTGAGCAGCAGTCTTTTGATTATGCATCGATTTTGGCCGCAGCAGAGGCACAGATTGTTCTTAACCAAAAGTCGATGTTGGCTTCCGATTCTAATTGGAAGCAGATTCATCCAAATACAGTTACTAATCATCTTACCAAACGGCAATCGTTATTAGTGCTGCATATCCCTTCTCCCCCCAGCGTACCACCACCTGACCATCTTCTTTCTCAGCAACAACAGCGAGAACGAACCCAGCAACAAAATCGCTTTAATCCTGCTCCGTTTGTACCACAGCGAACTCATCGCACTTCACAGCTTAGTAGTTTATCCAATACGCCTTCTAATAACTCTCAGCCACAGGCATCGCTCTTTCCACATCAGAAAATAACAAAGCAGCAGAATCAGAATGCTGCAAAGCCCTCTCAACAACGCCCACCTACAACTCAGGACTTGCAGGCTCAAAGTGCACAGCGTCTAGCGTCGCTTGGCATATTCGATCTTGAGCCCAAGGCTCGCCGCGATGTGATGCCCAACCCGAGTGACTATTCCAAACTCGACCTCACCTCGTTTGAAACCCCCAATCATGTACGTGCACAGCGAGTTGCTCATGTGGGAAATATTACTGGGCCACAACTTGTATCAACTTCAAGTCGCATGCGTACAATCCCCATCGAGTCCATTCGACGCGATCTCATGGCAAGTGGTAAATGGGATGATAGCAATCACGATAACTCTAATTCTGGACAGCAACAAACACGCCATCAATCACGCAAGTAGACATCAACTTTGACCAACTACTCATTCTTGTTTTTATTCGAGGTACTAGAACGTCCTATATAATTTAATTTGTTGAATACAATTACGAATTGTTACATCTATCCTTGTCTGCGAGTTTCAAATAAAGGAATGCATGTATGTAAAATAGTTTTATTTATAGTGGTTGGGTGAATTTGGCAATCTCATGCAGTAATGCTGCTGTGGACGAGCGTGACTATCTACATGAACTGCGCTGAAGCTGTGACGCTAGTATTATGCTTTGTTACACCACGTCACCCGTACAATCCCAGACGAGTCTTTATGGATACTCCACGTGCGTTCAAAGTACTGTACAAACACACTCTGCGACATGACTGCTAATAAAAACTCGTTGAAACTTAGCCAAAATGCGGGCTCATTGGCTTGCTGCTTTTTGATGGCAGAAGATGAAGCGGTCGATCCAGTAGTGGATAGAGAATGTGCTCCAGGTTGTGGCGGTGTGGGCACTGTTTCTGGATGCGATCCAGGCTGCCAACTACGTCGCGACACATCTGCTGCTGTACCGCCATAGTGTATACTAGAAGCACTTTCTTCTAAATCGCTTTCTTCTAATATATCTTGCCGGTGTGTAGTGAATGCAGGTGGTCGCACGCCATGTGTCAACTCGGGTGTAACACTGGAAGAACGCTTCATTCCATGGGCAGAGCCCATGTTGCCGTTTATACTGCTTGCAACACCACTTGTACCGTCCCCTTTGTTATTTCCCATCTGGAGCGCAGCATTCAGAAACGAGCTTACTGCACGCAGATAGGTTTCTTCATCCTCTGCTTTGACAGACGGTGTTCCTTTGGATGCTTCTGCAGGCTCAAAGCTTGGATTCAGATGTGCACCATTCCCACCAGCAGCGTCATCTATGATTTTAGCATCCCGTCGCGACTTTTCAAACATCTCCAAAAACGAATCCATGACGGCCTTGAGCTCAATTTTGTTCAAGAATCCATCTCCATCCAAATCGTGCATATCAAACAAAAACCGTAATCGTGAATGCAACGGCTGCTTCATGATGGCATCAAGAACATGCACCATTGCTGCAAGATCAACAACAAATCCTGGTTCAACTGTCTCGGTGATAGGTTTAGGTCGATCAGCTGATGGTATAGATCGAGAATGTTGTCGAGCAGCGGCTGCCGATTCAGCCTGCCCTCGCTTCTGTTTTTGTACAAAGTGGTACTGAAAGGAGCAATAAAAGTAGATACGATTAATTAAAGTAAGTGATAAATCGCTGGCACTTGTTATGAGCTGCCAAGTAGTGCCAGAGTTGGAAGCATACGAAGATGCTTGATCCCCATTTATACTGAGCTTCCTTGGTTTGATCTCATCTGGCTTACGAGATGCTGTCGATGCACCACCAGAGTAGCTGTGATTATAGTCAGTGTGTGTATCCCGCTTAAAAATACGCAACGATTCCTGTTTCCCATACTGCCATGGACTGACCGTGTCAAACACACTACGAAAATCGTATAAACAGATGCTCTTGATACTTTGATCTTTTCCTTGAGTTGCTTCCTGTAGCACTCGGTTTTGCATCGATGCAGGAGTAGGAAAAGCAATACTACCATGTCCATCAGGAATCGGTACGCCGCGCGAACAAGATTCTCTGGGTATTTGTCTTACCAGTCCCCATCCGCCCAAACTAGCTAATAAAGACCTCATTGCTTCCTCCTCTGCTCTGCCGTGCTCAGCTAACAGTGACGCAGGTCCGTTTGGATCTTCTTCTTCCCCGCCATGAATAAACTCTAGTCTTCTCACATCATCGTATGCAGCAGACACCTCATCAAAAGAAAGTGTGACTTGCTCGCAGAGCGTGCGTACTTGTGATTTGCGATTCGTGTCCTCCATCTGGTGTACTACTTTGAGTCTGTACCGCATACGAAGTGATTCAATGAGTTCCGACGTGATCTGAGGACCAAGAGTATTGCATGCAGTTGAAATCAGCAAATCATACAAAGGTCGACCTGTCGCAGAGGACAGATCTGGCTGCGTGTCGGGTGCTGCACCCGCAACAGGAGAATCTCGTCCAGAATCCTGCAACCCCAATCGTGTAAAAAAGTCCTTCAAAATCGCTACAAAAATATCATCGTCTTTTCCCTTGGATATCAGTTTGGATTCGTTGATTTTCAATACAGCCATGGCAATCCAAAAAAGAAATTTTGGGCCTTCTAGAAAAAATATATCCAAGAGCCTAATGGCAACACTCTGTGACACTGAGTTGAGGTAGAGGCAAAGAAACCAAGGAACTGAAAAGGTAGACAAGTCCATGTACAGTTTATCCAGATGTGCTGCGAGTAGTGGAAGATGAGTTTCAACAAGCTGACGAAAAACCGCCTGATCAACAACAGAACCAACAAGAGTTTTGGTGTAGTGATCAGGTAGCATTCTCTCAACAATCATGCCTTGAATATACATGCATAGTAAAATACAACAAAATTAAGTTAGTCAATACACCACACAATCATCCTAATTAAATGCTAAAATAGATTCAAGCATACATAGCATCCAAAACGCATCCTCTTCACGCAAATGCAGCAACAGTACTGCGGCAACAATATTTAGTGCTTGAGCATATCCAATAGCCGGGTTTCTCCACGAAAAAGCAGTCAGTAGTCTTCTCAAAGCATCGATTCCCAATTGAGACTGGTAAGCAGGATGCTCAGGCAAACTTCGATGCACGTCTTTTTCAATCTCGTCTGCAAATGGACTGACACGAAATTGGTTAGCAATTAAAAGCTGTTTGTAGTACTCGGATTCGGGTTTGGAATACCATGCTCCAGAGACCAGCATCCAAAAATCACCACGAAAGCATTCAGGTACACCATTTGTTTCTTGAATAAGATCACAAAGAGATTTCATGTCTTTGATAATACAAACATCACGACCATATGTATCAAAGTAATCTGTCCACTTTGCAACATAGTGCGGAATGTCATCTTGAAGCGTGGGCTTGCCACCACGCTCGATTTTTGGAACAAGAAATTTCAGACCAGTTTTAAGCGGATGTAGCTTATTGACCGTGTCGTTCAAATTTCCTAAAACCATGTGAATGTTTGGCATGGGTGATGTAACTGGCGATGAAGCAACTGATAGTGACGAGCTACTTCGTGATGTAACAGCGTGATCTGACATGACCGTAGAGCTGTTACTAAAAGATCCAAGAGGATTTGAATTCGGAGGTATGCTACTAGGATTATAGCTATTTCTACCACCCACCACTACATCATCATCAAACTTCCAATCTACTGTACGGATTTGTGCAAGCAGCGTCTCGTATACTCGATCCCGGCTTTTTGCAGTTGAAAATGCAAACCAAAAATCACTGCGTGTTTTTGTGGAAATGACTACATACCCAGACAGCGAAAACGACAATAGCTTTCCAATCAATGGTATTGCTGTAGCAGGCATCTTCTTGATGGATACAATGTGAGGATACGGAATTACAAAAATAATATTTGGATCTTGGGATGTATCAAATAGCATCGATGTAGATATTGTCGAGTTTCCATTAGATGGAGATGAAGTAGCCGAATGGGCAGCAAAATTGGCAAAATTCTGCGATAGATACATGCTGCCAGTATGAGATACAGAAGTTAATTTGTGAAAGTAGTAGCATGGTGATTCTTCCATTGTGATTGTTTCATGGTAGGACAAGCGAAAAAGATTACGAAACTCCATGTTTTTGTTTTGAGTATCAAGATCGGAAAGAGTATTGACCAAAGCCGTTTTGATATGCGAGTATCGAACAACAGTGTGTGATGAGGCAGTTTGTGAATGCATTACAGATGTACTAGCTGATTGATGAAGCTGCTGGGTGGATTCAGATATTGCAGATGATCCCTTGACTTGACCAGATAGATCAGCAAACGATTGATCTTGAAACATATCGCCAAGATCGCCATCGCCAACTCCAAGCATATCTGATGCCGAAGCTGTATTTGCTACTGAACTGTCGTCCATTCCAAATACTTCTCTTGATCTTCCCATTAGCAGACCACCACCTTTATTGGAGCTAGTGATGGCAAGATCGCCAGTATTGTTTGAATTGTTTTTTGAAAACATTTCAGATGAGGCAGATATTGAATTTTCAGCGCCTTTGATCAGGCGATTCATGGCAGCATTGCATAAGCTAGTCAAAATTCGAAAAACCTCCTTTCGATGAAAATAAAGTGCAAATACAAACTAATAGTTTTAAGATTAGACGTGTTTAAAACTACACAATGTGTTGTCATGATGCATTGTGCACTTACTACTTTATCTTTAACACCAATTTGAATTGTATCTGGTAGTAGCAATCTTTTAGCATTGACCAACTCCAATGAGTTTACATCCCTATATGTAATAAGAAGGGTAACATTGCTGGGAATACTTGCATCCTGATCCCCTTGCCCAGCCTGTCGTGATCCAGAAAAATACAATGAGTTACGGCCAATACACAGCTCGCCGCGTGCAGAAGTAGACTCTGTTGCCCAATATGTACAAGCATAATCTAAACGACAATGCATTAGCAATCTAACCAGATAAACAAGCGAAAGTAGCTAGCATGCACATACAATTCAACAATACATCGTCCTGTGCACTAGGAAACACTTTGGTCAGTTGATTTTTGACGTCGAGAAGTTTTGCCATGACACCCGCCACTTGTGGATCTATACATTACCAGCATTCATAGATGTGAGATTTGAGTTGAATCAGATTTAGATTTCAAACTATACCTTCGTATTCTTCAGTCATTTCACCAAATTGTTTGTAGAGGAGATTATCAATCTGGTCGGTAGTTGTATTGGGTTTGGAAGATAAACAGGCCGAGTCAATTTCCGCGAGCTATTATAAGAAATTGCAATGGTGAGTCAATGCACAATCCATTGCAGCCATATTCACGCAAGGTAAAACACCAACAGTGACAGAATAAACAGCCAGTTTTGACATGATTGGTGTCAAATTTACTGGACAAGATTGTCTTGACTGAATACATGTTTACCCGTCAATCCCCAACTCTCCTTTCATCCGAACCCAACATTGTGACATTGGATGACTGATATGGAAACAACAGCTGCATTCTTGAAACGTGCATTCTCTCAAACTAGAGCGCGAATGTACGAGTTTTTAGAATACAGTGACAACATCAGAACAGTTGAATCCAATATCCAGATTTGAATGAATTTAGTGATCGTACAATGTATGATTGCCAAATGAGGATTTCAAAACTATAGTTTGATGTTGTATGATGGTCGTTGTGTGTATTGAAGAATTGAGAATGTCGAGTAGGAAAACGCAGCAAATAACTAATCATTATCTATTCCAAAGCAAAATACACTGCAGGATAGATATAAAAGTGTTGGATTGTACATGAATACGGCCTGGTAGTAAACCAAGTGGATCAGATGTGGTCAAACAGGAAGCCAATACCAACAACCTTGATAAACAAGTTCCGCTCGACCCAATTCCAGTCAGTATGAATCTTATCAAACGAGTGGTCAACAGCAATAATAAACTCGGCTTTGCGACTAATGAATCTAAGAAGGATGCGATACTCGTATTCAAGTAAAGACTTTTTATAAGCAGTATCTGAGCTGCTACTCGTTCCAGGCCCGGCAGCAGAAGTAGGAAGGCTTGAAGATGCAACTCCAACAGCCGCACCCACACCCAACGAGATGCCAGTAATCAGACTGCGCATGATGTTGGCATCTTTCTTTTTAGACTGCAATACAAAATGAGTGTTTCCAGCATGGTCTTGCCAAGTGGATTTAGACTGAACAAGAAGCGATGTCACTTCTATTGGCTTGATGAACATGTATTGCTAGTTGCAAGGAAAGCGTGTACGATGGAAATACCAGATTCAACTCAAAATCACAGCAAGTTGATCCCATTCACCACACTCGTTGCTGCAAATCCTTTATTCTAACACTTTGTAATTTCCTTTTTCAACCCACTTGTCTGCTTAAACCCACCCACACCCACTCTAATGCTTCAACCATGAAAAATGTCTCCGATTCATGAAACGGCACCATTCACAAAAAGAATGTACCGCGATTAATATGGAGTCCGTCCTTTAGTAAAGACTAGATTAGTGTGGTTGTAGGCAACCAACAATCTCATTTGGAATCACAAAAACTGTACACCCAAACAACATTATAATAAAATTGGACCTTGAACGTGTAGCAAGGAAACAATCCAAAAGAAAAAACGGCGCTTTATACTGATATTCAGTCACGTGTAGAGTCAGTGTTGTTTGGGCAATCTAAACGAATCATTGATAACCGATTGAACACACAATCCTTTTATTAAACCCTGCATTGTAATCAGGCAGGCAGTGTGAATTTCTGGCCCTTGAGCACTCTGTTTACATTCAATTAAAACAGTTTCTCATTGGATTAGCTACTAGCTTGAATTAAAGATTGACCACTGCAATCCAAAAAACACTTACTTTGTGAAATACACGTAGAAAAAGTCGAGATACAGTGCGGTTTGAATAATGCCTGGAAGAATAGGAAGCCAGTCATGGAATTTTGGGTTTGTGTTGTACTTGTAGATCCAGTTAAGAATGTAAAAGAATCGGTATCCACCAAGTGCAAACAAGTAATGAGATGTGATCGTCTCTGCTTCACCAGTACGTGAAAGCTGGAACAGCTGCGGGAGAATTGCAACCGATTCAAGATAAATTGAAAACGCCCACACGATCTAAACCAAGGATAGAACATAGATTGTCACAAGACAGCAGAGGATATGACCAAAGGTTGAATGAATACCAATATATACATTGGTAGATCAGATTCATGTTATACAATAGTCAAAAAGTGCTTTTAGTCGTCATGAATCTATAGCCCACACATCAAAAGAAAAGATAGTGTCGCTTTACCTCAAAGTAGTCCCAGCCATTGTAATGAACTAGCAACGCAAGCACCGCACAAGCCCCGATTGGATATTCGAGTTTAAAAGTGTCCAGCAGTGGATCCCACGATGCCTTGAATCGGATCTTCATCAAATAAAGCACCAAAAATGCCGAGACAATAAAAAAGACCTTCATGGTAGTATTGTAGATGGAATGAAACCTAAAGAACAGATCTTGATAGCGTGTACAAAACACTATTGCATAGAGAAGCTGAGACTTGAATGAAATGCCTGATTACAGTTGGCAAGTTTACCAAAGCAGACCCATGTATAGTGCAGTAGTTGGTTCATTGAGTTGATGCATTTACAATGAAATAATGGTTCGTCAATAGGCGAATACAAATATCCTGGATTCATGTAGGAATGGATGCCAGTGGCATTCTAGCAACAAGGATGACTGTATTATCGGCATGTATAGAGCTAGGAGCTTGCTATCGTTATAGAAGCAAACTGATACTATCAAACAGGCATGCTTGCAAAGCGATAAGAGCCACATTGCCCATACCACTCACAACATCAAAGAACATCGCAGTATATATCTTACCAGCCGCAGACCTGCTCGTGTGAATTTTCAGCAATAGAATCAGGATAGATGCCAAATGAAGCATATCGCCCACTAATTGAAAGATATTCATTGTATAATAGTACCGCCAATTCACAGCTTCAAGTAACGGTCGAATGAATGAGTTGAGTAAAGAATGTGAAGCTAGCCAGAATCACGGAATGGGCTTTTGTATTATAACATAATGATTATCACAATCATATCCACTCATAACCACGCTCCCTGCTGCCACCTCCTCTGCCAGTTCATCCAACTCTCCCTTTGTAAACATGTGATAGTACCTATACAAAGTCATGGTTTAGGGTTCAATGGGTTGGAAAATAGTCACACTATGCATTCGCAAGGCAAGTCACCTTTGGTAGATCAGATCTGAATCTTGCCGTGTTTGCTGCTGACTCTCTTGTTCATCTACTTTGGCGGCATAAATCCGTCTAGGCATTTTCCATGGTACAAACACATCCTGTGAAGTATACTGCCTCTTACTTTTACTCTAAATATCGAATTGTTAAAACGCCCTTTAATCAGCAATGCAGCATTCTACAGGCTTTAGGTCAACCATCAGTAATAGTGTTTACCTCTTGTTCCAGTGCCCATACAAAAATAAGCGCACGGCCACCTGGCCTCAAGATTCTGAACAGTTCCTTGATGGCTGTTTTGCGTCGTTGAGGTGTAGCAAAATGATGGATGACGGCAATAGAAATGGCAAAATCCTGCAAAAGTTTAAATGGTTCACAATCAGTTGAATTGCCCAGTCAAATAAAAATAAACTAGAGGCTGATAATACCAAATCTGGACTGGCATCATTTAAACTTACAAAAGAATTGGATCTGTAAGGCAACGAGAGGTTATCACAAACCATTGCCTCAAACCCTCTATCATGACAGATATTGATCAAATTTAAACTCCTACATTTAAAAACGGTTAGTTTCATTGCCAATTCTAATAATGGTCCAGTCTACATTGACTAGACATGATTGCAGTAGTAAATGACCTATCAGAACCAAGCACAAATAAATCTGGATTGATGCCAAGATATTTCCCATTTCCACAGCCAATGTCTGCACCCAGTGATCCGGCTGGCATTTCTCTAATTCAAAAACAAATGTTGAGCTTGCATTTGACAATGTAATCATGAGCATGATTTAAAATTTACTTTAGAAAAGCATCCACCACAGGCCAAGGCTTGTATCTAGTAGCGCTAAAATGGTTAGCAATTTGATCATACACCACATGAACATGTTCCGATTCTAGCTTGGCAGGATCTGTAGTAGCTTCTGCTACAACGTCTGTGTTGCAACTCATGAATAAAATGCAATTGGACTGCACACGCAGTTGATTGCAATCCATGGTCACGTGGTGTAACATTCACTTTAAAGTTGCTCAACACTTGAATTGTTGCTGCTTGTCGCATAAGTTTGCAGCAGTCAGTATGGTCTTTATCAAGCGACTAGGAACTACGCTCGCACATTCAACGATTGGAAATATTAAATCAACTCCTGTCAATCTGTCTGTGCGCTTGCTGTCCACTTCTGTAAGTAAATTCTGCATCAAGATCTACTTGTTAATTCAGACTCATCCAATATAATATTCTAGTCAACCACCTTGTCAGACTATGTCAAGATCGTTGAAGTAGGCCCTCGAGATGGTTTGCAAAACGAAAAGACGATCGTTTCCACTCACATCAAAGTTGCATTAATCAACCAACTTGTTGCGGCTGGATTGCCCACAGTAGAAGCAACTTCGTTCGTCTCTCCTAAATGGGTTCCTCAAATGGCCGATGCCAGTGAGGTTTACAAGCTGATCACATCTGTACCTACCAAATCAAACGTATCCTTTCCTGTGCTTGTGCCCAACATGAAGGGTCTTGAGTCGGCTCTTGATGTTGGCGTTAAAGAGATTGCCATCTTTGGTGCTGCATCGGAATCCTTTTCTCAAAAAAACATCAACTGTTCTGTTGAAGAATCTATTCAGAGGTTCAAGCAGGTTGTTGAGGCTGCCTTAAAAAAAGGTGTAAAAGTTCGTGGATATGTCAGTACAATTGTTGGATGTCCTTACGAAATGGACATTCATCCTGATGCTGTTGCAAAGCTGTCCCAACGCATGTATGAGATGGGGTGCTACGAGATCTCTCTTGGCGACACCATTGGTGTTGGTAAATCATACTTGTTCTAGGTTAAAGTTTCGGATCATTTATACTAATACAAGCTTATTTTTGAATTAGCTACTCCAAACAAGATCCGCACTGTGATCGAGGCCGTATCTCGAGTCGTTCCAATCGAAAAACTAGCCATGCATTGTCATGACACATATGGCCAAGCAATTGCAAACATTCTGACATCCATTGAGATGGGTATTCGTGTGATTGACAGTTCTGTCGCTGGTCTTGGTAAGGGGTTTTTAAATTCTGTTGCATTGGAATAAGTTGTGTTTGGCGTGTTCTGATCTCAAACATGCGTGTTGTAATGTATTAAAGGAGGATGTCCGTATGCCAAGGGTGCAACCGGAAACGTTTCCACAGAAGATGTTGTGTATTTGCTGCATGGTTTAGGCATGCATACTGGAGTGGACATGCAGGCCTTGGCAACTACTGGCCACTTTATCTCTAAGCAGCTCAACAGACCAAATGGGTCCAAGGCTGGACTTGCCATGGTCAACAAACTCGGTTTAAACTAGCCTATACGAATTTCTTGATCACTGTGTAGCTTTCATTAATGGATGAATGTCACACATTTATAAGGATGCTGGTTGCCTTTTAATAAAACATGAACGGTACTTGGATCTAGATTATAACTAACGTGAATTTACACTGGGATTTCTCAATCAACGTTTCCAAACAAATTAAACAGACATGTGCTTTGATACTCAAAAAAGAGTAGTTTATTTGACATTTGCTAGCCATTTGTAAAGCAAAGCACTCTTTCGTAACATGGGTTTCTGCTCAAGCGAAAACAGTGCATCTTTAAGCATGATTCGTTTAGATGCTCGATGAACTGTAGCAGCACCAATTCCGCTGCGTGCAGTATTATCGCTAGCATCCCCAACACCTCCAGCAGATTCACCTGTATTGCTTATGGTACCACTTACACCCGTGGTGACGGATGCAACACGGATTCCATCGGATCGAGATGACGCACTTGCATTCGGTAACATCCAGCTTTTTAATGCACCTCCAGCTGCCATTAAGGCTGTCTTGTTAATGTTTTTGTTTTTGATGGCTTCAGGCATATCACGTTTGGATATACGCTTATACTTTTTTTCCTTTTCCTTTGGTGCAGTGGATTTAAGATCAGAATTGGATTGTGCCGCTACAGGTACGGATGCTCCAGTCGGAGTAAATGTGGATGCAGTAGCACCGACAGATGATGGTTTTTCTCCAGTAACGGCTGCAGACCCATTTGTAGATTGAATTGCTGTAGATGCCGAATCAGATTTCAATGTGGAAAAGGCAGCATCCCCCTCGGGTTTATCATTTTTGATATCCAGCAATGTATTAGTGGCATTATCATTAGTAGTTGCAGCTTGATTTCCAGTGACAGGAGGTGCGATGTTTATATATGCCGTATCATTGCCCTCTCCTGTTCCATCGCCTGCATCGGTTACAACGGGACCCAGCAAAGCCATCATACGCTCCTCTTCTTTTCTATCATGTTCCTCAAACACTGCAATCTCTGATTTTACATCGTCAATGGGAAGAACCTCCATAGTAATATGACTAGACACTAACTCGCGCTCAGTAGCAAGAAATTCTTCAAAATTTGCGCCAGATCTATGCTGAGAAATGGCTCGCATATGGTGGAGAAAGTTTAAAATATACACCCGTGTTGCCTGAGAAATCAATCTAGAAAATGCTGGGTCGATATTGGATATACCTGCTGTTTTAATAGCTGAAAACACCAAGACCAAAATTTTGAGGTGAGTGCGTGGTTTAATTTACAAACAATACATTTCACTATTATACAAAAATGTACTTTACAATACATCATGAGTAGATTCCTGGATTCATTCAACTTACCAAAATCCTTGATAAGCTTGTCAAGAACCGAAAGGTTTAACATTGGTGGCTCTTGCAAGCCAGGTAGTGCCATAAATTGACCTTGCGCTCCATACGTATCTGTCATGGCAACCTCTTCCTCCTACAAATAAGTTGACAATTAATACACATACAGCAAAGATTTGCAAAGTTTAAGCAAAAAATTTACTCGCAAATCAACTCCGGCATAGCTTGTCACATCCATCATGCCCTCGACATCCATCTTTGTGACATCGACTTCGGCCTTGGACTTTGGAGCGTTTGCTGTAGGTATTTGCAATTTGACTGATGACATGGATACACCAGGCGTGCTGATACTTCGACGTGATCCTGAATTGTATGCAGCATTTGCAGTCATGGCTAATACCAATAAAATCATTAGATTTGACAACATAAAAAGTGTTATCAGCAACAAAGTAGCATTACCATTCATTTTCATCCATGCAGGTTGGTATTGCTGAGATGCCTTTTGCGAGTTTCCAGAATATAACTGAGCCTGTGCTTGCTGCAGTGATGCTTGGTTCTTGGCATCATGTTTGAATCTTTTTGACCTACAGTTCTCAATTGTAATACAGTTGAAATTCAAGTAGCATCATTTCACATGTGAGTAAACATGAAAACGTGAGCTCATTGGCTGCTAAACCAAGGCAATAATTAAAAATGCATAGCAACAATGAGCGACAAATCAATTAACCTACGTTGACGCAAAATTATCCCCATGGCGCTTCGAGTTGGATAAATCTGAATCCCCGTGCCCCTAGAAAATTAAATGAATTGATGCATTTCAAAACTAAGCCAAAGGATCAAAATGGTCTTGGCAGATCATAAAAGCAAAATCTACCTTTAACGCGGAAGACTGGTTCATTAGTGACGAGGTAGAAATCAACGAACTGGACTCGCTAATAAACTGCTCTTCGTTAATTTGTTTAGCCTAGATGTTTAAAAGTAATCAGCATCAGCATTCAACTCAAGCCTTGCAAATAAAAAACAGATCCTGGCTATACTTGCCCGTAATTGATGATACAGTTTAACTACATAGTCATGCTTATCGGCAGGTATTTTGTTCAACAGAAGCATTAGATCTGGATGGAGGTTGGAGCTTTGTAAGTTTTGCTGTTTCTGTTTTGCTTGGGATTGCTGCAACCGCTGTTGTTGCTGTTGAAGCTGCAGTTGATAGTACTGCTGCGATTGCATAAACTGTGATCCAGAGAGCATAAAGGGATTGGCAGCAGAACCTTTTATGGTAGATTTGGCACTTGTGGAAGGCAATGTTCCTTGACTGTCGGATGTACTTGGAAGTGGAGCACTGTTCACATCATCCAACAGATCTTGTAGTTGTGCAAGTGGGTCATCCGTCTCGGCTTTGTCCGAGTGAGCAGTACTATATTGTGATCCGTTGGCATTGCGTTGCATTAGCACTTGGTCGGGTTTTCTGTCTTCCAGCATTGAGAGAAACTCATCGCCATCGTTGGCAGTAGTAGTGGCTTCATCCTCGTCTCCATCCTCTACTTCGTTGTCCTCTTCGTCATTATTTGCCTCTTCGTCCTCATCTTCATCTGCCTCTTCAGCTTCCTCATCCTCGTCCTCGGCTTCTTCTTCGCCATCACCTTGATCTTCTTCTTCCTCATCTTCTTCGTCGTTGTCATCACCAGCTGGAGATTCATTTTCGATCTGTCCCTGCTGTAGTTGCTGCAACTGCTGTTGAAGCCGCATATGTTGTTGAGCAAATAAATGCTGTTGTAACTGTAGCAATGGCTGCTGCTGCAAATGAAGCTGATGTTGTTGCAGTTGAAGCTGCTGCTGTTTTTGAAGCTGCTGTTTGGTTTGACGGCCTTGGCCTGGTTGTCTTGGACCAGCCATGCTCTAGCCTGTATTATCCAAGGTGAAGTTGCAAATTCAAAATTGGCGACCTTGACTTGCCACACCAATGAATCTTGTTATTCTTGCAGTATCAATCCGAGTTGCATGAATTCACTGTGGTATTTAATCTGATGATCATACCAATTTCTTGTACTGTTTGATCAACATGTCCTAATCAGATCCCATTGAAGCAATACGTCGTGACTAGAGACTTGGATGCTTTAAACCGAATTCAAAAAACTTTTTCCAATACTTTTCAACCACTCAATGAAACGAGATGAAGACCCAATTAGAAAGATAAAACCATTTAAATCACAATCGAATGCATCCAGTCATACTCTGTCTAATAAGTCGGCCAAACCAACAGTTGAGAGAGTAAGTCGACTTGTTCAACTTTGCATTTAAAGTGTTTCGTTGTATATTGTACTCACAACGATTGGGTTAGAATATGTTGGCTGGGCTTTCATTCGGTGAACTTTTGAGTGTCAGGAAATCTGTTGGTCAAAAGACTTTTAATAAAATATGGAGCAAGTCGTCTGGTGAGAGTGCAATAGGCTCAATCAAACATCAACGAGTATCTAGTAAAGCAGATTCACTCGAGCCATCTCAGAGCACGACTGTGAGAACCAAACGACAGAGAAAAGACAGTGACGAATCAGACGATATGAATGATTCTGAAAGCGATGTAGAACATGACGATGAGACATCTGGATCTAATGATCACTCTGATAATGATTCAAATGGATCCGAATCCAGTGATGATACTTCTGAATCCGAGTATAGTTCAGACAATGAGACTTGGAAAAGTAAAGACGATGCTGGTCGACAACAAGATACTCAAGAGAGCATGTCTGAAAAACCTCGGTTCAAGAAACAGAAACGGGAGAATAAGAACATGTATGTTTGATAATGAATGGATTGCATTCTTGTTTTACTGTTTCAACTCATGTCTGTCATTTAGGCCAGCAGAAATCACATCAAAAAGACCGGTTACACGCAAGAGACGAGTTGTCGAGGTTTCTAAAAAGGTAATGTCTTGAGCTGGTTCAAGGTTTGCAACGATTCAATCACTATTATCATGCTGTAAGCTAAAACTTGCTTTTTGAAAACCATGAAAATGTTACCATCTAGGCAGTGAGAGATCCTCGGTTTGAAGCGTATACGGGTGAACTCAACGAGGGTCTGTTTAAGCGATCGTATGGATTTATTGACGACTACGAACGTAGTGAGATAGCCATGCTTAAAGACGAAATCAAAAATGAACCCAATTCGGAACGAAGAGCCCAACTTCAAAAAACCATGACAAGCAAGGTAAACAGATTTGAGGTTTATACGCTCAGTTTGACATGCTAATGAATGCTTGAGTAGGTTTCAAGACTATCCACCAACGAAATAAAGGAAAAGACTCAAAAACTCAAGCGAGAATGGCGCAAAACTGAAAGTGCCAAGGTGCAACAGGGCAAGACACCCTTTTTCCTCAAAAACTGTGAGTTCAAAGTTGGATACTGTTGATTTCAGTCGGGGTTAATGTACTAACTTTCAATTGCAAACCTTAGCCGAGTTGAAACGACGTCAATTGGTAGACAAGTTCAAGTCACTCACTGAAAAGGGAATGGATCTCGACAAAGTACTTGAAAAACGGCGCAAGAAGAATGCAAGCCGTGAACACAGGCATATTCCTTCTCAGCGGAGATCTCGCTGAAACTAATAAAACAGATATCTTGAACCGTGGTTGTTTATTGAGATTATATTGGCAAGATACGATGCAAATTCAAGACTTTTTCAACCAGGCTGATTTTGTATTTAGAAAGATATGGCTGCTTTGTAGCAGCAATAAAAGGGTAGACAGGGATAAAAGCAAAAACTGTTCCATTGCTGAGCCGAATTTGAAACTATATAAATTAAACTCGTCCACCAAAGGTGGAGGTGGCTTGGACAGCCAAATTGGTACCATTGACTGAACTCTTGGCAGGATCTTCGTGCCTCAACGCAGCAATGGCTGGAATTCCGATCATCATGGTTAGCCAACAAGAATCTAAGCAACAAAGCAAACCACAGTATGGCACAGTGTCTGGTTTGAATTCAAATTCTTACCGTAAAAGGCAGTGGTAAACGTCATGAACGTAGCGGAAACAAGAATAGTGGATGCCTGTACACGAATAGAGCACCAAAGAACGATACTAAAAACTAAATACAGACATGCCTTGAACTGATTGGCCTGAAAAAAGTCCGAGACTCGTTTAAGATTATCATTTGCACAACACTTTGCACAAAAAGGCATTTCAACAAGGAAAACAATGCCAGCAAAGACCCTATTGAAGATGAACTGATCAACTAAAGGTCTGGTGGATATCAAGAGTATTACAGAGTGCTATGTAAACTAGAATTGCTTACCATCCAAGAATAGAAAAGATGATGAGTGATGAGACCAAGTTGAAGAAGCCAAAAATCACAAGGACTATTTACAAGAGCATTGTTAGCAAACAACTCGAGTATCTACTTTCGGCAGGACTGGGGAGAGTTGAGATTGAACCAGGGTAAGCAATAGCGAGTGATTTTCAAAATATTCGAATGACTCGGACACCAGTATACTTACAGAGAAAGGTCAGTATAGCAGTAAACTGTCCATAGATGGCGCATTTGCCACTCTTGAGGTCATCAACAAAAGTCATTTGTAGCTATTGGAGTGAAAGTAGAAATTCGACCAGAATTGTGGTTGTGCTGCAGCAAGAGATAGTGCCACGTGGTTACAAAGTGTTGGACGCTCAAGTCCAGATCTAATTCGACACTCGTTGAGACACTCGTTGAGACACTGGCCAATTCATGGCTGGAAATGCACTTGGTGATACTCGGCGAGTTATTTTCAGAGACAGCCCACATTATCTGCTGTCCTGTCAAGCGAGCGTGCATGGTTTGAAAATAAAAGACCAATCTAAGCTAATCTGAAACCCCAGCTGGGAATAAATGCTAGTTTACAGCTGGATTCATATAAAACAAAACACTCTTGTATCTATCCTGCAATGACTGCTTTGAGAATGTTCAACTAGTCAGTCTCAATCAAGAAAGCGCAACGAATATTAACCATTTATCATTTAAAACAATGCTCATATAATACATACTATAGTTTCGTATTGATCTTGCAACGACTCTATTTTGCTTTGGAATAAACAATCGTTACATGTTGTTATTGGAAATGGATTACTTTTTCTATTGAAACTGTTGTATCCTAAATATCACGGATACGTTTGTGCTCTAGTTCAAGAAATGATTGTACATTTCAGGAATGCAGCTGTTGTTTACATGTCAATCACCCCATGCCAAGAATATCAGATATATTGAAACTGCAGTTTGAACATTCGTTCAGCTGTATCCACTGAAACGGACAGAAAAAGATCAGTGGATTTTGTTAGCAAGTCCAAAAGCACGCAATGCTTAATAAGTTTGGTGAGAATTGATACCAACCATTCCACGAGACTGACCGTTCATCACGTTGGTATCCTTATTTAATATTTCATTCTACGTGAACACAGCCGTAAAATCCATAAACGCAGCAATGGTTGTATCGCCGCCGTAATGATCATTTGATTTGGCAACATTCTCGCTAATGAAATTTTGCAATAAATGTCAAGATTCATTACTCGTTTCTATAGTCGACTTTCCTAACCTCCGCTCGACTTTCAAATGACACTGTTACAATCTATTAAACGTTTGACTCGTTATGCAGCTGCAATGGGTGTTGGTATTGTAGCCCTTACTTTTGTCCCAGAGGTTTACTGTCATCCTTCCACAAATATCGCTAGCTCTGGCTTGGTAAATGTGGCTGCAAGTGCACCGCTTATTATTTCTGGCTACGATTTCAGTGCCTATCCTGCTGCTGATGTTCCACCTCCCATTAATGCTACATGGAATACCAAATACAATATTGCTGCTGTAAGTATCTGCATATGTTTACCTAATATATATTACAGTAAATAATCGAGATATTTTGTAAATTAACATGTGCGCACATGTTGCATTTTGAATGACTACCAATTTTACCTATGCTCAATATCTAGATTCCAAACACAATTCCAGTTAAACTGCCCATGAATTCTATGGAGATCGGACCTTGTCCACTTACTAATTCAAGCTGCGATTGGGGATGCTTTAATTGCACTCAACCTACTGACGCCGTTGCATGTCCTCAACACAACTCTTGGGCTCTGAGCTACGATGATGGACCAAGCCCGGATACTCCAGCATTGCTGGCTCTGTTGGCCAAACTCAATGTCAAAGCAACGTTTTGTGTTGTTGGTTCTAGAGTACTTGCTAGGCCTGAGATTCTCCGACAAGCATACGACGCAGGCCATCAGATCTGGTGAGCTGCTCCTTGTTTCGACTGAGCACAAAATGTGCTAAATATTCACTTTGCGCCAACTCTGAGATATTTAGTTACTGATTATAGTTTATCTGATTGTAATTAATGACGATTTGAAGCGCGCATACTTGGAGCCACCGATTTTTAACATCGCAGACTAATGAGCAGATTGTTGCGGAGTTTGAATGGGGACTTCAAATTATCGAACAAGTGACAGGTGCACGTCCTGCCTATGCTCGACCACCATTTGGCGATATGGACGATCGAGTACGAGCTGTTTTAAAAAGTATGAATCTGACTCCATTACTATGGAACAGAGACACTTTTGACTGGAATCTGGGTGATCCCAACTCTGGATTCCAGGCTGGATGGATTACTGGTAATTTTACCAATTGGATTGCAACAGCTGGAACCACATCCACAGGATTCATGTCGCTTGAGCACGATCTATATCCGCAGTCGGCGGCTCAGACTCTTCCAGCATTACAGCTTGTATACGATGCTAAATTCCAAATCCAGCCTGCTTCTACCTGTCTTGGCACCAATCCCTACACCTCAGTAGTATCTGTTCCTATTCCTGCAGTGGGTCCAAACACTGGTCGCAAGACTGGATCACAGATTGCACTTCCTACCAACCGAAATACTGGCCCAAATTCCAAGTCTGCTGGTATACTTGGTCAGTCTCCAACTACTGCAAGCCTTGTGGCTGGACTATCTGTGTTGGCCTCACTAGGTCTGCAATCAATTTGTTAGAATACTATCAATACATCCAATACTATCAATACTACTGCTCCACCATTACTACCATCACGTTGAAATAAACAATATTGTTTGAGCGTATCAATCGAATAGCATGACAATATTCAATACACTGAGTATATACAATTGGTTGCATCCACTTGAACCTATTGTTTATATGATCTCGTTGAATCAATTGAATGGGATTTATATAAAATCCGTTAAAATGATCAAGCCAGCCGCCTAATGCACTGGTTCGGGAAGTTTAGCCGCATGACATCACAAGTAAATATACTGTTTATGGTTGGACAGTCAATCCAGTCGACGTGCACGTGAACAGCTCACTGACAATTGTACAAATGTGTTGGTGAAGAATCAGGTGGATAACATGTGCTGCATTGAATGGCTAAATTAAGGGTAATAATCAATGATGTGGGCTGGCTGATTCACGTCAAGATGAATTCAAGAGGTTTGGATAGAGACCCCTGCAGTGTGTATCCGTTGGCTGAAATGGCATTACTTGAGTAAATGAGCACGTAACATGTGTAAGTACTGCATGATGTTGAAAAGGGTCAGTGTGTGATGCCGGTCCTCGCTGACAAAGCATTGCTGGCCAGGTCTTGGTTATTTACTAGAACAGTCAGCCATGGATTGATTGGTTTGCAAAAATTTAACAGGCAGATTGTTTACTCCAAAGCAATTTGCTTGAATTCAAAATCAGTAATGATTCCATTCCACATTGAAACGCCAAATAGTATCATGGCGTGAGCAATTGGGTAGTTTGCAGTGAAACACTGTTTCATCCAATACTAGCATTTTAGCAATGCGTTGGATGGTGAATCTGTCAAACAGATGCCTCGAGTCTTGCGTCTAAAGCCTCCCTCATCAATCCATATGCTGTGTTACCTTGTATTTGTGTTGTTAGGATTATAATCGGCTATAACATGTACACGCGATTTCTTCAAGTTCCATGTGCACTTTACGGATATCCCTACCGAGCACGTTTCTCGCTACTCCTAGACCCTCGACTGCTGCTCTTTATAAACCACCCCTGCTGTCGAAACGTGCAGATTTTAAAACGGTCTTTATTGCATTGTGTATTAACTATTTTTCTGCAGCTAGCCCTGACTGTTTTCGAGCCCTACTACTATCGGAACATTACCATCTCTACTTTGTCCCGATATCTGTGTTGTCCAGCTATATAATCGCTTAGATTCAAGATATTCGCTTAAACCTGTTCGTTTTCAAGAAACCTGATTTTCACCAAAAAATTGATATTGCACAATCCATACTGCTCTTGCTGATCAAAGTATCGACAGGCATTCGTCTTACTATCTGACTCGCTACACCCTAAATCAAGCCGATACAACTGCCAGACTACATGGACCAATTCTGGAACCCATCGCAATTCACAACAGCCAACAAGCCATTCAGTCATAATACCGAATCTGTAATCAACAAGCTTCCCTCACCTCCATACTCGACTTTATCTGACATGGCTTCATCCTGGTCAGTATCTAACGAAGCTAATCCAGGAACGATTGCAAGGCAACGCAACAATCAGCAGCACCGCCCAGCTCACTTTTCTCAAACTCAGCAAATCCAATCGCATGCAATGGCAGCTCCTGCACTATACAGTCGCTCTAGTGATGAACAGCCACAAGGGCGAATACTCAGCAACACCCGAGTTGACCCAACAAGCTACAACGACGCTGCTTTACTTGAAGGAGGGTCAGCACAACAGACCTTTTTCTTGCCACAAAACCAGTCACAGCGATCTAGTGTTAACATGACCTCACACCATCCTATGCAAGCAACATCCACCTTGCATTCACAGGGATCTTCCATTTTGTCCACTTCACAGCCAATGCATTCATCTAGACCAACCTTTCACCAACCAACCCAACATAGGTCACAGATGCCACCTCACAATCAATACCAACAGCAATCGACTCTATTGACATCACCACTCCGTCCTCGTTCTTTGGCAGCTCTCAGGGCTAAAGCGCGATCCTCGTCACATCTAAACTCTGTTTCGACAGCAGCCATTGCAGCAGCAAAAACAAGTAGTACAGTAGATGACAAGGAAGCATTGCGGCGAGTGGTGCATTGTGCGGTAGAACGAGAGCGTCGAGAGAGAATCAAAGTCAAGTTGGATGAACTCAAGGCGGTTATTCCATCTTGTGCCAGTATGGCTTCCACCCAAAAGATTGTGTTGTTGGAAAGTGCAGTTACTTATATCAAGAGTCTTGAGATGCTCATTGGAGATTTGGAATCAAGATTGAGTCAATATGAAGGCACTAGTAATGTGTCTGAAGAAAGATCGCCGCCGTTTAGTGAGACTCAGTTAGTGGATAGATACCCTCAGACTGATGCGGCTTCGGCTGTTGATTATGCATATAGTCCAACCAGTGCCAACGATCATCCGCATCCGCACCTTCATCATCCCTATCAACGACCACGGCATTCACACTGCACGTCCTCACCCGAATCTAGCATTGCACAACAGGCTCAGCATTCACATGCATCACATACAAGGGTAAAGTCGGAACAGCTGAATCTTAAAGGTCCAATGCACACACCCAACAACACTCATGGTCGTTTGTTGGCACCCACTCTAAAGCCAAATGTTGCCAATGTGTATTCTGCCAACACTGCACTTGTCACCACAGATGGATCGTGGGAATACAGGTCAAACTATCAGAATCCACACCAGCACACTAACCATGCTCAACAGCATCAAGAACCCACTATAAATCAACAGCAATACCCAACACATTCTCGTCGGACTTCCTTCTATGACAGTGACATATCCCCTGTGCATTCACCAAAGAACTTGTTGTCTGTCGGTAGTCTAATTACTTAGTACCACTTTCAGATTCTATTACCCATTTCATTAGCTCGGTGTTTCCATTCCGTCGACCTTCATTTTCATTATTCAACTTACGGCGGTATTCACGTAAACTGGAAACTTGTAATTTATCCTGCAGTCCGTGTCCATTCTGCTTCAGAATATACAATGGCTAAATATTCGTTGCGCTTTCATACTAGACATTGACTGCTACTTCAATAGACCATTTGAATTTTTCAATAAACACAACGTTCATCATACAACATAGTCAGATTGGTGGTGGTTGAATGGAGATGATCACTTTTTGTATAGCCATATATTGTACAATCGACAAGATTGAAACCAGGTTCATGTATTGTAATCTAGATATTGAGTTGGATTGTTTTGATGCGGTCAATACAATCCATATTGTGTTTTAATATCAGATACATTCGCATCCTAGTTTAAGTGAGTCAAGATGACATTCTCAGCAATGCAACAGCTGTTTCCATGCCAATCGTCAAGAGAAAGAACAGTAGACTAAAAGGTTTAGAAAGCAGTATTATCCAGTGAGTTTGACACCAATGATTGTATGGTACTGGATGTTTATTATGTATTTTGACATTTATATTTAGTTCCATTTTACGTGGATACAAATTCATTCTTGGATCATTTAGGTGGAAAATAAATGCATTCATATTGGATTGTTCATCACAATATAATCTAGATGTGAGTTGATTGTATACATTGATGTCCAAATTGAGTGGCAATTTAAACTATCGACAACTGTTGATGCGGACAAATCATCGATTCAGTTTGATGGGCCGCATATTGACTAAACAGAAAGTCGACAGGCTTGGTGTTATGCGGTGACTGTAGCTAAGCGATTGTACCCTGTATAGTGATTGAAAGGGTCACCAGACATCAGGGTCATAAGTGAAGATGTAATAATTGACACAACTGTGGTAGTCAATATAGGATTTCCAACTTTAATTCAAGCCAAGCATTCAGGCATTATCAACCTTGATTCTTTTAGGGTTAGATATCCCAGCCCTATATTAATGCCGACATTTGTCCCTGATATGCGGCATCAACACAGCAATAATGTATAAAAATATTCCAACCGATGGTTATGATGGTTATAAAAGCAGGCTCGTTGATCTTCATTAATACATACATAGTTATACTTGATCAAATGAAATTCACACACATCTCAGCCTTTACAATTGCAGCCTTGGCCACCAGTGTCCATGCCATTTTGCCACAACCCAGCGAGACAATCGACTCTGTTGATCCAAGTCCAAGTCCAAGTCTAAATAGCCAAAGTGTTCCACAAGCAACAAGTGGTCCGGAATTTCCGAGTACTTCAACAACTCAAGGTCCTGGCGGCAGTCAAGGCGATCATTCAAACCAGACTCCTAGAGTTCGTCTAAAGTCTTATGATCTCAGTGGGCTTTTACGTAATATTCGAAAAAAACATAAATCTAATCATCAAAAAACCAAAACACAACCTCAGTATAGACATGTTGGCACTATTGATTTATTCCTAGAATCGCTTTTAAATATACCGCAACTTTCAGAATTGGACTATCAAGGTGGTGACTACGGACTCGCAGATCACGTTGAAGAAAGTCCAAGACAGCAGCAACCTATTGACTTATTCTTGGAATCATTTTCAAGTATACCGCAACTTTCAGAATTGGGCCATCAAGGTGGTGACTACGGACCTACGTATCACGTTGAAGAAAATTCAAGACAACAGCAACTTATCGAAGTAATAGCGAAAGGCATTAATGCTGAAACATCAAAGTTTAAAAAACATTTACTTTTGCTTTCCATATATTTTGACATGTACGAAGTATGGGTCAAGAATATTCTAAATTTCCTTGATGTATTTGAAGCCACTGGACTAGTATCTGAGTTTATCAACGGGCTTGGAAAGATTTTTAAAGAATTTCTGGAGATTATCCATGTAGTTTATGGAAGTATTTATCAAATAGTTTTGCATTTAAACAAGGATTCAGGTTTGCTCGAAAATGCAGTTAAAGCTATGTTCGATTTAGCTGACCAATTTATGAGCAGACAAATGGATGCACAACAGCTATTCAAAGAGTTATTTGAGCGTTATTCTAAAATTGACTGGTACCACATGAATTTGGGACTAGAATTAGCTTTATGGCTCCAAGAGTTAAAAATGACAATGCAAATATACAATGAATAAAGCTACATCCAACTACTTTATCAAACTACTGACATGGTTTGCAAGTCAACTGTGATTTGTTTCCATGGTCATCAACTGATTTGAATAAACCATTGCATTTACAATTTTGATCGAGTTTATAATGTTTGTAGATTGGGTTGGATGTGAGTCATGGTTGATGACTGATGACTGATGGTTGAAATACACTAATATTTGTATTACATCAATCGCAATAGTTGCACAACTGGTAATATACATGATATTGGCATCATACTCTGTCAAGTTGTACAACTACGCACACACATCAAGAGTCCCAAATCAGATAGTCAAAATAGTATTTTGAATTTGGCAAACAGCTTGTCAAGTCGTTTGACTCTGCCGAGACATTCAAGCAGCAGTTTACAGCAGCAGCTCTTGGTGTATTCGGATCTGGTTGGGTGTTTCTTACTTGGACTCCTTCGAGTTCTACCATGTCGATCGTGACCACTGCTAATCAAGATCATCCCGAGTTTGCACCTCAGTTTGCAGGTACTGGTGCCATGACTTTACTTGCTCTTGATGTCTGGGAACATGCCTACTATGTCAAATACCGCAATGTTCGTGCCAACTACGTTGCTGCCTGGTGGAGTGTCATCAACTGGACCGATGTTTGTACTCGTTTCCAAGGTGGTGCTGCCAAACTGTAAATCAACAGCAACAGCAACAACACTGATCATTGCAGCATTTATATTTTGTCAAGCAATCCAACTTGATATCATGAATAAATACAAGATTGTTATATCGATATGCTGATTTTATTGACTTTTTGATCTGAAAACAACCATTTTACAATATACTCACAAATATATCGATTCAGAGTCACGGCTTGGATATAGTAACGGCATTGCAGAGTGTATGATCTGATGACCAGAAACTGTCATTGGATCACTGTTGGCTGTAGTTGCAGTTTCAGTTGTAGTTGTAGTGGTTGGAATGGCATATACACGACTGATCTCTTGTGAAAGTGTGGATAAAGCCTGTTTGCTATTCACCATACACATGGTTGCTGGCCATATCATGAACCAATAGTGGACAATCCAATTGAACCCAAATTGTTAATGTTGATTGTGGGTGTGAATGTCGTCAAGTTGATATATTGATATAATCTAGATGTGAGTTGATTGTATACATTGATGTCCAAATTGAGTGGCAATTTAAACTATCGACAACTGTTGATGCGGACAAATCATCGATTCAGTTTGATGAATAGTATATTGACTAAACAGAAAGTCGACAGGCTTGGTGTTGTGCGGTGACTGTAACTAAGCGATTGTACCCTGTATAGTGATTGAAAAGGGTCACCAGACATCAGGGCCATAAGTGAAGATGTAATAATTGACGACACAAAACTGTGATAGTCAATCTACTAGAATAAGATTTTCAGTTTGGATTTGAACCAAGCATTTGAACATACACTGTCAATCTTGACCCTTTTAGGGCTAACCACCCTAGCCCTGTGCAGATCTACTTTAGCATACAACACCTTACCGTGTATTCATACTGGCCCTTATCCCTGATCTGCGGAATAAACACATAGCAATAATGTATAAAAATATTCTAATCGATTGTTGTGATGGTTATAAAAGCAGGCTCGTTGACCTCCAATAATACATACATAGTTATACTTGATCAAATGAAATTCACACACATCTCAGCCTTTACAATTGCAGCCTTGGCCACCAGTGTCCATGCCATTTTGCCACAATCCAGCGAGACAATCGACTCTGTTGATCCAAGTCCAAGTCCAAGTCTAAATAGCCAAAGTGTTCCACAAGCAACAGGTGGTCCGGAATTTCCGAGTACTTCAACAACTCAAGGTCCTGGCGGCAGTCAAAATAATCATCCAAACCAAACTCCCGGAGCTCGTATAAAGTCTTATAATCTCGGTGGGCTTTTACGTGGTATTGGGAAAAAATACAGACTTGGTCGTCAAAAAACCAAAAACCAATATGAACGAGGTGGCAAGATTGATTCACTATTGATGGCAATTACAAATATACCGGGATTTTCACAATCGGGCTATCAAGGTGGTGCTCATGGATCCACATATCTTGTTAAGAAAAACTCAAGGCAGCACCAACGTGCTGCCGAAGCAATACTGAAAGGCATGGGTTCTGGACCAAATCTTCAAGAAACCAATTTTAGAGCGGAATTGGCTTTATTTTGGTCATACCTTGGTAGCTACGAAAGATGGATCTATGATATTTTAAGTCTTGTTAATAGATTTACACCCGATAGTCAACTAGCATCCGAGTTTGTCGACGATCTTCGAGAGATTTTGGACAAGCTTATGGAAATTTTCAAATTGCTTCGAGTAGAAATTTACGAGGAAATACTTGGTTTAAATAGGAATCCAAGTTTAATTGGAGAGGTAATTGAAGATATACTCAGTCTAGTAACCCAGTTTATTAGCAGGCAAACGGATCTACAAGAGCTGCTTGAAAGATTATTCAGTCATCATTCTAGAGGTGACTGGTATAACACGAATTTGAAACCAGAATTGGATTTATGGCTCCAAAAGTTTAAAACATCAATGCAAAGATATAATGCATAAAGCTACATCCAACTACTTTATCAAACTACTGACATGGTTTGCAAGTCAACTGTGATTTGTTTCCATAATCATCAACTGATTTGAATAAACCATTGCATTTACAATTTTGATCGAGTTTATAATGTTTGTAAATTGGGTTGGATGTGAGTCATGGTTGATGACTGATGACTGATGGTTGAAATACACTAATATTTGTATTACATCAATCGCAATAGTTGCACAACTGGTAATATACATGATATTGGCATCATACTCTGTCAAGTTGTACAACTACGCACACACACATCAAGAATCCCAAATCAGATAGTCAAAATAGTATTTTGAATTTGGCAAACAGCTTGTCAAGTCGTTTGGATCCATCGAGACATTCAAGCAGCAGTTTACAGCAGCAGCTCTTGGTGTATTCGGATCTGGTTGGGTATTTCTTACTTGGACTCCTTCGAGTTCTACCATGTCGATCGTGACCACTGCCAATCAAGATCATCCCGAGTTTGCACCTCAGTTTGCAGGTACTGGTGCCATGACTTTACTTGCTCTTGATGTCTGGGAACATGCCTACTATGTCAAATACCGCAATGTTCGTGCCAACTACGTTGCTGCCTGGTGGAATGTCATCAACTGGACCGATGTTTGTACTCGTTTCCAAGGCGGTGCTGCCAAACTGTAAATCAACAGCAACAACATTGATCATTGCAGCATTTATATTTTGTCAAGCAATCCAACTTGATATCATGAATCAATACAAGATTGTTATATCGATATGCTGATTTTATTGGCTTTTTGATCTGAAAACAACCATTTTACAATATACTCACAAATATATCGATTCAGAGTCACGGTTTGGATATAGTAACGGCATTGCAGAGTGTATGATCTGATGACCAGAAACTGTCATTGGATCACTGTTGGCTGTAGTTTCAGTTTCAGTTGTAGTGGTTGGAATGTCATATACACGACTGATCTCTTGTGAAAGTGCGGATAAAGCCTGTTTGCTATTCACCATACACATGGTTGCTGGCCATATCATGAACCGTGATGGAATTTTGTACAGTCGAACAAGCTCCACCATTGAGTTTATGAATGCATCTCGAACCAAGAGCGGACAGTCCAATCGAGTCCCACTTTGTTCTATATTCAATAATTATGAGTTTACTGATGGTCACTGTATTGATCCATCATCTGCAGTAATTTAAATGTGTTTACCTAAAGAAACCGCATCGTCTATGCCATTCATCTCAAGAACATGAACAGCATCTTTGGCGGTTTTGTACTGCACAACAGTGAATACATGCAAAGAGTGAGCCTTGCTTTTTTTGAGTAGTTCAGACACGGAGAGTGACAAGGCTAATAGTTGAGCACAACTTGTGAGACAAGTATGCACTGCAAGCCAGACAGTCTAATTCAACACAGTTGGTTTGTATTAGATGAATAAACCAATCGTATTGCATGTATGCCGAGTCAGCACAATGGCTTCATGCCAACTCATGCCATCAATCAAACATTGGTCAAACTTACAGGAACAGCATCGGCTCCATTCACTGCTGAGGATGCGAGCTGATAGATAGTGCCAGATACTACAATACTTTCTAAATCAGAAACACTGCCGACTCTATGGATCTTGGTTTGCTCTTGTTGTGGTTTGATTGCAGTAGCATCTGGCCAGCACAATCGAGCAGTAAACGACTGGCCAGTGAGTTGGTTACTCGATACTGGCAAAAGACTGGCATCAAGATGCACTAGATCGTTGTATACAAAAAACACTCTTGCATTCTGTGGAATCACTAATGCATCTGCCAATGAGAGCAGTGGCATATTCGCATCAGTGGTCGATACAACTGGCACAACCAACATTATCTGCAGTTTAAAATGGTGGATTGGATAAACTCGAGTTGAACATTTGACTTTTGCTTTTAGATACTTTTATATACTTTTCAGATACTTTCAGATACTTTGTACTAATATTGGTGTGCAATTCATGGAAATACAAACAATATAATTCCAACTATAATCAAAGACTTGACATGATTTGGTGGCAGTAGAATGCATTTTTATGCAGATTTCTACGGTAAAGTCCAATTATTGTATATGTTGCTATATGCCATTGTGCACAACACTGTAAACAGTGAGTTGAATTTGTCATCATGATCGACTAGAGTGTTTTAGATTGCAAAGTGGATTGAACAGCGCTGCAATAGTTTAATTGCTCGTCCTGTCCTGAGGACCACCGAATGCATCAGAAAACATTGATCAAGACTATTTATCTCATGAGTCGACCATCGTTGAGCTGGGCAGTATCAACAGCCGCTACACTATGCAACTTGACAAGACCGGTGTATCGCTACCATCGAATTGCATCAATCACAAAGCATGAATGGTTCAATGCAACCAGACCATCATACTTGACTGGTAGCATACATACATCATATTGCGCTACTCGCCATCATTCGATATCCAGCAACGACTCTGATTCTCCAGTAGACGCAGGCTTGAATGTCTCTGCAGACAGAATGATCATTGGCTTTACATGTAAAGTCTGTAAACATCGCTCTTATAAATCCATGTCAAAAAAGGCTTATACGACTGGCGTGGTTATGATCAAATGCGACGGATGTAAAAACACACACTTGATTGCTGATCATTTGGGATGGTTTGATTCAACGAAACCGCCCGGAACGATTGAGGATATTATGCGAGAAAAAGGAGAGACTGTTAAACGAGTGCAGTATCCTATGCAATATCACATTAGTAAAAGCAATGCGACCAATAAAGATGACTCGACTGAACACGACACTGATGTTGATACGAGCATGACTGGAATGTCAGAATGGCATCCTGATGCGACTGCAGATGCGATTGAAAATGTGATTGCAGATGCAGAAACGGATATGATTACATTGCAAGAACAAAATGATGAATCTATCAAGAACCAAACTCGGATAAAATAAATCGTTATATAGTCATTAAACTTTGCTCGTTATGGGTGTCATCGAGTTGATATCATGACTCAAATGCCAATATCTGTTAAAATTCTCCGCGGCGAATTTCGATTATGGCCAATGATATGTCTGCATTTATTTGATTCATGTCACGTGTAATGTGCACGTTTAAACTGTTTGTTTAAAAAGAAAATTTGTGGTTTTCAATCCACCTCACTAACAAATTCTTTGGTGAGGCTGTATTGCTGCCTATTTGGTTGTGCCATGAACTGGTTTTTGAATAATCAAAATCTCATCATAATATGGTGTCACTACAAATTCATAAGAGCGCTGCACTTTTTGGCATCTACTTTGTATAGATCAGTCAAATGATTCAAGTCTACAAACTCGGTCGATTCATTGGAAGGACGCTGTTCACTACACGATGATTAAACGTTGCACTTTCAGAATTACTTTCCTTTGGAATATATTCTGTTATATTGCTTCATGAATCTCTCATTTCTCATTTGCTTATCTAGGCAATTGAGTGGTGAGAGACACTCGTGCTGAGCAACTTGCCATTTACCCATAGCCTATGCTGTAGTCGATCATGTATTTTGTGTAAATACTCATGGTGTCATGGGATTTGCTATATAAACGATGGCTGTTTTGTTTCGAGTATTTGCACTAGTATACTGTATTGATTAGCGGATGGCTATGGGCAAACTCCTATGAATCACTGAGATGCAGCCCAGCTACTGTATTTTTCAATACTTTGCTGCTCTTGTTTTGTCAGTGACACTCTTATGGAGTTTTGAGCAGTCTTGTTTTCTTATAATATTTATTTACTTACCTGTTGTGTATGTCAATATTTTATCGATTGATTTGTTTGATCTTGCTATATTATTGGGTATTGGCAGCCATGGTTCGTGTTTCCGTTCTTGCCGATTGTCTCAAGTCCATTGTCAATGCCGAAAAGGCCGGCAAGCGCCAGGTTCTTATCCGTCCTTCTTCAAAGGTTATTGTCAAGTTCCTTTGTGTGATGCAGAAGCACGGTAGGTTTATTTTTGTGTTTTATATATATATTCGACGATATAACTGGACGTTGTCGGACGGAATTGTCGGTGGACACCCGTTTTTTAAGTCTTCGATATAATGAAATGTGAAGCCCTTACACCCCTAGTGTGTTACACCATCGCACTCGGGTTTTAAGGCATCACGATATTTTTGTATATTTTGCTCGTGATACCGATTTTTATTCAGCAATCTCACTCTAATCTTTGCTTGATAAACTAGGTTACATTGGCGAGTTTGAAATTGTTGACGATCATCGTTCCAACAAGATCGTTGTCCAGCTTCTTGGCCGTATTAACAAGTGCGGTGTTATTTCTCCTCGCTTCAATGTCAAGCAAAAGGATATTGAGACCTGGATCAACAACCTTCTTCCATCCCGTCAGTTTGGTTTCATTGTTTTGACTACATCTGTTGGTATCATGGACCATGAGGAGGCTCGTCGCAAGAAGACTGGTGGCAAGATTCTAGGTTTCTTTTACTGAGTCAATAAACTGTCTCGAATAATATATTTATTGAAATTGTTTCCATATCGTTACTGGCTAGCTGTGAGTTTTTTGGTCCTGTAAGCAAAGATATGTGCTATTGGATGAATTTTGTCAGATTCTAGTTACCATCCTCGACCGAATTTTCGCTGTAACCATGGATTTTCTAAAGCCTATATTCAAGCTGAGCATCCGCCAGGTGTGTTGAGTATTAGTATTGCTCATGCTATCCTTGTAGACTGGACTACTCTCATGCTTAAAACGGCAGCAAGAGCAGACTGTTGTCAACACCACCCTTGCAGCAGCAACATACCACTGATTTGCCATGATTCGATACAAGATGATATATGACCCTACTTTAATGCACCTTTGATCTAACCCAGTCCTGTCATGTATGGAATTCAACACTGTCTAGCTAGCAGCTCAACTACTACAGTTTTTCATGATTGTTTCTTCAGCATTGATGATCTGGAAGACCATGGCAGTTGGATTCAACTCCGAGTCTCCTATTGTCGTGGTTCTCAGGTACACCAAGCACTTTTGAGCAAACAATTGACATGAATAGACTAAAGCGAATGATTCAAACTAACTCCTTTGCAACTCTGACTGATTTATGAATCCAGCGAGAGTATGGAACCGTCATTTCAGCGTGGTGATTTACTTGTACTGTCAATGTTTTCGGATCCGATCCGAGTTGGTGATATCTGTGTTTACAAAATCAAGGGCAAAGATATTCCCATTGTTCATCGTGTATTGGAACTCCACGAAAGGTAGTGTATGACTTTTAACGATACTGATCTAGTGATTGCGAGGCTATGTTATCTTTATTCATGGTGGATGTGACTAACATGTATACATTGTATGGTTTTTATCATGTTGTTTTCTGACATGTGCTTAGTCAAACGAGCAACAAGACACTGATATTGACCAAGGGTGATTATAATCCTGTGGATGACCGTGGTCTTTACAATCGTGGACAGCTATGGATCGAGCCAGAGGACGTTGTTGGTCGCGTCGTTGGGTAAGTCGAGTGTTTGATCCAAGCTGAATATTCAAGAGGCTGACCTTTTGGAATGTGATTTAGACATATTCCATATATGGGCATGCTTACCATTATACTCAATGATTACCCACAACTCAAAGCAGTGATGCTTGGTTTCCTTGGGATATCTGTGTTACTCAACAAAGAATAAAAGGTGTTTGTCCAAAACGAAATTCAGTGTTGATCTGTTAATGTTATATATATTGTGTCCAGTATGAGACAAATAGAGGGTAAAAAACATTTTACTAGTACACACGGAGGGCTCAGAATGCCCTCAAAGATAGGCCGGAAGTAGATTAGAACTAGACAATGCAGCGTAATAGGGAATCTGCTCTGAAAATACAAATTATTCCCAATAGATGCCATTGAAAAGGCTGATTTAGCGCATTAGAGTGCCATTAAACCAAAAAGGCCAGCCATGGCAGTAGCAACAAGCATAAAGGGTAGCGAGGTAGTGACACCTTCAACTCCACCATTTGGAACGGACACACCACCAGCACTATTACTGCCACCAGAATTAGTACCACCACCAGATTTGGGAGGAAGTGGAGCATTGCTAGTAGGCTGCGATGCAGGAGCCGAGGCGAGGTCAGGGTTAGCCGCACTAGCAGGCCACTTGGGAACAGGCTGGTCATTGTCATCGTAGCATTGAATGTCAATGTATTCATAAGTGGCAGATAGAACGGTCTGCGATCCCCACGGAATAGGGCCACCAGCCCAGTTGGAAGTACCGGCATTTGGAGATGCGCCACCATCCCACACAGAGATCTGAATGAGAGAAGGAGTTGATGGATACCATTTTTCTCCAGGCGGAGTCAAGGGCGAAACAGAAGTATTCTTATTCAGAGTGCGCAGGATCTTGCCATCAATACCCCATGAAAGAGTATCGTGTTTCCAATCAATGATGTAGTCATGAGCCACACCCGTATCACCACTGCTAGCACCAGCAGCAGGAGGAATAGTCTCAGTAGTAGAGTGGATTGCAAACTCTTGGATGCCTTTATAAAACACATTAGTCTGAGCAGTCGTCTTTGAAGCACCCACTGTTTCCCTGTAATGAATTAAGACAAAAAGGTTGAAGAAGCATCATTAGTATAAGCTTAACACAACGCCACTGACAATTCATTATGGGAACTCACCAGTCTATTTCATCATGACGGTCAGACATAGTAATAAAGGTGGTGACGGTTCCAGGGACGCTCAGAGCAGTAAACCGAGCAGTGATTTTGGCATACTGAACATATCGAGTAGTGGACAAACGCACACCATCGGCAGCAGTTCCAGCAGGGTTTTTTTTAAGCTGCAAACTTACACCGCCAGTGGGATTGAATACCACTGCTGCCGAGCCATAATCAATGAGAGCATCATAAGTGGCGACATTCAGGTCAGGTATAGTAGTTCCAGGATGTAGGTTGGCATAGGTACGACGAGGATCGAAGTTGATTCGACCACTAATGCAGTTTCCAGTAACATTGGCTTGGCCATTTACAGAAACAGCTAGCAGAGCAAGTGTAGCGGATAGAAAAGATACGACAAGCATTTGCCTATTAAAGTGACAGAGATGGTGCTATATAAAGTAAAGATGGTTTCAGCAAATGTTTTACAAATACAAGCCAATAGTATAATAGGGGTAACTGATAGCTGAGCCATTCTACCAAATTACGTTGAAACAGGCCAATCAAACACGTTGATTCTGGCCTACTGTTTGAAATACCCGCAAACCACAGCCTGTTGCAGCAATGGGCTGAGGTTGTCAAGCATGGCTGGAGCAAGAGCCCATGCTATTGGCATAATGGGCTTCAAGTCTAGAAAATGTGCTGATTTAAAGCATAATGGCTTAGTTTTGTTTGATGGTTTTAATAACTAAACAACACAGTTTACCTTGGCTGGCTTTATATCTCGGTTTCACTTGTGCTAAAGTTGTCCTAATGGTCAGGATTGACTGAAATGGGTTTGACTCGAGTAGTTATATATACTTGTTTTTTCCTGTAGAGATGCTACCAAATAGACATGCGGATGAACAACCTGAAGTCGCTTATTGCGGCAATAGCATGAACACAATATTACTTGTAGCATGGATGAATCTATCAGATTAATCCGATAAAGCAAAGCTACCGAATGACGGATATAATATATACATGTAGATCCAGTAGTACACAGGTGTTGGAGATTCCGATATTTGATAGATAAAAATGATTCATCCGCAAGTCATGGAGCGCACAAGTAAAGATTATCCATCGCCGATTCCATCAAGGCAGTTGCAAGGGAGAGCTGGCCATCGCTATATAACTGCCAAAATGCAACTGGTTTTCTGATATTTTTATCTTGATCACTCAACACTTATTAGCATTTGAAATGGCCCCCATTCAACAACACCACCAAGTCGTCGTTATTGGCTCTGGTCCTGCTGGCCATACTGCTGCCATCTACCTTGCTCGTGCTAACCTCACTCCTGTCATGTTCGAGGGCTTTCTTGCTGCAGGTTCGTATCTGTTTTGATCTAGTGACTCAATCTACACCTGGCTTTCCAATCTCTATCTAGTGACATACTGCCTCAGTTGGCAGCTGTTTATATACTTGCCATTCACATTGATGTTTTGGGTTGTACTTTACCCATGATCCGCTGATAATTTACAGCCGTATATTCATGTAAAATGGATTATTTTTTGTATTTATTCTGCAGTGATTACTTTGGAATAGACAGTGGTTAAATATTCGTTACGCTCTGCTATTAGAATGACTAGTTCAATACACTTTCAAATACAGCATCCATCACATAATGCAGACTGTAGTTTTGAACTGAGATGATCCCTTTTTCCACTTTTGGCATAGCCATACATTGTGCGATCACAGCAATCCAGATATTGAGCTCGACTATTCTCGATACAAGTCTGTACAAATCCATCCTTGTTGTATCTTAATGTCAGATACATTCGCGCTCTAGTTCAAAAGAACAAGGATTGCATGTCTTGGGAATACAACTGTGCATACCAACCACCAAAAGACTAGTAAACCTTGTCAAACAGTTCATGGCACAATATTGTCCAGTAAATTTGGTGCAAATTATATATTTTGAACCCCTTGTTTAATATTCTATGTGAATATGACTAAATGTTTGATCTAGTTGTATTTGCTTACTCCTATGCTCTTTTATTTGGATCCTGCAATCAGCACCAAGCATTTGCTTTGGATATTTTAGTCTGCTACTCAACTAACTCTTATTCCATTTTCTGAATCTCATTTAATAGGTGTTGCTGCCGGAGGTCAGCTCACAACTACCACTGAAATTGAAAACTGTATGTTTTGATGTGTTAAATCATAATGCAGTCTTTTGTCAAATTCGATATTTGATTAATTAATCGGCTTAATGTTTAAATATTGACCCTCAAGTTCCTGGATTCCCTGAAGGTCTCAGTGGACCTGAACTTATGACTCGGGTATGCCATTTACATTATGACAATTATATAAATTACAAAGTGCACTACCTTTTAATTCAAATATGCTATTTTTTCAACATCTGCTGCTTTATTCAATTGTTTAGATGAGAGAGCAATCCATCAAATTTGGCACTACCATTCATACCGAAACCATTTCTCGTGTTGATCTATCCAAACGTCCATTTAAGCTATGGCGCGAAGGATCAGAAAAGGATGAAGATGCGATCCTTGCAGACTCGGTTGTAATTGCCACTGGAGCTACTGCCAAGCGGGTATGTATTTGGATACAAGGTTAGATTTGAGTATAAGCAAACACGACTTACACTATTTTGCTTGGTCCGTCATTTCAGCTCTTTATTGAGGGTGAGGATGTCTATTGGCAAGCAGGTATCTCTGCATGTGCTGTTTGTGATGGCGCAGTTCCAATTTTTCGCAACAAGGGTAAGTGTTTAGTACTTGGGTTGTTTCAACTTCACACTGCTCATTTGCAAACCTAGTTGTATTTTGATGGACAACTGATGATTGCATTGAATCTTAGTTCTTGCGGTTGTTGGTGGTGGTGATTCTGCTTCTGAAGAGGCAGTTTTTCTCACAAAGTATGCTAGCAAGGTGATTGTGCTTGTGCGTCGCGACAAGCTCCGAGCATCCAAGGTTATGGCCGATCGTCTTTTGAAGCATCCTAAAATTGAAGTCATGTGGAACAAGGCTCCTATTAAAGCAGAGGGTGAACGACTTCTCAACAATCTTGTGATTGAGGACACTGTAACCAAAGCTCGTAGCAACCTTGCCGTTAATGGACTTTTTTATGCCATTGGTCATACACCCAACACAGACATTTTTAAGAATCAGTTGAAACTGAGAGATACTGGGTATATTCAGGTATTTTCTAATCAAGACGTGCCATCGACGTATACCAGTGTGGAGGGAGTGTTTGCTTGTGGGGATGTTCAGGATCATACCTATCGACAGGCCATTACTGCTGCTGGATCTGGATGTATGGCCGCACTGGATTGTGAGAGATGGCTAGAAAGCCAGCACTAGATGAGTTGATTCCTCGAATGCTTTGCTGGGTTAAAGAGAAATAAACAGCGTTACTTTTATTCAAATCAGCCGACTTTTTGTAAACACGTACAAGAATCAGACTTACAAATATTTTTATTATATTGAAACATTTTTATGAAAAGAATGCAGGTCCAGGTGGAAAGGCACTCGAGCATATCATGTCAGCCCGAATGATAATAAGAATGTGTAGGCTAGACATGATATAGACTCGTATTAAAAGCGTATCAGATTGAAATGCAAAACAGTAGGACAGCAAAAGAGCTATCAACAGCCTCGACACATCAAGCAATACATTCAACATAGCATCCGCTTCATATACACTCAAATTTTAATCTGGCCCAATGTCTTGATCTAAAACTCAAGAAAGTATTTACACAGTTTCTTCAAAGTCTTCGCAGTAAAGGAACCTGGTTAGACGTTCGTCAAGCAGTATATCCAGTCGTGCAAGGGTGGTCAATACATGAAGTACACGATCTTTATCTGCCGATATAGTTTGAGGCAAATAGGTCTTGATGTGAGATAATGCATCTTCAACTGTGGTGGCATCATGCAAAACCGTTTGTTGACCTATACATGATTGTCAGGTTTAGTAAATTGCTATCCAATCCAACATGTAGTTACAGTCTTGATAATTGAATACAAAACATGGCATACCTAGATTGTTACACATGAGTTTCCATCGCGGACTTTGACAAAATCTACTGAATGCGTCATTGAGTAGTCCAGCAACATGATCAAATGCATCCCGGTAGCACTCGATACTTCCAGACTGGATGACATGCAAGACTTTTTTGCGAATTTTGTGAGACACATTGAGTTCAAACGACGCATTTGGAGCAAAGTAAATGGCATACATGTCCTGTGCAGCTTGTGAACACTCTTCTGGTGTAGCATACGAGTGATGTCGAAATAGCTCGACATCCAATAAAAAAAACTACAAGATACAAGCGTTAGTATTCAAATAAGCAGTCTATAAACAGCGATGAGCCAGATTATACCAGATTTTCAATCGACTGTTCTTGCAGCAAATGGGTGATAAAGTAGCAGAGTGGAAGACAACTCAGAAGCATGACAGACAGTCCTTCACGGGAAATACTCTTGATGCTGACATCTGTAGGATCACGTAGTAAACGAGATGCTGTCATATGAGTCTCTTCCCATGCGATTGCAGCGGCAGTACGAAGCGAACGTTTAATACTTTGAGAAAGAGTTATATTTGAGCATGTGCTGGTGCTATGGCGACTAGTGATGGTAGAAACAGAACCACTGGATGTACTGGATCCGATGTTGCTGGTTGCTGGCTGAAACAGGTTTGGAGTGTTGCTCTGCGCGACTGTAGAATCAAGATTGGACGACTTGATCGAGTTGGACCGAGTCTTGAAAAAAGAACGAAGTTTCGATGGACGTTTTCGTGGTTCGGATGGTGACGGGAAAGACATGGCAGGAAAAAAAGACGGCAGAGAGGGCAATGGAGGGATGATAGGCTCTGCATCATCTGGCTCGGACTGAACAGGCAAAGCCAAAAGAGTAGTGTCGGATGGATGAGACGGAAAGAGTTGCGACATGCACTGCATTTTTGAAAGACTCTCTGTGCCAGGTGCAGCAGACGATTGCATCTGATGAGAAGCAGCGCATGCAATAGAGGCTGCTCCGTGGGTATAAGTGTTGACCTCATCACTTGTAATGGGATATTTATACAAGCTGTCTTTGCCGACAGCAGCGACCGATTCACTCGATTGAGAGCTAGGACTGCTGGTTAGATTAGTCATTGTAGTAAACGGTATGGACTCGTTTGAAGAACTTGCAGCAGAAAACCTTGTAGCCATGTGCACATAGGATGATGAAGGAGAAACGTCGATTGGATCCAAGGTAAACTGTTGTGCCAGAGCCTCTGATGCAGCCTGAGCCAAGACACTTATGTCTGCATTGGAGAATGTCATGAACTTGGGTCGCTGTGTACGATAGCTGAGCAACGCCAATGATATTGGAGTGGAATGCATTGAACCGGACATAAGACTCGAACATTCTGTATATTCATTCCTCAGCGATGATGATTCAGATTTGGCAGCAGTGGATAGTGCAGACATGGATGCCAAGACTTTTTTGGATATCTGCGATGTCGTCATTGCATGTCTGAGAGCAAGATCCATATCGTTGGTCTTCTTTGGCTGTCTTGTAGGCTGATTCTTTGTTTCATCAAACGCAACGGCGGGATTGGGGTTGCCTACATCAACCTTACTGTCAAACCTTGAAGCTCCTTTAGCGACCTTGGAAGTCGATGTCCAGCCTAACGAAGGCAGTGCAAACATGGTTGGCATTGCTAGTATAGTAGTGAGAGCGGCTGCGAGAGTTATGGAGTGATTGCAATCGATTGTCCAGCTGCTTGTCAATATAACATGAAACCTTGACTAGGTTAAGGTTGAGAATCAACAAGTTTGAGTAGTGTTTGATGCTGGGCGCGAGTCAATGGCAGTTATGCCTGGTAATAATAGGGAATCGGATTGCACCAAATATCTTGGGTTTAGGATTAAATAAATCCAGCTTGTTACAAATCCAACGCAAGAAACCAAGCCCAAGACTAACATAGCCTTTCATCAAGGTGTTAGCGGTCATTTGCCAAATGAATGCGATTTGTTTGCACTGCCTTGGTTTACAACAACAAGAAAGCGGCAGTCCAAGTGCTAAACTACAATCAAGTGCTGTCCAAGCTGTTGCGGTCAGCTCTTGCTATCCATTCGTACCTCGGTTTGTTTGAGAATCGATGGTCAAGTAGTCCAACCCGATTGTCATTGGCTTATCCATCTGCATAACCGTGGGGTGGTGTAGATCACAAGTGCATCTTGTATGTTATGATTCGCTATCTTGAATGCTACTTTCAAATCCTGCAAAGGTTTTGACCAGCCCTTGCTTGTCTATTGAAGCACAAATGGTACCTGAAATGCATTATATCTCGTCCATTAACATCAATCCATTCCAAAAGCCACATCTGCTCAGTACCCATCTCTAACTTGACCTCTGCCGTTGCTTGCAACCAGTGTCAATTGTTTGATCACACTTGTGTGGTATAGCCAAATATTAAAAAGGCTTGTGTTTTACCCATCCAATTGAAAACACAATCATTAAAGCAGGGCTATCAAATACAAAAAATAGAACTTTTAAATGAATAAGCAAAATGCAGTTAATTTACGTTTGCTGCTTGAAAGCCTTGATATGGCTATAAGCAAATATACTTGAAACTAAAAATGTGAAAATGCAAAGCATTGGTCAAGTTAGATCCGTGGGTGTTTGTTAGATAAGAAGATGTATGACACCAACTTATCCTTGATAAACACATTGATGCGACCGCGGATTGCCTGAATTTGTAATCTACGATTGTGTCCCAATAAAGTCGACTCTGCCGGCACTGCACTGTGTAAAAGAGCCTCTGTTTTGCGCGCAGTGGCTTCGTGGTGTAGTACTGTATGCTTTCCCAAATCTCGCTTCATGTCTTGAAAATACCGACCTGCAGCAAATCGAGTATACGCTCCATCCAATAGCAGCATCATCTCCTGCATAGGCTTACTAAAGCATTTGATCGAAGCAGTCTTGATCCCCGTTGCAACTGCCATGCGTACCTTTTGCGACACATTCAGCTCAAATGGCGCATCAATTTTAAAATACAGTGCATACAAATCATATGCAGCCTGCTGCATCTGTTCGTTACTTGCATATACTGTATGCTCAAATTGGCTGGCATCCAAAATAAAAAATAGAATCTCTGGGGTATGATTCTTGAGAAGACTCAGCATAAAGTAGCATAACGGCAAGTTACTCATAAGGATAGACCATAGTCCATCGCGTTCAATCTGCTGAACCGAAACATCAACTGGACATACTTCTCCAAAAATTGCAGCAATCTTACGAGTCGATGCACCCCGTGCCGAGTTGTAAGGGCTTGTTGAAATCAATGAGCTGGAGTCAGATTGAGACGAAGCATTGCCCGAGAGTGAGCCGATTGTGTCTGAAAACATGATAGGACGAAAGGTGTGCAGTTTGGGTTGAGATGGTGCAAAATGTTCGAGTTTGGCATCCAGTTTGCGAAGCTTGTCATCAATCAGAGTAGTGCTACTAGAAGATCGTTTGCACGCTGCGTTCTTGGTATCCACAGACAGAGAGTCAGGAACACGAGGTCGAGTTGAAGCAGTGTGTGTAGTGTTTGAAGAAGTAGAAGCTAGTGGTAAAGTTGCCAAGGACTGCTCTGCTGCAAGTGGCACGCTAGATGCAGAGTCGACTTGGCTGGTATCTGTGCTTAGAGTAGAGCAAGAGTCGTGAATGGCCGACTGGCAATAATGAGCCCACGACACCAGCGAGTCTACCGACATAGGACGAGGCATATGCTTGATTGAGTTTAAAAGAGATTCGACCTTTGCTGTCTGTACATCAGTGAGGGATGCATTGGATCGTTTTGTTTCTTCTACCAATCGCTTCAGCCAGTTTGAGCTAGGAGTATACAAAGACGCAGCACTTCCATGCGAGCCTCGCCGAGTGCGATGGTATTGATGGCTGGCAAGTACGTTGCTGGTTTCCAAGTACCGCGAGTTATCAATAGCCGCTTGGGCTCGACCACACGGGGAGTGCAGCTTTTGAGGCGAGAGAAGTAACGCATCTGCAACCAATGAGGGACGACTACCCATACATTGCGGCGCCACAAGCTTGGTAGAATGGGCAGTTGCCAGCGGTGCAGTTGGGTTTAAACTCGGATGGGTTGGCTGGCGCAATGCATTGGTTTGTATAGATGGAGTGTGCACTTCTACAACGGGCAAATCAATCAGAGTCACACATGAGGAGGACTGAGAAAGTGGCACAGAAGGTGCATTAGTTGTTGTGACTAGCATGGGTGTTGAGTGATGAAAAGTGTAATCACCGTCCTTTGAGGGACGCAAGCAAATAGTGTCACCGCAATCCATATCATCGCCTGAAGTTGGGGTTGCTGGAGTACTGGCACTCGAGCCGGTGGGTGAAGATGCATTGAATTCGGATTTTGAACAGATGGATGACGATGGTGAGCTCGGGAGTGACGGAGCAGCAGTATGGGCTCCAAAGAAGGCCTTGAGCTTGGCGGTAGACCCACTCCCAGCAAGAATGGGTATGCGTTGCTCGCCGAAAAAGCGTTTGCATTTGTCCTTTGAACGAGAGTCTCGAGCGTAATAGGTGGTGTTTAAGTCGATCGTCATGTTCTTACTGGCTCTCCATGAGGTTACATTTGCAAAGGCAGGATCAAGCATTTGGTGTGCAAATGACAGGGATGATGGTGCAGTGGACACATGTCTATTTGAGCTGGTCATTTTAATTGTCAAATAGCTTCAAAGTAAATAACTAGTCGAGGTTGGAAGCCTGAGTATGTGCTCAAGTGCGAATGGCTCGAGAATGTATGTTACAGGCTATTGAGGATAAAGCCTCGCTAAACGAGAAACAAGTGTGTATTATATAGAGGATCAAGAGCGGTCAAAGCACAAATTGGGTTGAACTACAAAAGGGATTACCAGCTACAATCGTATTCGCGTAAAATAAAACACCAAATAAAAGTGCCAAAACACAATAAACAGCCAGTTTCATGAAATGATTGGTGCCAAATTTACCAGACAACATTGTGCACTCTGAATTCATTAAAGTTGGCTGGAATTTCCCCTCTGTGATTGTTTTATATAAACAAAGAAATGGTCAAAGCAACATTCACACTACAGTCTCACTTGTTCAATCCTCAACGCTCCTACTAAACGTTGCGTGACTGGCATGTATCACTATATTCTTGATACGTGCAATCCTTGTTTCTTGAACTAGAACGCGAATATATGAGACTATGATACAGCGGAAATGGGTTGTATTGAGAATAGTGAACCCAATCTTTGAATCTGAACTCGAACTTGTTGATCTCGTACAATGTATGGCTATGCTAAAAGCAAAGTAATAATCTTGACTCAAAACTATGGTTTGGTTTGTGTGCATCATATGATGGATGCTGTGCTTATTGAAGAATTGAGAGTATCTGTTCAAGAAGCAATCAATTTCTAATAGAATATCTATATCAATAAAGCCGATTTTGTTGACTACACATTTGCATCTACGAAGCATCGTCTTTCGAATGCCTTTTCCATAGAGCCTTCCATGAAGCCACGTGACAATTGCAGTAGACACAAGAGTGCACCACCACATTTTAGCCATTGTTGTGGTGATAAGCAATATACATATTGTGCAGATATGGATAATCTTGCACATTATAATCTTTGGCAAAATACAGCTTTGAGAACCCGTACTTTAACAATGTTGTGCTTTATCAGATTACCGCTGACAAAATTTGACAATCTACAGCTGTATTCACCTAAAATGAAACACGTTTGTATTTATCCTGCACTGACCATCTATTTTTCAAAATAAACAAATGATGAGTATTGTGCTTATCGAAGCGGTCAATATGTAGTAGGAAAGTACAACGACCATCATAGGACACAACCATACTATAGTGTTGAATCTACACTTTGTGCACATTTGGTAGCCATACACTGTATGATTACCAAATTCGAGCCCACATTCATGTATTGCAATCCATATGTTGTGTTTGATTGTCAATGTTGTCAATACAATCAGGTACACTCATTTGCTGTATTCTGAATCTCGGATACATTCGCGATCTAGTTTAACAAAACAATCATCATACGTATCAGGAATACAACAATACATGCCAATCACATAACATTTGATAGGAGTGTTGATCTGAATAGCAAGAGCATTTATCGCTCGTGTTTCCTATATCGCGGCAACAATCTGATTCTCTCTATTCAATACAAGACAGCGTTCCCTATTTGGTCTAGCGGCAGTTACTTGCCAAGTTTGGTATTGATTTTTTCCAATCCAAGAGCTTTGATGTTTTACGTATATAGTCTGTACACTAACTCGAAACAATCGTTCAATATCACAAACGAACAATCCACATTTTCAAGACTGCGATTCGAGTAGTTTCAAGACGAACATAAACATAGTTGTGAGTTGATACCAATTCAGTCTTTTTGAGACTCTAAAGCAATATGGTTCAAGCGTGCATGTTTAACAGTCTGACAATCCCAAGAGTTGGTTTGCTGATCCAATCAGCAGCGGACAATTTGGAAATTCTTTTCTCAATCTCAACTATTCTAATGACCGACCGCACATCAACTGGTAAAAAGAAGTCTGTCGTGGCCGATGCTGTCGCTGCAAAAATTGAAAAGGCTGCTACTGTAGGCATCAACGTCGACACTGACTATACCATCCATGTTACTGATGGCGGAGATACCGTTCGGACTGTTGAACGCATCTGCCAGGGTAAGGACAAGACTTTCTGGAGCATTAGAGTATACAAGTAGTAGTGCTGGATACAAAATAAGATGTAGCAGGACAAAAATACTGTTCAGAAACCTCTGCTTATTGCAGTGTTCCGCTTGAATAGTCAAGATGGAGAGTGTAGTGCTATTGGCTAGATGAGCCAGATTATCCATGAAATTCAACTTTCAAGTTGTATGGCTTTATTTTGATCAAAGACTTGCAACTGCATAGCTTACTGGATACATCCCATATTCCACAGCTTCCTGAACTATACTGTGCCATTGGGTAGCTTGTGCTTATCTGGAGTCGTTGTATTTGGGCCAAGTTCTAGTCTCGCTTGCAACTGTCCGAGTTTCGTGTTCATACTGTACATTCAAGTTTGAAGCTCGAGTGGTCGCTGATCATGTAACTTCTCTTTAGCATGAATCAAATTGTATTCAATACTTTAGTGAATTAACTGCTGACTTGTCCCAGTCATCTGTACCTGATCATGCCAACTGGATTTAAATCGACCTTCATAATCCCTATTTCTGGATCCTATTCTTGGATGAAATCTATACTAGTAACATCATGTTGCTAATCAGCTTGGCTATATCGATTCGTTTAATCAATTTGTAACTAACTTTCACCTTTATTTACAGTCGTCACGTCTCCATCAGTTAATCGACCCACAGATGCTCAGTTTTATTCCTTGAAGGATCCCTCCAAGCCTGATTTGGAGTTCCTTAAACAACACTTTATTCGTGAAGGTCGTCTGACTACCGAACAAGCCGTATTTATCATTAACACTGCAACCACTATTTTAAAAAAAGAGCCCAACTTGCTTGATTTGGATGCTCCTTTGACTGGTACGCCATCTTTGTATTACGTAATCTTGCTGATATTTTATCATGAATATCCGACTTGTTTTCGATATGAAATGCTGATCCACTGTAATTCGTTGATGTTATCTAGTTTGTGGTGACATACATGGACAATTTTTTGATTTGATGAAGCTCTTTGAAGTGGGTGGTAATCCTGCCGAGACTAGATATTTGTTTCTTGGCGACTATGTTGATCGTGGGTATTTTTCAATGGAGGTAAGACTTTGTAGTATGTCATTCTCGCATAAAACTATCGACTTGTGGCCATACTCTATTTTCATTAGCCAGATGTGCCAATTAATTTGCTTTTCAATACTTTTGTAATTTGTCTAGTGCGTTCTCTATTTGTTTGCGCTTAAAATATGGTATCCCAGTACACTCTTTATGCTGCGAGGGAATCATGAATGCCGTCACTTGACAGATTATTTTACTTTTAAAACTGAGGGTACGAATTGATCAACTGTTGTATTTCATTCGCTATTATTCACTGTACCATTCCACCTTTACTTTTCCAGCAAAACACAAGTACTCTGAGGAAGTGTATGAAGCAGCATTGGCTTCTTTTTGCGCTTTGCCATTGGGTGCCGTCATGAACAAGCAGTTTCTGTGTATTCACGGTGGTCTATCGCCAGATTTAAATACACTCGATGATCTTCGCCATGTATGTCATTATTGTATAGTTGTCTTGGTGCGCTACCAATTCATTTGAATCCATCTTGCTGATACATGATTTGTACTGGCATCTATATAGTTGAATCGCTTCCGAGAACCTCCAACTCATGGGCTCATGTGTGATCTTTTGTGGTCTGATCCACTAGAAGATTTTGGACAAGAGAGAACAAATGAGTTTTTTGCTCACAACAGTGTTCGTGGATGCTCATACTTTTTCAGGTTTGTCTGAATGTGTTTTGAAAAACGAGGCAATGTATACTGATCTAATGTTTTACTCACCACTTGTATCATTAGCTATCATGCGGCGTGTGCCTTTTTAGAAAAAAACAATCTTTTGTCTATTATCCGGGCACACGAAGCACAAGATGCAGGGTGAGTGCTTGTATGACCAACTCGCCAGAGACGTGTATATGCTATTTCAGGCTTTCAAAAAGCAATTCTCACATTGAATTTCATTAGATATCGGATGTATCGCAAGACTCGCACCACTGGGTTTCCTTCTGTCATTACTATCTTTTCTGCTCCAAACTATTTAGATGTTTATAACAACAAGGGTACGTTACTCTATGATGTTTTCTCTATATAGCGTCTTTATTCACCAATAATTCTCAACACGCTGCTATAATGCATTGCGATTTTATGGCTGATAGCTGCCATTCTCAAGTACGAAAACAACGTGATGAACATTCGACAATTCAACTGCTCGCCTCACCCATATTGGCTGCCCAACTTTATGGATGTGTTTACATGGTCATTGCCGTTTGTAGGCGAAAAGAGTAAGCTGGATTTGCTGCAACACGTAGTTTCTTTAGGCTTACCTAGATGCTAACATTCACTTAGTCACGGATATGCTACTTGCAATTCTTAATATTTGCAGCAAAGAGGAGCTAGCAGATGAAGATGAGATCCAGCATGTCGAGGGCGAAGAATGTATGTTTCGCGCACTGATTGCATACTGTTAATTTTTTTGAATTTAACAGCTTTGATGTGATGGCAGTGACGGAGCAAGAGCAACGTCGTGTTGTCATTAGAAACAAGATCAAGGCTGTTGGTCGTATGGCACGAGTGTTTGCAACTCTTCGTGAAGAAAAGGAGAGTATCATGGAACTCAAAAATGTACTAGGTGTTCAGCATCTTCCTCCTGGTACACTTGCACTCGGGGCTGAAGGCATCAAGCAAGGTATGACTAGGCGTTGCTGAATTTGGCAAGCCACATTGATTTTAGCAATATCTAACAGTTTTTCAATCATTTTTGTTTATGCTCAATAGCCATTCAATCGTTTGACGAGGCAAAAAGGGCAGACGAGGAAAACGAACGTCTTCCTCCACTTTTGGAAGGACACACGGCTTTGTCTGCTTCGTCATCTTCCGCTCGATTAGATGAAGTTCGACCATCATCAACCAAGCCGCGCATCAACCCGCTCAAGTTTGATGCAAAATAGCTGAAAATGCATATTGCTACAGCGTCAAAAATATGTGGACATGGATGCCCATCCTATTTTAACCTTATTAGTCTACCGACGTATTTTTGAATAAAACCTTTTACTTTCATATTCACACCACTTTAATCTAGAGTATACCAATTTTTTGGAGCAGGGTTGTATATATGGTTTCAGTCATTTGAATTATACTCGTAAGATGGTATTCTATACCACGTCAATTGGGCTTGAGCAAGGATATTGACACGTGTTGGCGATTGTCTGTTGATGCGCTTACATCCACATCGAATATGCAGGTTCAGGTAATCGTACTAGTGTATTGTTCTGCATCATTTGTCATGGTTGGTATAGAATTAAGTTAAGCAATACTGTATCGATCATATAGGCACTGATATCGATGTGTTATATATGAAGGGTTTGTTTCAAATAGGGATCTGGCCAAAATAATCATTCTGCTCGATAATAATGACACATTATACAAATAGCGCTACGCTTATTGAACAGATGCTTAGTTGTACGATTCAAATTTAGTGTAAAGATTAATTTTCAGCAAGAGGTTTTAAACTCGATTGTAGCTGCTGAGTAGCAGTTTTGGTCTTCAGGTCGCGTAAAACCGCATATATATTTAAATACTTCTTCGCTCGGAAAGTTCCGAGTATAAGTCTCAGCTTTTGCTAGTACCATGTCTCATATTGCTTTCTCTAGCCAGATTCATGAGAGCGAAGCCATTACTCCATTTCCCTTGTCCAATGCCGCTACTCGCACCAATCCTCGGACTGAGCATCCCAACTTTTTAGAATCAACTCACCAATCAGAACGCTTATTGCAGCCTATAGTACATCCACATTTACAACAATATGCTGCCACGCATAGTAAAGGTACACTTTTTGATGCTTCAGTATTATGTCGCGATTCAAATGACACAGCTAATGGTCCACCGATGCCATCACTGGAGAGAAAGCCCAAACGTGGAGCTTCGTTTATTATACCTGGATCGTCACAATCCGTAATGGATGCGACTACAATTCAAACGACATTGACTGCACAGGCACCCCCTACACCTGCTGATAAATCTACACAGTTATCAATCGGCAACTCAACGCCTTCAGATTTGAGCTCAGAAAAGCAAGCGGATGTGCAAACCTTCAAACCCAGTGACGAGACTCAAAGTCCCCAAGAAGTTGCAACTTTTTTTCAAGAGCGCTTGGCTGCACTTGTAGCTCAAACCATGACTCCTCCTCCCACCACTGTTGCTGCACCTACAAGTACGTCTTCAGCAGCGTATATTTACGAAAGCCTTGAAGAAACCTGCGAAGATTCAAATAATTGTTTTGCCAAATCACAGCCCACCGATCAAAGCAACGGCCATATGGATGAAACGGCACCGAGCTTGAATATTCCACATGCTCATATTTCTCGATCCAAAAGTACCGAAACTCGACCTAGATCTGCACCAAGCCGAGCCAATCCTCCCACAACCACTAGTCCAGTCGCTGGAGATGGCGCTCTTTTGGAAGAAAATATAGAGTATTACCAAATGCCAATATCGCAGCGTCGTGCATCCTCAAAAGATGTGCGACGAAAAAGCGTCATCGCATTTATCAAAAAAGCTGTAGTAGGTACAGTACATTCATCCTCTCTCCGAGATGAAACACCTGATTTGGGTATCGGGAAGTTTTCTGATGATCCAAATGATGAGGCAATGGGTGTGGATAGGGTAGAGTCTGTTTTGCCCGAGCCAGCTTATGTTACACCACGAATCGAACAAAAGAAAAGAAGATCGATTTTTTCGGCCATGTCGGGAAGTATTGGTACAAACTCCAGAGAAAACATTCGTCCTGTAACAATATCTGGACCTATTGGGTTAGTAAAATCCAATTCAAGCTCTGGAGCGCAAATCGTATCACCTTCTGGCGGATCCAGCGGACTTACTAGTCCAGCGCGTCTTTCTGGTACACAGTGCGATTCCAGTATCTCGGGTTCTGGATCAAGTATAGCTGGCCCAAATGCTATGATGCTTGCCATGATGGCTTTTGCAGCCACAGCTGCATCACAACAAGGTCAACCTATTACTCAACCTATTCAGCCATCCCATTTGACAAGCGTGCCTCGTGTCAGTCGCAGTCGCAGCCCATCTGGTGCATTTGCTACCCCAAACCCTACATTAACCACCTCTGGATCAACAAAACATACCGGTGTAACCACAAGACCTCCTTCTCCTTCTCCACTTCATCCGCAACAATCTTTGGCGCAGATGATTCCACCGCCTCCTGTTGTCCCATCCTCTCCACCGACAAATACAAACCTACAGTCTGTATCCTCCATTATGATTGGACAGTCCTCTACACCTGTTATGCAAGAGTTGGTATCTCCTCCAGAATCACCATCTATTGTTCGAATTGAAAAATTACAAAAACGTCACTCGGCCAAATCCGACGTGTATGCCAAACGCATTGCTATGCTGGAAGAATCTGTGAAAGTACTTCAAGAACAAGTTGCAACGTTGTTAAAATCTCAAAAGGAGACTAACATGTAAAGGCACTTGTTCGTTATCTATTGAAATACAGTCGGGCTGTTTAGATTGGCACTGAAATGTGCACGAATACGGTGTTGTCAACTAGAAATTGAATGAATACATTGCGCTTTTTACAGCCGTATTCACGCAAAATGAAACACTTTTCTGTATTGATCTTGTAATGACTCTTTTGCCTCGGAATAAGCAATTATTACATATTTGTTGTTGGATATGTATTGCTTTTTCTATTGAAACTCTACTCATATCAGATATTTGCAATATAGTTCAAAAAATAATCTTGCTCAACAAGATTGGTACCAATTAAACATGACTGTTTATCACGCATTTCAACTTTAGTATTTCATTTTACGCGAATACGGCTATAGTTTCAATAATGAGAGTATCCAAATAAATTTATATACACCCATATCAATTACCATGTCGTAACATGCCATTGAGCTTAAAACACCAATGCTGAAAAGCCAAATCTTTGTCCATTGCTTCAAATGAGTAGATACAAAAAGTACATTACAATTCAAGTGTGGCTCCAAATAAAAACTGTCAACATTTTATAACCCATTTAATCGTCAATTGTAAACGCAATGCAAAACTTGTCCTTGTCCATCAGTACCAAACTCTGGCCATCAGGATTCCACTCAAAGCTCGTCACTTGAAAGCTGACAGCTGGAATTTCAATCGATTCGCATCCAAGATCGCTTTGCCAAAGATAAATGAGTCCAGTACCACAGCAAAATGCTAGTCGGTCTGAATGACGTGGATTCCACTTGACAGATCGAATAGGTGATGTTTGCTGAATAAGCGCTATTTGATGTAGAGTTGTCATATCCCATATCCAAAGTGTAGATGGCATATTATCTATCATTTAACCATTGGTATGTATGATTCAAGGATATACAACATAGTTTGATCAGCACACTAATAATCAACACGGACTTCTATTGCATCCATTATAATTTAAACTGGCACTGCCTAAGAATCTCTTATAAAAACAAAACGCTTACCATTACGAGTGGCTAGAAAGTGACCAGCGCAACTAAATTCAGTGATCCCAACCCCCATTTTAGGGAAAGGTTTATCTGGATCAATTTTGGTTTGAGAAATAGTCACAGGTGGCGACATTGTTTTATCTATCAATCAAAACAGTATAGTAAATGTGAATACTTTACCAAACGATATCTATTTAGTCAAATTACTTGCATAAAAATTTGGGCTGAGCAGAATCAAGAGGCGTCCACGCAGCAGATGCTGCTAATTCACAATCTTCTGATACACTGGTTTCCTTGTATACAACCTGATTCAATTGATAAGATCCAGACAAATAAGTTTAAATATAAAATATTTTGAATTTCAAAAACAGTGTACATGAAAGGCTAGACATCAAATCTTACAATATCACGGAATTTAAGATTAGCGGGATGGGACAATTCTGCAAGTGGGTTCCAGGTATAGTTGTTTAACAGTCGACACTAATGTGTGTAGGTAATCAAAAGTGATGAACAAAAGTACAACTTTGTTAGACTGTAATAATCGGCTGTATAATCAAAATGTATCAAGTTTTGGCAGTATACCGTTTGATCGTAGCTTCCGATTGCCAAAAATTGCCCAGATGGAGACCATTTTACGGATTTAACGCCTAAACCGCTATCGTATGCCGAGTATTTGTGAACCAAACGACCATCCGGATAATAAATATATACGCAATACTGGTTTCAATTAAAAGTATTAGTCAATTAACACTTGGCTCAATTTAACAGATGGCGAGTTGAAACTAAAGCTGCTCAACAATAGTTTTGTTTAAATATTTCGTATGGATTTAAATCCATGTACCTCGATATTGGGCTCCCAAGCCGCGAGAAATCTACCATCTGGAGACCAAGCGATTCCATCCACATCACTACTTGCAACGGGCCATCTCTTAAACAATCATTAAAAGTGTAAGCTGCAAAGCATTTAATTCCAAGCCATGATAGTTGAACATCAAATGGCAGTACAAAGTGACTAGTATCAAAACTCATTTCAGCTTTATCTAACCTTGAGCAATGTCCAATCGCAGCACTCGTAAATGCTAATATAATCTTTGTTTTCTGAACGCTCAATCAAGGCAAAGTACTTGCCATCGCTTCTGAAACAGTACCCTATATAGTATCAGAATGGCTTTAAGCACAAGTGGTGGGTAATACAAACGCATATACAAGGATATCAGTACTTGAATTACCTCGATCTGAAAATTTTGGATATTGGATATACACTGCATCTTTTGTGCATAGAGACCAGACTGTAATTCTGAGCTACAACAAGCCATGTCAGTATTATCAACAGTCTGTGCAACCATTGAATCGCATGCATACCTGAAAGTCCGAAAAACTGAGCAAGTGCCTTGCGTCAGGTGTCCATCTAACAGCAACACATCCAGCCAATCCTTCATCCATCTGTGCAGTCCAAGTCTCATCCGTCAAGCTAAACACTTGAATGTTTCCTAAACGAAACGATGTACAAAAAATGTAAACTGAATCTGAAGACCAGCCAATGTCCTGAATTGAATCGAGGCATTTAAAGAGAGCAACAATCTGCAGGGTTTCAGTGTTTCGGACAAATAGTCTGTGATCAAGAACGATGGCCAAATGTTCTCCATCTGGAGAGAATTTGCAGTGTGAGCCAGACTGCTTGAATATTTCTGAAAAGTCTGCCATGCAGGAATATACTGACAAATGTAAAGATTAGTTTGGATTGTTCACGTAAAGTGGAATACTTTTGATTTCGAATCAACTATTTTGCTCAAAAATCAGTACTTACAGCCGTATTCACATAAAATGAAATACTTTTGTAATGATTGTCTTGGAATAAATAATCGTCAACTATTCGTTATTGGAAACTGATTGTTTTTTCTATTGAAACTCGACTCATATCAGATACGTTCGCGTTCTAGTTCAAAAGATAATCTTGCTCAACAAGATTGGTACCAATCAAACATGACTGTTTATCATGCATTCCAACCTTAGTATTTCATTTTACGCGAATACAGCTGTAAAAATAAAACATTGAATAATACTGCATTTTCGACATCCAATTACAGAGGATTGATGCATAGATCCAACATACTTTTAAAAACAATCACCCAACACATTTAACCTCTTTATTTGGGGTCTGATATGCATGCATCGCAATATGTATTTGATATCAAATACATGTTGGGCCAGGCAATTCTCTGCAATTAACTTTATCGGCGTATGCTTGGAGAGGTGTAGAAATGATAGGTTTCCCATAGTGGAATGTAGTCTTGAATAATTCCACCAAGGATTGACAGTATGGGTTTTGCCGAAAGTGATTGACCAATGGCAGTGAGTTGCTCCCTGAGATCAGGTTGATGTGATACGGTTAGTATTTTGTTCATTTACAGCAGACTATACAATAGCAGATAACCTACTTTGTGTGCTGTTCGTAGAACGGAGTACGCAACAGATAATACAAAAACAAATAAGATCTACGCTTCAATTCCTCCTTTTCAAGCTCAGTAAGCTTTCGTTTCACATTAAACTGCGTCCATCCCGACATAACACCAAAACTGAATATCTCTAGTAGCAAGGACATGATCCATGGTTTATATGATTTAATCCCGTACTTTCTGATGGCCAAAACTATTTACAAAAATGATTTAAAGTGGATAATTACATCAGACGATGCCTTCAAAATCATACATTGTGCGAATTCACAATATATTACCATAAAGCAATGGACGAATGATAAAAATCAGTTCACCCAACTTGCGCAAGCCAGTAAGTTTTGGAACAAGCTGTGTATGCGAGGATGATAGATCCGACATTGCACGAGATTGTAGAAATTGCATGGCCTTGTCAGATCCATTCTTTCCAGAAATGTAACTAATAGGTATATGCTCACTTCCTGTGCGTTTCCCAGTCCAGTAAGATCCCTCTACCTCGTCGGCTGGAAGTAACTTTGAAGCATCGTATTCACGATCAGGCATTTGTGAGTGAAGCAACATACGATCTCCCGACAGACGCAACAAAAGTAATCGACAGACAGCTCTGAATAAAAGCGTTACATTACCAAGATAAATGTGTGATGACAATACTGGCTGATTCGCAAAACTTACTTTAGACACTCGACAGCAAGAATTGTTTTGTAACGGAGTTTCTTTCCTCCAGCCTTCAATGCTACCATCTCGCTAAATACTTCAAATGTACTGACTATGGTAAGAAGAATCGACAGCTTATTGACTAGAGTAGAAGATTTCAAGCTTGCTAAAGTATATCGATTAAAGTTGGACACTGGCATATGGGGCTGTTGCCGTCGAGCCTCCTTTGCCAAGATCGAGTCATGATAGTGGCCAGTAAGGCTTGATAGTGCGAATACTATTCATCAAGCGATACATTACATGCAATGGGAGAATCAAGTCGATGCACAAACATTAGATTAGAGATCGATTGTTGAGCTGATATGCTAGTTAAGCTTGTACATGATCATGTAAACCTACGTCCTTCTGAAAAAATCTCGGCATTCTTGAATCGACCTAGAATAAAACAGAATTCAAGTCAGCCATGAGCATTGAAGCGAGTCGGCATCTAATCAAAGTATCGGCTATATCGAGTAAATTATCCTTGAAGGACTTGGATAACATGCTGTTGGCATACCAGGAAGAATGTAAGTTAGTGAGCGCACACTACTTTCTATGCTGGAAATGGTTGGTGCGTTGTTGCGCACAAACTCGGCATACTGCAAGATCATGATGGATTCTGCCGAGTGAAATGCAGCTCAAATTACGAAATTCAGAGTTAGGGTTGGCAACCACTCGAATCAATGCATTCGTATTCGTATAAGCAGATTCGACACTTGTATGAGCATCTTGTGTTTTGTCAAATCAGTCAATTGTATATTTTAAATATATTGATCTTTAGTAGCTTAACCCAATTAAAAACTAAACCAACTGACAAGTGCATCAAACTCATAACTGATTGCATTGCGTAACAGAATATATTTTGTATTTCATCAATTCTTCATGGTCATAGTCTATTAGATCCTAAAAAAGTCATTGAGTTCCATTATTGGACAATGTGTTAAGCTTTTTACTTTCTAGTGTAGAACATGCACTTCGAAAATTGTTCCATTCCTCTAAACACTTTGATCGATCCCCTAGAATATCATACAAGTTAGAAATTGAATGCATGGTTTTATAACATATGGTCGATGCTTTGTAGAGATAAAAATACCATTATGTTTTTCCAAACATGCCTGCAATGGCGCAGAGTCGCAAAGCAGTTTTGTCGGTTTTACTGGCTGTTCGGATGGAATGTTGGGCATGGCAAGATGAGCATGTCAGCATATTGCTAAAATTGATTCTACATTTACATATCCTCAGGATTGCAAAGATAGATTTTGGATTTTCGACTTAATCCAACTCTTGAATGTCATGACTAAACAGTCAAAAGCTCGTTGGCATCTGTTGCATGCTCCTATAACAAACGAAACCACTCATGAAACTGGATTCAATCGTTTGGGATGTGATCAACCTTTTACTTTAGATCACATCCCAAAAACTAATACCGTATATCCAAGTGCACGACATGGTCATGCTTGTCAGTATCTGTCATATATGCAGCCTGGTTCAAAACGCAAAGTACATGAATTGGTCCTTTTTTGGGGCGGAAATTACGGAATTAGTCAGGATGCCTTTGTTCTGGACCTAGGTGAGCCTGTGTCGTAGAGCTGTGTTGGTGCCAAGTTGGGTGTTTTGTTACAAGTACAATACCGCATTTCAGCCTAGTAAATATTCAGCATGGATCATATTTCATCATTGAAAGTGATTATCAATATGGATTTTTATGGCGGACTGCTTCAAGTTGACAAGATAGATTCATGTTTGCTTGACCAACTAATTGCACTTTTTACAATTGTAGAAACTAGGACCTGGCGACCCATTTTATCTTGGAAAGAAGGATTTAAAAACAATGTCATTGGTAAAAATGACTCGCTTCAGCAATTTCAAGAATCCATAAATTCTGTCGGCACTCCATCTGCAGCATCCGGTTCTACATCTGATGAAATATCAAAAATATATTTATTTGGGGGAATGCAAGAGGATCAAGAAGGCGATCACATTACCAATGGCGTAAGATACTAGATTTTCAATGCTTCTGCTTGATTGCCAGGTCTAATTTATATTCATTTCGTTTATGTCTGCGGTTGGTTAATTGGAATAATTAGCTGTATGTTTATGATGCACAGAAAGACAAATTTGAAACCATTACCAGCTCCAATTCACAGCTTCCAACCCCACGATTTGCTGCATCAGCAACATATGTTCCATATAACAATGAGTCTACTACAGCTTCTCAAATTTATGTGTTTGGCGGTCTTGGTGCAGATCATTTACCCATGTCCGAGTTTCATGCATTTGATTTGAAGAAATCGACCTGGCATTTAATTAAAGCTGATGGCATACCTCCTACTGCCAGAGAATCTCATACAGCTTTGTTCAGTCCAGCATCGCATGGAAATCCGACAAGAATTGTAATATTTGGTGGTTTCTCCGGTCATACAGAACAGGATTTTCAAAGATTAAATGACATTGTTTACTACAACATTGGTAAGCTAATTTTATTATTGGATAAATGATTTAGAATGACTCTTTTTATTGGGAAAATACCTTTATTGACAATAGCTTGAACAATCTAGATGAACAAACATGGTCACGACCAGATATCCAGGGGTTTATTCCTCCCGGACGATCTCTACATACTAGTGTCATGCTGAACAACAAAATGATTGTTTTCGGAGGAATGCAGCACCGTGTAAAAGATACTACTGTACTGAATGATTCGCAAGACTCTGTTCAATATGAAAATAATGCCAATAGTGAATTGCGTCAATGGGAGTGCTCCAGCACGGTATTTACATTTGATTTAGGTTAGATTCCCATTGTGTGAATATGATTTTAGATTGAATCCTGCACAAAAATAGAGATTTGTGTTTAAATTTTATGGCATGAAAAATGAAATTAGCTACTGAAACATGGGAAAGTGTCGAGGCGGAACCTGCAATTCACGATCAAAATGCTTGGCATGCTCCTTCCCCTCGATCGGGTCACACCGCTGTCATGGTAAACGCTACTTTTGGTTGATTTACAACAACTATAATATGTTTACAAGTGATCATTCAACTTTTTAGTTTGATTTTAGGTGGGCAATATGATGATTGTAGTCGGCGGAAACTTGGAATACAATTCAAATACGGGCTCGAGACAATGTACAAACGATATCTGGGCTCTCGAGTTTGGACCGCCACCACCACCAGGTCAAATAACTGTCACTCCTTCCGCGACATCCGTGTCACCACTTTACTCGGATAATCAATTGGACGGAATGCCTGCAGCACAGTTTAAATGGGCCGATGAGTACTCTTGGATTCCAAATAGATCATATCGGCTAGAAGTGCAAGATCGTAGTAATGATCCATCAACCTGGCGTGTATTATATGAAGGAGTGGAACGATCATTCATTATTCCTTTGGTCTCTAGTAAGCGCAAATCTATGATGAGTTTGGATAGCAATCAGTCATCCGTCAGTCACTTGCTGCCTTTGGATGAACTGGATGACAGTTGTATCTATTGCGTTCGAGTACTTTGTATCAATTTTGCAGGAGACAGTTTAGATTGGTGCTCGCTTAGATTGAACGATACTCCACCGATTGTATGGATCCGAAATGGAATGATTATTGAAGGTAACAAACTTTGCTGTGACGCACGGTTGACAATGCTCACAGCGTTTAAACACATATCTAACGTATTACATGGACACGCTCAGATATTTCTTTGCTGCCGCCTTCACCAACAGACTTTGTTGCACAACTGAATACTACAAATGCCTTTGGCGAAGTTTCTTTTTCATGGACAATACCATTGGTTTCTTTAGAAACAGTAGGTGTTCGCCTTTACTCCCGTGCCATAGTCGCGCTGAATAGTATGCATAATGATGCAGATCATTCAGTTGCATGTAAACATCAAAAATCGCAGACAGATTTGCAACACACAGACTCCACCGTGTCAAAAAATGACACTGAAACTCTGAATTTAACAGGAAATTGGCAGTGCGTTTGGGAAGGTGGTGGTATAAGCCATCAGTTGACTTTGACATATCTTCGAGACTTTATCTTGATTCCAATGATCTCTACCATAACTCTAGACTGTGATAAAACTGGACTGACAATGCCACCCAAAGACATTTTTGACGCTTGCCAAACAGGAGATCATGCAGTTTTGGACATGCAGCTTGAAGACTCGGTCATAAATATTGCAGGCAATAAACGGTCTTGGTCAGCTGTGGATCATGAGTTGACGCCAGAGAATCTGTTGAGATGTGTCAACTCGCTGCAGTACGAATTCAAAATTTGCACCGTTACCGCTGATAAGGAGTTTACCGTGTGTTCTGATTGGTCTCATATCGCTACTTTAGACTTTCCGCCTTCAGTTTTGTTGCCATTACCCACTCTGCCGTCCAGTACTCCATCTAGTATCTCTTTGCTGAAAAAAGAAGATCAAACAGATTCTCAACAAACATCCAATACCACACCAAAGACAGATACAGATACACCTACTACCAAGCTTAAACCATTGAAAAATATGTACCCGAATCTTCCTGAACTTGGTAATCTGGCTCTCCCTTTTCAATATAATCTTCGATTTGGCGACAAGATTGAATCTAAATGGGTCAAATTTCACAAGACATCCGATATATACGAAAATGGTACTTACAATGGGTTGTGGTATCCCGCTCGCGCGATATATTATATGCCATCCATGGACGGGCAATGCTGGCGGCTAAAGGTTCATTTTGAAGGGTGTAAAAAGTCGCAAGATCAATTTATTTCGTTAATTGGTGAGACGACCAACCTGATTCGACTGCCGTTGGGTGGAGATGGTGTTGCGGTTCCTGGATTAGCAAAAGAGGTTGGATTTTTTGATTTAGACTCGACAAAAACGTATATACTGACCAAAGACCAAAAGGAAATTGCACGACTGGGACAATGTATAATCAAGAATCGTTGACTTGCAATGTTTTGACGAGATCTGATGCATGCATCCTTTTACAGCCTTTCCATCAACTAATTCACCTAAAATCTAATCATTGCTTCCAACCCGAATCTAGTCAAATCCTTATATAAAAGTTACTTTATTATTTTCAAATATTTTCCTTTAAACAGTTCATGACTGTCAAAATTGTATTTCTTGTTTGAGCAACGCCATAATCGTCAGCACTATCTACTGCCTCGTGCTCCAATACAACTTGTTCATGGAATTGAGCAAAATCATCAAGTAAAGACACGGCGAAGATGGCCAGATCTGACCATTTTTTCTCTGTCATCCATTGTTTTGCCTTTTTACTTTGTTTGATCACACACCCAAATAACATAGCTATATGTGCTGCATAAATGAAACAATTCACGCTCTAAACCAACATTATAAGTAAGCAAAACATAAAAACGTGTGGCATGTAAAACTTGATCCAATAACAATACATGCCTTGGTGGAAGAATCCGTGCAATGTTCAAGCATATTTGCAATCAAGACAATGGCTGGTAGTCGTAAAGAACAGATACAATCGTCCATGCATGCTCCAGACATACTACAATCCTGACTCAATCCTAAACATGACCAATTGAATAAGATTCATAAACATGGGTTTTAGATTGTAGCCACAACACACATTTTCAACACAAAACTCACTGATTGTGGTGAACAAATCCGCAGAATTTGTGTCTGATTCAAGAATGTTTACGAGCAGCGATATGGAAATAACTGATAGTTCAAATACTGGTTCTGACATGATTGACACGTCGTTTTTATCCGCTATGGGTTTGTCATGAACACTCAACGTTGAATTATATACAACTAGCTGAAGAATTGTACGAATCCAATCATGTCGACTCGTTACAGTCGGCCATGCTTGATTTCTATCAAGGTGCAGCGCTATGCGCATACACTGCGTGAGTAATTTCACTAGTAGTCGCGCACCAAGTTGATTAGTTGGTTATTAAAAGGCCAGCAAAAATGCAGTTCTATATGACAAACAAATGGTTGTCAACTTGAACTAATCTATGAAAATTACCTTGACCCGAGTTCGTGTTTTGAACTTGTGCTAATAAAGGCATTGTAATGTCATGGGTTATCAATCCAAATATCAGTATATTCATAGTCTAGAGACACATACCTTTGAAATGGTTGATCAGTTTGAAAAGCCAATCAAAAAGTAGCTCAGCATCAGTATCACTGAGCTGGTTGCTGAAACACTTTGATGTCATGAATTCAAAAACTCGCAAATATATTTTCAACTCATCATGCTGGCCAGGTGCGTCCTAAAATTATTGGTAATCAATCAGACATTTTTTAAAACCTACAATTTCAAGAAAAACACAATTCAATTATTACCGTCAAAGCTGATAACTTCAAACACTGGACAAGTTTAGAGAATGCATTGTGTTCTGCTAAACAAACTCGAAGTCGGGTAGCTAAAGGTCCGCAAACTGTAGATACCTCTGAAAGCGTTTCCAATGAAAGTTGAAACATAGAAACCTGATTTAAAAATAAAATAACAAATATGTTAAACTATTGAAATAGTATCCAAAATTCATCGAGGCTTTCAATAATAGTTGATGAATCAATTATCAAACCCACCTTGTTGTATTTCGTCTCTGAAGTTTTCCGGAATGAGGTGCTGATTAAATGCTTCAACTCCTCAATCTAAACATTATTTCAAATATAGCAAATTACAGTTACAGCCAGCATGAAATTTACCAAATGCAATCATTTAAAAGTATAATCCTAATAAATCAGTTACCAGTGCCTTTTCGCCCTTTTGCTTTGGAGGATTCAAAAACAGATCATCAGTTTTAGAAAGAGTAAGAGACATTACAATTGCAGCAGGAAGCTCCTGGCAGAAAAAAAGTGGCTCGATATTTCTGACATCCCTTGACAGGATCCACAAAATAAATGTCAAATAAAGGCGCATGACCTACAAATATATACTTTAAATCAACAACAGAAGATAATTACTGGTAAAATCAAACAATAAAGCATACCGGATCTTCTCCAACAACCAACAGACTAAAGAGTTGTTTTGTATATGAATGGGCACGAATACTCGAGACAAACTTGGAAGACGCAAGTTTTTTACATAGTTCGGCGGTCGTTAATCGTCGTACCTTGAGTCCTTGAGATGCGCTCATTCCGTCAAAAAAGTAATCCATTTCATCCTTGAAACGCTTTACTTCACCTGCCTCTCGCAGTTCATGAATAGATAGAATCTTTCTACCCTGTTTTCAAAATCGACTAAGTTTTCCACTTTTCCATAATAGAGCCAGTGCAATCTATACTTACATCTTCATCGCTCGAAGAAAGCCCTTCGTCAATTTTGGAACCCATGTCATTGTCTTCATTGTTTTGATCTTGCAGCATATGAGCCAGTCGATTTGTTGGTTCGATTTTTAGTGATTTTGAAGGCATAATAGTGTGATTGTTACCAAAAGTAAGTATATTGGATTTCCTGCGCAAGGAAACTCTGGATGATCGTGAAAACTCGTTGGACATCATACTTGAACCACATTGGAGTCTTAATCCTCCACCCAGTGTTCGAGGTGGAGCAGTCATAGAACTCAAACTGCAATCACTTTGTACTGATTTTGACGGCGAGACCGACACACAAGATGCGGTATCCAAATCTGGCCGACTTGCTTTTGTTTCATAGTTTTTTGGACGCATTCTGGGTGTTTGATCATTGTCATTGGCAGTAAAATTGTAAGATGTTGATTTTTTAGGAGTATTTTCCAAGAATACAGATCCTGCTGAGTTGGAATTCATGCTTGAGATGGACGAGGCAGAGTTTGATGGTTTAAGAAGAGTTACACGCTTTGCACCAACCAAACTGGGATCAGGTTTAACCGGAGTATTAAATAATGCATCCAAATCGCCCAATGAGCTCATATCTTCCACAAGAGAATTTTTTGAGCTAGTTGGAATAGTGGAAAATGACGATTGATCAAGTGGCTTTAATTTAGCTTGATTAGCTTTGACCAGTCTATCCGGACAAGGTTGACTACATTCTAATGCCAAGGATGCTGTACAAGGATTGGCTATTTTTAATTCTTTTGAAGGCAAACAGGTTTCCGTTATATCATTGAGTGGTGGCTGTATATTCGAATGTGATGCATGATCGTCAATCGATTGTGTAACTATTTTGTCTTGTGTTGAACTCGTCAAGCTAGATTTCTTGCGTGATTTGGAATGACGATCTTCAAATGGTATGTCATGTTTGGATAGATGTTGCTGATCAGCCGGTGCTTTGTTCAAAATACTTGCGTCAACATTATTTGTAAAGGTGCCAGTCTTGGTGATGGTTGGCTTGAGCTTGTTAGTCTTTTTGCTGGGGAAATCAAATGCATCGGAGTTTGGGTTGGTAAATCCAATAGCAGAAAGACCGATTTCGGACAACTTGATATCATTCTTTATCGGACTCAAACAAGTGGTCAAAATGGCAGTCTGTTTCTTACTGTTTTTGATGGTAGAAGTGGTAGAGTTGGCCATGCTTCTACGGCCACTGCTGGAATACAATGGATGATCTGGTGTGTTCTTGCTCATGGATGATGTATTGCAAGAATCAGAAATTATAGAATCTATAGTGGACGATTCATCGCAAGGCTTGGCATTGGCAGTTTCTGCTGCATACTGAGTTCTTCTAGACCTTCTCGTCACTGTCATTGCTGCCAATGGTCAACCACCAATGTGATAATCAGTCAATAATTGTACACTTTTGGCCAAAACTGGTCAAACGCATTTGGCCAAAAAGTTGAAGATTTGCTTATTTTACCAGCCAATTCAAACAGTTGTCCAAAGCAGTCGTTCAAATCTATTACTTTCAGCACACTTTTATTTATTGCTGAAATATACTTTTACTCGAATAAATAGCAGATATGGCATTTGTTATTGTCAAATACGGAGGTTGGTTTAACACTACGCCATGTTCAAGACTGTCAGTAGTTACATACTTGGTCATACCAGCTAAATGTTAATCTTATTTCAGCAAATGAAGAAAAAATGGTGAATCCAAACTGTCTTGGTGCCGTTATGCTTAGCCATATCAAAAAATCGTGTGGATATGCCGATATCTCAGAGAATATCGATCTTGCATCTGAGACTGGCGAGGTTGTCGACCTTGTTTCGCGACCACGCGAATATGCCAGAAAGTTTCTCGAACCTCGTGGATCCTATATTTTAGTCAAAGTAATTGGAGGTACAAGACATTTGTATACATTGCCTAGTATGAATGCATGATTAGTATTTGTACCCAATTCAACCAACGTTTGAATGCGATTTAGATGAGATGGAGGATTCATCGCCGACATATATCTCATTACTTGATCAAGCTGGCGAAAAAATCAAGTTTTCAGGTAAAATAATCTACTTTGCTGGTTGAAAACTACTCATGACCCACTGACTCTCAAAGTTCGGTACAATTCATTTGTCTAGTGTTTCTCATTTTTTTTATCTGTAATGCTGCAATTATTCATCCTTTCTCGGGAAATGATTCAATTAGTTACAAACCCAACGTTCAGAACGCGGATCAAAGGCAAGACAGGAACCAGAGGAGATCCGCCAAAATCAGATAAAACAGATGATGTTCTAACAGCTCTTCCAGTGAAAATTGGCAAAGTCACTCAACAAGCTAAATCTGGAAAAACTGAAAAGGCAGAATCTAGAGGAACAGATAAACTCGGTAGCATATCTGCTGGAGGGCTATCTGGGGCTGAAGATCTTAGTATACATCGAAAGAGTATTGTCGAGCCGATTTTATCAAGTGCAGTATCACTTGAAAAAAAATCTACCGCTAAATCTACCACTAAAGCATCTACAAGTGCGGTTCCGGCTGGACTAACACCCATTATTACAGCAGCATCAGAATTAAATCAAACTACAATCAAAAAAGGAAAATAAACACTCGGTAGTTTATGCCTCGAAAATAAGAACAGAGTGCAGTAGCCTTTTCTTTTAAATGCACACAATCAAAATTAGACCAAAAAGAAAAACCAGCACGAATCCAACAACAAATGCAAATTGGACAGGAACTAGTTAATGTGAATTTAAATATAAAGTCGTGATGAGTAATTGTTATGATTTCATGATATCTAAGAATTCAAATCTTACCGAAAAATTTGACAATGACAACCGCCATGATTGCATAAATAACAATCATCCATTTAAAAAGCTTATTCATGTCCAAGTTACGCATAGCTCTGTTTTCGTTATCCGATTCGCTGACAGAGTACATAAAGTTTAACAATGCAGGATGTTGATCTGTTGCTTGCTCAGAACTGTCTGTGTTGGTAGAGATGGTAAAAAGAACTGCATCACCAGCCTCGAGGGCATTTTCCTTGAAATACGACCGAACACTTGCCTTCATCAAAAAATCGTCATCAGAGGCATAGTATGTTGCCTCGTAAAAAAACTCCAAAGGTGGTGTTATTGGATGAAATGGTTCGACAACAGGAGAATGCATAGTTGCTCCAATTGGAGACGATTTAGCTGATTGGGTTAGTCTACTCGGGTATATAGTGCGTTTGTCTGCCATTCTAGCTGAATGACTACCAGTAGTGGCTGCCAATGTAATATCCTGTGAATTATTTTGAATAAGTTTGGCTTTTAATAAAGATTGCTGATGAACCCAGTCTTGAACTGTCATGGATCCAATATGATCATTGCTAAATGCAAACGATCGAATATTATGGTGGCGATTAAGATCTACTGTATTTGGCGAGCCAGAATGAGCGCTACTGGGTCCAGCAATAGATTTCGAGTCTTGATATAAATCAGTAGTAATATTTGAAGTATTATTGCTTGTAGTTGCCGTAATAGCTGCAGGTAAAGGATCGCGGTAAGCATCGTCAAACGAATTTCTGCGGCTTGATTCGCGTCGAGTATGAGACTTTGATTTAATCTTGTCTGCAGTGGTTTTTGGAGTTCTATTTTCCTGCTTTTCAATGCTGTAATTGGATCTTGAAATGACTGACGCATCAGACTCAAAGGCTTCTGGGCGAGCAATCAAATGAAGTTTCTTTTGTCTTGCGTTGACCCCTGAGCTTTCAAGAAATCGTAAAAGTGAGTCGTCACCAACAAAGCTGGCTTCATCTGGTCTGGAGCTAAAATGATTGCGAACTGTGCTGCTTGCAGTTTTGGTAATATCTACTGGAAAAATAGCTTTGATGATACTTGTTCCGACTTTTCCTAAAGGCGACTGCGGAGCTTCAAGTTTATCTAGATCGTTCATGCGGGCTATTGCAGCTGATGCTGGTATAGCATAGTAGTGCACATCGCCTACAATTGTCATATTATTAAGGGGCTATGGATTGGGGTTGAGATTTAAAAATGAGTTTAATCAATATCTTGCTTATATTATAGCTACGCATACATGCAGCTTGATTTATGCTTACGTTTTTAGCGCGCATTCTATGAAGAAGTCCTTCTTCGGGCTGTGTGCGAAACAGGACCTTGTTAATGTGGTGAGCAGCATAATAGGAGTAATAAAAGCGCTCCTCATTATTGGGATCAACTGTAGTGACTCGCGCAATGATAAAATCTAAACCTTTCTTGGCATGACTGTGAATTAGCGATTCTAAGCTTTCCAGTGTAAATGGGTCCTCGTTATCGGCATCAAGGACATCCATTGTATGATTGCGCTCATCCCCACCGTTTAATTCGACTGGCGGGCCAGTGATACTGCCATCTAGATATCGAGATCAAAATCGTTATAAATATATTTATACCGCATACAACTATCCCGGCTTTTGCACTCTACAACGATGCATGATAAAAACAAAGACGGCAGATATGAGATGCTTTTTGCCAAAGTTTACTTGCCTGAGTTTGGAGGAGGAATACCCAGCAACTTGACAAACCTAGATGGCATGTTGTTATTAGGAGGATTAAATATGCTTAATGCGATAGCACCCAGGGTCGCTGGCGAGTTGCTGACTTTACTAATAAAGGCATTTGGCGAAGACCACTTTGGCGAGTCCTGAATGCTTATGGCATGACCACTAGTCGTATCGACAATCGGAACTGGCTCGTATCTTGACATATGCAACCAAACTATTGTAGAGTTGCTGATAAAGTTGTATGAATTTACAGATTGCCGTGGATATGAAATGCAGCCTCGACTCCAAACTGGAAAACGCGACCTTGATTTTTGTATTTCGAGGAAACCCAAAGCCTGATTGGAATTCGCTTTGGAGAACTTGACATTGCAACAAAGGCACATACTTTCTAGTTGGTATATATCCCATGGATAGTCTTACAGAAAGCAAGGAGACTGCTGAATTTACTCAGCAAAGTCAGCATCCTTTTGCCCCGAATATTCCACTACCTCCTTGTCCAGATACACTTACAGGCACGCATTCCTATAAGCTGCAAGAGAGTGAGCAGCCGCTGCATCATGCTGATGCTGCCCATCTGCTTCATGAGCCACCTTCGTATCCCATTTTAGATACAGCACAGGAGTCTGAGCAAAAAGATGATCTGCAAACCAATGCTTCTGAATCTCCAACGAAACAACTTGGTCCATCTGGTTCTATTCACTATAATGCCCAACCGCATTTGCCACCTCATGTTGAAGGCATAAGTGTCACTACCACAACATCAACCATTCTAGAAGAAGCTACTACCCCTATGAATATGGATGCTTCACCTACTGCCTGTCGGATCATTGGATCCGGTGATGCATCAGACTCAGATATCAATTTGAATGCCAATATTAATCTGTCAACTGAGAATGCCCTCCACGAGCCACACGATTTGCCATCCATGATAAAAGTGCCCGAATCAACTCTGAATAGTACCAGCAGCCTAGCCACCAAAAGCATGGCTACTCTTGCCATGTCGCTCATGTCGCTGGATCATCGTGAACTAGATATCGATGGATCTGATGAACATCTACCCATGTCCTATGGCTCTATGGGAATTCCGATAGCAGTTGGCTCGACAGCAATAGGAGGTGGCGAAAGTGTGGCTTCTTCGGTGATGATCGGATCTACAACAATGTCTCGTGCTATTCATACCGAAAAGATGTCCAGCATCCTCAAGAAATCCGAAGTGCTCAAGGAAATGGAGGAAGATTCTCGTCGCAAGCGAGCCATTTCGCATCGATCCATTGACTTTCTTGGTGCTCGGAATATGCGTCGAAGCAAAGACTTGCTAGAAGAAGCACCCTCTGGTCCATTGCCAAGCTTACCAGCTTGGGGAGAGACACAACCTAATCAGAAATCAAGTATGGGTGGTCTTGGTCGACCAGTATCGTCACTCGCGGATTCGGGTGTTCTTGGTAGGACATCCAGCATTAGCGAGAAAATCACAAACTTGGTGCGATCCGGAAGTGGCAATGAGCCCATCTTGTTTCAAAAAATCTTTAAAAATCTTTCTGGTAGTGCAGGTACAAATACTCCTATGATGGATACTGCAGGTGCCAGTAGCCCAAATGCTCCAACTGGAAACACCGTCGGAATGAGTGGAGATATTATGCGTCGCAGTCCAATTACTGATACTCCCGGGCTTCCAACTTCGGTGTCCGCATCTTCTCCTGCACCTGGAGTCACCATGCCCAACAGCTTCACTGCACTCAATGTTACTGCTTTAAGAAAAAATCGCATGTCTACCATGGCTGCAGGTGGTCCGATGCCTCCTCCTGCTTTGGCTGCTCCATCTCAAACATCTTCAAAACCAGCCTTGAATGCAAAAACATTTAAAGAATGGTATATTAATATCCTCAGTGGTAAGTTGAAATTATTGCAAAGCTTGATACGATCTTTCAATTGTGCACAATCGCTTATCAATACATTTAAATATTCAGAGAGCGATGTGTCTGCGTCTACTCATGCCAAAGTAAGCTTGTCTAGCATTTACCACTTTTTAAAGTGTTAGCATGTCTTGTGGTGTATAGCTTGTCGTTTTTCAAGACTTATACAGTTTCTACTTTTTATTTATAGCTTGCAGCACAAGTAGCTGGTGTGGTTGAGCTGCAAAACATTTTTGGTAAAAAAGAAGATGTAGTAAACCCAGTAGAACGGCTTATGTGGGTCGCAAAGGAGTATGATGTATGGAGAAAGGATCCGCAATGGAATATACCAGAGAAAGCATTGTCACCACGTAAGACCATTTTATGAATACTAAATAGTAGTGGCTAAACAGATTCACGCGACTGTCAGTGTATATGATGGAGTTTAATTGTAATTCTATTTCTAGACGAGACCGCTCAAGAAGATATGGCTGTCCGCATGATTGACATTGTTCCAGATGGACGGATTCCGGGTCTTGAGTATGATGATGCCATTGCTGAGGGCGACCTTGACATTGTTGTTTTGGGCACTGTCAAGGACTTGATGGACGGTCTTATTTTCCCACTCGATCAAGATATGTCATTTTCAGAAATCTTTTTGGCTTCATATCGCTTTTTTATGCCGCCTCAGGAGCTTTTGGAGTCTCTTATTGGATGGTACAATGCCGATGCATCAGAAACTCGTCTTGCAGGCTCTGAAGCCTTTTTAAGGAAAAACAGAAAATATATTCAAATTCGCGCAGTCCGAGTGCTTCTCACTTGGATCCGCAATCATTGGCATGATTTTCATAACAATCAGTGTCTTTATGCCGAACTCAACTTTTTTGTAGATTATCTTGCCAAAGTCTCTTTTGGAAACAATCAAAAGCTCACCCAAGCCATTCGTGAACAGGTATGTTTAATTACGCTTTAGTTAAACTCACTGGCTGTGCTGGTTTTGATGGAATCCCTATTCAAGAATATTAACTGCGCTTCACCATCACTTTTATAGCGACTGTCATGGTATACCTACCAATACATACCCATGTTTTCTGGTATCCGTTCATCTGTACTTGAGCATACACGACCTTGGATTGCAGAATGGGAGATTGACGATTTTTCGCAAAATCTGACCATGATTGACCATCTCTTTTTCCGCCAGCTCAAGCCAGATATGTATCTTCAAATTCTCCACAAACCGGCAAGTATCCAAGGAGGAGGCTTCAATGTTCCGTTCAAGGCTATTTTGGACTTTTGTCACTGGTTTAGAACTGTAAGTGCCTGATTTCTATACCTTGTATGTATGTGAGAATTAAATGCTTTTGTATCGCTATTTATTTTATAAACTAGGTCGTTGGTTATACTGCAACGGTAATTGCCAAGGAGGATAATATCAAAAAGAAAACAAACTATATCAAACGATTTATCAAAGTAGCTAGGGTATGTTATTCAAAAGAGATGCAATGGTACTTGTCGCAATGTTTAATTAATTCGCTTAAAATTACATGGCCAGGCTTGCAAAGAACTGTCCAATTATAACACGATGTTTGCGATCATTTATGGATTAAAACGGCCAGCTGTTCTCATGTGGACACAGGCATGGGAGGTAAACACTCTATGCGTTCAACAGAGTCAAACTGTCATGCCTGGTTGTATTTATGAATGTGTTATTAATACATTGTAAACATATTTGCGTTTAGGGATTGGCAACAAGATACATGGATTTGTTCAAGGAGTTGGATAGGCTTACTGATCCTGCGAATGGTCATTTCAATTACTCGGATGAAATTACACAACGCGAGCCTCCTGCCGTTCCATTTATGCGTATGTACTTCAAACTGTAGTTTTGTGATTGTAGAGATGCAGCTATTTTTGTTAAATTATACTAAATTGATTGAAAACCTGTGATGCTTTAGTTCCTTATATTCAAGACATGATCCAAACTCATGTCAAAACACCACAAGTGTTTGACGACGAAAACAAGGATGACAATAATAAGAGACGCATCAACTTCCAAAAGTTTTACCACATCTATTCCATTGCAGCCGAGCTAGAAGTATTCCGCTTGTCATCATACCATAGGAAACTGAAAGGTGATCGTGAAAGCAATATGCTACTGGTCAATCACATGCGGTCTTACACCATGCTGGATGGAAAAGCATTGGGCGAAGGACTGGTGTTTTCATCTACGAATGCTACATCAGACTGGAACGAGACTGCATCTGGAGCTAGTGGATCCAAAGCAATGAAGCGTGCATCACAAATACTATCATCCACTGTTGCAGTAGAGTCAGCAAATAGTCAGTGACACCAATGATTTATGCTTTTTAAAAATACATGACATTTGGATTTATAAATCCAGACCATTCAGTCTGATGTAACGAATGGGTCAAGTCCCGTGATGAGATTGGAATTCAATTAAATTTCTGGTTGGTTTGAAGGCAAAAAAATGAGTCGAGTTTGACTTGTAGAATACTACGTTCCCATACTTGGTTATTACTATAATAGCATACCCTCTGAGCAGTTTTACAACCAGCATGAATAGAAATTCGGGTTCCACTGGACTAGGGAGCATCAATGCAGAGGGTTCTAGAGCGAACGAACCCAATATATCTGCGTCGGGTGCTGGGTTTGCAGTGGATGGAGGTCAGACCGTCATGCCGCTACCTACGACTATAGGCTCATCATCTTTTTGCCAGACAGGTGGAGAGGCTGGTTTAACGAATACATTCAAGACAGCAGCCAATTCAGTTGCACTGTTTTACCGAGAAGCGTTGGCACAGAACAAGCGGTCATTCGAGTCTGGCTACAATCAGTGTTTGCAGGACCTAACAGAGTTTGTAACCCAATTGCACCATCAGCAACTATCATCGCATGCCTCCAAGTATCCTCCAAATTATTCCGTCTTTCTAGCAGACTTGATGGTGTTTATGCAGTCTCGCCAGGCACAGCATCAGTCTGCTGTTGGAATGCAGCCACTGGCACCTACAAATCAACCTTGTTCCAATACCGCATTCGTTCAGACTCCATCCATGTCACAACTACCCTGCGCAACATCAACATCATCTTCGCTAGATACCCCCGAATATTCCACTAGCACCAGCTTGTTTGATGGAAACGACAAAAGGGCTTCATTTTCAGATACGCACGACTCGGCCAGTAATACTGCACCTGATGCAGAATCATTGGATCTACAATCTAGACAACCACATTCATATCACCATCATATACAGCAACGACTGATACACCAGCCATGGTTGCCTCAGACCTCAGCGATCAACACACCAGGCAACATGAGCATCAATGCACCATCAGTATCTTTTTTTGCACCATCTCTCCCGTCACTTCCAAGTAGCTTATTTCCAGATACCTGTTACGACAATCGTCTGACTGATTTACACAAGAGGAGGTGGGGGTATGATGGGGACATTGATGTGATTGGACGGTCTGTAGCATCAGACGACTATGCCAACCCCGACAATGCAGGAAAGCGGTTTCGCTTGCGACGGGATGAGCGCATGTCGGATGATTAAACGTTGGTGTAGATTGTTCTATATGATAAACTAGTGCTATATTTGAAATGTGTTTATTGGGATTCTTATTACAGCCGTATTCACGTAAAATGAACCACTAAATAAGTGTCAATACATAATAAACGGTCCATCTGATGTTTGGTGTCAATCTTACTGAACAACATTGTTTTATGAACTCTTAGTTTACTCATCTTTATGCCCATTCCATTCTTGTACAAAAATACAAATGTTCACATCTCTGTTCCAATACATTCCATACCATTGACATCTTTTGAACCTCCAATTTTCCCTTTTCTAAACCAACCATTTGAAATGAGCATTGTATGATTGGCATGGAAACAACAGTTGCATTCCTGAGATGTGTTGGGCTAGAGCGCGAACATATGAGATTAGAATACAACAGAGTCTATAGAAAAGGCAATCAGTTTCCAATAACAACAAAGATTCAACGATTGTTCATCCCAAGACAATTACTACAAAGTAAATACCAAAGTGTTTCATTTTACGTGAATACGACTGTAATACTGCAATAAAACAAATGCATGTTTGCCTTGAGTTGTTAGAATACATATTGCCCAAGATAGCAGTTTAGTGAATCCAGATGTTTTATAGTTGTGAAAGATAGTGTTAATAATCCCATTCAAATATTTTTACTCGACAAATTGAATCTTGCTAGAACATACTATATTCTAATCACTATGGAAAAACTCTTGCTCGGACACTTTAATCGACACAGTAGGCCAGCTACACATGCTGAACTAGCAGAACTGGCAGAATTGCTTGGCGATGATCAGTGCACTATGGATACGGTTTTAGCCGAGCTTGTTCGGACACGACGAATGTGAGTGCCTACAACTAGTTCATTGCATGCGATATCTAGACGATTGATTTATATTCAAGTCATACTGATTTTTATGATGCTGAATGCTAGCCTACTGAAAAGGATTTCTGTCGATTCAGATGCAGAAACTGTTCAAGTATGCTACTATCCTGGACAAGCTCCTCCCAACTCCAAACTGGCAAAAAGCATAGTCAACAAGGTTCCCAATGGACCATCTCCAGAAATTCTAAAACTAAGATTACAAAAGCAGGAACTGCAGAAACAAGTAGATGATCTAGCAGCATTGATGCCGTAAGTAGACCATCTGGATCAATCTGGATGTCTGCATGTTCTACATCACTCACGATACTGGCTTTGATATATATTTTTGTAATTGAATGACCAATTACCTATAGAGCCGACATTGATATCGAGGTGTTTATTCAAGAGCATATCAAGCGATTGCATGACTATAACGAGATCAAGGATATTGGGCATGTATATTGTAAAACTCGTACATTGAAATGTCGCTGCTTTTTAAACTAACACTCTGCACTGCACGCACGAATGATATATAAACTAGTCAAATGCTCCTGGGTAAATGTGCTGAGCGAGAACAAACGACTACTAGAGACATGTATGTCAAGTTTGGTTTAGACTTTGAAGACTAAATCCACCTCCGATCTCTATTAGACAATCTCATGTCTTCATACTCACAATACATCACAAAACATTCAAATAAAACAATATCGAGGTTGCAACATGCCAAAATTGCTGATTTTATATTATTGTGGTGCATTGCAGTAATAGTTATCTGAATCCAGTGCTCCGTTTTGGCGGTTCTAGTTTAGGCACAACGAATGGTCTACCAACAGTGCAATCCAGCCATCCTTCTGGAGCATCTTTTGGAGCAACTTCATCAAATCGGTGAATGAACCCCTTAATAGATGGAGCCCAGCCATATTCTCCGTTTGCTAGTTGCTGAATCGTATCCAATGCTTCTGGTGTTGCATATGGAGTTCCTGTAAGAGGATCGGTGTATTTTGCTGGAAGTCCAGTTATAGGACAGATGGCCACATCGTCTGTTGCGGCTGGCATATATGCTAATGAATAGAGGACAGCATCAGATTAGCAAAACAAACTATCATGAATGGTATCAGATTCAATGTTGCTAACAGGATAGATAGGTTGCATCGATGTTCAGCTAACCATTTGATTTCTTTGATCTTCCAGTTCCTGGAGTGCACTGGCTTACATGTCCATGTGCTCCTCCTACTACTGTTGCAGTATCAACAAAGCTGCCATACTTTTTCATAATGAACTAAATGGGCTCAAGGTAGTGGATATCTGTTAGTCAATATAGCAAAAGTAATGCATTTGGAAACACAGTATATGTTCCTGAATACAATTGCAACAGTTGCAGTCAAATCTCCATCAAACCTACACTGGACAGGTTTGTCGGTCAAACTCTCGAATAGTAAATTTCAACCTTGAATATCTTGGTGGCCAATCTCAATTACCATTTCAATATCAACAGAATTTTATTTATAATAAATTCTGATTTTGGCCAACACATTGGACAAAGAAGTATGCCCAATGGTTACCTATCATTCTAATATCTTTTTTTGATTACGGTTACAACTACTATTGATCTAGCACAAGATGTCGCTTGAAAAAGTTTCGCTGGATTAAAATGCTTGAACGCTCTATATCAAGTTTAACGTGACAGATGACATCTCACTTTCTCAATGACTGTATTTGAACCCTAGCGACAGTGATCTTCATATACAGTCACCGGCCATCCTTTGTCCTGTTCAGATTCAGATCCAGGGAGTGCAGCCCAGCGCAGCACCATGGAACCTAATACGTTGAAAATAAAACCATAACAGTTACAAGACTGATAAATGACAAGTGTATCGACAATACCAAGCAACGGTTACCTGTTGAATCAAATCGCTCAGAATACTGAACACCCTCTGATAAAAACATCCAAAAATGACCTGAAATTTTCAAATTAAAATCAATGGGTTAGTATATGACGACATACCAAAATTATTAAGCAACGTATCAGGTCCATTGAAACTAGTGATGGCTTACCATTATTACATGCATCCAAACATCCTTCACATGGCTGAGTAACGTGATATCCAACTACGTTTCCACAGCCAAGACATGCCGCATCGCGAATTCGGCATCTATTGAGTGAATCAAATTGAAACATATAGCATATCAGCACGGTTCAAATCATTTAAAATGTCAATATCAAGCAGCCTTGAGTCCACTTACGCGCAATTCTGCGTAAGATAATCTTCAAAAACAAGTTGAACTCCATTTGGAGGGATATCGGTTGAAAACAATTCAACTTCAGCATTTCCGAGTAAAATAGCACGCATGCCACGCAAACACATGAGTGATTCACAGTGACGACAGAATAGTTTACAGACCGCTTTGGATCTGAATTGGGGATGAACTGAAGGGTTGACTGTGCCAGGACCCGATCGAATAAATCCAACAGTAGATAGCATAGTGTTATCTTCTGCTATTGCTCGGCTTGTATGAGTATCTGCAAAAGATGCCGCGGAGGATGTGCCAGAGGAGCGACTTCGACCAACGGGAGGAGCGTGATTAGGAGCAGGTTGGGGTGCATACGGGTTTAAATGGGTTGAACTTGACAAAGTTGGCGCATGTTGATGATTTTGAGTATGACGGCGTTGAACATTCTGCTGTGGCTGTCTAACGTTTAATACTTGAGTATGCTGATTATATTGAAATTCAGGATGGGAATGGCTAAACGTGAATGCACTTTGATTAAATGGGGTCTGTGCTGCATTACTACTAGAAACATGGTTCAACGTATAATTTCTGCGCGTCGTTGAGTCATGCATTGTATTTACAGGTCCTGTTCTATATGGAGAAACAGAGCTTCTTGTATAGGCAGATGCATTCATGACGGCACGTTGGTAGTGGCGACTAAGAGCAGTGATTTCTTGCGGCGAGTACTGATGTTGTGAGTGACCAGCGATTGAGCGAGATGGTGTTGCATGTGCTGACATTGACCTGTTGGACACAATGGAGGCGTGACGAATATGGTCTTGGGATGCCTGATGATAGGCAAGATTTGATTCCTGAAGCCTAGCTTGCTCCACAAGAACAGACGACTGACTCTGGTTATTAATCTGCATTTCAGAAGGAAATTACAGTCTACAGTACATTCAATTATAAGCGTACCATCAAGGACAAAAATTAAAAGATTGAAATGCTGGTTAGCTTTAAAATTGCATACAAACTATTTTTAAAGGTCGGGTTTATCAAACCAAATCATGCTACGTGTATTCTAGATTTGTAAAAGTGGGGGTTTATCGCCATTGACTTGCAAACAACAATGGAATATCTGAGATATAGCAGCTATACTACTGACTTGGCTTGATAATACTTTCAACTGTATTATACAAGATGGCAAAGTAGAACTCACCACGAACACGTACAAAATGCCACAAATGTGAAAGATGTCAGCTCTAATGGCTTATAGGCTGAGTAGCAACTCAAGTATGCGAGATTGGTTTTGGTAAGTAAAAAGAAAGAGGAAACTCGACCGCTCTTTATTACTATTTGAAATACTAGTAATGGGCGGAATGAAATAAAGGATTATTAAAGTGAGAGTGGAGTTAATCCAGTCGTTATATACAAGGGAATGGCTTTTGTGTTTATTGCAAGTTTAACAAAACAATGCTTCCAACTGGGCCATATGAACGAATGGTCTGTATTGTTATATGGATTTGTGATAAAATCTAGTATAAATGATAACAAACATCTATTGGGCGTGGATTTATTGGACGCGTCCAGCCTGTTATAACGAGATATTTATACCCCTCATACCTGCTTTATCATGATATTCAAAACAGATGTATTGTTTCACATAGTTTTTGATCTGATGGATGGTCTATTTTTAGAGTTTAGCAGTCATTTCCCAGTGGATTATTTTGACCCAAGCTTAATTTTCAGACTAGTATGGATGTATTTGTTGGGATAGTCGGCGAGAGGGTTGATTCCACACTACAAATCACATGACATTGAGATGATGCAATATTACTATAGTATATAATATATGGGTGGATCTTTTGATCTTGAAAAATCCACAAATTTGGTTTTATCAAACCAATTTGTTGGTTGAATTGACATTCAACCTAGTTCACCTTGTGTAGTTTGTTGGTTTGAGCAATGACTATGCTTTACGCCATCTATCAAATAGAAGAACAAATGACTGATGGAAATAACAACTAAAACTGTTTTTAATGTTCGAGTTTAGCATAGTAATGGCCTGCACTTGATCTCTGAACAGCGATCGACATTTAAACGCAACTATGGAATGAGTCATGATAAATGCATTTTTATATCACTGGTTGATAGCATACATATACGAGCTTATAAGTAGTATATTTCTGCCAAAGTAAGAGTTTGATGGACTAACTACTATTGAACCAAGAGTCAAAGTGTGCATATTTTAAACTCCTTGAAACTTCATTGCTACTGTTTTGAAAGGCACACATTGCAGTCATGTTTATGTGGAATGAATGATTTTTGTATTTATCTTGCAGTGACTGTCTTGTTAATTGGACATGTAATATTTGCTGTACTTTCCTACTAAAAATTGGTTATTTAATAGATACAACGTTCATGCAACATTGACACAATTAAACTGTTTCTTTTTTGACATGGCCATACATTGTATGATTGACAAGTTTCAAGCCAGATATTGAGATTGATTGTTGTCAATCCAATTCATGTTTGCTGTATTCTAAACTCGAATATGCTTGCGCTCCAGTTCAAACAGATTGCATTTCTGAGACATGCAACCATGAATGCCAATCCCAGGAGACACTCGACTCGAGTCCAAAAAACAATGTCCAGTAAATTTAGCGAGAATCATTCCATAAAATTGACTGTTAATGCATTTTGGCACCTTTGGTGTTCCATTTTACGTGAATATGGTTGTAAATGAAGCCCAGTGTAAAATGTCGGTTAATATTTACATTCATACCCATTGTTAAAACAATAGCAGTAGGCAATATTATACTATTAATTGCCAATTTCAGGGAAAAGAATAACAAGAAGTTCATCCATAAGAGTATACAAAAGATGCTGATTTAGTCGCCGGTTTTGAAATAACCCGCACCACCGCAACGCACCCCGTTTGGCATTGTGTCGGCCTACTATTCCGCCAAGCAACTCTGGCAAAAGTGACGATAGTTTTCCTTGTGCATCCAATCTAGATTGTCGTTTGTCTTCTGTGCTACGCAAAGTAAACTGTGGATCCCAGACGCCTGCTGGCCAAAAAGTCGTCAGCAGGTTAGATAGCATGAGTGCACAATTGTCTTCACACACCATCCATCGCAAAGACTCATTCACTCGGCGCTCAACTGTACCGCCAAACAGTTGTTGCAAAAAGATAGTAACCGCTTGGCGTCTGAGCCAGTTGTTTTTCTCTTTAAGCTCAAAAATCTCGATAAAAACATCAATGATTGCATCGGTTGCTGATGCCAATGAGGCTCCATTAACCTGTTCACCTTGATATGAAAGTGGAAGTGACAATGATGACGGATCAGTAGCAAAAGACGTAGTAGATGGACCAAATAAAGTATGAATCATGCTGGACATGGGATTGTTATTTGTATTGGATTGCTGATGATGAATCAATTGTGGTGTTATACTGGATCTGGGAAGCGTTTGACTGTTAAAAGGCACTGATAAGTGCTGCTGACTTTCCGAATATAATCCACCCGATCCTTGCTGGTGATTGATAAAAGTAGGTGCATTGTGTTGTGCGCGTAGTTTTTGACGAAATGCATCTAGTCCTTCATCTACAGTATGGAAAACGTTTTTGAAAAACGACCGTTTCACAGGATGCTCTCCGACTTCCCGATGAAACAGTATTTTGGAGATGCTTGGATGGCACAGGAATTTTCGAAATTCAACACTCTTACAGATCTCAATATGGCGCACGAGGTTCTATTAAATAAATTAATAATGATTGCTAGTTAAACATAGATAAAGCAAAAAAGTAGCAATTCACCTGTAAATATTTTTCAAGCGATACTCGCCGAGTTTCAAAGGATTGTCTCCTGGGTTTCATGAGTCCGTTGAGTAATTTACCCGGCATATCGTATAGTTGGATGATGGCTGGATATTTAGATTTGAGGATCTGATGCATACTCAAAAACTCACTATAGCGTCTTACTACAAACCATCCAAACGCAATACCTTGTGAGCTTAATCTCTGTACTTGAACAGGATAAAGCACAAAATCTTTTCCATCTTCGTTGGAAAAATACGACTCTCCGATTGATATTACAGTGCCATCCTACAATATATTTACATAAAATTAAAAATGGATAAATAACTGTGGCCAAGAGAAATACTAAAATATGACCAGTACAATTGAATCCTTTGAAAATGATTGATCTTACTGGAATAATCACATTTTCCAGCTCATCCATTTCTAAAGCCCGCTTTTCTGTAACCAATCTACGCATCTCTTCTTCGATACCAATTCGCATGTAATGCAGATGCTTCAGTTGTGTTGCATAAGCAGTGTCACCTGTCTTGAAACTTTGTGGCGACTTTTCAATTGCTGCTTTCTGGTGATCAATATCTTCGGCATCCGCACGCAATCGTTGCAGGTCAGTATTTAATTGATGAACCCTTAGAGGCGGAACAATTATGGGTGGTAATATATCTTGTTCAGGTGAGTACGCCGATATAATTTCGTTTCGTGATCGAGGAATGCTACTAACATGCACACCATTGGTTTCCTCTAGCCATGATTGTATTTCCTCATCATCAGTGCGCTCACCCTTTAATATCTGCAACATGTCTGGTTCAGATTCCAACACATCTTTACTTGAAAACATTTCACTGTGATGGGGCTGAGTATCGTCGAGGTAAGCAACAGAAATAAGTGGGGATGAAACGCGACGCTGAGAAGCTGTCGACTTTGTAAACGCACCACCATCGTTTCCATAAACATCACTTTGTACACGTAACTGTGAAGAAGAATTGGCAGGTCCGACTGGTGGGTAAAACGATGCGGTGTCGCTGGACAATTTACGAGGAGATGGCGATGAAAATATATTTCCACTAGCTGAAAAAAGAGACGATGTGTCCTCTCTACTGCTTTCTGCAGATACAGGCGAGGATATCTTGGTGGTAACAAATTCAGATTTGGCATGGTTTTTTGACGATCCATCCATATTATTCAAAGACGCGCCAGTAATATGATTTGTAGTGGTCGAATTTTGTTCAGTGTTATCGGTCTTTTCCAACAACTTTGACTTTTTTTTAAATGGCCCAAATGCAAATATACCACGACTTGACTCAACCTCGGATTGAGATGGTTCCGCTAAAGTAGTATTTAAAGAACAATCCAAAGCATTCAATGAATCCAAACTAGTATCTGCTGAGCTTGTACCATCAAGAGCTTTAGCAGATACATCATTATAATCTGCTTGATTCAATCCCTTTAATGGGCTGGTTTTCCCACCATCCGCTGTATCGTTTTTTGCTCCTTTGGTATAGTGCTGTGACATGTCAGATGTACAATTTTCCTCCTTGGTAGCTCCAATGCGGTCATCGCCAAGAATTTTAGATGTTTTTTTGCGTAAAAACGATACAAACGAATTTTCATCGCTATTGACTAAAGCATGTAGCTCACCCTCGATATTGGTCGCATTGTCAGTTCGTACAGAAACAGTTGGCAAATAGTCATCAAAATTCATGTGGACGTTGGAGCTATTCAGCAATTGTTTTGCTGTTTGCTTGCGCTTTCCTTTAAACATGACATCCATAATAAGCCGACTTTTGCTTTTTCGACTGTTATCTTCAAAAATACCGGCTTCATGGTTGCTAAAAGGCTCAATATCGGCAATTTCACGCTCTGACTCGCTAGATGTTCGATCGAGTAAAGTGCCGCCATCCTCTTTAAATATGTAGGCTCCTCTGGCGTTTAAGCCTTGTTCGCCGCTGCTCTTACGCACTATATTCAAGTTTTTTTGGGTTAGGTCTGCCTGACTCGAGACTCCTCCTTCCAGTACAATATGCACCATCATCTGTGAGTAAAAACTGCTGCGGATAAACCCAGGAAAATCCACACGATCCATGATACGATAAATATCTTGCAGAGCTTGTATAAATGCCTTTAATTCGCGGCGAACAACAAGCACTTCGCGTGAAAATGCCTCGTTGCCAACTGCTAAGCAGTCTACTACGCTTTGAAGAGCCTTTACTGTTCCTGATGAGATTTCTGGTATATGAAAAGGCGCTTCTCGAGCCCAGTGTTGCTTAAAAATTTGTTGAATTCCTTCTGCAAGGGTGTAGATATCCCACGACTCTGATATGTGTGGACTCATGTCCAAGATTTCCGCCATTTCGGTCGCGTTTATATCGGTAAAGCCCAATGGAGACAGCAACATGCTACCACGCACATAGCACTGTACAATATGCAGTCGATTGACGCTATCCATATATTCAGCAAAATACCCCAACATGTCACGATCTTCGAGAACAGTCGTCAATGTTGGCGTATTCAAAACCACATCTTCGGTGTCATTATCCCGCACTCCTTTTTTTTGTCTGGCACCAAGAGCAGTAATGCGTTTTTCAATGCGTTGTTGTGCGACATTGAGTCTATTGATATATCCTTGTACTTTAGATACTTTGACTCCGTGGACAATATCGTCGCCATCATAACCGGCAATATCGTTGCTCCGTTTTTGTAGTTCGGTGGAGATGATGCCCCTGATTCTAAATGCGTCAATCAGATTGTCACAGGCTTTGATTTGCTTGATAAAAGCATTGAATGTAGGAGGTTTTATAGATCCGGATACATTTTGATCCAACTCATCTGCATCCATTGCATTGTCTTTATCAAGTGCATCTCCAATTTTACGACCAAGAGATTGCTCATGCTGAATAATTCCATCCGCCTAAGCCATTGGATTTAAAAACAAAATGAGTCAAATACAAATAGAACATGCAGAGTTTAATCTAAACTGCTCTTACCAACGAATCAAAAGTCTGGTTCCAATAGTCTGGATCACTCAGCATTTCCATAATAGGCTGAATAATACGACACACAAGGATTTCTCGAATGAGTATTGTAAAAACTCGACTCCCCGTTTCACTTTTTTGAAACAACAATGGGATGATGTGTTTAAGCTTGGACCTAAGATATGCAAGTTCCAGCTCCATATTCCGAACTGGTGAAGCTGAAACAGCAGGATGAAGGTTTCCATTCAAATAGTATCTAGCAAGCTGATGATCTAATTCGCTTCCTTCTGGCACCTTTTTTTGAATACGTTCTCCACGCAATAAGCGCTCAGCTTTGCGAATTTCAAGTGCATGAACTACAAGAGCAGGACATAATTTCACTACAACGATTTGTGCTATGTCAATGCGGTCGAGTCTCATTTTAATTTCAGCAAATGCATTGTGCATGGCCTGTTCTATTCTGCTGATGAATGCAGGCTCGATACTAACATAAGAATACCATGAACAAATAAAGTCTTGCGTGACGTGCCCTACAAGACAATTGAGGAATAGTTGAATCTGATCATGATTGATGTATTGACGTGTGACGTAAGGAGTGAGTTCTCTTTTTCTAGCGACCTTGATCTTGGACCATCGAGCAGGACTGCAAAGAGGGAATTGGCGAATTGGGTGGCCATTGTTGACAGCAATAAGACGTGCATCATCTTCGTTTTGGAGAAATCCACTGCGATTTCTAATACGAGCAAGTTCCTTGCGGTGGTGAATGGCATCCGAACCAACAGTCCACAAGGCAAACAAGACTGCAAAAGCTAATAAAACAGATAGATGAAATCCAATTTGGTAGAATAGTGGAGAAGCATAGGACAGTATTGGTAATAAGACGAGCACTAGATACAGTTTTGGATGGCTAGACAGACTGCTTAAGATTGAATGAAAAGCCATCTACATATAGCAGTAAGTATAGTATAAACAGCACAAGTATTATAAAACTGTTTACCACTGCCGTATTTATAAAATGGGACACTAAGAATGTCAAAGTATAATAAAACAGTCAATTTTATGGAATGATTCTCGCTAAATTTACTGGACATTGTTTTTTGGACTCGAGTCGAGTGTCTCCTGGGATTGGCATTCATGGTTGCATGTCTCAGAAATGCAATCTGTTTGAGCATACTTTAGACTTGACGCTATTGGATTGGTTTTATTTCAAATACTTTTAAAATATTTATTCATCATCTGTCCAAGTTTGTTTCATTCTAATCTGAAAGTTTGAGATTCAATCAAGCACTCAAGATGCATTACGAGTGGCCTCGTCCTCAAAACACTCTTTACAGTACAAATAGTCATTGTGTGCAACAGCCTTGAGATCTTCAAATGGTTTTCGACAGTTCTATTCAAATATAATTTCAAGTGTTAAAATATGCTAGCGAGTCACTTGGTTTAAATCAAATTTCAAGCAATAGAAACAACCTACCTTGCATGAGAAACAGGCCTGATGATACTTTTTATCTTTCCATTCTACAGCAACAATTGTTCCAGCACCTTTTTCAGGAAGGATTCGCAAATTGCATCCATGGCACAGTGGTAAGAATGCAACTTCGTAACACTCCTAGATGTTATAGGATATTGAGTTTCATAAATAGATTGGTATTTCATTCAAAACATTTGCAACCTACCTTGCATACAAACGATCCGTCTTTTTCAATGAATGTTGAAACGAGTTGTTTTTGGCAGGTCGAGCAGCAGAAACACTACAGATAACAATAGTCAATACACGCTTATCATGTCCAGTAAACACGAGCAGCAATATGCTATGGATCTATACAATCTTGCTTGAATCAGCCAGATTGAAATACCTTGGGATGGAATTGCTTTCCATCGGTCTTGACTATAGTTGGATCAGTAAAAACCAGTCCACATTGGTGACAGGATCCAAGAACTTTTTTCATATAGCAATCTGAGCACACATGCATTTTCTTGTGCATATAGAACGGCTTGTTGCATAGCGATAAAGTACACATTTCACAGGTAAAGCATGTTTGATGGAATAGATATCGAATCCCATCCTGGCTGTATTCTGCTGCATCACTTCCAGATACTGGCTCTGATATGTGGGTTGAAGATGAGTTTGATGCTCGTCACTAGCCAACGTACTATTTGTAATGTAAACCACCTCACCTTTACATTTAAAGCAGTGTCCTAATAAGTTGTGGATAGAAAATTATGTTCAGGTATTTATGCATAGTTAGCATATCTATTGGCTGTAAAACTACAGCTGTTGGTGTGGTGATGTACCTTTGAAATCTGCAATACCAACGCAGGAAAGATCTAGACAGGATATTGTTAGACTAGTCAATAAACTAGAAAATATTTGGTCATATATTTACCCTTGGCCAGGCTGGCCTGAAGCTCATCCAATTCATCCATTTACAGCCGTATTCACGTAAAATGACCACTTGTGTTGCCTTGCAGTGTTGCCACTATTTTGCTTTGGGATAAACAATGATTAAATATTCGTTACGCTTTCCTGCTGGATTGGCATTCTCAATCCACTACACAGCATTCGTCAATTAACATTCTCAAACTAAACTATTCATGACTAGCTGTTTATTATGTATTTTGGCATCCTTATTTAGTGGTTCATTTATATGAATACGGTAATGATTAGATACCATAAAAATGCTATCGTATGGTAAACCAAATCAAAACAAGTTTAGACAATGCGACTACCCAATCTAAGTGGCTCAAATAATATGCTGTCGTGTTTATAAAACTAGGCTTACATGATGAGCTTCTTGCCAATCTCAAATTCTGCATAATTTAAAAAAGTAGTCGAGATTGATCGCTATGAAGGTGATAGCACAGATGGGTCATTCTGAACATGCTCTAACTTTGCCGACCGAAGATGATACAGCTGACGAGACTCTTTAAACGAACGAATAAACTCTTCTTCGGTAAGTTTACCATCCAAGTACGATTGAGCTGACATCTCTGACATGCTTTCAGAGGTCGAGACCAAATCGCGCAGCGTATTTGTAATAGTATCTCCTCCAAATCGCTGTTATTCATAGTAATAGTGCCAAACAAGCAGCTTAGTGGGTTAAAATAAATCAAACCAACAACCTAAAACAAAAAGTATGGTACAGGCTCTTACCAATAACTCTTGTTGTTGGGCCAATAGTAACTCGTCGAGTGTTTTTCTGTGGGATGCCTGTAGCTCTTGAAGTGCCTTGATGCGACGTTTGAGATCCTGAACTTCATCTTCATTTGACAATGTTCGTTCTAAAAATAAAGATCGATGGTTAAAGTCGTATAGCGTTGAACATAATTCTTACTAGCTTTGAATGAAAACTGATGTTTCAAATACCTGCAATCTCTGCATTTCCTTTGACTAGATCATGCTTTACATTCTTCATATCTCGTACATGGGAAATGGTCAAAAAAAAGTCTTCGAGTGACGAATCATCTTCAAGAAGTCGGTTGATTTCCTCCAGTCTTTTGAAAAGATTATAAACCAGCATAGTCAATATCAATTGAAATAGTTGTGATAAATGTTAGCAATTCAGGATTTAAGCGGCATTTGCAGGCAGAATCAGACTAGACAACATACGATTTGGCATCCAGAGATGGAAAAATATTTTCAGAATATGATATTGTGTTTGCGGGAGGTAAATTATACTCTAATCTTTGAGCCATGATGCTATTTGCAGTTCCATATGGCATGCTAGAAGCAGATCCAGTGTATGCTGGTGACTGAGTTGAAGTAGAAGGTATAGGCGGAGGTGGGTGGGTGGGGCCGCTTGAGCTAGATTCGAACATTGAGATTGCAAATACAAAATCAATTGGCAGATATTTTCCAGTTTAGTATAATTTAAACAAACTAAAGTGTTTAGCAATGCAGTCGGTTGAGGATTAGACCAGAACAATACCTTGATGGCTGAGGTGGATGTACAGTGAATTCTGTTTCAATCTCTTTAACGATCCGTCCAAGAGACACATGCTGGCTCCAATTTGCCAGTTTATCATGGCCAACAATTTGGCCTTGAGAGTTTATCCATGGATGAGTGCAAGAGGGTCGCAGATACATAATAGGAGCAATGTCGGGAAAGGCAGGCATGAGCAACAGTGTCAGGACAAACGGAGGAAGCTGACCAGCACTTCCTAACCCAAGGGTGATCTCGAATTGAGAGTCAGGCACAATCTGACGATACTGTAGGTTGTGGCCAGACAAAGAGGCCACTTGCCGCCTCCGTCTAATAAACAGTCATGGTTAAAATGGTAAGCTACTGAGTGCATGAACATACTTTTGCCAGGTTTAAACGTATATATATCAAATGTATAGAACAGAGCCACTTACAGCTCGCTCAATGGAGTGCTGTTTGTAGAACTACTGTAAAACCCATCCATTCTAATGTTGGATGGTTGGTGTGTTGATGGCTGAATAGCAAGGAATAAAAGCCGACCGACTTGAGAAAGTGATCAACTGTCACGTGCCATTGAAATCTAACTCGAAAGCTTATAATTACAGGCGTATTCACACAAAGTACAACTTTTGCGTATCTTGCATTGATTGCTATTATTTTGCTTTGGAATAAACAATGCTTAAATCTTTGTTACGCTTTCATATTGGAGATTGACTACTTTTTCAATAAACACACCATTCATATAATACCAATCATTCCTTTCACATTGGTATTACCACGCATTGTACAATCACCATATTCATCCGCTGAAATTCAGATATTGAGTTGGACTGTTGTCGATAAAACTCTGCACAAACTCGTCCATTATATCTTAAATTCAGATATGTTTGCGCTCTAGTTCAAAAACAGATTGCACATCTCGGAAATGCAATTATGTATACCAATTACCAGAAACCCAGAAAACTAGAAAGTTCAAAAAACAATGTCTAGTAAATCCTGTGAATTATCATTTTATAAATCGATTGCTTACCCATTTCAATATTCTAGTGTTGTATTTTACGTGAATACAATTGTAATTCAAAACATTGAATCAGTTGTTTTCATTCAACCTACTATATGTTTGATTTTAATCTGGCTGAATGCAGGGAAAATAAAACCTTGCAGCAAGATAAATCTATAAACCTGAATACTTGTTCAAGTTGGGAATTGAAAAAATGCTATTGTAGCTGAATATTTGAAGCATTTATCTACCATCCCATGCAAATATTTTTGGAAACCCAATTGGCAAAGTCCTTGTCCATTTCGATACAAATGTATTTACTATCATTAAAACCATGCACGGAAACGTCAGATCGGTGCTCCAGCACGGACGGCACAAACTGATAGCTTTGAAACATCATTTGATATGAATGAGCATTCTATTACAGCTATAGCAACGGCGTTTAAAGAAATTAGCATTTCTGGAAACATTTAAACTTACCGAGACAAGTGCACTTTTTGAACCTAAAAAGTGATACATCAACTCTTTGAACTCAAACGACTGGCATTCATCATGATAAAGCATAACTAAAAGTTACGACATTGCCAATACTTTAGCATCAATCCATCACATACTATTTGCTAATAGCTTATGAATTCAAAACTCGAAATAAAAGTTGCTCCATTAGCATATCCCAATAGTTTATTTACTTGTCAGTATTGGCCAATCCAATAACGACAATTTGATTTTTGGCCTCCTTGACTCTCCACCATCTGCCTAGTCGATGTTCTTGTCCAGTACCAATTGCAATATGGAGACTTTTGGATACTGCTTCTGCTGCTCGCTTAGCATTTTCTTTTGCCCTAATTCGTGCTGCAACTGCTGATGTGGGTTTATCTTCAGAATTTTTTAAAACCGCATCTTTGTCAGTACCCATCTGGCTGGTATGGGAAAACGGAGCCTCGAAAAATGAAAGCGAGTTGATGAATCCGCACTATAATTCATGGCACAATCGTCAGATAAGCATAGTTTAAATAAATGATGTTGAACCAAAATAGTCCAAATCCATTGATATCGACATATTCTAAAAAACTCACTATTGGGATAGCATTCAACAATGCAAAATTGTGCTTGTTTTCAGACACCATCCATAATCTAACAAACCCGTCACAAGAGCCAGATGCAAACAAATCAGAGTATGGAACCGATGCAAGCGCAGTAATCCAGTTGCATGAATCACTGGAAACTTGAGTTGCAAAACTGTCTTGGCCATTAATTCTGACATGAGATTGCACACCATGGGCATTCAATCGTGTGAAAAGAGGCTTTTTTTTCATGGTATCCCACAAGGAAATGGCGCTAAAAATAGACATTGGTATATATATATCAGAATGTAAACATGCAAAGTTTGGTATACTTGGCAAACACAATCCAGCTTACCCGTTATCACTTCCACTGACAAAGTGATCCTCGTCAATCAACGCAACAACATCAATCACACCACCAGTAAAGTTTTCTCGTTTTCTTTTTTTGCTTTTGTCAATCAATTCATCCATAACAACTAAATCTTCTGAAACAGTGATACCACCACCCGCACGGAATACTAATTGAGACTCTTCAGGAACTTTCCACAAACGAACCGTTCGGTCACGAGCACCAGCAGTGAGGCATCGCTCACGAGAAAGCGAGTCAATTGCTACAACCTGATCTTGGTGTCCAAATCTTGACAAATAGAAACAGAATGTAAACAAGTATTAATGTAACCATGCATAGTCTGTAAAAACTCAGTTTTACATTCGCTTACAATGTTTCCACATATGTGAGTTGATCTATGTTCCAAACTTTGACTGATCGATCGTATGAAGTCGAGTAAAGATCATTGTGTCCTTTGCGAAATTTAAGGCCCTGATTACAATCAAATAGTAAATATCGACACAGTATAACTACTTTAACGTATCAAACAAGCAAGAAATTACCGAAATAGCATCACGATGGTGTTTAAACTCTGTCAAATGATTATTATCTAGTACTGACCAAATATGAATAATTTTATCTAGTCCTCCAGTAGCCTTTTAAAAATGATTCAAGTGTCAATTGAATGAAAATTATAAAATGAGAATTAATAAATCAACTTGATACCAAATTACTGCTTGAAACATATATATCAGATAAAAATATATCAACGCATAATTCTAAATGCATCATTGGCAGGATGAATCTAGACTCAATGCTTGATGTACTCCTTGGAGTATTATTATTGGAAATCATTAACATCAAGATATAACTTGACGCAGAGGAACAGCCATTGTATCGAAATACACAAGGGCGTTCGCTCTAGATTCCGGTAAATACAAAAGCTAGTATAAACAATAGATTGTATATAAAAAATCTTACCAAGAATTTTCCATCAGAACTGACATCAACAGTAAGAATATTGTCAGTATGTCCGTGAGATCCCTTGATTGCCTTTTTTCCCACAGCAGCAATAAGTTTTTTTGTGGGCTTGAGATTTCCTGGCTGGATGTGTACCTTATGACCAGTCCAAAAATCCCATTTTACAATCATGGCATCTTTGGACACGGAATAGATATACAATGGTTGCAAACCTGCAAATGCGGGTGTGTGTGGCAATGTGGAAGACACCTGTGACTGTGCAACAACGGCTGGTGATGGAGCTGCAATAGCAACACCAGTGATTGTAAGCTGATGGCCATTCTTTCCTGGTTTGAATGTGCGGTATGATACACCAAGATCAAGGTTTTTGTACTGGTTAGCAATGCGATGATACGATTTACCCGCTGCATCCATCTGTTTGTCAAGTAATACATATTAAACAATCATGAGATGTCATTATATTGTTAGATTCTAGATCAGAAATTATTGATATATTAAGAAATAACAACGTACAACATCTTTTTGAAGTCTTTCTGCAATTAGATCTCTATCTATAGTTTTAGCATCAATGTCTTTTTCGTCCACCTCTACAATTTGAAATAAAATAAAAATTAATTACCCCATTTGAAAGTGTGTCAACACCAACAAACGGCATCAAATAGCAAGCAGCCACTTACGATCAATGTCCTCACGCACTTTTTCAAGATACCGTTTAGCAAGTCGAAGTCGTTTCTGGGCAGCAGTCTCATGAGCGTCTTCATCGTCAGACAATTCAGCATTGCTTCCACTACCTAGATCCATATCATCAATATTTTGATCGCTGTCGCTTTCCTCCTCAGAACTATCATTTCTTCCTTTTTTGAATCTTCTTGCATCAGTGGCAGCTGCTTTTCCACTGCCCAACTTTTGGGCTGCTAGTACTGCTGCACGCTGCCGTTTGCGTTGCGCAGACGACATTCTTGCATCTGGATCTATAACGCTTTCATTGATAAAAAAGTCGTCCATTCTGTTGTAAATATAGGGTTAAAATGAGTTTAATGTAGTGCTAAATGAACAAGTTCAACACACTTGTAGTTTGACCAGAACAAAAACCGAATATTTAAAGAAAACAAAATAAATGCAATATTTTTTATTCAAATGGAAATTGTCACCTGATCAAAATCAATTTCAGGCGTATTCACGCAAAATGGATTACTATCTTGTAATGATTGTTCCTTGATTTGCAATGGACAATGTTTGAATATTCGTTACACCTTTCTGCTGGACATTGTCGATTTTTAATCAACCCAATCAAACTATAGTGTTGAACTGAGACTATTTCTTTTCCCACTTTTGGTATGACCATACATTGTACGATTGTCGAGTTTGAGTCCAGATCCATTTGATTCAATCCAATCCAATCAAGATATTGAGTTTGACTGGTCTGGTGCTGTCAATACAATTCCTCTGTTGTATTTTAAAATATTATACATTCGCGATCCAGTTCAAGAAAACAGTGATTGCATTCTTGGAAATACAACTGTTGTTTCCATACCAACCATTCAATACCATAGTATTTGAGCTGAATGAAAAGGAGAATTGAAGATTCAATAAATGTGAGGTATACTGTAATATGAACATTTATTCAGATTTTTATACAAAAATAAAGACCAACTTTAATGAATTCAGAGAACACAATGCATCGCATTCAATTCAAGCAGCATCCGTTTGAATCAAACATACGTTTAAGCAATGCATGCACAATGATGATCATTTTAATAAGCAGCCTGCAAGTAGTTTCATTGAATATAGCAGAATGTAGCTCAGATTTGGAGCGTGAGCAATTGGCATCAAGTGGAAAACTTGCATTGGAAGCAACCAGCTCAACTTGCTGCTCCTTGGTCAACTTTCACTCGACCTTATCATGTCATTGGCAGCATACACTCCATCAGTATCCAGCACTGCACAAGATGGTATTTTCCGTTGCTTATGCACTCCTTGCCTTTGTCCTTGGTGGAAACCCCGCATTCAACCCATCTTTGACTATGATGAAATTGACGACCTTGAGTTTGAGAACTTGCTGAGCTCGTCTGGAGCTACTGGTCCCTTCCAAAGCCCACCTGCTGCTACTGCCTTTTGGGAAAGTTTGGCTTCTTTATTTCGCTTTAGGTCCTTAGGCTTTCATACAAACGAGGGTGCCATACAGACTGACAGAAGGAATCAAAGGTCATTTTCATATACTTACAACTACTCGCCTGTAAGAAGCAGTGTTCCTGTATATGGTGCAACAGGCGACGCTGGAGGGCAATCACCAAATCACTTTTTCAACTCTAGAGCAGTTCCTGCTGATCATTCCGATTTTATACTGGATAGCGACGATGCTCTTTTTGGACAAACTGAAGCCGATGCAGTGCTCATGACTGATGAACAAATCCATACAATCACTGCTGCCGCTTCTTCCATTCGACATTTAGGGGTACAGAATCAATCGTTTATATTGTTGAAACATGCAATACACGGTCTAATCCTGCAATTGATGTATCGGATCTGGATTTGCTAACTAGTTTATACACCTTGCTACTTTTTTGAATGCCATGGTATCTTTTAGGGGGATGCATTAAGAACCAAGAGTAATCAAAATGAATACATTCAAAACCTTCCACAAGCACTTGCACCACCTACAATCAATCATGGTGGTGCATCTACAATCCAACCACCATATAAACGGCCATCAAGTATTGAAGCAGACTCTATGGGTCACGATCATACAGTTGATTCATTAGCTGCCTCTCCCATGGGTGTGGTTTCTCACGCATCTAACCATATTCCCCCTCAGCAACATAAGGTGCATCGATCCAACACAAATAATATGCTAACAGACCCGCTTAATGCAGTGCAGTTTTTAGTTGAGACTGATGGCGATGTACATAATACTCAAACTAGCAATAAAGAAGATCCAGCAGACGACTTGAAAAACGATCATTTCGATGCAGATTTATTACTAAAGCTCAAGGAAGCCAGCAAAGATCAATAAAAATATGTATGATATTTGGTGCTTTAAAATGCAGATAAACTATTGAGTTCAAAATCAATTTCAGGCGTATTCACGCAAAATGGATTACTATCTTGTAATGATTGTTCCTTGATTTGCAATGGACAATGTTTGAATATTTGCACACCTTTCTGCTGGACATTGTCGATTTTTAATCAACCCAATCAAACTATAGTGTTGAACTAAGACTATTTCTTTTCCCACTTTTGGTATGACCATACATTGTACGATTGTCAAATTTGAGTCCAGATCCATTTGATTCAATCCAATCCAATCAAGATATTGAGTTTGACTGGTCTGGTGTCGTCAATACAATTCCTCTGTTGTATTTTAAAATATTATACATTCGCGATCCAGTTCAAGAAAACAGTGATTGCATTCTTGGAAATATAAACAAAAACCAACATACTTTAATGAATTCAGAAATCACAATGATGTTCAGTATATTTCATGAGACTAACAGTTTATTATGCACTTTAGCACTCATAGTTAGTGTTTTATTTTGCGCGAATACACTGTGATAATAATCAAAATGTGGTAATGTCAAGTATTAACAGCTTTCATTTACGTTCAGATGCCTTGTATTGGATAAATGCACGCAGGTTTAGAATCATTTCATCAGCACGTTCTCGAACATCGCGCTGCTTACGCTTGTCAATACTTTTGAATTTGCTTCGCAATGTAGGATGCAGTTTTTCAAGCTGGGCAAGGAACCCGCCTTGAACAAACACAGGCATATCATAATCAAATGTAGCATCACCGTAGATATCGTAAATGCCATTAAGGATTTCACAGAGCACCTCGGGTGCATCCGATGTTGCTAATTGGGCAATGAATGAGCGTCCAATGATCTAACAGTGCCCAAAATACATGCATCAATACTGAGTTTAAAAAGTACTCAAAACAGTACAGTATCAGCGAATAAACATAGCAACATACCCTGTTCACTTCAATGTTTCCCTGAAGACGTGCATGATGCGCAAGAATACCAACACCCTTGGCCCTCAGCGAAGCTGGCGCACCTGATGTTGCCGCTACTAGTTTTAAAAGCCAATCAACATAATCTTGAGTAGGTGTCTATAAAATAAACAGTATTAAACTAATTAGCTATATTGCATTCCAACTAGAATTGACAGTAAATTTGGACTAATGAATCACAACTTGCAATAATAAGCGCGTTTCTAACTTGCGGCGACAGCAGCGACCATTGTGCACCAATGCATGCATCTAAAAGTACCATATCTGTAGGAACAGCGCTAGAAATATTGATGCAAGATTTGAAAATGCCTTGAAATAGTTCAGTCAAAAGAGTCGCTTGAGACACCTGCCATTCTGATAGGTACCCAAGTAGGATCATGTTGGTAATGCATCCAAGTGTACGTGCAAGAACAGAATGAATATGAATCATAACTGACTCGGTTGACTTTGATGCAAGAGAAGGAACAGGGAGTTGCACGGTTGCAATGCGAGCCAATTTTGGAAGTAGCTGTAGTGTATCAGACAAAAGAGCTTGTGATAAAACGGATGTTGGCAAATTAGCTTCAGTTGCATTTTCTTGATGCTCCGTATCTTCACAAGTAACAATGGCCATATCGTCCATATCAATATCGGTTTCTGTCATGTCATCTTGCTCAACTTCTTCACTGCATTGCTCAGCTAAATACAATCGCAATACAACAATTACTTACAACACGCTATATATATGAAAAAGTAATCCAAGTACACAATATACCTTCAGGAGCTTCCTCGGAATAGATGTTGGCCAACAATTCAAGAGCTAGCTGCATATTTTCTAGTTTGGACTCGAGCTCTGCAAGATATTTCTATCAACCCAATTGAAGTGTGGTGAAAACAGTTAGATTCATTATTTGTATCAATGCATCTCAAATGATGCTGAAAGATAATCAACTGCAACTACACTCACAGTATCTTTGTTTTGTACGGCACTGAGACCATCATGACTGTCCGTCATTTCACTATCTAGAGTTTCTTTTTGACTGGCTAAAGCCTAAAATCAATCATTAAACATCAGATTAAAACACGACGAGATAACAATGCATATTTCTAGCTTAAATTAGTTTACGTACAGCACCAGCACTTGCAACACAAACAAGTTGCGACTGCAAGTCTAAATCCAAAGACTTAGACAACACAGTCAGAATATGGCTGTAAAACTCTGTGATGCGTGGAGTGTCTGATTGATCAATCAATACTGGCCGAAGATTTTCTAGGATACTTGCACAAAGAACAGCAAGTACAATCTTGTTGTCGTTCCATGTTCCAAAATCAGGTGCGTTACTGTTCACAAATGAGAATAGCAATGTTACAAATGCTGGCGTATTTGAAAAAATAGCATGCACTTTGGGATTGCTTTCAATAATTGTGTTAAGGAATTGTCCTTGACATGAAAAAAGTATAAAAATGTTAGCTGCCGACAGTTATAAAAGTACACAAGCATCCGAGATGCAGATTAACTCACCAATCACTCGCATCAATGACCAAGGCACGATAGAAATGTGCAAAGGATCAAGAAGTCTCATTGCAAAAGTAATCACATCAACATTGGAGAGTTGGACAACCACATCGTTTGAAACCTCTCCAAGGCTCCATAATAGTCCAAAAGCTTGCTGGGCAAGATCGAATGGAGATGGTTGAAGAAGATCTTCCGATTTTTTCCCATCTGATTCATCAATTACATCAACGTGCATATCTAAATTAGTTTTTGGAGGAATCGATTTGGAAATCATGGCAGCATCGACAAGACCAGCAATCTAATTTCAAATAGACCAAAAATGGGATAAATGACTCGCTTTAAAACAATGCAATCAATTAAACCAGACTTGATTCTGCATCACCTTGGATAGACACTCCATCAAAGGAGTCATGACACCCATATGGATCAAATCAAGTGCTGCAGATTCTCCACCTGAAATCACAACATTCTGCATTGCACCAAGCACTTCAAGAACAACTCTGCTATGTGTATCTGCCAATAATGGCACCAACAGTGGAAGAAGTCCTGAAGAAAGAAGCTGTTTGCGTTGAGCATCATCTTGAACAAAATGCGAAACAGCTGTCGCTGCCCATGCTCGATCCGAAGCATCTTCAGACTTGAGCTATATCGATGCATTCAATTAATAAAAAGAATAACGGATCCCAATTCAGGTGTCAGTGTTTCTGTAGTTGAATTCAATTTTTTTTAAATGCCAAACTGAAATCATTCAAATTGACTGAATCAAACCTTTTGCAAGGCTGGGATATTTTGTAACTGGCTGGAAATCGATAAAGCATCGTTGGATTTTGGTGCTGATCCATCAGTAAATACTCCAGCACCTAGGATGGGGTTTGCTCTATTGGCTTTTTGATTCTGTTTTCGCTGCACTGGCATTTGTCAAGAATCGGTTTGAGAAATAAATTTCAAGAAAAAATGGACTCGCGTGATTCTGATGGCTGTCAGTTGAGCCAAATATTCACAACTATTGACAAAGGCGTGAAGATTGAAAGTTGAATGTCAGCAATCACCACTCTTGGTGTTGATTTGAATAAAAAAAAGCATCTATTTCCCATGTTTTCTGTACCATGACAACACTCTGACTCGTTGACATGATCTGCAGCCTGCTCAATGTTATTAGAATGGTTTCAAAACAGCGAAACTGGCTGTTAAAATATAAATGTTCATCTCTCCATTTTCATCTCTTTTGCTTCTAGTCATGAACAAAACTATCAGGATATAACCACTGATTCATTTTAGATGCCTCCTTCAACAAAATTACACGCAGCATCCCAGTACTGCACCACACGCATCTTTTGCAAATATTCACGAGCCATACTATCCGTTGGCAAGGCCTTGAATCTAAACGTCCTAAACGATCGTTCTTTCACCTCGCCTTCCCATACAAGAAAGCATTTCTTAGGAATTGCCTCTGTATCGACTTCATTTTGGTCTCCGTCATGTTGGTCCTGATCGTCTTTGGTTTTTGACCAATCGATACGACGCAGCATCAGTTTTTTGTATGCCTTGATTCCTTTGGGACCACCCTCGACAATGACAACATTCATTTTTGGTTGCACAATAGCTGCACCAGTGAGGTTGTACTGCTGTGCATTTTGAGTCACTTTGAATGTGTTTTGTGGATGCGATAGGTCATCAATTCTATACATCAGTGAGCATGGAGGATAAACAAAACTGTGAGCTATCTTAAGCTATTTTATAGAATACGCAAAATAGACTAGCCATTTACCTAAACACAGCAACGTGTACCAACAAGCTTGTATCTTCTTGCAGCTTATTTCTTAATTTTTCTTTACGTTGCTCATCTGTAAGCCTACTCGATGCAACCAAATCAATATGCTTTTGCTTTCGTGCTGCAATTTGCTCACGCACTTTAGCCTCGACTAGCGTGGGATTAGATATGGCTTCCTCGCCAAAAACACGCATCATGTTAGCAATCTTGACCTTGGGTTGCTCTTTTGGAAGAAGACCAAGCCGGATTTTTTCTGATCTTTCTTTGCGGTCTTCTTGGCGTCTTTGACGACGAAGCTTCTTTCGTTCCTGTTGTATAAACGCATCGATAAAATACACGAGTTGGTTTGTGTAGCAGATATATAGCAAAAATACAACCATTTACAAGTACAATGCCAAAATTACTTTAGTAGTAAGCATAATCGCTCGTGGAGCAGGTGCGTTGGGCTCTGCAGGTGGCTCAATAGGAACTGGATGCTGAACTAAATTGGTAACAAGTTTTTCTTCACCATCCAAATAAGCTGTGGGATCAAAATCACTATATGATCCGTCCATTATAATGTTTGCATCCCACCACTCCACTATTGGCGGAGGCTCAGTCTACCATGATCAGTTTGTTAGTTTTTAAATGCTCGTGCCTTTAGTATTTTGCATGATAGCACAACATTCACATACCCGAAGACTTTTATCTGAAACGAGATCTATTTCTTTGTCAATTCCAGTTGTCTTGATCTTTTCAGCAATATCCCGCTTTAGTTTTTCCAATGTCAACTAAAAGCCATAGTCATTGTTAAATTGGATTGACAAGACTCGATACATGGCATGGGGTATCGATATCGTATGTATCTGATCATGCAAACGTACTCGGCAGTCTTACCAGTGTTCGTTGCTTCTCTGCAATATCGATATACTTTCCATGCTGGACAAATTTGAGCGATCGTGACGGACGGATCCTTGGAGCAATAGCCGAACTTGCCTTGAGATCAGGGTCAAAGTATGGGTTTTTTAATGGATCCTTGAAATCTAAGCTTACTTCTCTATCAATCTTGTATTCTTTTCTGGAAACAGGCGCTTCTTCAACAACATATTGATTAGCTTTAACTGTAGTAAACATGGGCTTGGGAAATACTGTTTTAGATCGAGCCGATGCAGAATTGGATACATCCATTTTGAGTGCTGGATGGTATTCTACACCCAAACCTCCTTTTGCTTTGTCTGTTGTGAATGACTGGAACGTTGAGAGTCTATTTACAGCCTAAATTGAATCGACCGGATGAATAAGAGTCAGAATGATGAGCTATTGGATACTTGTGACATCAACATTTCTGCTAAACAGAGTTCAATACATGACAATTTACCATCCCAGGCAAGACATTGTTTCCAGCAAAACTTTGACGGAGTTGTTCCTGCTTTGCAGCGATTTGTTCCTGAATGGATTTCATTGATGGTCGAACAGAATGATTCAACCCAGTAGGCATCGTTCCCATTTGTCCTGAAAAACCATGAGATCGGATTGAATCCAATGTGCTTACTCCAGATGTAGCAGCAGTTCTCATGGATGGACGAACAGCATTTCCTGCAGCAGAAAACACTGCATCAGGCCGGATTAAATTGCCGAGTCCTCCCATAGCAGATGTTAAATTGGCTCCAGGACGAACAGGATTGCCAGATGTTGCAGATTGAGCTGCATTTCTTGCAGATGCCAATCGTGCTTGCAAACCCAATGCTGCAGCCTTTTCTTTTGCTCGAGCAATGAGTTGTTGAATCTAAAGATGGTTCAAGTTTCATTGATAATAGTAAACAGTCAGTTTTCATGATCCACACACAGCAATAGAGTCGGTTAGCAGACTCATGCACATCAAGATCCGAATTCAATGATTTCCAAGATGGTCCAATAGCCAGCACTGCACCTGTTCTTGGGAAGGAACACTAGTTTTTATTTTCTTGTCAGCATGAACATCTTCATCCAAAGCCGTTGTCTGGCCACTGTTTCCATTGCTTGCAGCAGCCTGTCGCTTCTTGCTGTCCATCACAAACGACTAGCAAATCACACCAGCAGGCAAACCAGTTGAAATTTTCATTGACAGTTTTTCATCACGAACAGATTGCTGGTGATTTTTACTGCTCGATTTCCAACTGCTGCAACTCATGCTGCCGCTGTCTTTGCTCAACAAGGCCCAGGGCCATCCTATGTTGATTGAGCTCAAAAATGGTACGTTTTTGGACTACTGTTGACACTGTCTGCTGGGATGTTGGCTTGTTTCCAAGTCCAAATTCCTCCAGATATATGGGATTGTTTAATGCATTGCTTCTCAAGAGAGCATCTTCCTATGCACAGGCTATTCAGACTCATTGCTGAATACATCAAGATGTCAACTCAGAATGGAAAAAGTGACAACCTTGTCCTGACTGCTCTTGTCCCATTACTCTTGTTCATTGTCATTCGAGTATCCCATATTGTCAATGTATTAATATCATCTTCCAATACATTCGATTAGGTGACACATTCAACGGACATCTCGTCAACTGCGATCCATACATGAACGTTAATCTGAGAGAAGTGATTAGAACTTCAGCAGACGGCGAAAAGTTTTGGAAAATTCCTGAAATATATATTCGTGGTAGCACCATCAAGTACCTGCGTGTGCCTGACGAAATCTTGGATCTGGTTAAAGAAGAACAGAGTCGTCCACGTCAAAATGATGATCGTCGTGGCGGCTACCGCAGTGGTGGTATGGGTCGTGGTGATAACAGAGGCGGACGTGGCAACTCTAGAGATGGCAAACAGGAAGGGTTTCGTGGTGATCGCAGTACAAATGCAGCAACAAAATAAAATTTGATAATATGAAATACCAGACCAATAAATGGTTCAATGGTTGGGCATTGTAAATATAGTGGGAATCGTGGCTTAATTTTTTAATTTGAAAATAGAAATATCAATGCTATTGTTGTCAAGCATATGAAATTCATGTGATAAGTGGAGTGACTCGGTGAAAGGCCTATCCATCGAGAGCCATCTGTTTTTTGATCTCTGCAATAGCAAGACCCTTTAATAGTAGCATTTTGACAATTCAATAGTTTAGTCTATTGCAATATCTAGTCCAAACAATATTTATATCATAGCCAATATAGAACTTACAGGATTGAGACCCTTGGGACAGGTACGAGCACAGTCTACAAAATATAGCAATGTTGAATAGTTTGTTAAATATCACATCTGAATACATATCTACCAGAAAAAGGTAATCTTACTCATAATGGTATGGCACCGGTATAGTGAGAAGGGATCTTGCAAAGCAGCACGACGCTCAGCACCGTATTGATCACGAGAATCAATCATCCAGCGATAGGCTTGCATGAGAACGGCAGGACCAAGATATTTGTCACTAGATTGAAAGTCGAGGGAAATAATGAGAAACACCATCAAAAAAGTATTGCATATAATCAAATTACCTGTTCCACCAGTAACTAGGACAAGAAGTAGAGCAGCAAGCACAAAGAATGCATTCATAAAGACCGTCAAGCTTGGCACGATCTGCAATGGTTTGCAGATTTTCACGCTCAGGTGGGGCAGTCTTTTGCTTGAGGTATGGCTCGATCGACTTGTATTGTTTGTAAAAATTGGTGAGATCTAACACCAATCATATTAGACAAGTACACATGACCAACTAAAAAAGCACTCTTGATAGTTTTTACTCATGGCGACTCCACATACCAGGCACAAGATCCTTGACAACATAGGTGTGAGGAAGAGGGAAAATTTTAAGAGGCTTAGAGCTACGTTCAATGCGACTCAAACATGCAAGTGTATTGCCTCCATTAATATTCATGGCACAAGATCCACAGATTCCTATGCGTTTAGTTAAATTCACAACAAATAAAAGTCAACATCAAAGTTTGCGCTCTAGCATGCACTCGAATATCCAAGTCAAGATCCAGCCCATCAATTTGATTCAAAATTTCACAATGGTGAAAAGGATCAATTACCTTCACGACATGAACGACGGAATGTCAAGGTAGGATCAATCTCATTTTTGATTTTAATGAGAGCATCAAGAGTCATGGGACCGCACTGATTCAGATCAATCTGATAAGTCTGAATTCTAGGTTTCTCTTCAGATTTCTCTGGATTCTAAAAACCAACAATAAAAATTTGATGCAATTCAAACATGGTTAGAATTTGGTGCGGATAAATCCAGTATTGCCACTACACTCGAGCGAGATCCAGCCGAATCGAAAAGTAGTGCATCAGAGTTGAGATGGAGTCAATGCGTTTGGAATGGCGACATAAACAGAAACTGTTGCTTACCCAGCGGTAAATCTCAAAGGATTTCATTAGCACAGGTTTGGCCAATGGGTTGGCAGAAGTGGCCTCTTGGGCTAATTGGACCACAGCAGTAGTGTTGAAAGCACGCTACAAAAGAATGACAATTCAGAGCAATACCAAGTTAGTAACAACCAAGTCAGGCTAAAGAACAGTAGACATGAATACAGTTTATACAGGAAATGGACATGTTTCAATCCAACAACCATCAAGCTTCCTACTGCCACAGGGCCAATGTTCTAAACATCGACTGCATCAAGGGGAGCATGCAAAAGAAACGCAGAGTAAAAATGATATACAGCATTGCATGGTAGCAAACAAAGCGATTTACTTTGGAGAGAACATTGGTGTATCTAGACATCAGTTGGGTCGTAGCAGCCATTGGATTCATTAGACTGACAAGTCTTGTAGGCAAGCACTGATTCTATCGCAAGAAATTCCTTGTGCCAAGGATCACGTGTGTCCGTGAGTCTGTTCTGAGCTCAAGTCTAGCTTCCATAATCAAAAATGTTGCGCATTGAATCTGCATAATCTCATTTTATTCCCGTCTTAGCAACACAATCATATCACTAATTATATACGATATGCACCAACGCATAGCGGATAAAAAATGCAACTAGACTACATACGACTTGAACAAACACCACCACTACTGCCAAATTACGCTCGCTCATTGGCCCACATCGAACAAGAATAATGCTTATGATTGTGAGATTGTTGCAGTCCACCATGTTTCCGTGCTTGTCTCTGCCTACATCGGCTAAACCAATCATTTCAAGAAACCGAACCATAAGTCGACCAAGAAATTTACTATTCGCTAGTAAAAACCTTCGTGCATAAACCTTGCCTGTTTTTTCATCAAACCTAGTAGAGTACGTTGGAATAAAATTAGTGTTTAGCCAGCATGCAATGTATATCATACCATCAATCTTTATGCCTTACCGTGGCATCCGATGTCGAGGACAGTCGACGAAATGAAATAGCTGTGGGCATGAATACAGAAAATTGAAGATTTGAGGAATCATAAACAACAAGACAGTCTTGCTAAGATTGCTTAAAGCTCCCACAACAGCAAAAATCATTCCGGCAAAATAGGTAAACGTGTCCCCGCCAAAAACTCTTGCGGGATACCTATCGACACTAGCAATGTAAGCCATTTAATTTAATCATAAGCAGTTCAACACAGATATACTTACCAATTATGTCGAAGATATCCTATAGTGACGCCAATAAACGGAATAAGGAAATATAGCGAGTTTGAGTGTGCTTTAGCGCGTGCTGGGTTTAGTTGAAGCTGCAACAGATCGTTCACTGCTAGGGATATAGCAATCACTAGAGACTGAGCACCTTCAACACCATTTGTTCCTGCCATGATATTGATGGAATTGGTGGAAAAAACGGTCAAGGCGGATATATAGACATAATATAAATGGCCTGTATTTTGGTGTTAGACCTGGATCCATCATGCTCAGCATCGACCGTGATCACATAGCAATTCATACAGTATATTTACTTGCCCAAATGCACAATCTCTTTTTGGAAAAACCGTCGCAGCGGAATAGGAACCACCACATCTGTGATTCCATATGTCACACAATACACCATCAAAAGTGGCATTGACGCAATAAAAGGAAACCAGATTTTAATTCGCCACCTTATATCTAGCACATCGTCTGCAAATCCCAAAAATAACATTGCAAGTAATGCCAACAGTCCACCTAGAAATTGGGCAAACTACAAGAGTCAAATCAGTTCAACATGGCTAGATCTAGACTGAATACACGCCACTAATCAGAAATCAGCTTAATATCATATATTCAACCTACTCTGTCGTGTGGAAAGGGTTGATGATCACTTGGATCGCTATATTTATCATGAAGAAACCAGTCAAGAAAGGGGATTGGAATAAATATGAACATGGCTATAAAGTAGGCCACTCCAACTACAGCTCCAATGCTCTCCGCTCTGTATATATTAAATATTTATGTTAGACACTGACTGAATGGCATATGATCAGGAATTCTTGGACCCAAATATGTATATACAGCTTTGCCATCAAGGCAGTCAGCATAAAATATACTTTTAAATGGCACAACTGTTGAATGCAGATCATATCAGAATAAGAAACTCACATTACAGGCTGATCTTTTTTAAGAATATCCTTGCCATGTCGGCCAGCTTTAATAAAGATTGGTGCTACCAATGGAATGACTCTCTCGGTTAATATTCCAGCCAGAACAGCGAGAATAACCGATACAACCAACGGATTGTGACTATATGTTGCGCCTAGTGCTAGCAATGTCCCGGGTACAGCAGCAGACCTAATAGAATCCATAGCAGTAGTGAATCAGACTAAAAACTGTTTCCTGTCAATGCTAAGCCAGAGGTAAATGCAACTTTATGCTATTATTGATCAAGATTGCTAATTTGGAGCAAACTGCAGCAATTTCAATTGCATGGCATCAACGGAAAGATAATAGCAAGTCAATCTCTTTATTCGAGTTGCATGACATTGTTATAAAGAAGCAAAACAGAATAATCAAGTATGGATGGTCCAGTCTGATCAAATACTGGATGCGAGTGTTTAACTAAACTCGCCGAGAAGCGAATGTCCAACAATAGTAATGAAATTTAGAGTTATTTGACAGAATTGTCAAGTTTATTCCAGCTGATGGCTCTAATCAAGATGAATACAGATGTTCTGTTACGTGAAAACAACTCAAATCTGGCAGGTTTCTTGGACTCCATAAAGATCTTCTGTGGGTGTAGTATCAAATGTCGCTACCAAGCTGGGCAAAACAGAGTTTGCTTTTAAAAGCATTTCATCATACTCGTCCAACGGATTGGAAAGTGCGACAATAGCACCGCCAGCACCGATTGTCACCATAGTTTCACCTTGAATTTCAGCAAAAATAGCCGTACGAATGATTACATTAAAGTCGGCTGAACCAGTCACAGAAAAAAACCCAAGAACACCAGAGTAGGGTCCACGAGGAGTCTTTTCTAGTTCTTCTAAAATATGGACTGTGCGAAGTTTGGGAGCACCCGTCATTGAACCAGGAGGAAACGTTCGCATGACGGCATCCACAGCATTAAGATCCGATCGAAGTTTTCCCTTGACTGTGCTAACGAGTTGATGCACCGTGGCGTAAGATTCTACTACCATCAAATGTGGCACATGAACTGTTTGTGGCTCAGAGATCTGGTTGAGATCATTTCGAATCAAATCAACAATCTAGAGCATCACAATTATGTAGAGTTAGATCATAAAGTAAGATAACAAGGCAAGTACTTAACCGCCAACTTCTAATAAAATATCAAATCATCACACCATCAAATTCTCAGATCGATCCTTCTCACTGATTGCTAAAGCGATACGTCGTTTGTGATTCTCTTGCTCCATCTCCTCAACCGTTCCAGAAAAGTTTTGCCTTGTAGCAGTAGGCAACGTTCCCTTGATGGGTTTCATGCTCAGCCATTTATCGCTGCTGAGTTGTAAAAACCGTTCAGGTGATGAACTAGCAATAAATAAGCCTTCTCCAAAAGAAAGAAACCCGCCATAGGGTGCGGGATTGCGGTTGCGCAAGTGCTGATAAAACTGAAATGGTGATGTGTGCATTTTTCCAAGATTTCTTGTAAGTTGAGTGGTCAAACAAACCTCGTAGGTTTCTCCCTGATTGATCTTTTCATTCGAAGCTTCAATGTTGGCAATATAGGCTGCGCGCTCATGGGTGAGTTTCATCCAACCATTCTTTGGATTTAGTTTGGGATTTTGTGCAATCGAACAGGATTGGGTATTTGAAGCAAGTCGAGTTTCAGTGACATGATTTTGTTTTGGAACAGCAAGCTCAGTCAGGGTATGATGTAGTTGCTGCAACCAGTCTTGCTGAGTTTGGCGCATTTTAAGATCATCCTTACGAGCAAGTGCGATCAAATACATATTTTGCTCTTGGTGATCGTACACAATGATGCGGTCAGAAAATATAAATGCTGCATCAGGAACGTGTTTTGCTGATTCAGTCTTAAATTTGTTTAAACCATCATGCTTGGCAGTATGTGGTCGAAGAGATTCGGCCTTCATCTCGTAGCCAAAGTATCCCACCAATCCGCCATAAAATGGAAGCTGAAACTGCTGCTGAGGATCTGCCAAATCGTTACCTACGTAGTGAATATCTTGACAGTCAACAGTGGTGTTATGCATGATTTCTGCCAGCCATCTAAAAAATGTGTCGTTGTGTTCAAGAGTAGCACTTTCCAGCACAACATCATTCTTGCGCTTCTGTATAAGCCTGGTTTCCAATGAATACTTGATATCAAATCTATACAGATCATCAAAATTACAAATCAACTATAGGCATGAGTAACCATAATAGCCACTCCTTGGCATATGTCCAGTCTCAAAATACCAGTACTATTGCATACCCAAGAGGTCCTGTGGAATCTCCCATATATGAAAATCGACTTAGTCCTGCCTCAACCTTTGCAGAGTCCAGCCAAAATGCACTGGTTTTGTCAGCATACAGTTTGTGATAAACTTTTTCAGCAGAAACAAATGTATCGCACATGGGAAAAACTAATGCAATGTGGTTAGATGAACCATGTAAAGTTTTTGAATCTGAGCCAGATGATGGCATTGACTCTGCCTCTAAAAAATTGTGGCGAATTGGAATGAGCGACGATGGCAAAACTGTTAGTTTGGTCTTTTCCTCCAAAGTTAAAGCAGGCGAAACCATGGACGACTGTTGATTGCAAAGTTTGATATGTGTTGCTGCTAGAGAAATAAAATTATTGATAATTTGTTGTCCATGCTCAGTGCAGATGGATTCTGGGTGAAACTGAACGGTCCAAATGGGTCTGCTTTTGTGAATCATACCCATATTGATTACCGGCTTGCTAGGATCATTCTGATGAGTCCATGCTGTTACATGTAAATCGCTTGGAAATTCTGAAAATAGTTGTATTGTTAGATTTAAACTTTACATAAACATTGGCTAAAAACAATTGCGTTCAAAATATGCCATCAATAGTGCACATACTCTGCTGTGACACAATTAAAGAATGGTAGCGAACCGCACTAAATGGATTGGGAAGGTTTTTAAACAATCCAGAGCCATCGTGACAGATATCTGAAAGTCGTCCGTGCATAGGGGAATCTGCAGTGATGACCTGGTATAAACACCCAAATATAGATTTGTTAGCTAATGGAACTCGGCTAAAAACGTTGATGTGATGAAACCACGATGCAAGCAGCCCAATACCTCTCCCCCAAGAACAGAAGCAAGTCCTTGATGACCAAGACATACACCAAGAATAGGTATATTGGCATACAGCAGCAGTTCTTTGCAAACACCAAAATCCTATAAAAAATCATAGATTGACAGTCGGTTAGTTTTCATCGAGTAGATGCAATAGCGGAGCTTTTGAAATTAGACATGAAACTCGACACCAAAGTCGTATGCAATGAAAAGGCTCGGTATAAAATAGTGGGATCGATAAGCCATACTACAATGCAGACAGGTCAAGTTCAGTATTACCTCTTCCCTGTCTGGTCGTCCTGGACCTGGTGAAATGACAACAGCGTCAAAGTTTGGGAGAATACGATCACAAAGCTCGGTCCTGTAATTGAATGCACGCATTAGTAAGCCAATTCAAACGATACGATTGTTTTTCAGACAATTCATAGATAGTGATGTAACCATCACATGGGCTGCATTACCCAATAATGTAGGAACAACCAATTCCAGTATGGACTCACCATTCAAACTGGTCATTACGCACGACAACAGGTGGATTGGTAACATTCAAAGTGCAGTATTGAAACAGATTGAAGGTGTATGAGTCGTAATTGTCTATAATAAGAATACGCATGTCGGCGTTGTAATTGTCCAAATCAGCAGCAGGCATGCTGGAAAGGACAGTTGCTGTAATGGTTGGCAATTCGGATAATGAATGCACAGCTCTCAAATTGATAATAAATTGCAGCTGGTTTCAATTGGTAAAAGTTTTTAAATCGTATTCACGTAAAATGAAACACTTTGGTATTTACTTTGTAGTAATTGTCTTGGGATGAACAATCGTTGAATCTTTGTTGTTATTGGAAACTGATTGCCTTTTCTATAAACTCTGTTGTATTCTAATCTCATATGTTTGCGCTCTAGCCCAACACATCTCAGGAATGCAACTGTTGTTTCCATGCCAATCATACAATGCTCATTTCAAATGGTTGGTTTAGAAAAGGGAAAATTGGAGGTTCAAAAGATGTCAATGGTATGGAATGTATTGGAACAGAGATGTGAACATTTGTATTTTTGTACAAGAATGGAATGGGCATAAAGATGAGTAAACTAAGAGTTCATAAAACAATGTTGTTCAGTAAGATTGACACCAAACATCAGATGGACCGTTTATTATGTATTGACACTTATTTAGTGGTTCATTTTACGTGAATACGGTTGTAATTCGAGGCTAAAAATGAACATTCGAGAATCTAACTTGCCAGGAATCTGAGGAACGACTGAAAGTACGGATTGGAACAAATACCAAATGGTATTGACAATCTAAACTAGCCTGTGTATACATTGAGTTGACTTTTTGGCCAACATGATTTTCAAGGTGCTTGGTGCCCAATTGAAAACATGATGCACTGCAATTCATGGCGCTCTATCCACGAATAAATACATATCCACGACAAACTATAAATGTGCATTTTGAAAGTATGATGACGAGACAATCAGATAAACCAACTTTATACCAAACTAAAAAGCTTTCTCTATCGTGTCACGCAAGCTAAAAACTCCACACCACCTTCATATTAACGTTAGTATCATCTTCCCTACTATTTCTGCATCTTAAGCTAAAAACTAAACTAATTTCTAAACCTGTATTGCTAGATCAAATAGTACAGTCATGACAAATCCTAGCTTACTCTCTCAGATGGGCAGTATGTCAAGCACTCTACAGCTTGGGATTCCATCGAATGCTCCAATAGTGCTACGAATCAATGTTCCCTGTCTCAAATTACAAAAAGCCATCAAGGTCAATACATCCGATTCGGTATGGATGCTAAAGAAACAACTGATTGACAAGTTTGGTGGAGATTCGAAAGACTGTTGGAATTTTGGAATATTTTTGCATGGCAAGGAAGGCAAGCAAGGAAAGTTTTTAGACGAGCGAAAAGATTTGGCTACATATGGTATTGATGGAACTGTAAGTTGCAATGTGATTTGGATGTATTTTCCGACTATTGCTTTAATATCTCGAACAGAGCGTTGTAAATTCAATGTAAAATTATTGGTCTGTATGCAATCACGCATCTACTAACTGCCCACAAAATAATGATATCTAGTCACAGGTAGATTTTACATTAAAAATCCGTCTTAATTCAGAACAGGACTCGAAAAAACAAAAAAAGTTGCTTGAGGATGTGAGAAATGGAAATATCGAAAGAGCCAAGGAAAAAATCGCAAAGAACTTTGAGACGAATTTCTGGACAGACACGCAAGGTAATGCATCCAAAGATTTGTAAAAAACTATGGCATATTTTAAAGATTTGCAAAACTTTATACTCATGCTTTGCGAATGAATATACCAATGTGTCGATCATGTTGGGATAATCCATTTGATCGTTTAGAGTCATTGCTTGCTGTGGCCGTCATGAATAATGACAGAGAAATGATTTCGCTACTTGTTGAAAATGGTGCATATTTGGACTATCGGAATGGAGATAAAGATGGATGGAAAACACCATTGCACATAGCCGCCATAAACAACAAGAATATTTCACTCAAGGTATATTTGTCAAAATCAATTGTACTGAAATCAATTGCCACTATAGCTGCCAATGAAGCCATTTGATTGCTAAAAGATAATAACAGTCGAGGCTTTTGACTAAACTTGACCTATGATGATAATTTTAGACTTTGCTTGAATTTGGAGCATGGTCCAACGCAGTTGATACTGTTGGATTGACCCCGATCTACTATGCAGCAACTGCGGGTTACTCTGAATGTGTTTTACGTCTGCTCATGTCCAAAGCAGACACAGAAATATATGATGAAAGCGGAAAAGGTCCACTTCACCAGGTAATTTCAACGGGGAATATTGAAAGTTGATTATCTATACTTTCAAATACATTAATCGTGATGCATGTATTGGATAAATCAATCCACTAGGCTGCACTCAATAATTTTGACTGCATTGTTGCCATGCTAATTGACTTTGGAGCAAGCATGCATGCAGTGAATGTGGCAGGAAATACTCCCTTGCACGTTGCTGCTACACGCAACTCTAAAGAAAGTACCAAATGGTTGCTACTTCGCGGAGCACCTCGCGATCGACGAAATAAGACCAACAAAACTCCTCAAGAGGCCGCAATTCAAGCAAACTGTCCAGAAACTGCCAATATTATCCATAAATTTACTGATGATCAGATTGGTATGTTAATTATTTGGATCTGGCAATCTTTAGCCTGCTATTATAAAAGCCATTTTAAACTTGTTTTACTGACTCGAGTTGTGTAAACTCATTGCATATGGCCTTGTGAACTTAAATAAAAGTTCCTCCGCCACCATCTGGAGGAATTGAAGGTGACACAACAGCCATCATTAATAATATTTTGGCAAGTATTGGTGCATCGATTGGAGGTGAATACAAGCCGCAGCCATATGTAGGAAAACCAGCACACTTGCGCATGCAATCTCAACCTGTTTCATCTTTATTTCAAAACACGCACCCACATACTACCTCCGCACCCGTCATTAGTCAAATTCAACCAACCCAATATATCGCACCGACTCAAACTCAATCACCTCTACTGCCCCGTCGTCAGCCCTCCAACATGTCTGAAAGCGATCTGTTTCTTGAAAGCAGAAAGTCTGTTCGCAAATCAATTGCAATGCCTCCACCACCATTGCGGAATCGTTTGTCTATTATAAGTGCATCTGGACTAGACGTTGCGTCACTCATTCGTCCGTCATCTCATCTGGCAGAGATACATAATATAGACTCTTCACCAAACTCGGATGAAAAGGATTTCCAGTTATTGGAGCCATCAGTCGAGTCTCAATTGGATGAAGGATTGTCGGAAAGTTCCAACAGTCTTGGCCCTCTACAAATTCTATCTGACCACCCATCACAGTCCAAGGTTGACCTTTATGAATCTGCCAACTCCATACCTACATCCTACGGAAAATCTTTTGATGACAATCACGGTGACACTTTAAGTGGCTGGTCAGTTGGCAACAGTCAAACATTGAATCTGACAAAACCGCGTAGTAGACCTACATCGTTACTTCAAGTCAAACGATCTGCAACAACACAGGGAATCTCAGTTGCTGATTCAGCATCACAACAGTCAATACTTTTTTCTCATTATGTTTCAACTCAAGCCATTCCAGAAACCTACACACAACCAGAAGTTTTGAATGTGTTGAAACGTATGTTTGGCAAAAATGTAATACAATCTAATGCTTCTATTGGCACGGGAAATACCTTGCAACCCAATATTTCAGCCATTATTGATGGAGTAGACGAGCTGGAAAGCACATTGATGCAAACACTCAAGTCAATGAGACAGCTTGAGGCCAGTAACAAAAGATTACGGGAGGAATTAAGCCAAACTCGTGGATAGATCTAGAGCTTGTTATTTTAAAGCATCTCATCCTTTTATTCATCTATAATGGGTGTGATGACCCATGCTTTAATAATATACGAATTTAAGCATACTGTTTCTGATTTTTAATTCATATGGTGTATACACTTTTTTGCCTACGGTTGGTGACAAAAGGAATAGAAATGGAAGGATACATGAGAAACTGTCAGCACCCATCATCCCTGGTGATGTTCTTTTACAAATATTGATGGTTTATCGATTCAAATGGTGTAGATTTTTATCGCTCGTGTCTTGTGTATTATGACGACAATCTGACTTGTGTTGATCTTGTTTTGATGAGTTTTGGCGTTTGATCTACATAGTTTGCATCAACCTAAAACAATCGTGCGGTTTACAAACGGATCATCCACGTTTCCAAAATCATGCAGCAGCCTGCTCAATACTATCAAAATGTTATTAAAACATGGTAAGATTGGGTTGTTGAAATTTAAACATCTTTTTCACCTAGTTTCTTTCCATTGACGCCATTCAAACCATATTCTACAGAATGAAATACAAATATTCAAAAAGTTTATTATTCAATTTATCAAGTAATACACTCGAGATAAAAAATTTGAAAGCCATCAAACTGGGTTTTGATTTTGGAAACTAGAGTATAGATGTCATTGTAGACATAAAGTGGTAGGGAAGCCATCGAGACAAGGCAAAGAAACGACGCAGTATTCACGAGTATGCTATAATAGAAAATAAAAGCACTACTGCAGTGATGAGCACATGAATAGATGAGAACCTAGTTTGCTGAGTAGAATTGGATGTGTTGGGTTGGAACTGGCTTGGCCCATTAGAAACTTGAACATTGCGTGTTGTAAGCAATCTAAACGACTTGACTGCCATTCGTGGAAATCCAACATGATGACATGACGCAGCGTGGCCAGTTATTCCTGTAATGTCAATATTATCACACACAACTCGCAGCTAATTTTATCAATTGAATATAGTTAGTGTCAAGAAGCTGCATATAAATAAATACAAACATAGCCACTATCTGATATTCAACTCACACTGTAGCTTTGAGCAGGAGCATTGGGTATGACGTCCTCAAAAGACGTATTGGATGGCGCAACAGATTTCCATAAAGTCCATTTGTTTGAACGATCGTTCTCCAGTTTATAATAGATATCAACAGAATTGACAGGAAACAGCGATCGATCGGTATCTGCAGAATACGTCCTGTAATAAAACACAAGTTGATTGATCAAATTTCGTCAGGGTATACAATGACAAAATAAAACTGGGTGATTGGCATGGAAACAAATAATGCATTTTCGAGTTGTACAATTTGTCATCTCAATCTGGACGCGAATGTATAAAATTTTAGAATGAAGAAAGGGCTGATTCAAAGAGATTTTCAGTTCAAAACATGGTTTGATTATGTGCATCATATGATGGTTGTTGTGTATTGAGGCAGTTGATTTCTAATAGGAAAGTGCAATGGCTAAACAGCCATTATCTATTCCAAAGCAAAATAGAAGCAATCACTGCAAGATACATAAATGTTCCATTTGATGTAAATAGGGCTGTAAAAGACGCGACGATTGAGCTTGATGCTGTGCCATTTATGCAAATCGCATGGATGGATGCTAGTAAATCAGTAGGAAATGGTCAAAACAGACTCCGACTTACCAGTTGACTAGGATGGGAGTCCCAGAGTAGTAATACTCGTCGCTTTTTGGAGAGTGGATACTGATATAAGCATGTCCTTGAACGTTTAGTTGACAATCTGCATCTGGACATACTTGAATAAATGGATTGCAAGCAAGTGAAGTTGCAGCAGGCAAAAGAGAGTTTGATTGCCGACTTTCAGTTGATCCACTAGATGTAGCAAGGGTAGATTCGACCGGTGCAGTTCTAGTGGGTGGTAAACCAATGGCTTGTCCTTTGCAATGTGAAAGAGTAAGCAGAAAAGCTCCGATAATATAAATGATTGCCATGCTGTATGAGATTGTAATTGATTACAGTTGAAGACGAAAGGGATGAAAATGCTTATTCGTATTTCAACAACCCAATTTCGCCATGTTTTGAAAACATCTTGATGGTATCAAGCAGATTACTCTTGCAGCATTTCAGAAACACAAGTTACTCGGTCATAAAACTGCATGATTACTTTAAATCAATGTACATATTTTATTGTTTGGATGATGTGAATAGAAAGGTTTGATGACAAAAGTACTATTTGAATCTAGCCATTCTCAATTCTTCTAGTCACAACAATCATATAATTCAAAATGGTATTTCTCCTTTTTGGTATTGGCCATATATTGCACAATTTCCAAGTTTGACCCCAGATACTGGGTTCAACTGTTTCTAGTCTGTACAAACTCATTGTTGTATCATAGAATCTGATACACTCGCATTCCAATTCAAAGCCAAAGATTGCACATCTCATAGCGCAACGTTGTTTCCGTGCCGATCACCAGGATGGAGACCAATGAACTAAAGAGCTCAAAGAACACAATGCTGTCCAGTAGACTTGGCGGAAACTGACATCAATCATTTCATGAGATTGGCTGTTTATTATGTGTTTTGACTGCATTAGTGGTTTATTTTACGTGAATATGGCTGCGAATGGAGCATATGCTCAAAGAGAATTAGAAAAATAGTTGATAAACCACCACTGCTGTCTCGAAGCCAAAACACATAGCATATAGAAAGAGGCGGTGGATTGACAAAATATTGAGGGTTTAATATGTAAAGGCATTTCAAGGACCAATCCAATCTAAACAAGGTGATGCCAAGTAGGTTGGCAAGGAATCAAGTGTCGAAAATCATCAAGCGGAGGTCTATCCACTTTCAATAGTATGTACAAATATATGTTCACATCAGCTACTACAATTCTTGATGCGATTTAATACGGCTTTGCACGACTTTGACGGTTTCGTGCTGTAGAGCGCACCGGACGTTTGGCTGCAGAACGAGCATGTCCCTGCTCATCAGAGCAAGAGCTGTCTATCTTATTGAATGGATCATAAAGTGAGGCTTGTACCGCATTGGAGTCTGCTGCAGCACTTGAAGCATTGGGTGGAGCAGTGGGGCTAGAAGGTGGAAGAGAGATGGATGCAGCAGCGGCCATGTTTATAGCTCGAGTAGCGGCTCTTTTCGCGACTGTGGCTGCCCTGGCTTGAGACCGAGACATGGCAGCAGTTTGTCTAGCTTTTGACATAAGAGTAGCACTCCGCACAGGACGGGCAGGTACAGTTTGAACTGACGAGGTTCCAGTCGAGTTTGAATTGCTACTTCGGGATGATCGGGCAGCAGAGATACTCGACTGACGCGTAGGAAAAGGTATGTAATCGACGGTACGAAGAATGCTCGAAGGGCCAAATGTTCCAAAGCCAAGTTGAATAATAAGTCCTGGTACAGTATCTGCAGAACCTTTTTGGACGGCTCGAATAGGATGAATTCCCTTGCGTTTTGATCTAAAGGCGGATGCAGAAGAATCAGTATGACTGTGCGAGTTGCCAGTAGAGCTTAGGATTGAGCTAATTGGATTGTCGCCTATTAAAAAAGTATCACTAACACGCACAGGCGATTTATTTTCAATAGCAGAGGAAGCAGACTTGGAAACTAAAGACTTTTCAGCTGCGGCTGCACATGCATTTGCATACTTCATGTCTCTGTGGAGAAGATGCTGAACCGTCGAGAATGTGCGAGTATTTCGAATACAGGCAAAGCGAGATGAGCGACACATGCCCATATCTAGATTGAAAGTTGGGCGAAGCTAGATTTTGGTTGTCGAATGAGATGTATTTAAAGCACTAGCGTAACTTGCTAGCAAACTATGGTATGAATTCAGATACAGGAAAAAGTAGATTGTCAAGTAGTATTGAGGAGTATCCGATAACTGAAATTGAGCTATACAGGGTTAAGATGTATTCAAGAGTTTTTAAATAGTAGTTGCTATTGACAATAAAAGGAAAAATGCGGCCAATGTGGCTCAAGCTGGTTCGTGACAAACCCAATACCCGGTTGGAAAATCTAAATGAATTAGAGAAAATAAAGGTTTGGACAGTAGCTTGAAAATGAGATGGACAAGTTTAGACTCGGATAAGCTTGAGTAAGTGAAATAGTAAAGAGTAAAAGTGTTTATAGCTGTATTCACGTAAAATGGAACATCATCTTGTAGCGTTTTTTGTTTTGGGCTAGACAATGGTTAAATATTTATTGTCCTGTTGGAAATTGTCATTCTCAAATCTTCAGTCATTTCACTTCTTGTGTGTGGAATCGCACACCGTACAAACCCATTATTTATTATGCTAAAATAATTTCAGTAGGTTTAGAATCGATAATGTGGAGCAGTGTAGTATACCTTGCGACATTGCTATCTGCTGCATGGTTGGCAAGCTTTTAAAGTGATTTGGAAACTGACACGCCAATACAAGTGTGTTTCTAGCAAGGAATGCATTTTGTTTCTTGGCTAAAATGATGGAGGATCGCTTGTAGAGCATTGGCAATTGTGCTATGCTAAGAACGATCACAGTTTTGATTAGTCGATAGTAGTATATAAAGAGCACCGGATGATACCGTTTTATTTAAATGAAAATCGTTCATAAATTCATCCAAATTGAGACATCATTGTTTAATAAAGTCTGATTTGATTGGCGAATCGACATATTTCTGACTAGATCTATATCAAAGCAATGCTTGCTAATGAGGTTTTTGAGCAAGTTGCTGCTTGACTTTACTATACCAGCATCAAGACTCTGGCGGGCAGTTGCATTGATACGGGGAGAAAATATTGTTTCCTTCAATCTTGCAAACATGGTCAAGTTTACACTTTGGGACGACTACCAGCGGGCCGTTCATGAACTCTACGCACAAGCGCCTTTCAGGGCAAGTCATTTTAGATTGCTTTAAAACATGTATTGCTGATTAACTGCAGTGCGATAACTAGCCAATGCGGTTGTACCAACACAGCGATGCTTAATACTGACTATTCTCTAGACTCGATATGTTGTAAAATATAGACACTGTGACGGTAAACTAGTGCTCAAGGTTAGCGATGGTCCAAAAGTAAGTGTCTCTGGTTATGTTTAGAAAAATACGGATATACTGGTAAATGGTGTTTGACTAGCAACAATATACTGATATGAGTGAATCTGCAGCAGCACCATGCAGTTGATTGATTCATTTGACTAAAACATTACTAATATATGATCCAACTATACATGCCATTTTAGTCTCTTAAATTCAAGACTGACAAGATGCAAGATCTCAACAAGTTTGAAAAACTAAACCGATCACTCATGGCAATGATGCAGCAAAATCCGATTGATCTAGATAAAGTGGAAGCAGAAAGTATGATTTTATCTAGGATTGTTTTTTGATATTTCGAATCAATTCCTAGCTGCTTTACCATTTGCTAATATAATTCCTTTAGAGTTGGAAATGCAAACATCAGGGACAACTGCCACTGCCAAGGGACAGAAGTCGACCAAGAAAGGAAAAGGGAAGAAGAAATAAATATGTTTATATTCAAGATGTGTGCGTCTAGTCTGCTTGAGCCGTGGAAAGAGTGATGAACTCGACCAGCGTCTTGAACAACAACTTGATGCGATTCGACATTACACTTTTAATATGATGTCAGATAAGATTGTGGCAAAATAATATTCTGGCCAAAACACGTGCAGCTTGAAATTGCCAAATAAAAGTTTTTCTTTTTTTATTCACAACACATTCAGTGGGCACACTCGACTTATCGATACTGTAAGCAGAGCTCTTGTTTTGACTTGTCAGATTGTCTGTTCAACTGTATTAAAGCCTGGTTTGTATGTTTATTTTTTGGGTTCAACAATAACTAATACAAATGCAGTCCCAATTGCCATAATGACTGTTCTTGAATTCCTTCTTCCTCCTCCTCCCGCGCACTGGGACAAGAATAAGGAAACTAAAATCCATCAAAAGATTGCTGCATGTCTGGCCAAGCCTATCGAGCCTGCAGGCCATGCCTTTATGCGTCGTGCTCTTCGACATCGTCACAAGCGCACTCTCAACGAGGATCTTGAAATTGAAGAGGCTCTTCGTGAGGCCAATTCTGCCGACGTTTTGATGGAAGAAGACGAGCCTGAATCTGCAAAGCTTCTTCGAAGCGATCCTTCCAAATGGAAGGATCAGGATCACTACGCTATCCTTGGTTTGTCCAAGGTTCGTTATATGGCCAACGATGAAGATATTAAGCGTGCATACCGTCGCAAGGTTCTGAAACATCATCCCGACAAGAAGGCTGCCGCTAGTGGCAGAACCAACGATGACTCTTATTTTAAATGTCTTCAAAAAGGTAAGCTATTTACACTATCACAAGCATGCCTCTTATAATGCATGCTATTTATTGATGGAATTCATTTAAAACACTTGCTGATCAACTTTAATCTGGTAATCTCACAATTTTCATACAATGCTACTGAAACACGAATGATATTAGCCTGGGAAATCATGAGCGACCCAAAAAAGCGTCGTGAGTGGGATTCTTGCGATCCATTGTTTGACGAATCTATTCCAAGCCTGAAAGCCAAGGGCGATTTCTTTGATATTTACACACCTGCTTTTGCCAAGGAGTCTCGGTAAACAGTTTCTAATCCGAGTGTATATATTTTGTTACCAATAATGCTCACTTGACTGACTATTGCTTATTTTGGTTTGAAATATCTAGTTTCTCCAAAAAACCCAATGTTCCTGAACTTGGCGATATCAACTCCACTCGCGAGGATGTTGAATCATTCTACAGCTTTTGGTAATGGTCTTGGAGTATGCCGATTCAAAACTACGAATTTTATTACTGATGTATTATGATTGCAACTATTAGGTTTGATTTTGAGTCGTGGAGAACCTTTGAAATGTTGGACGAGGAAGATACTGATAATGCTGAAGGTCGTGATCACAAGCGTTTCCTTGAGCGCAAAAACAAGGCTGCTCGCACTAAACTAAAAAAAGAGGACAACTCTCGCTTAATCAAACTTGCCGAGCAGGCGTTTTCTCTTGATCCCCGTATTCGCAAGTTTAAAGAAGAGGAACGCTACGCCAAAGATGCCAAGCGTCGTGAGAAGGAACAGCTGGCTAAAGCTGCAGAGATTGAAGCTGAAAAGGTAGTTTTAATTGAGCTGATCCTTGTCAAGAAAATACAAGCTTGATTGTTTCTGTATTGTGCATGGTCGATATTTGCAATGCTATTGAATTTTTAACACGATTTTTGATTTCATTATTGATCATCTAATATAATTTTAGAAAGCTGAAGAGGCTCGCATTGCCTGTGAGCTTGCAGAAGCCCAGGAGAAGGCTGTTAAAGACGCCGAAAAGGCCAAGCGTGAAAAAGCCAAGAATGCCGTTCGAAAGGAGAAAAAAACTATCAAGCGTCTTCTGCGTGATAACAATAATTTCCTTTCTGGAGAAGCTTTGCCTGATGCTGTGATCAATCAGGTCGAGCGTATTGAGTTTATCTTTACCTGGTCTGAAATTGAACATCTTGAGGCTTTCCGTACCCGTCTTGAAGATGCTTTTGCATTTGGTATTGATGCTCTTATGCTTGCATTTGATGAGGAGCATATGCTTGCTGAAGAACGTGAAGCTGCAGCCAAGACGTCTGCCGACTCTAGCGAGACTCAGTCCAAGGACACCGCCAGTGCTGTCAAAACCAAGTCTCAAGAGTGGACTTCCAAGGAAATCACCATTCTTATCAAGGCAGTCAAGATGTTCCCTGGTGGTACAATTTCTCGTTGGGAGAAAATTGCCGAGTATATTAACGAGCATGGCGGTCTTGAGGGAGAGTCTGAGGAACAAAAGGCTCTACGTACTCGTTCCGTCAAAGAGTGCATTCAGCAGTCTAAGCAAACACAAACTGGCAAGTGATCGTGTAAACTGTTTATGATCTCATTTGAATATGCACTTATTTTTTATCTTTTATTTACTTGAACAGCTGTTGCTGCTGATCGCTCTCGCCTACAGGCTGCGGCAGCAAAACCTGTCAACAAGATAGAAATCAAAGATGCCCCATCCGAGCGCATTGAACCTTTGCTCAAGACCACCACTGTCGAACCTGTTTCCAAGGCCAGTGCTCCGGCCACTACTATGATGGCTCCACCCAACGCCAACTGGAGCGCTGAGCAACAGCTTGCTCTTGAACAAGCCATGCGTAAATATCCCGCATCTGCTTTTACCTCCAATCCTTCTGGACGTTGGGAGCAGATGGCCAACGATGTTCCTGGCAAGAACAAGAACGAGATTAAGAATCGTGTCAAGGTTTGCACTTTTTACATTGATGCTCCACATGAATTGCATACTAATTTCTGTCACATATACCAACTAATTTGTATTTTATTGTCAATAGGAGCTTGCAAACATGGTTAAGAAGAAAAAGGCTAAATAACCAGTTTATTAATGAAAAAATATTATACATTAACTTGCTTTATTATGAATGCAATTCGACAACATGTGCCATAAACTCTTTAACTGACTAGAGTTTTCTTCTAATGAACAACATGGAAACAACGGTTGTATTTTCAAGACATGCAATCTTTTGAACTAGAATGCGGATGCATTCAAGATTTAGGATACATCAAAAAAAGGATAGGTTCAAGACTATAGTTTGTGTAATCACAATGAACATTGTTTAATCAAGCCAATTTATATCAAACGCATCGAATATTCAATCGTTATTCGTCCCAGGGCAAAGGAGTCAATACAAGTGCTCTATTTTACGTGAATATGGTTTTAGAACAGCAAATTGTTGAATCAACACATGTGGGTTATTTTGGCTATTTATTTAGACTTTTTACTCTTCTTGATGCTTCCAGACATATATGTATCCAAACGATCTGCATCAATACCCGCTCGTTTCATCTTAATTGCCTTGTCCTTTTTGTTGAATTCATCCTCCTTGTCTTGATATTCCTCTACTCCATTCAAAGCATTTGGACGCACATATTCGCTATTGCTTCTTCGCGCCTTTAGCTGCGATCTAAATTCAAACAACCGTTTCTTTTTTAGCTTGCTCCACTTGAGTAGATCCTTCTGGATGACCTCTGGATGTCTGTACGGTGCCAGTTTCTTGAGCGAAATCACGCCATTCAATTCGGTATCCTGTGCCTCGAGAATTTCTTCAGGTTTGAGTCCATAGTTATCGGCCTCTACGTTGCGGTATTTGAATCTGGTAGGAAGATCGCCAATCAAGTCTTCATAGTCAAGCTGGTAGTATTCATCAAGATACTCGCCCAGATTCATACGCTTCTCTTCCTTTTTGTTCTTTTTATTCTTTTTGGAATCTAAAGCTGTTGTTTGTTGAATAATATAATGTGGGAAGAGGTATAGGGTCAATCGCTGTTCATATCAATGTCAATGTCAAAGGTAGATGTAAAGAAAACGTACCAGCAGTGTTGTCTGCGTCTGTGGCAATATAGTCTTTGCTGCTGTAATAGTCACCGCCTGGAAGATAGTCAGCATCCATTATAAAGTCGTCGTCATTTGTTGATTTTGGTAGTGCCTTTTTCAGTTTTGATTTTTTGCTGGAATCTACAATAAAGTTCGATATGTCGATGTCGTCATCAAACTTGGGCTTAATGTGTGCATCCTAAAATATCAAGGGTTAGTAGATTGATGCAAGTACGGTAAACAGAAATAATACTTACTTCTGCGCCATAATAATCGTCGTTGAAGGTATGCTGCATTTTAAGATCAAACTCTTCAGGATCAAAGTCCTTGTCTAAATCAACCTCGTCAAACCCAATTGTATGGCCACCAGACATATCACGAATTTGTTTCAATTTGGCCTTGAGCTCTTCCTTTTTAAGATTCTTGAGTCGTTTCAGCTCTTCCATTTTTTTCGACTTTTCAGCCTCTTTGCGTAATTTGTGTTCCTCTCGCTTGAGTTTACGACTGTTGTCTTCACGACGAAGCAAGCCATCAATGTTACGAGCGTGATAAACAATCTTGGCAGCTCCACTATCAAGTATGTGATAAATGTAGTTATAAGTCATGTTGTCAGTATACGTCTACGGATATCAATCAGATATATTACGAATCGGCATGCTTCAAAACAAGCCAAAACCGCCGACTTACTCTTCTTCAAATCTGAAATTGTAAGTATGCTCAAACTCCTCCATGGCTTCAACGGCCTTTTCGTCTTCTTCTTCGACTACTTCATCAAATGTGGGCATACGCTCAGCGTCCTTGTCGATCCATTGCCGATTAAGAATGTAGCTAATGAGTTTGAAAATAGAAATAAAGCTACCGTTAAAAAGTGCAACTGATAGATAGCTTGAGAGACAGAAAAAATGGCATGACTGCTTACTTCATTAAAAAGGCTTCGTCTTTATCCAGTGGTACTGTTTCTTTGAGCTCATTCCATGATTTTCCATCGGGATTTTCCTGACATTCGTAAATCCATGTATTCATATAGTTAATTAAACATTCAACCAATCAGAGACTGCAGAATCGACATTCTTACCACTCCCATATTTTTTAAAAGAAATTCCGAGTATTCGGCATTCTCGCTCTCGATTTCCTCTGTGGTAAGTGGTCGGACAGTAAACAAACTATCTTGACCATTTTCATTGTCGGAATCGTCGTTAAACGCAGCCTTTTTAAATTCATTCTTTAAAGCTTCTTGTTCTTCAACATGTGTTGGCCCATGATTATTAACATCATCCGTGCTCACATCGCTCTTGTCATCAGTATCTTCATAATCGCCTTCACTGTTTACGTTTGAAAGCAGCTCTTTTCGTTGCAATTCTTTGAGATATATGGGTTTGTCTTCAAGCTTTTGAGAAGCAGAACAGAATGGGTTAGACTTTCAGCCAATCAAATCAACATGACGATTGTGTTTGTATATGATAGACTAACCTTTGCCTTTTGTTTTTTTTTATTCCACTCCTGCTTTGCAGCTTCCATTTCCTTTTCTGTATTGATAAAATCAAGTATAATCCAATTGGTCAGTGCAAATACAGCGAATGCAAATCTTAACAATCCACTGATTACTGCCATGCATCTCGCAGCATTCATTGTTTGGAAATTAGATATATACTTGGCATACCAGAGAAAAACGAAACTTCTGGGTTGTATACTTCAGGATTTTTGGATTTGATCATGGCAATCGTTTTCATAATCTGAGCGTCGACTTGAGGTGTGACCAGTTCTCCAAACTCATCTTCTGGCTCATCATCCGATTCGTCTTCAGAGTCAGTGCCGTAATCATCAGCGTTGCCATATTTCTCCTTTACTAATGATTTAAAATTGCCAGTCCAATTGTTAAACAATTGTTCATGTTAGAAATGGCGATTATAATATCATATTTTTTTTCAATTTGTTACTGTAGAATTTGAATGCTAGCATTGAGATGTACTTACATTGAGCCAGTTCTTGCTTTTGTTTTCGCTGAGAGTAGTTTTTTGCATAGGTTTTATTGATTTGAAAACTGTTTAGACTGGCTCTGTTGGCATCATCTTCATCGTCGCTTAATACTTGCATAATTAAATGTTGATAAAAGTGCCAAATTTCCTTGAAATGGCAATCAAAACACCAAATAATTTTGGGCAATTATGTAAAATATTTAGCCAAAATGCAGGCTTCGAAATGCTAATTGACACTTTTTTTGAATGGATTGATTTGACATTTGAACATTCAACTGCTATTCGAGTTGAGCATTTGTACTGCTAGTGCATCACTACATTAACAGGCTTGCTCAAATAGTAACTCAATTTGTTCACTGAAAAGTGGCCTCACTATCACAACGGAACAACTTTCTCCTTCTGTTGCTGCCCACAGACTTTTGGGCAGTCTTGGGCAGAACGACGGCCTCATGCCCCAAGTGAGCCATAATCTAGTCTTGTATCGCTATCTCTGATGCTGCATGCTGGTTTGTATTATCAGAGACGGTGCAATACAAAGCAACTCTAGATTCTCAACCATAATTTGCAATAGGATCTTTGTATTGATATTTAACTTTTAAATACTTTTAACACAGATCAAGATATTCACAGGGTCATCGCATCCAGAGTTGACGGCACTGGTGCTTGAACGAATGGGTCTTCCTCCATCGCCAGCCATTCTCAAGCGCTTTTCTAATGCAGAAACGTCCGTTGAACTTGGGGTTTCTGTGCGAGATTCGGATGTTTTCATCATTCAATCAGGCTCATCAGCAATCAATGATCATCTTATGGAACTTCTTATTATGATCAGTGCCTGCAAGACTGCCAGTGCGCGTCGCATTACTGCCGTTCTCCCTTATTTCCCCTACAACAAGCAGTCCAAGAAGAAAAAGGCTCGTGCAGCTATTACCGCAAAACTAGTTGCAAATATGCTGCATGTTGCTGGCGTGGATCATATTATTACCATGGATCTGCATTCCAACCAAATTCAAGGATTTTTTTCCAAGCCTGTAGACAACCTGTTGGCTGAGCCTGCAATTGCTCGATACATGAAGGATCGATTTGAAAGTATGTTTTCCCGTGGTGTTGTGATTTCCAAGAACGCTGGTGGTGCTAAACGGTAGGTGATCTGACATGTAGTATTTACTGTGATGGGATTGAATAGGTTGGTATTTGACTATATTGTATCAATACTCATTTATTTTTCCTATTCTAATGCTATGTTGGCAAGTGTCACATCTTTGGCTGATCGCCTTAAAATTGACTTTGCTATGATCCATCGCGAGCGATACCACATCAAAGGAGATTCATCTGCTGATCAGACTGAAACACGACTGACTCTTGTCGGCAATGTCAAGGGCAAAATTTGCTTCATGGTGGTAAGCAGCGACTGGTTTTTACAGCTCTAGATCAATAGTTGTAGCCAGAATTGCATCTTGATGTATTTTTCAATTTTACTGATGTCTTGAATACTTTAGGACGATATTGTTGACGGAACCCATTCGTTTTTGGACTCGTGTGAGCATTTAAAAAAATGCGAGGCCGAAAAGGTTTATATTATTGCTACTCATGGTATTCTTTCTGGCGATGCACTAAAGGAGATTGAAGAATGCAGTGCTGTTGACGAGGCAAGTGTTTTGTTTGATCTAGTGCATTCAACTATGCAGGCGATAATATTATTGTGCTAATGTTCAATACCAATCCTGTGTTGGATCAGGTTATTATTACAAACACGTATCCAATGGACGAGGCAAAGCGTCGCACTTCAACCAAACTATCCATTATTGACATATCTGGTGTATTTGCTGAAGCCATTCGCCGCACTCATAATGGAGAATCCATCTCTTATCTCTTCCATACTGCAATTTGATGTCTTGTGAAAAATAAAGACGTGTTGAGGTATCTACAGCATTGCTCATGGCATTCATACATCAAACTACACTTGTTTTTGATATAAGCACCATAAAAACTTTATTTTCTAAAAACATGCTTGTAGCTGACCTAGTCAATAGAAACAAAGTTTGAATGATATATCGTTTCCATAAAACGCATATTGCACTGGCACAATCCCCTCGACATTCATTCGCCACCTTTAGTAATAAATTACTTGTTTTTCTTTTTGTCACTTTTGCTTTTGGGCGTATCTTTATGCTTTGACTTGCGGGATTCAGACTTGTCCGTGTTCAATACAGGCTTGTCTGTGTCCAATGCAGACTTGTCTGTGTTCAATACAGACGTGGCGGCGGATGGCTTATTCGAAGGCGTGCTTGGCTTAGGAGTTGCAGCATGCGTTGTAGGTTTTGGGATAGCTTTGGCAGTCGACCCCAAATCCAAAGCTACAGATTTAAGTTGCTTTACTGGAACGGGTGATAATGTTTCCGAGTCTATCTTACGTTTGCTAGAGTTTTTTTTATCATTGTGTGCTGTAGATGGAGGTTTGTTTGATCCATTCTTGTGCTTCTCTAAAGTCGCGACAGGTGATGATGCAGGTTTGGTAGGAGTAAGTTTAGCGGAAGCATTTGTGGAAGCAGGCTTGATGGGAGTATTCGCAGAAACAGGTTTGGTGGAAGCATTCGCAGAAGCAGATTTGCTGAAAGCATTTGTGGAAGCAGATTTGGTAGGAACACTTGCAGAAGCAGATTTGGTAGAAGCAGGTTTGATGGAAGTATTTGCGGAAGCAGTTTTGGTAGAAGTATTTGCGGAAGCAGTTTTGGTAGCAGTATTCACGGAAGCAGATTTAGTAGAAACATCCGCTGAAACAGGCTTGGTAAGAACAGACTTGGATTCTTTTTTAGCTTTACCGATCATAGGTATAGAACCCAGAGAAGAAGCTGCCGCGGCAGCAGCTGTAGCGAGTTTCTCAACTTGATTTTTATTCATCATAGCTGATGCAAGATGTTCAGGTTCTTCGTCTGTGTCGCTTGAATCTGAAGATGCACTAGAAGACTCTTCCGAGCTGTCATCAATTTCCTCTGCTACTGGTTCAGTTGAGGTGTTCTCCTCTTCTTCCGCTTCCACTATTTCAACATCAGAATGATCATTGCTAGCAACATCTTCAGCATCAGAATGGTCATTGCTGGCAATTTCTTCAACATCAGAGTGATCATTTCCGGCAACATCTTCAAGCCTCAGTTTGTCCTTGTATGCTTCCATATCAAAAGTGTACTGTTCGCGATAAGTTGCAGCCATGTCAAGGTATGGCTGTAATGGTTGAATTAAGTAGCATTGGATTGTATTGGCAAGTGTTGGCAAGGAAAAGTGAGTCAATTATTTATAGCTGTATATTCCAAATCAGGAGTTTAAAAAGTGTGCCAAATACAAAGTGATGTGGCATACAAAACTAGATGGGATTGATGCAAGGATCTAGCTCCTCGTGTACATCATTAAACTAATCAAAACAAGTCAGATTGTAAACTACCTGCTTTTGGGTATCGGTTAGATCACGCCAATGGGCACCCAGAATAACCATAACGTCTTTGGGCTTTAATTCTGGATTATCCTCGGCAATCTTCTGATACTGGCTTTTTACAAATAGTACGTATGCTGGTATAGGTCGTTTAGGAGCATTTGGATCTTTAGCTCTTTTCCTCTTTTTTTTTCTCTCAATCTCCTCGGCCAAAGCAGTCGCTTCTGACGCTGCAGTAGCTGATAGAGTTGCTTCCCGTAACTCAAATGCCGAGTGAGCCGCTAGATGAACATGTGGAGCCACATACTCGATAATTTGATCAAGAGACTGGGCAATATTGATCAGGCTAGCTACATCCGTAGCGATCTTGAAAGTCGAGTCAGAAGAGTGATAGTTGAATTGATTGATAAATAGCAGTATGGTTAATAAATCTGCTCAATAACAAAGCCTTATTGGATACGAGTTAGAGTGCTTAAAAGATTGTTCTCAATGGGTTCATTCGTCAAATAGCAATGGAAAAGTGGATCATGCAAGCATCATGGACTGAAAAGCTCGTTTACAAGTTGATAGCCAAAAGGTAGCAAAGCTACTGACTGAATGGTGTCTATTGAGTTATATACACACATGAACCCATTAACTTTGCTGATACAATCACCCGATACACTACGAGCCAGACACGATGTCCAGCTAAAAGGATGGAATCTTGAACAAGCGACCATCTCGCTACTGCAACAAAAGGTCTAACAGAAACAAGCCGTAGCAATACAAACAACCTTGCAGAATCCAACACTACCTTTTTGCCTAAACTGGTGCTTAAAAACCTAGCAAGTGTCTTGAAACCATCTGGCTTACGAGGCATTCTATCGCTGAATAATCACAGCTGTTCACGTAAAATAGAACACCAAATCAGGTGCCAAATTGCATAATAAACAGTCACAAAATGATTGGCTCAAGTTTTCAAAATACGAATTTGTACAAGTGTAAAGAATGTGTGATTATTAACCGTGAATACAGTTGTAAAATGTCGTGTAGGAAGAGTAAAGTTCATCCAAGATTGCAATGTGAACTTGATAAAGTTACGTCACCATCACTCTTATCTGCACATGTACTAGTTATACTCGATCACATCTTGTTTTTATTTTTTCAAAAGATCAGCGACACCGCCATCATCAATAGTCAACAGCAGAGATCTAGCAAGCTTTAATCGCTTTGGAGAAAAAGTCATCTAGTAAGAACGACCCCAGAGTGTGTAACTGACTGCCTTTTTCTCGCAGGCAAAGCATTGGGCACCTTCCTTGACACCTCCCTCTGGCTGCTTGAATGGAATACAAAGAGATTTGGCACCCATTGATGGAGCCTTGTCGTCCATTGGTTCATCTCCCTCGGTAGCACTAGTTATAATGCACAAAAATAGTCGAGTAGTATTAGAATCTCAACTCCTATCAATGCATTCAAACACAGCAACAGCTATTAAACTTTAATCTACCTTCCGGAACTGCGTTCTTTCACGCTCTCCTCGCAAGCAACCTCTTCACACCAAGGAGCGATCACCATGCATTTGTTATTCAGACTCTCGACAAACTTGTCCCAAGTTTCAAGCTGCACAATCCGCGAGTCACGCTCCTTTCTTGCCTTTTCAAACATGGCTGTTTGCACAGTCTCAAGCATTGTGGAAACAGTTGTGGAAATATCTACAAGAGATAGTTGCTGTGCAGCACCATTGTCACGGCGCACGCAGCGGGTTTCGTTCTTTGCAATGTCCTTGGGACCAACTTCAAGTCGCAAAGGAACTCCTTTGAGCTCCCAGTGATTATACTTGTATCCAGGAGAGTAGTTGTCGCGACAGTCAGACTTGGATCGAATCCCTGCCTTTTTAAGCACGGCAGTAAGCTCTTCAGCCTTGTCATTAATGGCAGCGCGATCTTCCAACGATGTTTTGGCAGTAATGCCAACAGGAACTACGACCACCTGAATAGATGCAACGCGCGGAGGAAGAATCAAACCCTTGTCGTCACCATGAACCATCACCATCACACCAATAGTTCGAGTGGTCAAGCCCCACGAGTTTTGCCAGACATTGACACGTTCACGAGCATCGTTCTCCATTAAAATCTTGAACATCTTGGAAAAGTTTTGACCAAGACAGTGAGATGTAGCACATTGGATAGCACGGCCAGTAGTAGGAACAAATCCTTCTACAGTGGTGGTGTATAAACCACCAGCAAACTTTTCCTTTTCCGATTTGCGGCCAGGAACAACGGGAACAGCAAGAATTTCTTCATAAACACGGCGGTAAAGGTCCAAGATTTGAAGCACTTCAGTATCAGCCTCTTCCTTGGTAGCAAAAGCAGTGTGACCCTCCTGCCATAAAAACTCACGAGTACGAAGGAAAGGCTCTGTACATTTGCATACATTCAAGATATATACTGTTAGTGATATTCAAAGATTTGAACCGCCATAAAAAATCAAAATCTTACGTGGGTGTTTGAATTCCCATCGCACAACGTTACACCACTGGTTTAGACGCAAAGGAAGGTCACGATGACTGCGGATCCAGGTAGAATAATAGGGATACATGACCGTCTCAGAAGTAGGACGAATAGCAATAGGCTCAGCAAGATCGGATTGACCGCTGTTATCAGAGTAAATAGCATATAAGTATTACACAAACAGTATCTGACAGCTCAAAAAGGTAACAAAATAAATACAATGCTGCGCAATTACAGCAAACCAATTTGCAACTCACGCTCGAGTAACCCATGCAACTTCAGGCGAAAATCCTTCAATATGATCCTTTTCCTTGTTCAAGTTCTTTTCGGGAACAAACATTGGAAAATAGCAGTCTTCGACACCGAGTTCCTCAATATGGCTTCCAAAGAACTCTAAACGAGAAAATCACCATAAGATTAAAATCTAAAAGACAAAGTATTTAAATGCATAGAGATTAAACTCGGGCCTTTAAACTTACTTTGGATGTGTTTCCAGATAGTATACGCCCACGGACGAATAATGTAACAGCCACTGATATCATAGTAATCCATCATTTCAGCACGCAAAAGAACCTAAATATATGCATAACATTGTTGACTAGATCCAGTCTGTAGTAAAAAAATACCTGAACATCAATTACCTGCGAGTACCAGTTTGCAAAGTCTTCGTTTTTCTTGGCAGTGATACCAATCATGACTTCCTTTTCTTTAATACAAAACATCAAATGATGATCAGGAACGTGCCTTGAACTAGGACCAACAGCACTTGATGGTGATCAGTCATAATAATGAAACAAAATATCCATCAACTCACCACCCTCTGCAGCATCTTTTTTGACAATATCGCTAGTGGCTTCCTTTTTGGCTTTGGAAACAGATGGGGCAGCAGCGGCAAGAGCAGAAAAGTCGTGAATAGTATATGCACCTCCATGAACATCTAAAAACTTTGTGAATCCGGCAACTTCCACAAACAGCGAAGCATCTGGACCAAAGGCACGACATATCAAGTGGCCAGGAGCAACTGGAATATTTTTATCCACAACGACAATGACAGACGACTTATCCTCAACATCTACAAGAGCAAATGGAGTGGCTGGCAATAACAACAGATATTAAAAGGGATTGATAAGTATCAGATGGATGTCAAAACACTATTTCGTCATACAGTATAAAACCTCGATAGTTGACAAGTGACTATTCATGATCAAATACACCTAATACAAGAAGGCAGCATCGTATTCCATTCAACGCACAACTGGTGATATCATCATCATCCCAATAGAGAATCTAAATTTAAAAATACTCACCATCAATCTTGTCCACAAACAAGGTTGTCTTGACTAGATCGTCAGTAGCAACCCGAGAGTCTTTATAGCCCAGACTTTTTGTAAGAGCACCAATAGTAAAGTTGGTTGATTCCAAAGCCACAGCGACAATGGCTTTTGCAGAGGATCCTTTGGAAGGTTTCAACACAAGGGTTTTGATAGGCGAGGCAGTAGTGATGGAGTCGGGAATAGAAACAGAAACAGTATCCAGCCATGCCTTGTAAGAGTCGACAGGCTTGTGTGTATGTACCTTGTAATTGGCACCTATCGCTTGTAAAGCAGTGGTAACGGCTTCCAATTTACTCATTTTCAATCGACTTGCAAGATGAGAAACGGACGAAATGAGATTTTTCATAAAGAAAAGCAGAAAGTCAAGACATTGCGTTTATATCAGCAATTCGTTGTTTAGATCGATTTGCTGATATAAACAGTGTTTCAAGTAGTTTGTATTCTTATCGCTCTGTTTCAAAATATTATTTTACGTTCAATCCAGACCCATTCAATATGTCACGCTAAAACAGTATTATTGTATATACGTCGAGATGGTTGTAATCTAGTCAAAGTTTTAAAAATATTAATAGTTACACTGCATATCGTAGTGATGGACATGTTGGTTGTATTGTGCAATAAGACTGCGTCAACTTTCCTATTTTCGTTACATTTGAACTATTTTAAACCAACGCAACAAAGATGGAAGCCCGCAAGACGCATCAACGGCACATGGCTGGTTATGCTGTTGGAATGCTGTTGCATCCATCCAAAGGAATCAGGTGGGTTTGTATTGCATAGCAATCCACCATAAGAACAAGTCCAATTGTATTGACTGACCCATTGCTCATGAATTACTAGAGATGATATTGTTAGAGCAGGAGGAAAACCAAAAGACCACATGAAGGAGAATGTTCGACAATTACGGAGTGCTGAAAAGACTTATAAACAAAAGAAAGCAGTGAGTTTTAACTCTAGACTAGTTCAGGATACTTGTCAAACAGCAATGTTGGACATTGTCCTTGAATTCCGGACAAGTTGGCATGTTTAGACTTTTTATCTCATCTTGTCAAATACTGACTGTAGGAGGAAGGAATGCCATCTCCACCACCATTTAAACTAAAAGAGTTTAGCAATGTTTTGCCTAGAATATCTACAAGACGACCACAAGTGAGTCAAATTCAAAGGAAATACAGTCGATGGATTTGCATGAGAACATCCAATACATTGTAGTAACAGCTGTTGAATGATTAATTTATCAATGTTTATATGCACAGACTAAATCTGATAGTATATTCCCAAATACTCCAGACAGCTCTCGTCCTTGTACAGCAAGCACAGATTCGTCTAAAGGCTCTAAAAAGAACTTTATAAACATCAACTATACACGAGTAAGAAGTGCAAGTAACAGTAAAGTAAGTTTAGGTAATTCTTTGAATCTCATTTATGTTTCAATCTAACTGTCAGTCTGCTATCATGACTTTTATAGCCGACTACACCTGCACCTGCTCCATCAAATGATCCAAAACATAAACTCGGCCAAGTTCCTAAATAGTACGTGTAATATAAATTGCTATTCTATAGCCTGATTTTCAAAAACAACCATACTTTTAGTGACATTGTGGTCAATAAAATCACAAGTCTTGTCATTAGGAAACATCAATGGGCACAGCAAGAAGAACAGCGAATCATGGCACTCGAGCAAGACAAGTGTGTTTATTTTTGATTTGCAGGGCTTTGATGCAGTACAACTCATTTTGTTTGTTTTGATCCATACCCATGCTGAATGTTTGACATGATGCGCAACAATGCAATGTTATAGAATTCCCAAAGGAATGATGTGTAAGTTTGCCAATATGTTGCATCATCACAATCACTCAATGATTTCTATTGGCGAATGTGTCTAATCATGGCTCATAATTCAATATAGTATTAAAGGATATTGATCGACTTCGCACATTGCACGGGCTCAAATCAAGTGAGTTTGACTTGAACCCACACCATTTTGCAATCTGATTTATACTTACAAAACACTTTATTATTTGTAAAACTTTATCAATAGGACGAGATGAACTATTAGATGACTTGACGCGATTTCCAGTGATTATTGAACTAGCCAGCACAAAGGCACGCAAGTCAAAGATTGAGTCAGATTTAGTAGAGATTGACCAAGGCATCCAGATTTTTTCACGGGCCAAGGTGTTTGTACCCAAGGATGCGTTTGAGCAAACAGTTTTGGGTCAAAGATGATGCAATGGACTAGGAATGTTGAAAACTAATTGGCCACTACTTTTGATGAAACTAAATATATATTTTGGATACGATCAACTAGAATCCATGTCTGATTTAAGATTTTGGAGTTGAAAGGCAGGTTGAAAAGCGATTGATTCTGTCAGCAACTAAACAGCAATCTGATCGCAGTCGTCTTCTTCGCTGGCTTCGTGTCGCTTAGCCCTAAGCCATGCAACAACTTTGCGTTTTAAAGCAGCATCTGGCTTTAGATCAGCAGCGCGAATACGTTTGTCGCAGCCAGGAATCGGACATTCGATATCTGGAGATCCATTTGTGAATGTTTGAAAGATGGCATCAGAAAATGAATGCTTGCATACTCTTGAAGTGACAGGGTTGGTCATGATACGCAGCTGATTGTTGGCAGTTTGGTGATTGAAGAATTACATAAAGTATATGAGCAACTGAAGCAGTCCACAAACAACCAACAAAAGCAAGTTACCGTAATCGGACATTTGTAACTGACGGTCTGTGTAGTCATGACCACATCGTCTTCACTATTTACAGCTTGTCCGAATGGCACATTAGGATTTCTGACATCCCACACTGCCTGTCTAAATGCATCGTATTTTTCATTGCTCGTATATCGAGTGGTTTCAGGTATGGCCTCTCTCTGCTGCAGTTTCTCTTGATAATTTTGTTCAAACCATTCCAGCATATCCATCACTGGTTCCCGCTGTTGCTGCTGCTGCAGCGTTGTGAGCAGATCTTGCTGCAACTGGATGCGATTTTATATCTCGAGTGTTTTTTGGAATGCAGCGTCCATTTCAATCACACCCGAGTCTTTGGAACACACTCGAGTATCTGTATGAGGTTCTTGATCCGCATCATACATTGTCTGTTCGAGGAGAACAGCTGTTCGCTCGATTTCTGCTAAAACAGTGTCGCCATTGTCCAAAACAGACCGATGATGATTGATCAATGTGCCAAACTTGGTAGCTACCAAACAAGCCAGGTTGAGTATGAATGCCAGTAAAGGATTTTCAAACATATTTGTTGAGTATGCAATAATTACCAAATGTAGCGCTGGCCATAAACTTGAAAGTTTGCAGATTGTTTTAGGAAGAAATTGCAGGATCTTGCAAAAGTTGAACCTTGAATAAGATTAATATGTATTACATTGACAGTTGTATTCACGTAAAATGAATCACTCGAAATACATAACAGACAGTATCATGTTTGATTGGATATCATTGTTTTGTATACTCTTTATTAATATTTGCTCATTTTTGTACAACTGACTGAATGTTGAACTAGAACGTATTTGATCAAAAATACAAGTTTTAATGTCATGATTATGCCAGATATTCCTGTATAAAACCAACATTTTTAATAACATTAACAAACCAAATGTTTCATTCTATGTAAATATGACTGGAAACATACTGTCAATATTCAAAAACTCGGCAGCAGGATTTTGGAAAATCATTTAGCAAAAGACTCAATTCTTGTCCTTGATTTACTTGATCGATTTTTATTCAAAACTATTATATCATATACAACCTCACTGCCAGTAGGATATGTCTGGTACAAATAATGTCCCGCTGGGCGTTCGTAAGAAGCGAGAGATTAGCACCTTTGACTCGGATATGAGCAGCAACTCGCATCCCGTTTCTTGCACATCCGCTTCACAGCCCATTGCATATGGAGCTCCAGCTGTAGTTGGATATGGTGCTGGATCAAGAGTGCTACCCACTGTTGACCATGGTGAGTTTGCTAGTTTGATAGAAAAACTACCATTTTCCTGGTCAGGTTAATCTGGTGGATGAATGGACTTGATTTTCAGGAAACTGACTGATCACCAGTAAGGTCTGGCTCAAACTATCAATGAGCTTGAATCAAGATTCTATCCATTCATATCCAGACTCTCATCGATGCATTGTCATGTAGACAGTCTGCATTTGCAATCTGTCTTGGTCATTTGTGGACTTGTTGTCTGCATACAATAGATTGTTGTTTCTTTTCAGGCTCCATTTTACCTGAGATCTGACTGTTATATTTGACAATGTTGGAGTATCCTCTTTGTCTGTAGCTATATGTATGATTCTCTATAGGCCCACTGTAGCCTTTGACTTTTATTTTTTAAAACCACACTATTGTACCATGATTTATATCTAATTGACTCTACTTTTTCATGTTGTAGGTGAGCGAATTGGTCGTCCACTTAAACGACGGTCTAGATGGGGAAATGATGAGGCAAAGGTCACTATTCCCGGCATGCCTGTTGCTATTCCTGCCGGATTAACTGAAGAACAGATAGAGAGCTATGTGATCCATGTTCGCTTGGAAGATATCAGTCGCAGCTTGAAAGTCGGAGACTATGTTCCATCAGACAAACGGTGTGCATGTGTTGGATGAATATCAAATGTTTTGTTTTTACACTGTCTTACATTTCAATCATGTCTGTCTACCAACTTTAATGAATTTGCAAATTCCTAGTTCCGTATCTCCGCCACCAGAATACGGCACGGATGGTCGTCGTATCAATACTCGCGAATTCAGATACCGCAAGAAACTTGAAGATGAGCGACACAAACTAGTCGAAAAGGCCATCAAGGTCATTCCTGGTTTCCGTCCACCTGCAGATTATAAACGCCCCACAAAAATTTTAGACAAAATCTACATTCCTGTTCGGGACTTTCCTGAAATCAACTTCATTGGTCTTCTTATTGGTAGGTCTATATTGGGCTGGCCCATGCTTGACATGATACATCTATGGATATGATACTGAACACAATGTATTTGCCATTTACAACGAAACTATAGGTCCCAGAGGAAACACGCTTAAAAAGATCGAGTCTGAATCAGGTGCCAAGATTAGTATTCGTGGTAAAGGTTCAGTTAAAGAAGGTCGAGGTCGTAACGAAAATGCACCACAGGCTGGCGAAGAGGAAGACTTGCATTGTGTTGTATCTGGAGACACTGATGATAAGATTCGAAAGGGAGTTGAGATGATCAATAAGATTATTGAAACAGTGGGTATAGAATGTTGAAGAATGTTTTTGTTCATATACGCATTTTCTCGTAGTTGTCAAATACTAAACTTGCACTCGTACGTTTGAATGTGTAGGCTACGAGTGTTCCTGAAGGGCAAAATGAACTTAAACGAAACCAGCTTCGCGAACTTGCTGCACTCAATGGTACGCTACGCGACGATGAAAATCAGATATGTAACAACTGTGGTGCAGTAGGTCACCGTAGGTATGAATGTCCCGAACAGCGCAATTTTACTGCCAATTTGATATGTCGTATTTGTCAAGGTGTTGGCCATATTGCTCGAGGTAAATCTATGACTACTTGTTTGATTAAATGCAATATCTGGGCTTTCTAACACTGCTTTTGATCATGGTAGATTGTACCCAGCGTAATAATCCCGCTGCTTTGGAAGAGACGAGTCAGCGCAATCAGCGCCTGGATAGTGAGTACGAAAACTTGATGGCAGAGTTGGGAGGCAATCCATCTGGAAGTAGTGCGCCAAACAGCAGTGCTGTCAATGGTGGTGATAAAGCAGTCAGCGGTCGTGCAACATGGGCCAATGCTCCTCAGACAGCTGCATCCAATGATAATGCTCCACCTTGGGCACGCGCATCTGCCCAGCAATCATTTGTACCACCTCCTGCTCCAACTAGTGGTGGTGTTGCTCCATGGCAAAAGGCTACACAAGTTACAAGTCCTAGTGGGGGTTCATCGGCACAGAATCTTCCATCGGCACATGCTTTGCCAGCATCTGGTGCCAATCCCAGCGCATTATCATCACGTCAGCCATATTCGGGTGGTCCATATGGATCCCAACGCCCACATCAGCAACAAAGTCAACACTACTACCAGAGCAACGGCGGTGCTCATTATCAACCTCCACCTCCTCCACCTAGTTATGGCTACAGCGGTCCTCCAGGATTAGGCGCGAATTCCAATGTATATGGTGCACCTCCACCACTTTCTTCGGCATCGGGTACAGGATCAGTACCTCCACCACCCTCATATGATCAATATGCTGGATATGGTTGGCCTCAACAACCAGTGGGTGGTCCACCACATCCATGTAAGTCTCTTGCTGTATTTTAGTTCTGCTGACCAAATCCATTTTTTTCAAATGCATGATTTGTAGAGTATGTTCATATGCATAATGCTATCCAGATGAATATTGATTACATGCAAGTTGTCAGCATATCGAGTTTTTCGTGTATTCTTTCCTATCCACCAGTGTTTATATTGGACAACCTTGTTGAAAAGGCCTGCATTGCGCTGATGATTAAATCAGACTGTAAATCAATCATATACGATGTGTCTGTGTTTTGGAGTTGAAGCTGGTATTTGACCAAAGTCAAATTGAGTGGAAACTGAGTCTGAAATGCAACACGACTCCACCTGTCTAGCCTACTGTGCACTAGACTCGGCAAGTTACTATTCATTAGTCAGCCAGTGCTTGACTTGATTGCATGCATCAGAATATGCTTGAACTTCTTTATAGATGCATACCTGTGAAAATTGTGTGCGTCTAGAGAGCAAGCAATGCTTTTGAGATTGATACTCTGTAGCTGCTAATCTCATACTTGTATGGTGTTTAAATTGACCTTGATTGCTTAATTTGGTTTGATGTAGATGCTGCACCTCCACCTCCTCAACCACCTATGCCAAGTCAAGGATCATCTTATATGCAATCTGAAACCGCTGCACCTCCGCCGCCGCCCCCACCGTCTACATAAATGAAAAAAATAAATTTTGCAAGACTATTGCTGGAGCCGCTTCACAGCTAGCGACAAAGGGCATGAGAATGGAGAGATGAATGAAAAATTGTCGGTAAACATGCCATTAGTTTATATTGTGTTTGAGGAGGATTCACGTAAACTTTTCGTTTTTATACATGGTCGGACTTTTGAGGTTTTGGTCCTTTTAGTTGCCAACATTGTTCAGCTGAACAAACCTTTATTCTGGTGATATCAAACAGGAAGCAGCAGCATTTCAACCCATGGATTATCTATTTGCAATATTGTATGGTTGTACGGTTGTTTTAGATTAGTGTACACACTTTATACATATGGAACACCAAAGCGTGTGTCAACAAGATCAACAAGTTAGATTATCATTGTGTATAGGAGATGTAAAAGATAGATGCTTATGCCATTCAAATCAGCAGACAATCCATTGATATTTGCAAAACATCAAACATATGATACTGATGGTTACTAGCAATCTTCATTTCTCCATTCTCATGCCCTTTGTTCTAGCTGTGGCATTCAATTCTCCAAGGTTGTATTCCGGTAGTCATGCCACCAATGCATATACTGCATAAAGCTTTGTGGGACCTTTGTTATTTATCTAAAAAGCAATCAAGCAGTATACACATCCATCAAGCCAATGCTACTATGCAGATAGTGGACCATTTTATCGATTATAATGTGGCTACGCAATCGTATTCAATATTCCACTACACAACCCCTAATTCCAGTAAAACATCTATTGCAGCCTTAACCCCTTGCTATAACCAAGCAACGACCCTGCACATAAGGACCCGTGGTGACTAAAAATTTGTGCATAACCCGAACTTATCCGTTGTCAGAATGGGACCATGTGGATGGGCTAGTCTGAGTAAAACATCACACTCGGTTGTGAAAATCAAAGGCTGAACTGAGAGTAGAACCCATCTTACAGGGGTGTGAATGCCTACTTGAATATATGGCCACAATTCAAGGTTTTATTTAGATGTTATCAAATGAGCCAAATGTTTGCGGTCAGTCTTGTTTCCGAAACGGCCAACAAAATGTTTTTGATAACAATGACGACCACAAGCCCAAGCGTAGCTAAACAAGTGTCCAAACTCACAAGCTTCAGTATTCGTGCCATTCAATCCACCGCTTTCCACACCATTGTCCAGATGATTTATATAACAGCGGCTTCAAGACCATTGTTTCATTCCCACCACGCGAAAACCCCGATTATTTTTATGGGTATAATTACGAACCGACTCAAGATATATTGAAACATAACAACTAGCAAGTGCTACTATAATCTGCCAAATACTGTCGTTTAGACTTTGTGCTACACACTTTGAACACACGAATTGCTGGTCGTACTGATCCGATCTTACTTGTAACTTGTATACTAGCTTGTACAACGCCCTTATTCCTCTAGTCTCTGCACACACCCTGTTTTCTTTTTCAACCTTTAAACTGTGGCTATTTAAGTCTCGAGTTTCGATTTCTCAAAGTTCTTTTACTGCCCATTTCCGCGCTGTTCGACTCTTACCCTGTTGAACAATATTCAAAATCATATGGCTCAACTAACACTCCATCCTCCTGCCTCGCATGCAAAGACAACCAACACCTATCATTTGGTCATTGCAGCTCTATCGTCTGCACGCTACCGAGCATTTTTTCTCATAGTTATTTGCTGCACCATCTTGTTGCTCGTGTCCTTGAACAACATCTCTGGCCCGACGCTTGCAACAGACTTTTATGATAGAAACAGCCAGACACCCATATCTGATCCATCTACTCATGGATATCCTCCCAATAGATTTGGATGGAAGTCAAAACTCCCACAGAGCAAGGCGGGTGGGAATTCCAACTTGAATGATCCATCTGTTCAGACCAATCTCGACTCATTGGAGAACGATGCAGACATGGCTGGACACTCACAATCAGATCCCAACAGTCGCTTTGATAAAATTGCCGTTGTTATCAAGACTGGTCGAGATGTTGCTCTTACTCGAACTCCTATCCAGCTTTTGACATTCGTAGAGCCCATCAAAAATGCTATTATTATTGCCGAGGCTGGCGGTGTTAATGTCGGAAGATACGACGTAGTTGATGTGTACACAGGACTCTACAAAAGTCTCAATGAATCAGACCCACTCGAGGCTCTACTACAAGCCCCTAAACAGGCTACTCCTGGTATGTTTGATTTTTGTCAATTGACTTTACTTGTTCTAGTCGTTAGCCTTTGATTATCACATACCATTACACTATCTTGATACCTATCTGAATCCACTCCACATTATGCATAGTTTGTGTTACACAAGTCTAACATTAAGATTTCAATGTTTATTTTTCCGATGCATTTAATGTTTTCACTTGTTTATTTAATGCTCGCGCTATCAAACGGTTCCGGATTTTCAACACTACAGCTAAAAATACTAAACCCGCCGCACAATCAGATTCAGTTGTTCCAGATCAAAATTCATTAGGATGGAAGGCAGATGCTCACAAAAACCTTCCTGGTTTCCGAGCGCTTTACAACAAATTCCCCAATGCCGAGTGGTTTGTTATGCTGGATGATGACACGTACATGTTTTTTGATAATCTGCTAAACATGGTCAGCGACTTGGATCCAGAGAAGCCTTACTATATTGGTGCTCGGAATATGTTTATTGGATGTGATGGTGTTAAAAAATGGGGAGATGGCCCTGCGTTTGGCCACGGTGGATCTGGCATTGTGCTGTCACGAGCTGCCATCCGTACCATGGTTTCTAATCTGGATGCATGCATAGTTCGTTACAAGACATGTTGGGCAGGCGATGTTCGTACTGCTCTTTGTCTCCGCGATCAAAACATTCTACTTAAAGACCCTAAAGGCTTCCATATTTCACCGCCCAACGATGCATTTTGGTTTCCCAAAGAAACATGCTTACGACCCATCACATTCCATCATCTGTTGGTCAATCAAATTCAAAAGCTCTCTGATATGGAACGTCGAGTCAAACAAACAGGACAACCAGTAAGAATGAGCGATGTGTTTCAAGACTGGGGATCTGATATTCCAGAAACAATATTAGATACAGACATGGCTGGCGATGACTTTACCAACTTTGATGCAGATTCACCCTCTGATTGCATATCGCGATGCAAAGAAATATCCACCTGTGTCGCATATACGTTTGCTTCTCAAAAATGCTGGCTTAAGAAGGGTATTCCCATCAGAAAACCTAGAGCCGGATTTATTTCAGGTGTCATTTCTCACAACTATCAATGCAGGATGCAGTAGACCAAGCCAGTGCTATATACCCTTTTGACTTTACCAAAACTTGACTACTCAGGCTTTAGAATGTCATTTATCCTGCACTCTTGTTTTATCTCTTGGTCAGTCCTTTGGCCTGCCGAGCTCTTAATGCGTCGACTTTTCTAGCAAACCGCCACTATCGAGCATCCTCATAGACTTTTGAATACCAGAACACACTTTGATTCTTGTGCTCGTTTCTGCTTTTATCACCTTAGAACCAATGCGATTCAAATTACTGGTCGTTTTTGCTCAATATCCTTAAACTTTTGACTTTGCAAAATGAATCGAGTTTTTGTCGACTGTTTATGCTTGTGGATTTATGGGATTTAATGAGAGAGATTTAGTTATTAGAGTTGATTTTGTCAGACTTTTCTCAACTCTTTGTTTTGCAGAAGCATATGAAGGTTGAATTGGAGCAAATCACAACACATGTCTTTTGTAAGTACAACCAGCATGAGCTTATGGATGTTTTGGCATGTATAGAGCAACGATTAAATCACAAATACGACTCTGCCAACACACGATGGTCATCCAATGCACTCGACTCATCTACTGTTGGTATTTGATTAGTGACTCGTCGGACGCATATTGTATTTTCCATTTGGGTGGTGATTATCCTTGCTCTACCTATATGGTGGAGAACCACAGAAGTCTATCGAGCACCACTACCTTTTGAGGCCATTCGTTCATGGGAAACCACGCAAGTAGGTCTACTCTGATGTTCATACACAATAATCCAAACACTTCAAGATGCTTCAATATCATAAGCTGTTATACTGACACATGCGCTGTATGGCTAGGCACTGTCGCTCAATATGAATATGGGCATTCAACTCTGCTTTAGCCCTAAAGCAACCGAGCAAGTTGCGTTGCAGATCCCTGCCATTGTGGCATCAACACAGATGGAGCTCGAAAGTATATTTTCTGCAACTGTACCAGATCACAGCGACACAAGACACATCTCGCTTACTTTTTCAGTTGATGCAAAAGAGTGTTTGCATACATGGGATGCCCAAAGTGTATCGGCTAAAGGTAATGGAATTCAATGCTGATGGCTGGTGTATGACTTACTGACTAGATTCTTGATTTAGATTTTGATGATGGGCTTGGTGTCACCTACAACGACAATGGTGTCTACAGTGTCTACATGGATTGTGCAGTAGAAGACGATACTGATCAAGAATCTGTTTTTGTTGGCAAGAATCGTGCCTTGTTATTGAATATGCACAAAAAGTGCACCAAAGGTAGACTAAATAGTTGTCGATCTACAGCCAGTGTTTTGGTATATGATTCTGACTGTTTCTATAAGAGTTGGCTGTATCGCGTATTGTGTCAACTCTGACGGGTATATTTAGCAGTGAGCAACTTGGTCTCATTAAACTCTACAAGGAGAAAGTTTCACAGGACGTATGCAATTGAATAGGGTTGAATTTTCCAAATCTGATGTGTCTACATTGGAATGCTTAGTCTTTATGTTTTGAATATTGATAGGCTGATCGTAAAAGTATGCGCGTTGTCAAGTATGCACCAGCATACCAAGTAGTTCTTAGTCTACTGGTTGGAGATCCAGAAAGTGTCATGGTTTCATGGGATGCACAAGCTGCAGCCAGTGGTAATTGATTTTTACTTTAATTAGCATTTTGGTTGCATAATCTTCATGTAGGCTAACAAAGTCGTGTGTGGATAGCGTATATTCAACCATTTCTTTTCGAATTAAACGCTATTTCTGAATTTACTATCAGTTCTCAGGTATGGTTTAATTTGTTTATTACTACTTTATCATTACTGACTCTATTTGAATACGTATGGGATGGATTGTTTGGGACAATAGATTTTAAACTACGCCTCACTTCCCATTCAGCCTGAAAAAGGTCAAGATGGCAATGGAAACACTGCGTATTACATGAATGTCAAAGCATTGTCTAATTTCCTTAATTCAGCTGAGTGGAACTTGGGTATGGTTTTGATTTTGAACTGATTGCATGTAAAAGTGTTTGACATTGTGCTAACTTTAGCTTCCATATAGCTTCGGTGGTTTCATCTGCATCTCCAATCAATTTAATCCTTTATATTCCACCAATGGAACAAACACCGCTGCACGTTCTTCACTACAATGGTATGTAGATTATAGAAAAACTGCCAGCACTTTGCTTTTTCATTCATGGTCATGCTTATTGTTATTACTGAACAACTATTTAAACTAGGTACGGTTCTTGATAGCAATTCGTTTTTGATTCCACAATGGGGAGGCGTGGTTATTCGCAACGTTCCTAATGAATTCCGCCAAATCCATTATAATTTGGAAAAACTGCATCCCATTATGGAAATATTTGTTGAGCAGCTACGTGGGCTTCTTGGCATAGATTCAGTATGCATTGTAAACGAAAAAATGCTTTTGGTACGCACATGATTTGATTGTTGTGTTTAATAATTGTAAAACTTACTCCATCGCTGGGCGTACTTGAAATAGCCAAATGTACGTGTTGAATATGGTGATGCTAGTGAGATAGGAATGACACGATGGGAGTTGGATCGTCTCATTCGATCACGGACGGTCCAGAACATGGCAAATGCAGCACAAACACTGATTTCATTGGCCAATTTGCTTGAGCGACTTAGCGGAATGGTCGTGCTGGATCTGATCAAATATTATGTCACAGATTCGCTCAATTATTTAAATATGGTAAAACTAGTATATATGTTGTGGCACAATGACCATCTTTAGTTTCCTAAGCTAAACAATGCGACTGATGTCGCGGTTAATACTAATCAACCTTTGTTTTTATTACAACTGTAATGTGTTCCACTACTATCAAAACTAATCATCAGACTAAGCATGAGCTTTCGACTTGCCAATTCACTAATGCTGCACAATATGCACGACGTGCTGTGACCAGTGCCGAGGCAGCCTTTTTTGACCCAACCATGGTTCCATTGTTGTATTTTCCAGATGAGCACAAATTTGCTATCTATATGCCGTACTTTGTTCCCGTTACTGTGCCGCTTATTCTTGCCTTGTTTCGCGAAGTCAGGCTATGGATCTCCAAAAAACGGGAAGCCAAACTCAAGTCTAAAACTGAATAGCTTGCCTATTGTCAAATGTTTAAAAATAAACATGTTTGGATAACATTACAATTGAGGGTGAACAAAAGTTTGATTGGATATCATTGTTTTGTATACTCTATTAATATTTGCTCATTTTTGTACAACTGACTGAATGTTGGACTAGAACGTATTTGATCAAAAATACAAGTTCTAATGCCATGATTATGCCAGATACTCCTGTATAAAACCAACATTTTTAATAACATTAACAAACCAAATGTTTCATTCTATGTAAACACGACAGTAAAAAAACAAAACAAATGCCCTCTGAGTGATTTGAACACTCGACCTCTTGCTTACTAGGCAAGCGCTGCTACCACTGAGCTAAGAGGGCATCCGATGATTTTTTGAGGCGTTTTAACAATATATTCCTTGCATAACAATACATTATTAAGCCATGATGTTCAAAACCCCAATCATGTGGCGAGTGTTGATATATTGCATTCACATTTACCAACTCATTTATTTCTCAACAGTATCCTCAAGCTTGAATAAGAATTTGGTCTATTCGATATGTTCAGTGTCAATAAAACCTTGTACTCTGTGAAAATGTATGAGTCTAGATGTTGGATGTCCATGATGATAACTTATCAACAGAGTATGATGCCAATATCATGTATATTACCAGTTGTGCAACTATTGCGATTGATGTAATACAAATATTACTGTATTTCAACCATCAGTCATCAGTCATCAACCATGACTCACATTCAACCCAATCTGCAAACATTAGAAACTCGATCAAAATTGTAAATGCAATGGTTTATTCAAATCAATTGATGATTATGGAAACATAAATCACAGTTGACTTGCAAACCATGTCAGTGGTTGAGTGTAGCTTTATGCATTGTATCTTTGCATTATTCCAAACTTTCGGACCATAAAATCAATTGCGGTCTTAAATTCGTGCTATACCAGTCAATTTTAGAATGACGCCCAAATACTCTTGCAAATAATTCTTGTGCATCCTCTTGTCTGCTTATAAATTGGTTTACTAGATCGAGTATATCTTCAATTACATCTTCAAACTGACTTGGATCCTTGTTTAAACGAAGCACTTGCCTATAAAATTCCCCTCGAAGTGCTCTGATCATCTCCAAAAGTTTTTCAAAAATCAATCCAAAGTCCTCAATAAACTCGAGCGTTAGTTTACTAGTGGCTTCAAATCTAAGATTGAAATCCAGAATATCCTTGATCCATTTTTCGTACCCGCCAAGATTTGACCAATATACAGACAGGTCTTTTCTAAAACCGGTTTCTTGAGGATTTGCTTTAATATTCATGTCTTTCTCTATTGCTTTAGCAACACGTCGGTGTTGCTTTGAATTCTCTTTAACAAGGTACTTGGATCCTTGAGCACCACCTTGATGGCCCGATTGTGAAAATCTCGGTAGTTTTAAAAGTGACATCAATAGTGAGTCAATAGAGCCATCATTTCGTCCATACTTGGGTTTCTTTTTGTCTTTTCGATGACCAGATTTGCGTCTTTTTCCAATACTACATAAAAGCTTACTGAGCTTGGAAGACTTTAGACGAGACCAGAAACTTTGACATGAATGACCGCCTTGATTGCCACCCAAGTCATGAGTTGTTGTCGAAGTACTCGGACGTTCCGGACCACCTGTTGCTTGTGGAAGAATTTGGCTATTTAGACTTGGACCAACAGGATTGGGTGTCTGACGGGATTTTGGCCAAATGCCATGAACACTAGTGACCAACACTGCAATTGTAAAGACTGAAATGTGTGTGAATTTCATTTGATCAAGTATAACTGTGCATTAGTGGTGATCGATAAGCTTACTTTTATAATCGGCATAGCCATAGATTGGATATTTTTGTATTGATGCTGTGTCGATGCCGCAGATCAGGGATAAATATCTGTATGAATACAGGTTTAGGGTGTTTAATTCTAAAAGAATCAAGATTGACAATATCTGAATGTTTGGCTTGAATTAAAGTTGTAAATCCTATATTGACTACCACAGTTGTGTCAATTCTTACATTTTTATGACCCTTTCAATCACTATACAGAGTACAATCACTTGGTTACAATCACCACACAACACCGAGCCTGACGACTTTCTGTTTAGTCAATATGCGGCCCATCAAACTGAATCGATGATTTGTCCGCATCAACAGTTGCCGATAGTTTAAATTGCCACTTGATTTGGACAACAATGTATACAATCAACTCACATCTAGATTATATCAATCTATCAACTTGACGACATTCACACCCACAATCAACATTAACAATTTGGGTTCAATTGGATTGTCCACTATTGGTTCATGATATGGCCAGCAACCATGTGTATGGTGAATAGCAAGCAGGCTTTATCCACACTTTCACAAGAGATCAGTCGTGTATATGCCATTCCAACCACTACAACTGCAACTGCAACTACAGCCAACAGTGATCCAATGACAGTTTCTGGTCATCAGATCATACACTCTGCAATGCCGTTACTATATCCAAACCGTGACTCTGAATCGATATATTTGTGAGTATATTGTAAAATGGTTGTTTTCAGGTCAAAAAGCCAATAAAATCAGCATATCGATATAACAATCTTGTATTGATTCATGATATCAAGTTGGATTGCTTGACAAAATATAAATGCTGCAATGATCAATGTTGTTGCTGTTGGTTTACAGTTTGGCAGCACCGCCTTGGAAACGGGTACAAACATCGGTCCAGTTGGTGACATTCCACCAGGCAGCAACGTAGTTGGCACGAACATTGCGGTATTTGACATAGTAGGCATGTTCCCAGACATCAAGAGCAAGTAAAGTCATGGCACCAGTACCTGCAAACTGAGGTGCAAACTCGGGATGATCTTGATTAGCAGTGGTCACGATTGACATGGTAGAACTCGAAGGAGTCCAAGTAAGAAATACCCAACCAGATCCGAATACACCAAGAGCTGCTGCTGTAAACTGCTGCTTGAATGTCTCGACAGAGTCAAACGACTTGACAAGCTGCTTACCAAATTCAAAATACTATTTTGACTATCTGATTTGGGATTCTTGATGTGTGTGCGTAGTTGTACAACTTGACAGAGTATGATGCCAATATCATGTATATTACCAGTTGTGCAACTATTGCGATTGATGTAATACAAATATTAGTGTATTTCAACCATCAGTCATCAGTCATCAACCATGACTCATATCCAACCCAATCTACAAACAATAGAAACTCGATCAAAATTGTAAATGCAATGGTTTATTCAAATCAGTTGATGATTATGGAAACAAATCACAGTTGACTTGCAAACCATGTCAGTAGTTGAGTGTAGCTTTATGCACTGTACTTTTGCATTTTTCCAAACCTTTCGGACCATGAACCCAACTCTGCTTCAAGATGTTCGTGATACCAGTCAATTCTAGAATGACGCTCAAATAATTTTTCGAGTAGTTGTTGTGTATTCATGTGAGTGCTCATAAATTTGCCCATTAAATCGAGTATCAGTTTGATTGCATTGGCGGATTGACTAGAGTCCTTGTTTAAACCGATCATTATCTCGTAGATTTCCTTTTGGAACCACTCCATCATTTTCAAAAGTTTTTCCAAAATCCACACAAGTTCGTTGATAAACTTGGATATCGATCTACCAGTGACTTGAAACACGGTAACACTGTCTAAAATATCTTTGACCCATTTTTCGTACATGCCAATACCTCCCAGATATGACATCAGATCTTTTTTAAAATCGCCTTCAGAGCCGCCTCCAAAGCTGGTGCTTATCGATGTTTCTACCATAAGTTTTTGGTGATGATTTGTTTTTTCATCAAAGTGATTCATGGATGTATAAGGATCTTCTGGGTGTATAGCACCCGACACCTTTGGAAGCGACTCCAAAAGTAAATCAATAGAACCATCCTGGCTACTTGGATCATGTCCAAAGCCAAAAAAGTTTTTAACGTCATCGAAAAACCCATTGAAAAATCCGCCAGTATTGGAAGGTCCTTGAGAAGATTCAGGAGTCTGGTTTGAATGATCGCCTTGATTGTCGCCAGGACCTTGAGTTGCTGTCGAAGTACTCGGAAATTCCGGACCACCTGTTGCTTGTGGAAAGCTTTCGCTATTTAGACTTGGACTTGGACTTGGATCAACAGAATCGATTGTCTCGCTGGATTGTGGCAAAATGGCATGGACACTGGTGGCCAAGGCTGCAATTGTAAAGGCTGAGATGTGTGTGAATTTCATTTGATCAAGTATAACTATGTATGTATTATTGGAGGTCAACGAGCCTGCTTTTATAATCATCATAACCATATCTTAAAATATCTTCATATATCAATGCTATGTGTTTATTCCGCAGATCAGGGATAAAGGCCAGTATGAATACACGGTAAGGTGTTGTATGCTAAAATAGATCTACACAGGGTTGAGTGTTTAGCCCTAAAGGGTCAAGATTGACAGTGTATGTTTAAATGTTTGGTTCAAATCCAGACTGAAAATCTTATTCTAGTAGATTGACTATCACAGTTTTGTGTCGTCAATTATTACATCTCCACTTATGGCCCTGACGACCCTTTCAGTCGCTATACAGAGTACAATCACTTAGTTACAATCACCACATAACACCAAGCCTGACGACTCTCTGTTTAGTCAATATACTGTTCATCAAATTGAACCAATGAACTGAGTGGTGTCAGTAATGGCTACATCCAAATGAATTGTTTTTATCAACAGTTGTCAATAGTTTAAATTGCCATTCGATTTGGACATCAATGTATACAATCAACCCACATCTAGATTATATCAAGATATCAACTCGACGACACCCATAACGAGCAAAGTTTAATGACTATATAACGATTTATTTTATCCGAGTTTGGTTCTTGATAGATTCATCATTTTGTTCTTGCAATGTAATCATATCCGTTTCTGCATCTGCAATCACATTTTCAATCGCATCTGCAGTCGCATCAGGATGCCATTCTGACATTCCAGTCATGCTCGTATCAACATCAGTGTCGTGTTCAGTCGAGTCATCTTTATTGGTCGCATTGCTTTTACTAATGTGATATTGCATAGGATACTGCACTCGTTTAACAGTCTCTCCTTTTTCTCGCATAATATCCTCAATCGTTCCGGGCGGTTTCGTTGAATCAAACCATCCCAAATGATCAGCAATCAAGTGTGTGTTTTTACATCCGTCGCATTTGATCATAACCACGCCAGTCGTATAAGCCTTTTTTGACATGGATTTATAAGAGCGATGTTTACAGACTTTACATGTAAAGCCAATGATCATTCTGTCTGCAGAGACATTCAAGCCTGCGTCTACTGGAGAATCAGAGTCGTTGCTGGATATCGAATGATGGCGAGTAGCACAATATGATGTATGTATGCTACCAATCAAGTATGATGGTCTGGTTGCATTGAACCATTCATGCTTTGTGATTGATGCAATTCGATGGTAGCGATACACCGGTCTTGTCAAGTTGCATAGTGTAGCGGCTGTTGATACTGCCCAGCTCAACGATGGTCGACTCATGAGATAAATAGTCTTGATCAATGTTTTCTGATGCATTCGGTGGTCCTCAGGACAGGACGAGCAATTAAACTATTGCAGCGCTGTTCAATCCACTTTGCAATCTAAAACACTCTAGTCGATCATGATGACAAATTCAACTCACTGTTTACAGTGTTGTGCACAATGGCATATAGCAACATATACAATAATTGGACTTTACCGTAGAAATCTGCATAAAAATGCATTCTACTGCCACCAAATCATGTCAAGTCTTTGATTATAGTTGGAATTATATTGTTTGTATTTCCATGAATTGCACACCAATATTAGTACAAAGTATCTGAAAGTATCTGAAAAGTATATAAAAGTATCTAAAAGCAAAAGTCAAATGTTCAACTCGAGTTTATCCAATCCACCATTTTAAACTGCAGATAATGCTGGTTGTGCCAGTTGTATCGACCACTGATGCGAATATGCCACTGCTCTCATTGGCAGATGCATTAGTGATTCCACAGAATGCAAGAGTGTTTTTTGTATACAACGATCTAGTGCATCTTGATGCCAGTCTTTTGCCAGTATCGAGTAACCAACTCATTGGCCAGTCGTTTACTGCTCGATTGTGCTGGCCAGATGCTACTGCAATCAAACCACAACAAGAGCAAACCAAGATCCATAGAGTCGGCAGTGTTTCTGATTTAGAAAGTATTGTAGTATCTGGCACTATCTATCAGCTCGCATCCTCAGCAGTGAATGGAGCCGATGCTGTTCCTGTAAGTTTGACCAATGTTTGATTGATGGCATGAGTTGGCATGAAGCCATTGTGCTGACTCGGCATACATGCAATACGATTGGTTTATTCATCTAATACAAACCAACTGTGTTGAATTAGACTGTCTGGCTTGCAGTGCATACTTGTCTCACAAGTTGTGCTCAACTATTAGCCTTGTCACTCTCCGTGTCTGAACTACTCAAAAAAAGCAAGGCTCACTCTTTGCATGTATTCACTGTTGTGCAGTACAAAACCGCCAAAGATGCTGTTCATGTTCTTGAGATGAATGGCATAGACGATGCGGTTTCTTTAGGTAAACACATTTAAATTACTGCAGATGATGGATCAATACAGTGACCATCATAAACTCATAATTATTGAATATAGAACAAAGTGGGACTCGATTGGACTGTCCGCTCTTGGTTCGAGATGCATTCATAAACTCAATGGTGGAGCTTGTTCGACTGTACAAAATTCCATCACGGTTCATGATATGGCCAGCAACCATGTGTATGGTGAATAGCAAGCAGGCTGTATCCGCACTTTCACAAGAGATCAGTCGTGTATATGACATTCCAACCACTACAACTGCAACTGAAACTACAGCCAACAGTGATCCAATGACAGTTTCTGGTCATCAGATCATACACTCTGCAATGCCGTTACTATATCCAAACCGTGACTCTGAATCGATATATTTGTGAGTATATTGTAAAATGGTTGTTTTCAGGTCAAAAAGCCAATAAAATCAGCATATCGATATAACAATCTTGTATTGATTCATGATATCAAGTTGGATTGCTTGACAAAATATAAATGCTGCAATGATCAATGTTGTTGCTGTTGGTTTACAGTTTGGCAGCACCGCCTTGGAAACGGGTACAAACATCGGTCCAGTTGGTGACATTCCACCAGGCAGCAACGTAGTTGGCACGAACATTGCGGTATTTGACATAGTAGGCATGTTCCCAGACATCAAGAGCAAGTAAAGTCATGGCACCAGTACCTGCAAACTGAGGTGCAAACTCGGGATGATCTTGATTAGCAGTGGTCACGATTGACATGGTAGAACTCGAAGGAGTCCAAGTAAGAAACACCCAACCAGATCCGAATACACCAAGAGCTGCTGCTGTAAACTGCTGCTTGAATGTCTCGACAGAGCCAAACGACTTGACAAGCTGCTTGCCAAATTCAAAATACTATTTTGACTATCTGATTTGGGATTCTTGATGTGTGTGCGTAGTTGTACAACTTGACAGAGTATGATGCCAATATCATGTATATTACCAGTTGTGCAACTATTGCGATTGATGTAATACAAATATTAGTGTATTTCAACCATCAGTCATCAGTCATCAACCATGACTCACATTCAACCCAATCTACAAACAATAGAAACTCGATCAAAATTGTAAATGCAATGGTTTATTCAAATCAGTTGATGATTATGGAAACATAAATCACAGTTGACTTGCAAACCATGTCAGTAGTTGAGTGTAGCTTTATGCATTGCTTGCATTTTGTGCATTGTATTTTTTAATTGTTGCTCTAAACCTTTCGGACCATGAACCCAACTCTGGTTCAAGATGTTCGCGATACCAGTCAATTCTAGAATAACGCTCAAATAATTCTTCGAGTAGTTGTTGTAGATCCGTTTGTCTGCTCATAAATTGATCAGCTAGATTGAGTATAGTTTTAATTGCCCCTTCAAACAGGCTTGGATCCTTGTTTAAACGGACCATTATCTCGTAAATTTCTTCTCGAAGTGCTTTGATCATCTTCAGAAACTCTTTTAAAATCCACACAAGCTCATCGACAAACTCGGATACTGGTCCACTGGGTTTAAATCTACCAAGGGAATTTAGAAAATCTTTGACCCATTTTTCGTACATGTCAAGATGTGAGCAGTAATAGGATACATATGCTCTAGCCCTGCTTTCTCGATAATCTTTTTCAGCATTAATGCCTTTCGCTATTACTTTATCAACACGCTTGTGTTGCTTTGATTTGCCTTGAACGTACTCTGCAGATCCATAAGCACCGTCGTGATCATTCGAGTGTGAAAATTGCGGTAACTTTAAAAGCGATTCTAAGAGTAAATCAATCGAGTTATTCTGCTCATCTTGGTGCGTTTTAGTTTTTTGATGACCAGATTTGCGTCCTTGTCCAATACTATATAAAAGAGTTCCGAGTTTGAAAGACTTTAGACGAACTCTGGGAGTCTGGTTTGGATGATCACCTTGGCTGCCACCAGGACCTTGAGTTGTTGAAGTACTCGGAAATTCCGGACCACCTGTTGCTTGTGGAACACTTTCGCTATTTAGACTTGGACTTGGATCAGCAGATTCGATTGTCTCGCTGGATTGTGGCAAAATGGCATGGACACTGGTGGCCAAGGCTGCAATTGTAAAGACTGAGATGTGTGTGAATTTCATTTGATCAAGTATAACTATGTATGTATTATTGGAGGTCAACGAGCCTGCTTTTATAATCATCACAGCTATCGATTAGAATATTTTTATACATTATTGCTGTGCTAATTACCGCATATCAGGGACAAATGTCGGCATTAATATAGGGCTGGGATATCTAACCCTAAAAGAATCAAGATTGACAATATCTGAATGTTTGGCTTGAATTAAAGCTGTAAATCCTATAGACTACCACAGTTGTGTCAATTCTTACATTTTTATGACCTTTTCAATCACTATACAGAGTACAATCACTTAGTTACAATCATCACACAACACCGAGCTTGGTGACTTTCTGTTTAGTCAATATGCGGCCCATCAAACTGAATCGATGATTTGTCCGCATCAACAGTTGTCGATAGTTTAAATTGCCACTCAATTTGGACATCAATGTATACAATCAACTCACATCTAGATTATATCAATATATCAAAGTAGAATAGACCGATACAAAAGTGGTACAATTTACGTGAACATGCAGTAAATAATTGGGTTAGAATATCATACAAATGGTTCCATTCAACACCAACAAGACCCTCAAATGTTTATCTGGTCAAGATGGAGTAATCGGATCTTCCACCCATACAAACATCAATCACTTTCATTTCTATCAATGACTATTGTTTCTACAGACACCACCAGCCGTCTTGCTAAACTAAGAGAGCAACTCAAAGCTCACAGCGTTGATGCCTTTATTGTCCCTTCTGAAGATGCCCACCAGGTTAGAACTACTCTTGACAATACGTTGCTAATCACTTAATGAACTGTCTGCCATCTATAACCGACCTTTTTCTTGCTAATGCAAGACATATTTCTCAACTCCTTATTGCACTGATCGTCTGTTTATTAATATATTTCATCCTGCAACACAGAGCGAGTACTTGGCTGCCTGTGACTCCCGTCGTGCCTACATTTCTGGCTTTACTGGCTCTGCTGGTAATGATCTTTTTTGTTAATTGCTAGGCAAATCTATATTCCATCCTTTTCATTCCTAATGCATCATTATAGGTGTCGCTGTTGTAACTACTGACAAGGCTGCTCTGTGGACGGATGGCCGTTACTTTCTTCAAGCTTCTCAGCAGCTCGACTCTAATTGGATTCTTCAAAAGTCTGGCTTGCCTGGCGTCCCTTCGAGATCTGAATGGATTGTACAGGCAAGCTTCAATCTCATTTACTTTTCAATTCGAGTATCTATCGACTCGATACTTTTAAAGCCATACCAATCAATGCTATTCAAAATATGCGGCAGTGCTTTTGAAATATTTCAGAATGGATGCTGAAGCGATTTGTTGGATACCCTAATATGGCAGCCATGTTTGTTCTAATATATATTGATGGTTGAGTTTTAGGTTTTAGCCAAAGGCAGCCGTGTTGCTATTGATCCCGAGGTTATCAGTGTTGGTAAGCAACTATAGCTTTATGAATGCATATTTCTTTGTGGTGTACCAACTGGCTACTTGAATATACTATGTAGATGCCGTCAAAGAGCTACAGGAATCTATGACTGCAGCTGGAATTACTCTCGTCTATACATCTAATCTAGTCGATACTATTTGGGAAGATCGTCCAGCTCGTCCTATGAACCCCATTAAAGTACTGGGTCTTGAATTTACTGGTAGTATTCGATTTGCAATATTCTCGTTGGTTTTCAGTCTGAACGATCATCTCATGAAGTTTATTTTGGATATGGGCACATTTATCCGGAAAATGCATGCTTGTGTTGAATAGGCAAGCACTTTGAAAAAAAGATTGCAGATCTTCAGCAGAAACTAGAAAAAGCCAAGTGCTGGGGTATTGTCATCTCTTCACTTGACGAAGTCGCATGTAAGTTGCAATATTTGTTTGCATCAAGGCTCGAGTGGTTTGCAATGCCACAACAATTTCAAATTTAGTGACATTGGCTGACTATAAATCCTGGGTATCTGTCAATTAGGGCTTTTTAATCTGCGTGGCTCCGACATACCGTACAATCCTGTCTTTTTTTCTTATGCTCTGGTGACTGCCGACAAGGCGTTCCTTTACACTGATGCTCGCAAGATCACTGATCAAGTCAAGGCTCATTTTGGATCAAAGGTTACTGTCAAGCCATACGAGTACATATTTGATCACCTTAAAGTATTCAAGACAGAAAAGCTCGAGGAAAAGTCTGCCGAGGTAATGTAAACATTGTGATTTTTAATCAATTTGTTACCAAGTCAGATTTAGTGTCTTGATAACGTGAAATACTATTGGGATCTATCTTATTGAATGTGTATTTTTATTTGACAGAGAGTTTGGATTGATTTTCGCTGCAGCCTGGCTGTCAAGGAAGCTCTTGGAGGAGATGCAAGTACAATGTTATTGTTCAACTTATTTGATAAGTATCCCATTTTTAAATTTCTAATAGCTGATTTTTGAAATAATTGGTTTTAGAACTTTGTTACTGTAGCACGATCTCCTGTCCAGGTTGCCAAGTCCATCAAAACCGAAGCTGAGCTTGAAGGGTTCAGACAGTCGCATATTCGCGATGCTGCTGCATTGGTATATATTGTAATCCTGATTTGAATCAAAAGGCAATATGAATATTTACTATTCTTTGTTCATATAGTGCCGCTATTTTGCTTGGCTTGAAGACGAACTTGTTAACAAAAAAAGTGTCATTTCCGAAGCAGAGGCTGCTGACGAGTTGGAAAAACTTCGAGGGTGAGAAATAACGGCACCACTTTTTACTACTGTTTAAATATTGCAACCAAATAACCAGACGACTGACTATATGCTACTGACTAACGGGTTTAGCCAACTTGCTAACTTTGTTGGGCTGAGTTTCGACACCATCTCGTCCACTGGTCCCAATGGCGCCATCATTCACTATAAGCCAGAGCATGGATCCTGTGCCATTATTGATGTCAACCAGATGTATCTGTGCGACTCTGGAGCACAATTCCTGTAAGTTATTTTATGGCATGTGTTTGATTTTAATTGTAATCTTGATAGCATCTCTTGTATTTTAATCACACCCGTATTAGTGATGGCACCACTGATGTCACTCGCACCCTTCATTTCGGTACTCCGTCATCCCGCGAAAAGGACGCTTTCACTCGCGTACTCCAGGGACACATTGCTATTGATATGGTTGTATTTCCTTTTGGCACCACTGGTTATATTTTAGATATTCTTGCTCGTGCTCCACTCTGGCGTGCTGGCTTAGATTACCGCCATGGTACTGGTCACGGTGTTGGCGCATATCTCAACGTGCACGAAGGTCCACATGGTATTGGTCTTAGAATTGCCTATAATGACGTCAAGATGGAGCCCGGTATGACGGTCACCAACGGTACGTTCCATGACTCTAGCTATTATTAGTTGTCATTTGCTAATTTGACTTTTGAAAAATTACAACATGTTACGTTTGTAGAGCCTGGATATTATGAGGATGGTGCATTTGGTATCCGTATCGAGAATGTGCTGCTAGTCAAAAAAGTCGAGACTGCCAACCGATTTGGTGACAATGACTACCTTGGATTTGAGCACGTCACTGTTGTACCAATCCAGACTAAGCTCATCGACACTGGTCTTATTTCTCCAGAAGAGAGAAAATGGATCAATTCCTACAATCATGAATGCTTTGAAAAAGTGTCTGGTCTGTTGTCCAAGGACGAGCCTGGCTACAAATGGCTTGAGCGCGAGACTCGACCATTTTGAAAATATCTTTTGATTACTTGTGAATATCTATTCAAGAATCTGGGTTTCTGGACTGAGTTTAGAATTCTTATTGCTAACTTGTTACACTGAAAAATGAATATATCGAATTTTGGTTACTCTTGGTAGTTTTATTGATGATTCAATATTTTACAACTGTATGAAAATTAGGCTTTTGCTACAAAATAAATCGTTATATAGTCATTAAACTTTGCTCGTTATGGGTGTCGTCAAGTTGATATTTAAGTCGTATTCACGTAAATGGAACATTATATAATAAGCGGTCAATCTCACTGAGCAATATTGTTTTTAAACTCATTAGTTTACTAATCTTCATGCCCATTCTTTTACAAAAATACAGGACGAATGTTTGCATCCTTGACATCTTTTGAACCTCCAACTTTCCTTTTTAGACCAAACATTTAAAGTGAACATTGGGTGACCTGCATGTATAGTTGCATTACTGAGATTGTTCTCTTCAAGTAAAACATATCCAATATCAGAATACAACAGATCTTTAATAAAAGGAATAATCAGTTTCTAGTACGAAAACAACGAATATTTAACCATTGTTTATTCCGAGACAATCACTGCAAGATCAACACAAGTGTTTCATTTTACATGAATACGACTGTCATACAGACAATTTTAAAACTGCTCAACTAAAATAATTAGCACACCAGAAAGAATTGGTTCAAGTATATGTATCTAAGCCAGTACAATGAAAGAAGTCAATACGACTATAAACATTGTCAGCCAAAAATCACTACGGATAGTCTGTAAAGTCGATGCATTTGCTAAAGCTACAGTATTTTCCGTTAATAAGCCAAATGTGTGAATATGGTTTTTATAATCATTTGAATAAAACATACTTGTTGAAGACGGCGTGCCTGTTGCTGGTATATCTGTAGTTGTTTTTATTGCTGTGGATGTCCCTGTAGGCGTGGTATATGGGATCGATCTATACACGAAAATGGGTCAATTGTTGTCAAATACAATTTAAAAATGGTAATACTTACATCCCCGCAGTCCAGGTCATTCCGTTTGCATCTTGGATTATTGGGTATCCATCAGTAGCAGTATCACATCCACATCCTTGAGAAAACCCAACACGAGCATTTGCCCGATCAAGCACGACATTCAGGTTGGAAAAAAAGGGAATGCCAAGATTGGCATATGCATCACTGCCTACTTGGATTATCATTTGATCTATATATTACATAGATATAAATATATAGCAGACTCAAAAGTTCTGTATGATGTTTCCATACTTACAGTATCCGTTGGCATTTGGTTGGATATACTGTCGAGCTCCAAGAGTAATTTTAAACGTGGCATTTTGACTGCCGGATATAGTTTGATCAGATGTGATGTCAAACGAAACACTGGGAAGTTTGCTCCATTGGAAAGGCTGGGCTGGTTTAACACCAATATTTCCAGCAAGAAAATCGGAAAGATATGACGATGAAGCAAGATCAGAAGGAAGACCACCGCTTGATCGAATGGCATTCACCAGTGTAGTGATCACGGCTCCTGGAAGCACAATCACACTTGTACACGAGTCGATAAAGGACCATTTATTGTATCCCATTACATTTTGAAATGTCGAAGGAAGAGTTACTGGTACAGAGTTGACCGATATTGCACGAATATCAAGTGTGAAATAAGTACGTGCTGGTGAGTATGCCCACACGACTGGCACTCCGTTCGAACTACACTTGTATGACGGATCAGTGTTTCCAAAGTCAACGTAACTTTGATTGATCATACTGTATGGACATGCGTGAAACGCAATCTCATTTTTTGGCATAGTTCCTGAAGCAACCCATGCATCTATGACTGTAGATGGAGTTACACGATAGCTAGCCAATGATGGATATGCGATTCCGAGTAGTCCCTGTGTCACATCGCCAGTAGTGTAGATTGGGTTCGTCGTTTGTTGAAACATGCCAATGACTGGAGCATTGGAAGTCGTAATATTGGTTCCAGTGACACGCGCAGTTCCTTGAAATCCGTATCCAATCCATCCAGATTGGTCGCCATAGGCACCAGTCAAATTACTACCACCAGGCGGACGCGGAGTATTAATTGTTGGGCCAGAATAGTTGTTTAGACCAGCAAGTGGTATAGTAAGATCAGTAGAACCCGAATCAATCATGACACTAAACTAGATATAGATTGTTAAATAGTTTCATTCAAGTCAATTTTTGTCAATTGTCAAACCAAGACAAGTCATTGCTTTGCTACAATTTTCCAAAAAATTTCAAAGCATTTCAAATATTCAATTATAGCTGATTGCTAATGTTCAAACACAGTTGTAATGGAGGTATTCATCAAAATAGACAAGTATAATGATTTACTTTTTGTCAAAATCAGACAAGATTTATACATGTACTGATGAATAAAACAAATGACTTTTTCAAAGAGTGGCTTACTGTAATGCCTTGTATATCCAGATTTACTATATAGCATGTTGATATACCACCTGGTAATGAGACTACGACACGCTCATTTAAAGTATTGGTACGAACATATGTAGTTGGGGGTACCAAAGGAACTCTGTCACCAGATACAAGTTGAAAGCCTTTTGTAAATAGCGCTAGTACTACATATATTGCTGTTGATGCATGCATTTCCAAAAAGAGTACGTTTGCTGAATCTATACAACTAATTGGTTTAACTACGCGATAAACGCCTACCAACTTGGATAAGTTGAAATATTGTTTTCAATACACATTTGAAAGCTTAGTCAAGATGGAAATTAAATGTTAAGCCAAGCCATCGAAATTGCTGTTTACCGTTGTTCACGTAAATACAACACCATCATGCAGTGATTGGTTTGAAGTACACAATGATTAAATGCTTGTTGCATTTTCATACTACAGGTTGACTGTTTATTCAAAACATTTTCAATTCTTGTTGTGTTTGGAATTGCTTGAACAAGATTATTTTCTACAGAGCTCAAGAATGAGTTCTACATCTCGCAACATTGCTGTTTGTTGAGCGGTAAAGGACCATGTTTAATCAGCGAGTGTGTAGTTTTTTCAAAGTTTAAAAGATACAGCGTTTTTCAGTAAACTGATCTATCATTCCATGAAACTGGATGTTTATTATATACTGTCACTTTTATTTAGTGTTACATTTATGTGAATATGGCTGTAATAAATAATCTTGCATCTCGGGTTTTTAAATGATACAAGTTGCATAAATCTAAATAAAATGTTCAGGCTATTCAATATTTGATACTAGAGTATGCTGTAGAGTGTCTAAAATATACCTGTGTATATAATGTTTGTTTGGACATTCTACAGTAGGGTTGTGTTTTTGCAATGTCGCTGCTAGCAGTCATGTCGTCGGATACAGCCGTACCAACTTTGAAACCTCACCTTCCATACCCGAATCACCAACCTTGGGATGATACTCGTGTTGCTAATTTATTTCATACTATGATACACTTGAAAATACACGATCCCAACGTTTCTGAATGTGGTCATCACATTTGCAAGCAAATCGATAAATATGTAGGAAAAAGGCATCTCTATCTATACGCACTCCAAGTAAATGTACCAGTAATGCAGGATCATCAATAACTATACAATTACAAGTCATTTTCAATCATCTTGTAAGTGTTTCTAAAAAGGCTAAAGATGAGTCCATTGAATCAGTCGCGAAAAAGTTCATAATAAAACGAGGCAATTCAACTTGAAGCAGAAATGAAGGATATCAAAACCAAAGTCAAAGACCTGCTATTCAATAATCGACAATAGCTTGATTAAATATCAAACTACTACCAATATGCATACAATTGAAACAATAAAGTTTGGAATCATGATATATGCATATTGTTTGTAGGTGCACATTATACAACAATGAATGCAATGGATTGTCATTGACTGTTGTTTTGAACCATTTTGTCAACAAATGCAACTGCTTATGACATGTAATAGATTTGGATAATGTATCAACAAAAAATCAACATAAACTGGTTTACCGAGTATGTTGTATACAACAATTGCTTTTATACATGTTTGATATGGATCATTCAGCTGGGACCATTGCATTGTTAATAATCGACTACAGACTCACGGACGTGTATTTTAAGCTAGTTTATATCATAATTATGACAGGATGTGTGATGAGATGATACAGTGGACATATTACAACGTGTATTACAGTAAAAACATGGACTGATTGTTTGGACATGTATGGAGCAGAGCTGTTGTAACATCCAAACAACTATACTAAACATGTTGAAAAGCATCAAATGGCAGTAGGTTGATCGCCAAGACGGGTTTCTAGATTGGTCAGATCAGATATCAACACACATGACTATTGTTGATATTGGTGTTGCATGTGTCAATACGACATGTCAAGCAATACTATATCGACACAATACACACATGCATGTCAGTATCATCAATGTGTACAACTATGCAATATGTAAACTGTATTGTATTGTATTGGAAATACAAGTGTCAATGTACAATATGATATCATGCCAACCAAGACTGTGTGGAATAATCAGATTCAATGCATATAAAATCAGTTTCAAATGTCAAAGGTACTTTATTTGAGCAAAAATTCAACGGACATGATTGAAACCAGTCCAAATTAGCATTTAAATCAAGCATCTGAATCTTCAGAATCGGACTGACCCAAGAGTGAGCTGAGCTCCTTCTTATGTTTAGGACCTCCTTTTGAATGTGAGGATTTGAAAAACTTCTGCGCACGAGATTTGCGAGATCTTTGTTCAGAGGGATATTTGGGAGTTTCGTGTTTACCGGAAGATGCTTTAGTAGATTGAGCTGTAGGCGTTTGATCCGATGATGAAGACAAACTTTTATGATGTTGCGAATTCTGGCTCTCACTAGTAGAGGGTTGCTCAAGTTCTAGCTGTTGGCCTGATACGAGGTTTTCAAATTGTTTGACGAGTCCCATAAACTCGGGATTTGATTCCAGAAGTTGTATGTGGCTATCAACTGATTCTACACTCGTGTGTTTCCCAAACAGGGACTTCACGAGTTGATTTTTGATTTTAGCGAATTGCGAGAGGATTCCAGATTTGCCCCAGTAGGAATCCACGCACTTGTTTTCAAGCTGGAGAAAAATATAGTATTGTTCCTCAAGTCGAGAATTGGCTTCTTTAACCTCTTTCTCGTGCCTTGGACCATGCTTGTTTTTACGAGATTTATCCATCAAACCTTTAAGCTCATCACCTAGATATTTTACCAATTTTTCTTGAGAAGCTATTACAGATCCTGTCGAGTCGCACATTGCCTTTGCCTCATTATGCTTTTTATTCGCTTGTGCGTATTCTTTGATCAAACTCTTTCCCTCGTCTGAAAGTTGGTTAAAATCAATCGAGGCTATAGTTTGTGCACTGGGAATAACTGCTGAAGTGCTAGATTCGGCACTCGTAGTCGCGCTGGGATTAACTGGGTTGGCGACAGTAACTGAGCAGATGGCCAGAATTGATGATAAAACGGTGATTGCGAGTTTCATTGTATTGATTTGATCAAGTTGTGGATGATTGTTATTTGACAAGTCGGGCTTATATCGTATTTATATTCGTTATTCCGGAAATAATACCAGACATGTTCCCCGAATGGGCACCCTAAGGAACTAGTGTTGCTGTCAGGGTTGGTATTGGCTTGCTATCGATGCCAAAGTTTAAGGGATATCCCTTTATATGATAGTCCGCAATCTTGGTTAAGCCGCTGTTCGGCTATATATTGAAACATTGTATAGTTTGTCCACTTTCCACCCTAAAAAGGGTCTAGTGGACCAGAGTAACCGAGTACAGATTAAATAGGACTATATGCAGCTGAGTTGGCATTCGCTACTGTATGGCCATCTGTTTGCTGTGATGCTTTGTGCTTTTCAAAGTAGCAAGTGATTGGCATGATTCAACATGTGGTTTAGTGGATATCTTCCACTTAACTCGACATGATCAGTCATCACTGCGCACTGTCCAGTAACTCAATCAATCAACTGAATCAATACAATGTAGTTCATGTTGCAACCACAATGTCACATTGATGATTAGTGACTTGCAACCGTTGTGTTGGCATATTGCATGTTGTGTGTTATTATATTAATATCGATCGTCACTATAGTTGTATCAACCACACATCATGATCATATGTCATGGTTGACTCGTATTCTGGATTGATTCACTCATTACATTACTTGAACAACTCGTTGTATACACACTGCAATTGGATCTAGTCACCCAGCACCACAGTAGTCCGAGTATTAATCAACAACTGCAATCAATACCATATAGCTACAGTGCACAATCCACGCCAGTTATAGTTGATCACAAACGACATGATACATGTTGATAATGTTGTATTTGAATACATGCCATGATGATCAATGTCAATCACATACAACTGGTGCATGATGGCCCAGTTATACATATATACCATTGTCATGCAAAAACATTTGTCACCAATACAATAGTATGATCATATTGCATCAATTGACCAGTATACGATCACTGAATACATCACACACATCAAACTGGTTTAGTGATATGCAAGTGCTGCGGTTTGACCAAATCACAATCACCCATATTGTCGACTATCTAGCTTGTTGATATTAAAACCGTGCCATCACTAGTCACAATATAATGGTTGACTGGCTCGTTTGATTGACCTGACATTGACACTTTGCAAACCTCGACTTGATTCATCAACTTGGATATTCATATAATATTGGGTTTGTATCATCACGTTGGACTCGTTATCAAACACCTTGATGTGTTCATGCAACACAAACTCGATATACACACATTGGTTACTGTTTGACATGACTGGGTTGATCATCAATACCAGACAATGCAACTGTATTAGTTACATGATACAATCAATCATGGTTGACTCATCACCATCAAATATCAAATGTTGATCACGTATACATTGATTTGTAATTGCATGGTCTGTTGGTAATGCACACTATGATATGATTGACAAGTTGTTGATTTGCAGTAATCAGATGTGCATCACCTGTAACATTGGATGCAATTGACGAGTTGTAACTGCCAGTCAACAATCATCGATATGTTGGTGATTGTATTGACTGCATGATTGGTATTGATTAGCTGTCATGATCGATTGGTGGACAATACAATCCACATTGATTATGACGTGTTGCAACTAGTTGATATATGCAGACTCGACTGATGATCGAGTATATGTTGATGAGTAACTCTGTCACTGTTGGTTTGGATTTGTCGTTGCTACTGCTTGTATATGCAGTGTATTCATGTGTGATGTATTGGATATTGGTGTTGTGTATGTTGTTGAACCTGTTGGACAATATATTGTCATGTTGTATCAAATCGCACTACATTTAGAATGCAATCATTGATTTGTTGGTTTAATGATCGACTCAACTCACATTCGACTGTAATGTTACAAATATGCATTGTTGATCGACACGCATGTATCTACATGTATCAGACTCGGACATGGTGTATATCAGTTGCATATACCAATCGCTGATGCAATTGATGATGATCGATTAGTCAATCAATTGTATATCAACACCAATGTCAGTTTATTACCACATGAATACTTGCAGTTGTGACCTGTATTCAGTCAATAATGTTGTTGTATGTCGTGACTTGGTGTAGCATACAGCATGATATATTAGTCAATTGTATTGCAATACGATTAATGACATGCTGGTGACTTGTTGTGCTGCCTGACTGTATCTATGGTGTCGATAAATGGTAGCAGTAATGTATTTGCATGCTGAATCTGACAAGTGGATGGTGATTGTTCCAGTCAACACATGGATTGGACTGACTGAAATATTGTCATTGATCGCAGTCACTGTCGACCAATACACTGTAATACATTGACAGTCTCGACACCAATATTGCCATTCATGTCAAGTTGTGCGTAATGTGAGTTTCAGCAACCTGGAAAGTGTAACAGCATTTACCGAGGTTTGATGTATTTCTTGGTTTATCGCATCATCAACTTGGACAGACACGGTTTTGATCCAAACAACCAGTTGGTCAGACACTAGACATGATTTTGGTTTACGCATTGTAACAAATGGCTTACAGTGTAAATATTAAAACATGACGGTTGTTTTTTAGGTTGTTACATTGATGGTTGTTTATCTACTCGAGTTAAAGCATAATAGTTGTGCAACTTGGGTTTGTAGATTTCTTGTGATTAATATCTGTGATGGCATTTTTCAGTTCTTGTTACGTGTGAGAATATGGACTCTAGTTTTGAATACATTTACAGCAGTATTCACGTAAAATGGAACACATTTATCTTGGTGATTGTTACTATTTTATTTTGGGATAGACAATGATTAAATATTCACATTTATATTAGGAATTGATTGTTCAGTAAACACAGCGATCATCATATGACACACAGTCAGACTATAATGTTGAATCTACACTTTGTACACTCTTAGTAATCATACATTGTACGATCACCAAATTTGAACCTACATTCATATGTTGTTGGACTGTCAATATTGTCAATACAACTCTGTACACACATTTGTTGTGTTCATCACCATCCAACTCAATCTCACCATTTCAATCAATCTTGGTCAATGTTGATGATTTACACGCTAATTCATTATCCAATCTTGTCTGACATTATTATTGGCTTTAATCACATTTGGTTTGTACAACTACCATGATTTGTACTACCATTATCATTGTGTATCTGAACATCAAATATTCCAATACATCAATAATACCACAGTGTAAACAGTAATACAGTTGATCAGTCTTGTGGCAAGACTTTTCATTCAAGTTTGTATTTGAAAATACTCGATGGTTTAATCACCACACATTGTTTGTAATGCGATTGTCATTGATCTCATTCTAGTCCATTTGATCACATCCGATTTATGATGATGTTTAGTAATCCATTACCATGTGTTGTAGTAAACTAGTTTGTTTATTCAACCAAATCCACAACAATCACATTCAGAATATTAATTTACAGTATTTCTAAATGCATGTTTGATAACAATCCAATTTTTTTTACAAAAAACTGGTTAAAACAATACTAAAATGGAACAACTCGTTTGTGCGTTTTACAACAATCCAAACATAAACAATTCTTGGCAATTGTTGGACATTCGCATGAATGAAATTATCAAATCAAAATTCAACTTTACTAATTTTATCAAACATGAAGTTGGATGATGTCATGAAAGAGTTGATCAAACACATGGAAGATTTGAAACTGTTAACAACGGATGCTCAACTATACAAGGCTGATGAAATATGGGACAGACTGCTTGACTTGATACAGGAATTGTACAATCATAGTTACAGTAAGTTTAATAGTCATTGAATTATTGATGAGTTCAAACTGTTGCTGATTTTGTGTTGGTTTGAAATGGTAGGATCTACAGATGTATTGCTGCGCTTACAAAGTATTGAACTGCAAGATATCACAGCCAAGTATTTGGAGTATAATCGACCCAGTTTACAGGTATTCATATATTGTAACAATAATGGATTGTTCATGACTAAAATAGCCAACATGTGTTGTGTAGATCAAAGTAATGGAGTTTACTACAGTATTTTTGAGTATGACGTACGGTGATTATCGGTTTAAAGTATTTCATCGACTAAGCAACCAACTTGCACAACTCATGCAATCACCAAACCGTCAAGTCAAAATAACGGCAAGTCATGATTGATATTGATCAAATGATTGACATTCAACTCATCTAGTGTCAATATGCATATAGGCGATAAAAACATGTACAGAGTTATTCGATTGTGGACGCTGGAGTAAAGAGTATAAATTTGACATCAAGCCAATGGTTGAGATTATTGTTCACGAGTCGGATCGAGAAATGCTCAGATTGGCAATTGACCTGTTTTCGACCGTTTGTTATGATATTGACGATGAAAATGTATGTTTACAATGATACAATATTGGATCAGTTTGGACAGTGCCATGTCATGTTGATTTGGTTGTATACTTGACATTGAACAATATCATTAGTTTGGCATCGTGGTATCAAGACTTGTTTCACGACTGGAATCATCCAATGGTCTAGTTGCTGTTGGGTTTATCAAAAATCTTAAAACCATATTTTGTAATATTCATCGTCATGACCCAGTAAAAGCAGTGGAGTGTGGTATCATTCCAGCAATAGTCAATACGCTCAGGTATGTGATGTTATGCATGAATGTGTGTCCAGTCATCACAATTGGTAAATTTGACATGGTTGGATTGACATGACATGAATACAGGAGTGTCGATCAAGCAGTGATTTATGAAAGTATTGATACTATTCGGAGTTTATGCAATGTTACAGAATGTGAAGTACTTTCAGCCGAGTTGATAAGGTCGGGTTTGATTCAAGCACTGAACGACTTGTATATCAAATACAGCGACAACTCTAGACTAAAAACACGCATAATCAAGATAGCTGTAGCAGCTGCATCCAAAATGCACGATTTTCCTGTATCGCTTGTACGATCGTTGGTTTTTGAGCAATTGACGATATTGATGTATGATGCCAATATGTATGATTTTTTGTATCTGTTTGAATATGTCAGCGACATGATTCAGAAATCTACAAACAAGGCCGAGATGATCAAGGTGTTTCAAGAATATGAAATTGTAAAGCAACTCAACACTATTCTTTCACGTAGAGATGTAAATTTGTATGGCTGTTTTGGTATTGTAAAACTACTCAAAACACTTGTTGATTTTGCCGACAATCATCCCGACAGTTCAATACGTACCGAGTTGGATCAAGGCGGGATGTTTGAAAATCTAATGGCTATTGTAAAATCGGATGGTACTCACTACACAAACAGAAGGGTTGCTGGCCAGATCATTGAAACGTGTTTCCAACATCTGGTTTACACTGCTAATTCGGATATTCAGCCATACAACGACAATGACAAAATTGATATGAGTTCTGGAATGGCCGGAGATACACATGGACAGGCACGCACACTTGTCGAAATGCGGTATATCCAGTATCTCCATTCTATACTTTGCAAACCCATGTGGTGGATCGATATCACAAACCAGCATATTGTGGAGCAATGGAGGGCTGACTCACTCGATCGGAATATATCACCATCAACATTTAATCTTGCACTGGGACAACTCGAGTTTTTTGTCAAACAGTTTGTTTGTAGTGGCAGTGATGGATTTGGCACAATTGTACCAGGACCTGTTGAACTGACGTATATACTGGACAATGGCATACCTGACAATGTATACACGCGATTGATGACAAATGTATCGGATATTGAACATGGATCACATCACAACACTGGTCAAATGGTGCACAATCTGATTGATGCATCAATGTAC